TAGGCAGATCATACCATTAGACCACAAGGCTGGGGAGATGTAGGCATCTGTGTGCTGATTTTGAACCAAAAGTAAACACATCGAATATATCAAGACCACATGATCGCCACGTCAACAGTCAGCCCGTGCTTGCAGAGAATGAAAGAGGATTGGTCTTACAGAGGGTCAAGCCACTCTTGGATCTCTGTGTCCTGCTACTGTGACAGGGGCCAGGCCATAAGATAGAGGAGCTGCAGAGAGTGTGTGAGAAAGGAAGGAAGGAAGGGTGAGAGAGAGAGCTAAAGGAAGAGGAAGAGATGCATTGAAGAATTTGACTCTTCAGCCTGGTTGCCTTACAGCCTGGTTATCTTGACATATACACTTGGGTGGCGGACACACACCAGCGGCCCACAACTTCTATCAGGGGTATTATAGAGGACTGTACTACCTGCACCATTCTGTTTTGGGATGAAACTGGTGGGTCTGCGACAACAACGTGGCCTAGATGGCCTGTACCACCTCTAAAACTTGGACCCGCAATTGTGCACGCAATACGGACCGCCGCACATTACAGATGGCGGCAATCGACTCACTGGGTCACCGCGATCATGTGCATCTCATATTTCATGTGTACTGGCCTCCTGGGTGAGGCACACTTTTTAAGACTTTCTATAGTGGAATAGATAAATAGGTCTATGTGTGATGATCTACAAACTCTCTAGTCTCTGCATGATTCTGTAACGATCTTGTTCACAATGAACCAATGCTTTGGAATTGCACTAAGTAACTGCATGTGCACAGCAGAGAACATATTTCTTTCTCGTTGTAGTCGTGCCCCTGGGCCTGCATGAACCTTCGATATATGGCGCTGAATCCGTCCAAGTGATACAGTCCGGAATCCACACTGCAGTAGGTTACATATGAAACCATTCTCAACTAGGAGTCCATCTATTGGTAGTAGATGATCTGCTGGTATTGGGAGAGATGTAGCTAGCTTGAATGATATACACTACTCTTTAAAGGCAGATAATTGCTTATAGAGAGATCTATATATCTTAAGAAGAAGAGATAGCACAGTGTGAGGAGTATAACAACTCTGGTGCTCTGTACATAGTAAAACTTGAAAGCATGGCAGTACCTTGATAAAGGGAGCACACTATAGAGGGCAGACTAGTGGGTCAGATAGACCAGTGGGGTGAAGATGAGTAGTGGCCTGATTGTATGTCTAGGAAAAGTTACAGACTTGCTGTTTGCGAGGTGGGGTGTGATGTGTAGGACTGAGCGCCCGTCACTTACAACCCTTTCCTTTTGGAGGAGTGTTGCACTATCCACAGGTTGGGCACAGATCAGAGCTGGGCATAGGGTTTTGTGAATCTTTGGTCTCCTGCTCAAGTAGTATAGTGCCTATTAGTTCTGGTGTAGCTATAATAGTGGATGAAGACTCAAGCCACTTAACAAATACAATAGATGTCAATGGTGGTGGTATGACAACTTGTGCCACAGGACATTGACTCGCTTTCTGTAGAAATTCTTGCCACTGATCTGAAGCCCAGCGATAGACACAAAGAAGGGCAGGCTAGAGACTGTCCAGGAATACTCCATCAAGACCATATATGGACATCCATTCCTGTTAACAGTGCCCACTCTACCACACAAAGCAAATATTAATATCAGCATAGATAGAGCGGTCATCAAGACTGATCAGTGCTAATTTGCCTTGCTTGATATGGCGTTCAGTGATAGCGGCACTGAGTTATTGATAGGTCTGTAAGGTAAAGCTTTGACAATAGATGGTTGTTGTCTTTTCCTTGATGAGCTGACTCAGAACGTGGGTGGTCCAGACTGTGTTGCTCTGTGATAGATCATGAAAGATAAACGGGCTACCGTGAGTCTCTCCTAGACATCTTCGACGGAGCAGGGCGCAGAACGGCCTGATATAGACCAGATATAAGTACCAAAGGGCAGAAGCCTCAGCCGTCAGATACCGGGCAACATGGAAGTCACGATGGGTAGCTTGTCATCTTTTTGCACTTCGATAGACGCACACAATCCGACTGTCATGTACATACACGCCCCGAACAACGGAGCGGGAGTTCACCGCCTGCATGGTGAGAATGTTAGGCCTACAGGCAGGTTGACCACTGTCAAATTGAACGAGTAACAGAAGGTCACTGAGCAGGTCTTGTTAGAAAGTGAGGTACTGACTAACAGCATTAAGATCCCAGTCACAGGATGTTATGAGGCCATCCACTAGAGCACTATATACACTTTCAGATAGATATAGATAAGTATATGACAGACCATTCTTAGGCTTAGTAACAAATAAATAGTTTAGACTCTTATTGCTCCAGTGGTTAATAATACAGTCTAGTCTCATAGACAGATTGAGGCCGTACAGTAAGCGAGTACAGCAAGATTGGGCACTAGTCAGAGTGTTATTTCGTAGGCGACTGAACTGAAGGATTGTGCTTTATTAATCATCCCAGGTGACAGTGTGGCCATCGTCAGACCAGAAGAACTTGTACGCGCCCCCATCAGACTTCTGTAGCGTATATCTAAAGGACTGCAAGCTAAATAACTCTCCAAATAGTGCATCTACACCATAGTAGAGGGTAAGTCTTCAGAGATAGTTTAGCTGGTCCAGCTGGCCATGATATGGTCAACAAGGCCAGTCTTCTATAATGTAGGCATATTAAGACAGTGTCCACTCAAGTGTGAGTAGTTGAATAGTATAGATTAAAGCCAATATAATTCGAGTGTAGTTTCGAGCCCCAAGAAAGGTGGTACCCTCACGTGACACACCTAAAAGCCCTGAGAAGAAGACTAGAAGCATGGAGCTTGATTGACCATCTTGACTGGGCTCTAGTATACAGTCCAGACTGAGAAGGGCAATCTGGTCACTAATGATTGATGTACTAGTCAGTGAGATACCAGAAAAGGCAGTAGTACTGGAAGAGGATATGGTGCTGTTTGGACTAGACAGACATAATAATCGTAGCTTGGAGGTATGACAACGCTGAGAGGGGGTCTGTGGACAACTTCGAGTCGAGAAGTGCTTCCGTGGTGGGTCTGATGTTGAGGATGCTGACCCACAATCGGATGCCAAAGAGCTAGGACTGTGATTTGGCGTTTCGAGACTCAGATCTAGGTTAAGGATGGCCGGAGTTGAAGCAGCATCAATATCCTCATTGTCACTTGGTCGCTCATCATACGCTCCCCCGTCTGAGCAGAAATCAGTCTCACTTTCGGTACCATCGTCAGACTCCACCTCCAGATCTGGTTCAGTTTCAGAGTCACTGAAGGCCTCTGTTCCCGAGACTGGACTGAGGCGATCCTAAATCTCGTGACATAGCTCAGTTTGTCGACTGCTCAGCCGTCGTCCTAGAAGCTATGTCTGGTGCTGCGGGCCAAATCAATAGAGGCGAAGAAGCCAGGACACAAAGCGTGCCCATATTACACTATAGCATTCACAAGTACACTAAGACTGGGGAAGTATAAATGGCTGGCGCCATAGTCAACTAATATCGTGACTGTGTAGCCAATATAGAATGACTGTGGGTGTGGCCACAGCAGTCGCCTCACAGCGGTGGTGTAATTGTTGTACTAAAGGCCTGATCTGTGATAGCTGGTGTTCATCGGTAGTAGCCATTACAAAGCGTTGACCTCGTAGAGAGCCAAAGCGCACAGGGGTGTCTTAACTCTTATAGGGTCTCTGCGCAAGAGCCTGGAGCATAGGCAGTGCAATTCCCTGGTAGGTTGTGGGCTATTTAGTACGCTCTAGCCATGCTGTAAGGTGACCAGCCTGCCTGATAGGATCAAGACCTGCTGAGTTATCGGGCTCATTATCACTAGAATTATGCTCTTGAATAAGATTATGGAACTCAGTATACACTAGTTGTTGGATCTAGGCATATCGCTGAGGGGTGGTGCTAATGGCAATGTTGGCACCCCATTGTGTCACTGTCTATCGCTCAGGTGTGCACACTAGCTTATCTAGTGTTGCCACAACAGGAGTGACACATCAGTAGCCACTAGCCACTGTGGGAGTCCATGTCTGAAGGATCATATCCTGAAGGATATGATCCTGTATCTATTCATGGGACTGTTGGCTAATGCTATGGGTATATTTAAGATAGTGGATAACAAGGTCCAGGCTCCAACTTAAGAAGTAATAGTGTCGACAGCCCTTCCCTGAGATCTGACATAGCTGTGGCTGTAGGCGGGAACCATGAGGTAGATTAGGGATATTAGCTGGTTGGGTCAGTCTAAGTGATCGTAAGTAGTTATTGATCCTGGACGATAATGCTGTGGGGGTCTGGTGCTGCTCCTTGAGATGCTGTGATATTGCGCATACTCGAGTGGGGAGGGCATAGCCACAGGTACAGCAAACAACACACTGGACAGCAGGTGTTGGACAATAGAGAGCTAGATGAATAATCTGAAGACGTTGGTCGAGTTCCTCCAGGGAAAATGATGCCCATAGTAGGACCATACTTGAAGTATGAGGCTCAATGTGGCTGCTCGAGAAATATATTAATCTGGTTGGGATCTGACAGTCGTGGAGTCCACCGCAACGATGGATGGTATTGGCGCTCTAGGCATGAGCACAATGTTGTAGAACAGAGCGGTCGCACGTAGAGTCTTATCTATGTGAGAAAGACCCGATGGTACTGGGCGCCGATCTCGTCGGCAGGATTGCTTCGCCTTATCTGGGGAGATGGTTCGTGTCAGGAACGGAACGAACCAGGGGCTCAGTGGGTCTCGAAGGTGCGGCTTGATTGGATCTGGTGAGCCCCTTTTGGGGGACTAGTGTTAGAAAACGAGGATGAAGTGGGTCGGATTCTGCCCAGTGCGACAGGTTTAGAGTTTCAGGTACAGGAGAGAGGTACACGGGCGAGAAAACGCGACGGATGGTCAGACGGGGCCGTGACTGAGACGGTTTCCGGGCGGATTCCGGCGGAATTCAGGCGAGAATAGGTGAGTAGGGTTTCCCCACTCTACACATCGTCATCCTCCTCGCTCTAGTACTGGCCATCATCGGCGGTGTATTTCACCTGAAAAGCGAACCTTCTAAGCAATCGACCGGTGAATCTCTCAGCAAGGCCGCGAGTGTCATCTTCGTGGCAGCATGGGCTGCCAGTGCCGGCCTCGCGGTTCTTTTTTTCACCCGCAAACATCATCTTCGTCACTGCGTCATCTGGAGACTGGCCATCGCTTCCCTCCTCGCTCTCCCTTTTTTGCTCGTCAGAGTGCTCTACACCCTTCTGGTCAGCTTCTCCACCACTCCCACCAGTGTCTTCTACTTCGCGAGTGTCAACGTCTATGTTGAGGGTTTCATGCAGTTCTTGACGGAGGCCGGTGTCGTTATCATCTTCACGACTGCTGGGCTGCTAGTGCCGACCCAGGAGAAACAAACGCCTGGTGATGATAGAACTGTCGTTAAGAATGCCCTTCATGCCGCGCCAACTATACCTACGCAAGAAACTGATGAGGCTCTAAGCCAAGCCAACTCGAAAACTCGGGGCCTCATGGATTACAGACCTAGCATGTTGATCAGGAATGCAATAGCTCAACGGTGATTGTGAACAGTACTGACCAGGACATCACGGGTCTGATCACAGTTTAGTGTGTATGTGAAATCCAAAGACGTGGGAATAGCTCATTAGTGGGCAAGGGCACTCTCCTCGTACTAAGGCGAGGAACAAAATTCCTGAGAACAATGATAAGCGGTAGAATGTTTTAAGAGGATTGATACATACGACCAGTGTATTCAAATTTACCTACAAAGTTTGTCGTGGACTAATTCCCTGTTTATGTGTCACTCTGGAGCATCCTGAAATGCGCTAGCAATACGATCGTTCCATCAATAATGAGATTGACAAAATGTGCCCGTACAGCCCAGAGTTGCAGCTCACTGACCAGAAGACAGTGTCGAGAGCTTTTGAGACAACTCTTCGCCGGGAATTGAGCATCAGGTGAGGCCTCGAGGTCCTTGGAGTAAATGAAGTAACGTCTATCACACATCGACAAGTGAATCGCTGACACAAGGCTCTACAGCCTGAATTCGTTCGGAACAACAAGATGACGCATCCTATCACATCAGCGTACCGCTTCCCAGCCCCAGACTTGGAGGAAATGTCTCCGAGATCAAATACGAATCGATATCCATCTCACAATACTCCTCTCTCCTAGCCCCATATTCCACACTTGAGAGTAAACCTTTTTCCTTCCCTGGAAGCAATAACACCGCATCCGTTGTTTGATTTACTGCACCACCCATATTAAGCGGCCAACCCGAGTTCTGCTCAAATGACGTGGGATCAGATATGAAGCTGTGCCATAAGTCTTGCATGTGACTTCCAACGGACAATTCGAAGGCCGTGCTGGGCGTGACGTTGAATGGGTGTGCGGAAGCGATGTCAGTTGTACCAAAGAGGAGCGGGAGAGGAGAGGCGTGGTCTGTAGATCAGTTGTGAGTACGACTGCAATCAATCGCTGCTTCAGATTGCGTATAAGTGAAAAGGTACTTACAAGCGCCCATCCAAGGTAAAGGAGAGATGTTGCTAAAATTCCCCTTGTACTCATAGCGATAGGTAGGCAAGCCAGCTTCGTAGCGGAGCTTTGCGGTCAGCTGGGCTGGGCACAGAAAGGCAACAACTGTGTAGACCAGTGCGAGGGTTGTATTAGGTCCACTGGTGCTGAGACCCTTGTCAATACTGCGTTCGCCTTCCCGACGATTGCTGCCTAGGATTGCTGGCTGGGTAGATGAAAGAAGGTTAGTGCAAGTCGAAAACTGAAGATGACAAGCTGCGGTGGAACAAACCTGTTTGATAATGTGACCTTCCCGCAATAGTTCGGTGTAGTTGCTAAACACCAGTTGGTCGTCGACGACAGGCTGGAAAGATAGCATGGAACTGCTGGTGTAGTTCTTGAGTGTGTCCTTAATCAAGATTGCGGGCTGCTGGCGCATACAGCCAAGTACACTAGCCGGGTCTCCAAAGCAGCCTAACTTTCCTAGACAATGTTAGCAATAGTGTACATGGCCCGTATAAGTACAAGAACTCACCGGCAACAAATGTGAAGTTGTTCTGCGCAGAGTCCAATGCTTGCCATCCTTCACGTGGTGCAAGTGCAGTTCCCGAGGTGCTGATAGTGCCTGAGACAATAGGATCATTCAGGTACGAATATGTCCATGCATTAGTCGCAATGCTCCCGGCGGACTGGCCCCAGAGGGTAATCCGACTGGGATCCCCGCCAAAAGCCTGTACATTATCCCGTACCCATTCCACCGCAGCACGTATGTCCTGTAGGCCAAGATTGTTTTGCTGAAGAGCAGCGCTGTTCGGGAAGCCAAAGATGTTTAACCGCTAGGTCGTCAGATTGGGCTGATGAACGGAGCTTTTTCGAAACTCACGTATTGAATATTCACCACAATCAAATTCTGCTTGGCTTGAACCCAAGGTGTGGGTTGCTCATAGGTCTCATTAATACCGCCCTGAACAAATCCGCCGCCGTAAACGAAGATAAGGACGGGCAAGGACTGAGTCGTTGGATGCATAGGCCGAAAAAGGTTGAGCTTCAAGCAGTCTTCACTTTGCTGACCCTGCTGGCCGAATCCTGGTTCAAGAACATCAAAGATGTCCTCCGCTCCTGTGAGTTGGTAGCAGCCTGGAGGCATCGTCGAACGGATCGTGCCATTACTTGGGTGTACTGGTTGAGGAGGCGCGAACCGAAGCTGACCAAGAGGCGGTTGCGCGAACGGCATGCCCAGATACTGGTAAACATCTGGGTACACGCTGTCAATCAGCGGTGAAACGAGCCCAGAAGACGTCTCAATGACGGAAGGGTCGTTCGGACCCCATTCCTGTGCAGGAGCCGCGAGGGTGAGGCGAGCGAAGAGTGCAAATGCGCAAAGATTCCAAACAGCCATATCTGTCAAACTCTGGATGGGTCTAGGAGTGGAAATGTTGCTGGAGTGCGTGCGTGCATCTTTATATGGCTGAGCCAGAACGTCACTTTCCAATAGACTTGAATGAGTTCCATCGGCCTGAGGTACATCTCGGAAAACTGACAATTGCACCCAAGCCACGTGACCCATAGAATGATCTAGTTCAGACGTATCTTTTGAACCGTGAGTCGTTCCTCAATCTTATGAGCCGCATAAAATCGCAAAAATTGCCCATTGTCGTAAAAAGCGCGGTCGTGTGTTGCAAAAGTGTCCGCTGTTGCCTCTTGTGGAAGAGCAACCAACAAGCCAGAGGCACGCTTGAAGATGGGGCGTAAGATGATTCAAGGATGGATCGCAGGGTTTGCCTAGCACCACCTGTAGCAGTGCTGGTGGATGCCACATCTCAGCGATGCCAAAGTTGCGTTCATCGGGCAAGGTGTATGAAAATACGTGTTGCCCGGTATTCGAGCAAGAACCAGCCCAACTGCGCCGCAGCCGACGTGCAAGCAGATAAGTTGATCACTCCGATGCTTAGGTTCGAGACGCAAATGTCGCGGAACTCTCCAAATGACGTCTTGGGCTCTTACTGAAGTGGAAAAAGGTGCGAAAGCTTCCGGGGTTAGTGTCGGAACTCCTTGGCACGCGATAACGCCAACCGAGGCAAATCCTGCCTGTCACGTGATATATGGCATCCGGCGTTGCCGTCAATCCGCAAACTCCGGGCCTTCTCCATCAGCAGTCGTAGCTTCCCGTTTTGAGTTCTTCAGCATGTCGGCCGCGTACGCACAAACGGCGTCGTTATGCTCAGTGTCACCTTGCCAATCATTGAACGACGTCAGCACCTCGCTGCAGACCTCTCAATGGCAGCACTACCTTCGGCTAACGGATCGTTAACTTCAAGTTGCCGCGAGCACCAAACTCTGAATTGGCGCCCTCGCAGGGGCTTGCGCAATGCATTCATCCAGGCAGACTGACCTGCTTTCCTCGAAGGCGATAAGGGTGCTATCAGTGACTGCTTTCTTCAAGGCGTCGCCGAGTATGCACGAAGCGCCAGTAGAACCAAGCCTTCTACATTACTGCGACTCATGATGCAGCTTCTTTTGTCTGTGTGCGCCCTCGTCGGCATTACATCTGCCGCACCCGCGACCGAGGCTGCCTTCTCTTTATCTGCTCGCCGCGCACTGCCCAATCACCAAACGCTCGCTCACCTTTCGGCCCGCAAGATTCGACGTGATGGCAAAACAGGCAATTTCAGCACAGCAATCGATAATCAATTATACTGGTACGCTAATTTCACAGTTGGTAACTCGTCCAACCTGGAGCTTTTGATCGACACTGGGTCGAGTGATTTACTGCTTAACAATGGCGTGTACGTTGTGTTTACCTTCAGCCAGAAGCTTGATTGACGGTGCAGCAGCTACGTGCCCTCCAAGTACGAGACGGCCTTCAACGGCAACACGACATTCTCCATCAGCTACGAAGGTGTGGACCGGCAGGGCTTTGGGTTCGAGACAGTGGGTACTCCGCTACAGAACATGTCGGAACTAATAATCTAGATAAATGGTACTGTCCAGAACGATCTCGTGAGCGCAGGCGGCCTCACGGTCACAAACCAAACTATCGGCAACTCCACTTCCTTCGAGTATTTTGACGTCCCGCCACTATCATCTGCAAATCCTGGCGATGGCATCGTCGGCTTTTGCTTTCAGGGTGATAGTGTATTTGAGCCACCAGCGCTCCCATGGTTCTTCAATCTGTGTAGTCAGAAGCTGATCTCCGCTTGCAGATTCGGCCTTGCATTCGGTACGTCCCTATGCTCTCCTGCAACTGTCTGCTTATATGCGCAGGAACCCGCGGCGTTGGTCAGCTGGTGGTTGGAAAGTACGCGAAGAAGCTGATCGATGGCCCGGTTGTCTCTATCCCCAATATCGGCGGAAATAGCTCCTATGCCGTATATGGTGATGTTACTCTGAACGACACGATCGTGCTCGAGAATCAAACGATCATCATGGATGTCGGAACGGACAATATCCAAGCGTAAGTTCTCGAGACTGCGAAACACGTCCGCTAATCCGAGCAGACCCATCGAGCAGGCTACGGAAGTCTTCAAGCTTCTCAACTACCAGACACAGACTCTCACCGAAGCGCCCACTCCGTTCGACCCTGGCTTGACGATCACTGTTCTCAACGGCTTCTTTAACTGCAACAACCCGCCTTCGCTTGGCTGTAAGTCCTCTGCAACGGTGTAATGCTTTTTACTGATAGATTAGTTTCTTTTCCAGCGAAGTCTCAACTTAAGAAGGGCGAGAAGGCCACAGTGTTTGAGGTGTCGAAAGACGTTTGGGGCGTATTCAACAACACTGCAACGAACTGTACATCTATTCTTGGCGGCACAAATGGCATCACTGTCGGCAATGTCTCTGCGTGGCTGCTTGGCCAGTCCTTCTTCGCTGGTCACTACATCGACTTCTACACTCCCCATAATGGCAACGAGACTATGATCAGCTTTGCAAAGCTGAAGCATCCCGGCGATGGCTCCTGACGGATGCTTGGGGCGTCTCGCTCCGAAGTCCTGATGAATGAAACTCACGTCGTGGAGGATAGGAGGCGGTCATCGATAAGAGAGTCACTACGTTTGCTCAGTTATGTTCTAAACAAACTTTGGCTTACATGTGCAGTCGCTCGGGAATGACGTAGCGGCGGACCCTGCCTCGAAGTAACTCCCCAGCTGGGATGAGGAGCGCAGCGAAATGACCGCGCAAGGTAATCTACCCGACCTGATACTTCGTGGGAATCGCCGAAAGCAGAATTTATTTCTTCATCTAGCTTGTAGCTTTTGTCTTTAACCGCCTCAAGCTAATCACAACGACAGTGGACGATACAGTAAGTATATATGTCGATGCAAAAGCAGACCTCGAGTGTTCTATCGTATCAGCCACTCGTGCAGTCAAATCCAGCAGCTAGCCACGACAATAGCTCTCAGCCAGACACATCGACAACGCGACAAGTAATGGCCAGCAACAAGCAGATCATAGGCTCTTTCGATGACCACGGCTTCCCGATAGAGAACCTCTCTAAGGACGGCTGGTCCAACGAGGATGAAGCGACCGCTACCTGCTTCTGCGGAGCGGTACAATTAGTCCTCGTGAGTTCCTCGTGCCCCAAATCTCCCTGGCGCATGATTCGGCATCTAACAAGCATCCTCAAAGCCGCTAAAGAAGCCCGGCTTGGTCAATCGCCACGTCTGCCATTGCATCGATTGCCGTAAGATCGGATCCGCCTTCTACCAATCGAACATCACAGTTGCAGACTCGCATCTCAAGCATAACCGTGGCCAAGACAAACTCATAACATTTAGCGAGACCGAAACGATTCGCGCCAACGCCGAAATGACGAACTACTTCTGCAAGACATGCGGCACTCTCATGTACCGCCGCGGTGCTCGCTTCCCTGGCATGTCGATACTTCGAACGGGCACTGTCGATGATCTGACTTTGGCAGAGACTAAGCTGCGTCCGCAGGTGGAGCAGTTTATCGAGAGAAGGGCTGCCTGGTCGGCACCAATCGAAGGCGCGGCTCAAGTAGTCGGAATGCATCAGCCTTCGGATATCGAGGGCATTCCGTAGCCGTAATAGACTCAAATGCGAGGAGTTGCTCGGTCTGGTCTGTTGAGTGCGGCTCTCGAACGGCAGGCATTGCGCCTACGCTTGAACATATGCACGTCGAAAAACGCCATGATGAAGACCTGAGCCTAAGACTCGATCTCGGCGGCATTGTGAAGGGGTGCGAGGCAGCCTTGCGAGAAAGAAGTGATCTATCTGGCCAGCAGACTGATGTCATCGGCTTCTGGGTGTCTCTTGGAAGTGATGCTCTCTTCCAATTCGCGTGCGCCGTCTTAAGGCCGACAGCAAGCCCTCCGCCGATAGATCTTTCGCAATGAATTCAAAGCACCCCGGAGCCAGCATAGTCGCGATCTTCGTGCTTGTCGTCAGCTGCAGCTTTGGCTTCACGTTACAAGCTAGGTCTCTATACAACGATCTGGAGACCGATAATAATACAGGATGGCAAGACCGTTAGCGACCAGAATCTAGTGCGCACCTGGCCGGATAGATGCGCGTTTATGCCTGGGCTCGGCCTTGCGCCCCACGCTTCTCCGCACTCCAGGGCTCCCCGCACATCCCTGGGATTAAAGTGATCGGCAAGTGTATTCGTGGTAAGCCTACTTTCGGCACCAGTGCTCCGACAAGCACGCTACCTTTGCGGCACTTCAGGTCAGAGACCCCTTTATGATTCTCTTTTCACGTAATCGGCCTTCATACTCATCGTGCGTCGAACAACTAAGACGCAGTCCTCTATTTGTTTCAACAAACTCTCACCAACGACTATGCTGGGCATTTTGGCAGACCGCCCACTTCACACCCTGGAGATTAAGGAGCTGCATCCAACATTTGGTGCCGAGGTGGAAGGTGTTGACTTCTCTAAGGCGATCCCGGACGACGTTTTCGAGGAGATTTTGACAGCTTCAGCAAAGGTGGGAGAACAGCATTAATGCCACTACAGGTCACTGATTTTGCCAGTACGGCGTCCTCGTATTTCGATCTACGGGCCTCGATGATCCACAGCACGTTGAATTCTCTCGACGATTCGGCGAGCTCGACGACACTCGCCCGTACATGACCAATGGTCGCAAGCCGCGTTACGAATACTACGAGCTGTTCGATGCTGGTAATATCGACACCGAAACTGGTTGTCCGCTTGATCCAACTTCTGGCCGCGCTCAATACAACAAAGGCAACGGTCTCTTTCATGTAGACTCATCTTTCAACCCGAGAAGAGCTTCATACTCGATTCTCAAAGCAACAGAGTTGCCTCCTCCCGACACTGGTGGTACCACTGACTTTGCAGATACTCGCACGGCTTTCGATGAGCTGCCTGACCATTTGAAGCGTCGGCTGCTCGACAACGACTACGTTGGCGCACATTCGCTACATCATAGTCGCAAGACCGCCGCTCCCGAGTTCTTCAAAGATACCGACCCGACTGAGTATAAGATGCACTATCACCGCATTACACAGAAGCACGAACCCAGTGACAGAATGAACCTTTACATTGCTGCTCATGCTCACCATATCGAGGGGCTTCCAGCGGAAGAGTCTGCTGCGCTATTGAAGGAGCTGATGAATCACTGCACGCAAGAGAAGTACTGTATGTCTGTACAATGGAAAAATAAGGGTGATCTAGTCATTTGGGATAAGTAAGTCCCTTTGAACATGAAAGGAACGGAGCTAAGGATTAGTAGCACTTGTGTTATGCATAGAGCTGGGAAGGGGACGTTTGCAGGTAAATTCAAACGCGACTTGCGGAGAACGACTGTACACGACGCCAGTAGCCAAGCATGGGGCTTGAACTCCGTCGAAGAAAGAAATCCAGGCTTCGCGATGCCCTCTTGATTAGCGCCGGCAAGCCACGGGTGGCGGAGTGTCGCGCTCTTGAACGGTTGATCGCCGAGGATAGTAGCGTACACTACTTCCCAATTTCAATGTGGCCTAGAGACTTTTCGAACCGCTCCAACGTCATTAGACAGAGGAGGGACGCTTCGCGGCAGTGCCCACTGCCATTGACTTCTGCTGGATGCGACAAGATGCGTTGCACGCAGGTACCAGGTGGAGAGTGCTCGAGTTCCGCGTACGGCATGATGGAAGTATCGACAACCAAGAAAGTCTCGACCGACAGTCGTAACGCACGAGAGCCACAACTATCGTGCACGCCACATATTTATTTATCACACTCACTGTCAATTAGTAAAGCCATGCATGGACAGATATAGCTTCTGCCGAGCGCATCAGACACTACTCATGCAGACCAGGGACACAGGGCGAGAAGAAACGGATGGCGAGCATGAGCTGGAGATGCAGTCCACGGGCAGAGCCAGTGTTTTTGATTTCCACTACGTAAGCCAAGGCTACCAGGCTGCGGATCCGGGGCGGAAATTGCGATTGTGCTAAGTGGGCGGACGTGCTGTGCCAAGTTTTCTCCAAACATGCGCGAAACTGCCGCACGACCCGCTCCAAGTTGCTTTTTTCCAGCCGGCATGCAGCTGGCGCGCAGGGATGTACGAAGGGGAGCGAGTGTGAAACTCATAGCGACACAGATCTGCATTAGGGATCAGAGAGCAGTCCCGTTCGCTACGACATTGCTAATTTCGCCGCGTTCACTATTCCAGTAAGAGCTATCTTCTTCCTTTCGGACGTATTGAAGCGCAAGAGACCTGCACTCCCACATTTCGAGATTCGCTCAGAACAGCTCGCTCGATGCGGCAATTACGTATGACCACGGCTGCTATGTCTCCGATCATAGGATCTAACCCGTAACCGCGTCACCCACCCGCCACGCCACCTTCTGCCGCCTCGTCCTCCACAAGTAGTACTCTCCCGCTGTCATCACCTCGTACTTATTCTTTCGCTCCTCTGTCACACATCCATCAATCGGCTCGAGGACTGTTCTTCGGTCCAGACCCCAGAAGAACGGCACACTGTACCTCTCCCGCCCCGTTTCGTTGATCACACGATGCACAGTGCTCACGAAGAAATCATTCGTCTGCCGCATGAAGCAGTCCGCGATGTTGAGTACGAAAGAGCCCGTCACGGGCTTAACCTTGATCCAGTGTCCTGTCTTGCTGAGAACTTCGAGTCCCTCGGTCTCGGACGTAATGATCGTGAAGTGCTCAACGTCGGTATGCGCGCCAATGCCTTGCTGCTCGTTCCGGCTGGCATTCTGAGCAGGATATCGAAGGATACGTGCTCCAGCCTCGGGTCGGATCACGGCGCTGTCGAAGGCGTGCTCGTCCAGGCGTAGAGCCAGGGCAAATATTTGAGTGAGCTTCCGCGCGAACCTGATCATCTCGGCCTGGTAGGCAAGCAGGGTTGACTTGAAGGCGGGAAGTTCGGAAGGCCAAAGATTAACCTCGGGGATTGCTGAGTCCGGGTGATCAGGATCGTTTGCCGCGTTGTAGTTCCAGTTGAATGCCTCGTACAGGTCTGTGCTGCGTCAGTCGGTCTACTCGTGGTAGATCGAATGAGGACAAACCTCGCTTCTTGAATCCATTGGGATTATTGCGCTCCATGGGATGATAGCCACAGTACTCGTCGGGCAGCAGATCTGTGCAGACTCCCATCTTTCTCTCGAGTGGCAACGCGAAGAACTCCTTCGCTTGCTGCTTTACATTGGCCGCAAGCGTCAGATCCACGCGCTTGACCAGGTCAGTCTCGGTCTGCCTCGTATAGCCAGGGAGCTTACATGATTCACCAATGTCAGGAACCCGATGGAATGTGCTGCCTCCCTGACTTCTTCTGCGACAGCCTTCCGATCTCTAATGTCGTCGCTATACATCCGCGAAACATCAATGGTCGGGATTTGCTCGTTCCTAGTAGCGTCGTTGGACTGGAATGTGAATGTTTTGCCGTTGGTCAGCTGAATGACCCTCGGCGCGTTCGTGACATCTGTGACTGTGACGGACATGGCGAAGGGTCGAATGTGATAGGAGAGATCGTCTAGTGTTCGGAAGAGACGTGCTGCCGCGCGCTCGGAAGATGACTGCTGTCGAGTGTTCGAAAGAGAGGTACTGTCGTGCGTTTGGATCCCAGCTATCTCGTGTTCTGTATGGCAGATCTAGACTGTCAGCCACCACGCCTTATCACGGATGAACAGAAGCTGATGCTGCGTATCTGGCGGCATAAGTAGCGGTCGATTCAGCAGTTCATGCGCCTATCCGCTGCATTGACATCTCGTTCGCCATGTGCCCAAATATCCGGGGTACAGGCTGTTGAACTGGTAAACTGCAAATCTCGAAGCCTCATCCCATGATTGGCTGTCGGCGACTAAACTGTTAATCATGATAAGCGGCTCTGTCGTGATTGGGCGCCTGGGCTATACTTTGGACCCCGTGAGCAGACCTGATCGCCTTTTCTCAAGCATGGCCTCATGTACGTACCGTGCGCTTGAACGACCCTGGCGTATCATGGACCTTGACATGCGCCCGTCCGAGAGACCACTGATAACAGGAGAGCAAAGGGAAAGGAGAGATTCCACAGGTATAAAGTGCACGGTTCCTTACCGAACATTCGCGAGCCACAATCAGACAGCCTCACACCCACAACTTGAGCTTCCTCGTCCCACCGCTTTCGCCATGGCCGTCCAGGACTTCCTTAAACGGCTTGAGGTCAAAGACCGCGCAGACACTCAGCATGCCAAAGCATTGAACCCAGACACGCGACCACTGGAACCACATCGTCGTACGTACGGCCCATGGCAGTTCGTCACACTCTGGGTCATCACCGGATCCTTCAACATCGGAGGATGGACGACGGGCTCTTCGCTAATCGCTCTCGGGCTCAATGTCTGGCAGGCAATGCTTACCGTCATCATCGGAAACATTCTCGTCGGCTTCCTATGCGTTATGAGCGGTGCTCCAGGCGCGAAGTGGCACATCGGCTTCCCCATGATACAGAAATGCTCATGGGGCACAAATGCTTTCGCCTTCATCGTCATTCAGCGAGTCTTCCTGGCTTGCATATGGTTCTCGACTCAAGTGTTCTGGGGCGGACAGTGCGTGAAAGTCTTTCTGACCGCCATCTGGCCGTCGTTCGCCAACGTCAACACCCCATTGGCGAATGGCACCATGACCACCGGCGACTTCGCCTCCTTCATCATCTTCACAATACTGTACCTTCCACTTTGCTGGATCAAACCGGAGAAGTACAAGATCCCGTTCTTGGTGTCTTGTTCGATCGTCATCCCAACTATCTTCGTCAGCTTGATCTGGTTCACCGCCAAAGCGCACGGAGCTGGAGCCTTGGTCAGTGATGTCGGCAGCGCCGGCGTTGTGCAGGCGCATGGCAGCCATTTGGGCTGGATGATGGTTCTGGGCATCTGCACCAACATTTCGTCGATATCGGTGCACATTTTCGTGCAGTCGGACTATACCCGGTACGCCCGAAAGCCGAAGGACCAGCTTCTCGCCCAGCTGATCATGGTGCCATCCGGAACAATCGTCGTCGCACTGATCGGAATCCTTTGCACATCGTGTGCCGCGCAACTCTTCCCGGAGCAGGAGGGTACTCTTCTCTGGGCTCCGTATCAGTCTTCACGGCATTGCAGGAACATTACGACAACAGCTCCCGTTCCCGTGCGGCTGTGGCGTTCGCGATGTTGGCTTTCGGGGTGGCCCAGTTCGGCATGGTGGTTGCCAACAACGGCGTCTCGGCCGGCATCGATCTTGCAGCGCTTTTCCCGCGCTTCTTCACAATCCGTCGCGGCATGCTGTGTATGGCAGCTCTGTCTTTCGTGATCCAGCCTTGGCAGTTGCTGAACGGAGCGAGCAAGTTCTTGACCGTACTCGGCGGCTATGGTGTCTTCCTGGGACCCATGACCGGCGTCATGTTCGCGGATTACTTCCTGCTGAGGAAGCGCCAGATCAAGCTCAGCGACTTGTATAACGACAGCTCTTCCGGCATTTATCGCTATTGGAAGGGGCTGAATTGGCGAGCGCCTGTGGCGTGGGCCATGGGCGTTTGGCCGACACTTCCGGGCTTTGCTCAATTCGTCCAGCATGGTGCCCTCGACACCCTTCCCGGATGGTCGTATCTGTATTACATCTCGTATCCGTTCGGACTCACAGTGTCTATACTCGTCTTTGTCGCCCTCAACAAGTTCTTCCCAGTGAGCGGTCTGGGCGATGTGGATGACCTGGATTATTATGGAACGTTCGGTCCGGCGGAAACGTCGTCATTGAATGGAATGGAAGCAGAGTCGGGTGAGGAGATCCATCTGGGCCGGGAAGACAATAAGGCCATCAGTGTCGACAAAGTCTGATGAAGCGCATCGCAGGAGGAAGGGGTTTGAATGAAGGCCACACAAAGCTGCTAGCCATCAGAAGTACCTTAGACATCGTTCAATGAATTGAAGAATTGATCCGACCATTCTGAAGGCCATGGAATCTCGTGCATCTCCGGTGGAAGCCAGTCCTCGATTGACGTGTCGGCAAGCCACGCCGACGTATTTGCATGATCTATGCCAGCAGTCGTAGGCGCAGGAATGCTTCCAAGGTGTTTGTCGATTGCGCTAATGTATGTTCGCAGTCGCTCGCCTGCTTCAGCCGCCGAGTCGATGGAGGACGCCAATGCGTCGAGAAGCTCAAGCATGCAACTCAAGGCAGTCCGTAGATGCTGATAGTCTGGTCTCGAGAGACCGCGCTTGATGAAACAGCTGAGAAGATGACCGAACCCCGCCAGCTCCTGCAGCATTCCCAGACTCATGGCTCGCATGATATCGATAGGAATTGTCGATATTTCTTCTATTAGCGCCATCACTGTGAGGCACGCGTCGTGGAAGGTATTGTCGCTTGCGGTGAAGGAGACCACTCGGAGAAGTTGATACGTGCAGATGATGTTCGCCGCTTGAAAGCCACAGCGATTTCGGGCACCTAATCCTGAGCAAGCCTCGGCATGTTTGAATCGAGTTGGTAGCTCGTCCAATGCAGCGGCCAATGGCTTCAAGACATGGTCTTCAGGGCGGTAATCGAGTCGGAAGTCGGTGTTCAGCTTTCGTCCTTGCTGCGTAGATACCATGCGCCGTGCTTTGAATAGGGTGAGGAGATGCTCGATACCGCGATAAAGGTCTGTGACGAAGTTCCAGCCACTCAGCCACTCCGCTTCGTCGTGCGACTGGTCGGGCAGTGTTGGATAAGACACCAGGCATTGCAACTCCGGACATCGCACGACATGCCCAAGCACAAGAGCGGAGTGGACTTCTAGCCGATACATGTACCAGTGAAGTCTCCGGCGCTCCTCCCGCTCGACGTTAGAAATGTTAGCCGGCCAACAACTCTCATCCGCAAGTTTGTGCCGGGCTAGCGCGGCATGGTACCAGCCAAGAAGCCGATGGAATAGCTCCATGTCGCCAGATTCCATGGCGGCCAAGCACGTAAGACCAGCAGCTTGTAAGTCTGAATGTTCTACCGCGTTCTCGAAGTCCAGTGGCAAGGCATCGATGACTTCTTTGCGATAGATAGCCAGAGCCACAGTCGCATCCGTCGGGACCGCTCTTTGCGAGAGTACAGCGCCTTTCTCCTGTCGCTGTGCACTCAGCGCACACATGGCCATGAGTCTCGCGTATGATGATTTCGTCGCTGGCATCTCGTGGCGATGCCATTCACGCATGAAGCTCTCTTCAACCAGTACACATGCGACAGGATAGACAGACTCGAAGAAGTTGTCGAGTAGAAGCTGAATGTGTGCCCGACTGCCATGCTTCTCTTCACATAGTGTCCATCGCGACGGGATCGCCTTTTCGCTGCGCGCTTTCGGACCACGCTTGATCGATACTCGGTGCCATGTACAAGCGATCCGGAAGCTTTGACAAGTAAGGCAGCCAGCAGCAGGATCTCGTGCCGGTTGACATCGTCTGCCACGTTTATGACAAAAGTCGCAGGCTTTCGCAGAACGTTGTTGACGGACTTCCATTTATTGTTGCTGCACGCAGCTCACAACGGTCAAGCTTCGACAAGCCACATCATTTGGGAGTCCCTTCAAGAAAGAGCCAGGGATCTTGCAAGGGAAAGGTACGAATGCGTCTGTGAGGGTCGGTCGCGCCGAGCGAGCGATAGGGTGGATGTGACTTCAGTGTCGAGATGCAAAAACGAGGAAGACACGCGTAGGGCAGGGTAGGTTACAGCGCGCGCTTCGGCCAAACAGCAGCACCGAGCAGCAATTGGGGATGTGGATGTGGTCATTCTAGGCACCCCTAATCACGACCCGGCCCTGGGGCTTGCCCCGAACATTTTTATTCATCAGAGCTGTCAGACCTCGTTGAAACTCCGCCATAATTGTTTCTTCGAGTCACCGCTATGCTCTGGCGCGCAGACCCGTGTATTGTCAGCAGACGTGACAGACACGTTGCCCACTCGTCTCGCCATACACTTTTGTACTCGGCAGACGCGGTGAGGGCAGAAGGTAGGCCGCACATACGCCGCGTACAATGTCGTGCCCGACGAGCACGGCGACTGTGCTTTGAATTGGGTGTTCAGGCATTCACACTCTCCCCTTGCTGACTACTTTTGTGGCCACGCCGGCAGACGTGCGCTCGCCTCGAAGACTACTGCCCACGGAGCCGCCCTGCCAGAGCGGAAACTTCTTCATGCATTGCTTGCGCAGACGAAGGCGTGCCTCGTCGTCGGCCTTACTGATTTCTAGTTGATCGAGCGCCCCTACGATCCAGCTGTCCCAGCCGAAGCCGAGTCTCGAACCAAACGAACCATGCCCGCCGGCCTATCCACTCATTGTTCCACGCAATGAGCCTGCTTCGCACAGATCATGGCCCCAACCGAGCCAGTGATGCGTACGCGGAGGCCTCGCAATGCTACGACGCGACCAAAATATGAAGATCAGCCGACAACGAGACCGAAGTCTTTGCACCACAGAGCCGACGCTGCTGAGGCTGCGTACCACAATAGCTCGATGCAGCCACTGTATAAGCCATCCTCTTCAACAAGATCCCTCACACGATACATTGGGCGTGTCAAGAGCTGGGACCGCCATACAAAGAGTAGACGCTTCGCAGGCGCTCACCTTCGTAAAATAATCGCAGCTCACGAAGTTTCTCACATCTATCATGGACAACGCCTCGGCAGACCAAGGCTGACCAGCGCGTGCTGCGCGTTTGGCATCCCGGTTCTTTGTCCGAGAGTCCATCATACTCATGCGATGCAACATCGCTGTGTCAACAAAGCGGCGCAGGCAATGTTTGACGCAAGCGACACTGACACTTCCTCTCCCAGCAACAAAGAAAGCTTTGTTAGCGACCGCTCTCCCGTATTTGCGACAAGCCTTGCCTTTCCTGGCTGCGTATAGCAGGCAGTCTGCTCAGCTTACGGGCCCTGCACGGATGGAACAACAGCAAGCAACATGCCACCACGTCCGAGTCCCCTTGAAGAGCCTCTCTTCTCGAATCGGATCCTGCGAAACGAACAAGCCTTCCACACCGACCTCGATTGGACGAAAGCCCCGCCGACCTGGACTCAGTCTGCAGTAGCCAAAGTCATATGCTCCCTACGACCCGACCTCCTTCGAAGAGCCCCCGCTCTCCTTCCGTTCCTTCTCGGTAAACATGACATATCAGATGACGGCGACGATGGTGTCTGGAGCCCGAAACGTGGAATCTATGGCATGGGCACACTGGTGGGCCTCTGGGTCAAACACAATGCTACACAACAACTCGTCGACGAAATGGTCATCAAGCAGACTCCCTACAACAAGCTGGACGACATCAAGCCGTTCGTCGTTGGACAAGGTATATCAGCAGAGGCTGTCTACCAAGTCGAATTGCAGCGCAAAACGCGCAGAATGATCCGGGATAATGCGTACAGCGACTTCGATGGGCTCAAGCAGTTAAACGGCAACATCCTCCATCTGCGCCAATACAAATTCAACACGGAACTCAAGCGCAACCGGTTCTACTTGACCTTCGCACCGCATGGCACTATCGATGACCTTTTCTGGAAGTACAGACTCATGCAGCGTAGCGTGCCTGAGAGCTTCTTGTGGTATCTGGTTCATTCACTCGCCCGAGCATGTCGGACCATGAATGGGCCACTCGACGGGCCTTCGTTGATTCATGAAGGTCTTCAAGAGCCCCGTAACGGCGGCGAGTACATGATCCATACCGACATCAAGTCCATGAATGTTGCTCTAGACTATGCTCGGCTTGAAGATGACGAGGAGCTCGACAAAATCTACCAAGGCACCGGCTCACTGAGAGACTTCACCTTGCTATACCCCTCTGTGAAGGTCATGGATTTTGGTCTCGTGCACTATACCTCTCCTCGAACACCAGAGAATCCACGATACTGCACAGAAGTCTGGAAGCCTCCAGAGATGACCGGATGGGGTCGGGACTTCCAAAGTCCTCCGAATCCACAGGGCATGAAGATGGACTCAAAATTCATGGTCTGGGCTATCGCCAAAATCGTTTGGGACGCCATCATGGACGACGCCGAACAAGTGATGTATGAAACACTACGCGATATGTACGGACAACCCAGAAGTTCACGGCGCGCCGAGACCGAGTATATCCGGCTGCAGAACCATTTCCTAGATCGCTTTGCGGCCCTCTCAGCGACCAGCTACTCACCGGAGTTGATCAGGCTGCTGTACGAGGGCCTGCGACCATCAGCTGCGGCTCGTTTGTCTCTGTACGAGATGCACCGGCAAAGCAGAGAGTGGCTGGAGAATTGGAACACGAGCCTTCAAAACGAATCTCTTGACGACATCCTGGAAGAGCATCGGCTGTACTTCCGCGGAAATGAGATTGTACAATTAGGCACGGGCTCTCGGCAAGTCATCGAATACTACCCAGCTTGGGTCAAATATGAATATCAAGATCCCGAACATCCGATGGGCCTACCTCGCCACGCGTACGTTGACGCTGCCGAGCAACAACAGTATGGCACAGATCCTCCACGTCGGGTAACGTTCTTGCCGAACGCGATCAAGTTCGGAGATCCTTCGCCTTCGGCTGAACCGGCGACACGGCGAATCGAAGCAGAAGAAGCCCAGCCGGTAGCCAACCCAAACCAAGCAGGTCAAGCACAGCAACAGCTAGTACAGCAGCAGCCCGTACAGCAGCAGCCAGCGCCGCAGCCTGTTCAGCAGGCCGTGCCGATTCAGCAAATTCAGGTCCGTCGCGCACCACCGCTTCCATCTCCAGGACAAGCAGCCCGCGCGGCTCAGTACGAAGGAATGAATATCCGGCAACTACGTACCGAGATCCGAAACAGAGGGATCGCCACGAAGTTGGGTGGGAGAGGCGTAACTGCGAATAAGCTGCGAGGTGTTCTGAGGGCAAATGACGACGTCAGAAGACGGGCAAGGGATTTGGAGAGAATGAGGCGTGTCAACAATGCGGTAGTACGCTCGGTATGAGGTTTGCGGCGTCTGTGGCAGAGCCTCAGTCGGGTTGGGTCCAGTCCAGCCTGCTAAGCCGAAATATAATCTTCGCGAGCTCCCAATTACCTCTCCCATTGTCGACCGGGCTGTCCGGCGGATCCTCTCTCGCGACTAAACCCCGAAGCGTCTCATTCAATTGAGCTGCATTGAAACGCTGCAGGATCGTCCACGGCTAAATCTGGCGGCCAACGTTGGCGGCGTCCGCGCAAGGTCTCGCTTATCTTCCAATGACGATGCTGGTCCATCCACTGATCCTTCCTAGCAATTCTGATCCTAGCACCCTGAGCGCACCAACCGAGCGCCTAGCAATTCTTCACCGGATTGCTGTCAGAGCTTGACAACTCCGAAGCCATTCTGCCGCTCAACGCCCAACATCTCACGCTTGATGTCTTTAATCGAGGCCGCCCCAGCAAGCGCCATAGTCCGAAACAGTTCCCTTTCTAAGATATGCAACACATCTTCCACGCCTCGCTGGCCATCATGAGCAAGTCCCCAGAGTGCGGACCGCCCGATAAGACACAAGTCTGCGCCCAACGCTAGTGCTTTAAACACGTCGGCACCTCTCTTGATGCCACCATCAAAGACAACGGGTATACGGCCTGCCACAGCTGCAGCGACTTCCGAAAGAGCTTCGAGAGTGGACGGCATGCCGTCCAACTGGCGTGCGCCGTGATTCGACACAACAATACCATCGACGCCCGCTTCCACAGCAAGTAAGGCGTCCTCTGCCGTCATGATGCCCTTGAGAAGGATCTTGAGATCTGTAGCCTTACGGAGCCATGGAATCGCTGTCTGCCAAGTCATCGAGTCATCATTGAGCGTCGCCAATGACTCCTGACGCAGGGACTTTGCTTCAGCCGCCGTGCGAGCATTAAGGATCAGCCTCGATTTGGCCGCGACTTTCATCTTCGGCAGGTTCGCCCGAGACATGTGCGGCGGAAGTGTGAGTGGCTCCCTGCGTTCATGGATCCTATTGCCGATCACAGGCGTGTCGACCGTGACGACGACTGCTTCCGCGCCAGCGGCTTTTGCCCGGTCGAGCAGGCCCTGCGCGATGGACTTGTCATGCATCACGTAGAGCTGCAGCCACAGATGGGGCTGGTCGCCGGATGGAGCTGGTGCGGATGCCACAACATCCTCAAGACTAGTGGTGGAATTCGTTGAGAGGGTCATGTTCGTTCCAACTGCCCGACTGGCGCGGTACATATCCTTCTCGCCATCATCACTGACCAGCCGTTGATACGCCGAAGGCGCGATGGCAATGGGAAAGTTGTAGTGCTTGCCGAAGATCGTCACTGTCGTATCTATGTGTGAAACGTCGCGAAGCACACGCGGGCGAATGAATAGTCTAGGCCGATGAGCGCGTGCGAACAGACTCCAGTGCCACTTACCTGTTGTAGATGTTGCTGTTTCTGTGAAGGGTGAACTCGTCATCGGCGCCGGTCCGATAGTAGCTCCATGCCTCCTTTGACAGCTTCTGCTTAGCCGACTTCTCGAACTCAGAGATGGTGACAAGTCGCAGGCTTTCTGCGTGATCGGGCATTGTGCGTCAGGGCATTAGAACTCATCTTGACCAACGAGTCATTGCTCGAGGTCAAATAATAAATGTGGCGGGTTGGGCGACTCGGTGGATATCCGGGTTAGCGCCCTCGGCACACAGGTGCCAAGATTGCCGCCCTGCCGTTGGCACGTCGGGATATGTCCGAAACCAAGCACCTTGACGCGACCCCAACAACGCGCGTGCCTTTCTGTACGAATCAGAACCCAGTCATTTCCTATCACATCTCAGAGACAGGCTGGAATGTATCATGATTTATATACGGCATGGAAAGCTCGAATGTCAGTCATCACCGCCAAAGATCTGAAGGGCTGCGAAGCCACCGCTACAGCTGGTAGCGTGCAGATGTTGTGACAGCAACAAAAAATCGTGTGTCATGACTACATTGTGCATTCGTCATGTTGGGACGGCGGCTGTCAAATTCATGTTTTTCTGGGCCCATATGCCATGACCGGCCATCTTGACGCCCTCCATAGGGTTCGCGATCGCCCAATCGAATCGCCGGATAAGCTGCAGAATGTCAGCGCCGTGAGAGCACGGAGTGGTCTGGACGTACCTCAAATAGAACCTTGTGCAGTTCGACTTCTGCGATGTGCTTGCCGAGGCTGGGAAAGTGTCAGAGGCGGGCATGTCTTCGGTACACGAACTCACCATGTCCATTTGCCTGTCCCAAAGATGCAGCCCACGATCATCTCATACCGCTGCCTGGTCTTCTCATCCGCCTCGATCCATCGGTCCGGTCGGAAAACATCCGCGTCGTCACCCCATTCACTAGGCTTGCGGCAGATTGCCGAGTCGCACTGGCCCAACTCCGAGCCCTCCGGATAGAACACACCATCGACAGTGTCGCCGCCCTTCGGTGCAGACTTGATCTTCATGCCCATCAAAGGTGGCCACTAGAATAGTTAGCGGAAGTGAAGGCAAGGCTCGAATTAACTCACCATCCGCATGCCCTCCCACACACAGGCCTGAAGATACTCCAGCTTCTCCGTTTCCGCGTACGTGACGACTGGATGTGACGCTGCACCATTGCTGACAGCTTCGTCCACTTCACCCTTCAGCTTGTTATACACCGTAGGAGATCCAGCAAGCAGGTAAAGCGTGCATCGCAAGATGGTTGTCGTAGAGTCGGACCCGGCAACGATTTGTAGAGCAGACTCTGCTTCGACCTGCAGCTGCGTGAGGCCCTTACTGACGAAGTGTCCGATCATGTCCCTGCTGGCTTATCGGACTTGAACTTCTCCTCGACGCATTCCCTTGCGAATTTGGCAATTCTTCCGAGACCAACTTCGTCGGTGTCTTTCGGAGCTGCGAGCTTCTGCATGACGGGATTGCCGATCAAGGCGCGGAAGAAGGCGTGGTTGGACATCAGCTCGTTGATGGGAAAGAAATCCTCGCCGGCTTTGCCATATCCAAAGATGTCTTCCCTTGCAGCGATAAAGCCGAAGCACTTTCCGAAGGCGATGCGGCTGAGTACATCGAGTGTAAAGAGCTGTGCCACTTTCCCAAAGTCCATAGGCTTGCCACGCATTTCTCGGATCATGTCCACGAACTCGACGATAGTGGTATCCATGGAGTCCTCGATGTTGTCGATGTCCTTACCAGAGTACTGCGCAGGCGATTAGCTGGGTAGATATTCAGAGCGAGGACTTACAGCTCCAATCTCCTTTGTTCGGAGATCCATGTGAATGCGTTCATCGCGAGTCGAAAAGACTGTGTCCGTTCTTGGATCGAAGCGCATGGCATTGTACCAGGCTGATCGGGACCACTTTGAACGTGGACTGCTCATGTGACGGACCACATCGGCGTCATCAGTGACGAGGAGGTTCGGACCGATGCGGCACGGCGATCCATATTTGCGTAGAGCTTCTCGTTGCGCATCGTGAGACCTGGCGTTGGCGGCCTGCCAGAAAAGCCAGAATCGGGTGAATTTCGCAAGTGGTGGTCCAGGGAACTGCGAAAGCTTGCGATAATTCACGATACTGCCAATGATGAGATAGAGGAGGACGGAAATGACCAGCGCCTGCCAGATCATTGTTGCTGACGTTGACAGCAAAGTCACACAAGTCGAGCAAGCTTATCTGCAATGTGTTCGAGCACACCGTCTCCTCAACAGCGTGGAAATCGTGCCCCAGCTTAGCTCTTTCCTGGCTATGGTAACATCGTTCAGCAAGCGAGGGTTCCGCCAATCGACAGGCCCATGACTCGGAACCGAACTTTTAGCGTGGGGCGGAAGAACTCAGGTCCGAACCTCCTTGCAGGCTGCCGCTGCGGAATGACGGACCATGCATCCGTCTGTCGCGACGTCCATAGATGATGTAGCCAAGATTTAGATTATGCAAGCTTGCAACGGACGAGGCTTTCATGGACATCGATTGCAGATGCGAAGCTTCACTCGAAAAGCTGTCAAAATAATGAACAGCCGCTTGGGATGACGTCAGAGTGAACAAAATCCTCAGCGCCGCCGATCTTTGAGCGGCAAGGCCCGTCCCTGGCTGACAGGACGTGCAACATGCTACAACGACGCAAAACCGACATTCGTCCATCTGCAGCATGAAGGACGCCAAAGGGTACTAGGCCGAGGACAGCCAACTATTGCGATGTCGCTGATGTCGCGCTTGGCGGTATGCACGTCTGCGAATATATTTGCTGCCGGTGTCAAGGTCATGCTTCTGAAGTCTGGGGAAGAGGTGCATGTACGCTGGAAGCTACAGCCTATGTAGCCACTTTTACACCCTTAGTACAGAGACGAGCTTGAATGCGACATTTCTGGCCGAGAAGACTCTGCGCGGCATCGGCTATGCCCCAGAATGCGTCCTAGCGTCATACCGAAATTTCTGTCAACGCGCCGGTATCGATGTCGTACTTCAAGCCAACGATCTGCGTATCTGACCTGATCATTGGCGAAGCTCTCAGCAACGACACATCTTCGCGAATGCTTGCATCGACGCTTTGACAAGATCAGTCCGCTCGGCTTAGAAACGCATGGCCATCGTACTCACCCGTTGGTAATTTCTCCGAAAGAAGAAGCGTTGATTTCTTGTGCGTTGCTCGGAGCGATCTCCAGCAAATCCTTCTTGATGTCTGAGTCGTGGAAGTGAGTCAATCCGCAATCTGTCCGGAATCAGTGAGCGAACCGTGATACAGCCGGATCGTCTACCAGTATGATGCATTACCACAATTGTGGCTGGATTGCCGATCGCTTGCAAGACGCTCAAGGTTCGGATCGCGTCGAAGGCACGGCCACCAGCATTTCGCACCATTGTCGCTTCTATCTCAGTATGAGTCAGTGGCGGCAGTGCATGATGCTCGGTACTGACTGAGCGTCGAATCAATGCCAAGTATCTGGTATGGATTGAGCCGCGGATCGGAGCAGGAGAGAACCACGACGCCGGCACGTGAGCTTCGCATCCCACTAGCCATCGTCTTCAGGCCGACCGGGGCCGTGTAGGTTTTCGCAAAAGCTCTGTGAAGCGTTAGCTCGGGTAGACGCCGCCCGCAGGCAAGGCGGTCGCTGACTTGTTGCGCGCCAGCATCTCTGCGAGCGGACCGGTGACCATCTTTGCCATATGCCTCGAAAGTACGCCTCGTGATTGACAGATGTATAGAGCACTTGAGCGTCAGGCCACAGGGCACAAACACTCGAAGAATATATATCACTTCCGTGTGGACTAGTCAGCCGCAGGCATAAAGAAAATGCGTGTCGGGCTGACAGAGCAACAGCTAGCTCTTCTTTGGGCGCAAGAGTTTCTGACGCTCGAATAGGAAGTAAGTTGACTCCATCACGATACATATGGACGCAGTGGATCACCCGTAGGACCCCTGGCGCTCAGAGCTCTGCCTCCGCAAGCGAAGTAAAGTGTACTCACTGGCTCGACGGTGGCGGCGTCCAGCTGTTGGACATACACTTTTGCAAATTGCCACCTTCGCTGGAAAATTTCCAATACCGAGTGGATTTTATCGAAGGCCTCTCGGTACTGAAGTCGTCCAGTCTGCCTCCACAGGCGCCTTTGCACCACCGCAGCCTGATAGAACGCGTATGGTGGGAATGAGGAGAACAAGTCCTCGTTTGTGTGCGGTCCGGAAGTGGTTTCAAAAATTTTCTGAATTAATGCAGTAGCCTGGAAAGAGATGTCTCCGATGGCGGCAAAGAACGACTGTGTCTCAGCGGGACTGTAGAGGCCGGACAAAATCGATGCTTCGTAGAGTAAGAACAACGAGCTACAAAGACCGTCGCGGTTAGTCAGGAGGTCCTCTGTTGGTCAGAATCACCTACCTGCAGCATATAGCAAATGCACCACAGTAGAAGCCGTGCTCCTCTTCCTGGAGCTTAAGCACGGGCAGATATGCATTTAGTGTTCGAGCAATTTGAGTCGCTTCTGCCTTCTGGAAGTTCGTGTCCGCGGCTGGCTCGAACACGTGCCTCACGAGCCGCCCAACAATATGAAACATCTGGCATTCTCGTGCAAATTGACCGACCTGCACATCACATGGGGTATGAAGATCGAAAGCGTCCGTCAAACCTGTAGAGCGCACCTATAGAGACTCAGCATTGAACAACTTTGGGCATGGGGCGACCCGTACATCCGCAGTCCAGGCCGTGTCGTCAATAGGCAGCAGATCATCAAGTGATGGGTCAGAAGCTCCAAAGTGACTGTCACCCGCGCAGAGACCGATGAATCTGTCCACGTTGATGATCGCCCACCAAGTCCTCTTCTCTTCTTCCGCAGCATGGATCCGGGCAACATTACTGGCATCCTGCCCACGGTCTTGGAAATGCTTTTGTTCGAAGCCCAATATCCGCGCACTTGCGGCACACGAGGCGACCGACACAACAGCTGCGGGGTATATGCCATGGCCTAGCTCGTAGTGACACACAATAAGCCGTGCCTGCAGGAAGTCCAGAGAGCTGTGATTTGCCGCTTCGAGGCTCGAGATGAGACACTTGATTGTAACATACAACGACGATTGCATTGTCCCAGCATCGAAGTCAACATTCTTTGGCTTCTGTAAGATGAGGCTGATGCTTAGACACAGCAGGATATAATCGGCTTTCGGCCGAGCATACAGGTAGGGAAGATGCGCTCTGAAGCGTCTCTCCGACAGAAACGGCATTCGGTTGTACACTCCCCGAAAGAACTGCGTTGCAAACCTTTCCATCTCTGGCAGTTCTCCCAAGATGTTGTGTGCCTCGTCGCGGAAGGCGATGTCGAGCAAGGGCAACCGCAATGAAGCATGGCTGTAGGGATCAACGGAGATCACAGAAGGAATGTTGAAAGCAGAGGCCCCTTCCAAAGCCTGTCCGGGCTCGCCTACAGCCTCATTGCTCTGATATGAGCATGCACGCCCGACCCTTGCACCGGCTCTGATCAGCGGCGCGTCGGATAGGTAGTTTGGGTTGGCGGTACCTGCGACAAGTCCCGCAGTGTGGCAACACCTTGTCACACTTTCGTTTGTGTACCTTGCATGGCGTGCAAGCCAGAGTGGCTAAGGCTAACGGTGTACGAGGTTCGCTCATGATTCGTATTCATTGCTGTTTCGGTGCAGGCACGCAGTAAATGCAAATGTTGAACTCGATGAGGTCAAAACGTGGTAGCCGGCTTGGCCTGAAGAATGCTGCGGATATTTCAGTCCAATGCCAAGCGCTCTGACTAAGCCATCGTGCCTTCGCGCCTGGAGCATCTCGAGCACGCGTCAGGGTCATCATCCAACACGCATCGTCGCTCACTTCGTCCACTATGTGCATACAGAGTTGCGAGCACTGCGCGTCGATGTGGCGTTACAACCTGGCTCGCAGGCGTCGATGGCAGCCCCGAAGCGCGCTCGTCGGCCGCGTCATAAGGGAGACCCGGTTAGGAATTCGCTCCCGCGGAATTTTGAACTGTTCATGCTTCGCTCCAACAAGCCTACCTCGAAACCGACAATACCTCGCATGCCAGTGACGGACAAGGACGTCGCTGACCCCTTCGAAAGCACCTGTGTCCCTCTGGATCGTGATATAATGACGCTACTGCGATATTACGCAGAGATCAATCACCCATCTGTCTGGAAGACTGAGCATTGTCTACGACCGTACTCGAAGGACTACTTCTATCAATTCACCTCGCACTCGATCATTTCAGACTGTCTGCAGCACGCTGCCAGTCTGTTCGCGCTAATTGCTTCGATGGCCAGTCAAAGCCTTCTTCTTCACAACATCAAGACTGCACGTACGACATCGTACTATCTCGGCAAAGCACTGCCAGCTGCTCGTGAATCAGTGGCGCAAGCAACGTGTTTCTCGGATCGTTTGATCCTCAATATCTTTCACCTCGCCTGCGCAGAATTTTGGAGAGAGCAGAGAGAGGAAGCGAACATTCACCTACACTGGCAGACTCTTTGTTCTGCAGTAGTCTCACGAGGCGGGCTTACGAGGCTGGACGCTACCCTTCGTGAGGCTATCATCCTTGGCGATGGATATGCTGCGGCGGATGCTGGGCGACCACCATCACTGGACACGTGCGGTGTTGAGCAGATACATATTCTGCCTGTGCAGCTCAGGCAACAGTACGCCATATGCAAGGAGCGAAACATGGCCGCACTGGATCGCACGAGCAGCGCTTTTCTTGGGACACCCGTGTCTGAGATCATACCTCGCGAACTCCGCCAACAAATCCGGAGCCTTGCAGTAAGTATTGAGCTTCTGAAGCAGTTCTCAGGTGCTCGACCACATCAAGTGGGACACGACAGTGCGCTACATTGGGTCCATGTCGAGACCCTGCTGATTCGTCATCGACTGCTAACGATGCAACATCATGACCGGCGCATAGATGCTATCCGCCTGAGTCTCATTGCTTGGACTATGCTGGTTTTGAGTAATGGCGGCAGAATAGTCATTGTCAAGGCGATGGCACGAAAATTTCAAGCGCGACTGTCAGTAATGGATGACAACAAGTGGATCGGTTTCGAGCAGTTGCACTGTTGGATCCTCTTGCTCTGGGCGCAGTGCTCGGAGCAGGGTTCAGCAACCAGAAGCTGGTTTGTCAGCGAATTTCGTCGGTGCCAGGGTCTGCTGGCAGGCAGTCGACCTGCTGGTGTCTGGACCGCTGAGGACATGCTCGATTTTTGTCAGGATTTCTTCGTGCTGGAGCAAGTCGAGCGATCGACGCTTGTACAGATCGCAGACCACCTTAAGCGATGCTGAACTCCGCAGAGGTACAGACTGAACGCCGGTGAGAACATGACTAATGACAGCAAGTCGTTCTTCCAATCACCATTTCGTACAAGCATAATGTTCTGGAGCTCTGCAAACTCACACTATCGTTCTTTTGGTCCAGTCGAAGTCGAGTGCATTAAACGGACTGGTTTGTTGAACTTAACTGACAGATGCAAACCCACTGTATGCGCGGAACCAGTGCCCGCGCCCGCAGTGCGGATGCATGTGCGGGTGCGGCATTTGCTGCGGCCGCACGTGCTCATCAAATCCACATTCAGGATTCGACTACCATAAAAGGTACACAAATCGGGTGGGTCCTCGAAACGTACCTGATTTGGAAGTTCACATTCCCACAAAGATTGGTTCACTGCTGGCTGCTTGGCTGGTCAGTACACCGTACAGAGCCTCATCCACCGTCGCTTTGGGCGTTGTGGGACCTAGTTCGCCGCTATTTGATCTTTATGTCGCGGCCATGTGGTGAGGCGGGTCACTGCCTCGCTGCCCACAGCCTGTTCGCTCATTATCGGACTACAATGCCGTCCTTGAATGCTAATGGTAGATCTGGACGGCACATTCTGCACACGTGCTGCTGACACACAGCCTTCTCCAGGGTTTCTGGAATGACAACCTTTATCAATCACACGTTATGCTCAGTTGAAGAGGAGCACTTTGGTCAACGAAGGCCGTGGTTCTCAGCCCGTCGTCGTGAGCTCGTCTCGTCACATCTCATTGACGATACCAGCGCGATCGTGAATCATGAAGGAGATCCAGTTTGTAAATGGTCCAACCTTGAAGTCTTCTGGCTCACGGCAACTTCAACGAAGCCTACGCTCTCAGGCTGTTAGGAAGGGCCTCGAGAATCGGTTCCTGCGATTGCAGAGGTCAGTCCATCGCTCACGGGCCGTTTAGATGCAATCAGCACATGATCACTAAACTGTCGCAGATCATCTAGCCATGAGTCGAAGAGTCAATCGCCACCTCTCACGCGAGAGTCTCCGGAGAAGACGCCACCCATAGTAATCGTCGACGAATTAGGGCCAGAAGCCGAGCAGTCTATCTCATTGCTAGCTTTCACTCCCTACGACGCGTGGACGCAGGAGACCATACATTTCAGTGAGACTCTCCCGGGTCGGACTACGGTCTGTCGAGGGCCACGGCTGACGTCTCTCGCACAGGTGTCTATGTGATCTGGGCCGGCTTTCGCAAGCTCGACAATTTCGCGCTCCACTTTGCGGAGACCATCCTACCGCTGGCAGAGAAGCATCCAGAGCTACGGGCCTCGCTATTGTTCTGTGCATCCAGGCATCGCGACGCTCTGACTGGGGTTCGCGATGATCATTTCAATCGACAAATGCTGCTCAAGTCCTGGGCATTGCGTGAAGTACGCCAGGCTCTTTTTAGCCTGCACGGAGCCGAGTATGGTGACGCGCTTGTGCACAGCATCTTATGGCTTGCAGTCAATGAGAATACTGCTTGTATACCTGTGCAGGAGTCGGACCCATCCCCGTTCATGCCTCCGATGCAGTCACGACACTGGCTGAAACACTATGGCACTATGCAGTTCGATTGTAATCACTGGGAAGCATGCAAGCAACTCATCAAAGCCCGTGGGGGTATACACAAGCTGAAGACCTACGGGACCGCGTGGCTAGTGGGATAGTATGTCTGTTTTTCTCCCATTCAGATCGCGCTGACAGTGGCCCAGTGCATCACTGCTACTGGCCTGTACGACACTGACCGCCCCAGCATTTCCGATCATGGATGTTCACGGCCATGAAGCGATCTATCGACCTCCGCTACACCTATGCCGTCTAAAACAGATACCATGCCATCTTCTGCGTCCAGGCAGAGGTTTCCATAGCCTGGGATCATATAACGTGCCTTGCAACACTGTCCAACTCTTGTTGGATCTCGGGGAGCTATCGCAATGTTTGCAAGCTTACATGGAAGGCTACTGCCGCGACGTGCCCGAGGACTTGTTATACGACTGCTGTCAGATCCTTCAGCATCGGGCTCTGTCCTTGACGTCCTTTGGACGCCGAGAATCAAGTCCATCCGTCCACTTGAACGAGGACGCGGACCATGAGGAGCTCATTGCTAGCATCCTCGAGGCCCTGCGGATTGCCGCCTTGCTTTACACTCTGCATGTTATTTTTCCGGTGCCCAGATCCAGAAACGTCCGAGAGCAGCTCTTGCCTCTGTTGATTGCTGCTATCCACTACTGCGACACACTCACGCTTCCTTCCGAGCTGCAGGAAATACTTCTCTGGTGCTCCTTTGTCGGAGCTGTGGCACAGACCTGTGAGCCGAGTGGCAACGATTGGCTCGCATCCACGAGCTTGAAGTTCATCCATTTGCAACGAATCAGAAGATATCAGGACCTGAAAGTGATTTTGAAATCCATGGCTTGGGTGGACCTGGCCTGTGATGTTGGAGGTCTGATCGTTTGGAATGAGTCGTTCAGGATGGGCCACGCCATATAAGTACGTTGTTCGCGCGATATCTGGGAGCGAAGAGCATTTGCAACGGGTACTAAGATTTTCACTCGGCATCAAAAGACTTCCTGCCATTTCAGGAAGTCATTTTGACATACTATGCCGATAGAGGCAGTATGTCGGCACACAATTGGGCGTCCACAGCACTCGGCGCCCGATAGACGCCTTGTCCACGGCCACATGGGGCTCACGTACAAGCGCACATGCAGTCTTCAGGACTTACCAGCAGGATCACTGCCCATACATCAATCTTTGGCCCTTAAGCTCTACTGAGTAACAGCGTGCATATACAATTTTCATTGTCAGCAAACCGAGCATAACCACTGCATGTGTTGCGTGAGCAATCTACCAAGAGAGGCAGCATGAAGCTATCTAGTTCTGGTGAGTCAGCTCCATCAGCGTCGAGACACACGCACGCCGCATCGTTCGATTACTTCTCCGCCAGATAGAACGTGCTCGTTCTCCACGTCGAGACCATGGTACAACAGATCAGACGATTTATTGCCACCGGACGTCAAGCTGTAAAGTCATCCTGCTCAAGATGGCCAACTTACCACCAGTCGTACTCATCATCGGCGGGACCGGCGCTCAGGGACGGCCAGTCGTTGAAGGTCAGTATCTGCAGCCAATTAGCCACACTACCAGTTCTGCTGACAACACCAGCATTGACTGCCGATGGCAAATATGCTGCAAAGGTCCTGTCCAGAGATACTTCTTCCGATGATGCGAAGAAAATCGCGGGTCTGCCATCAGCTTCCGTCATCGCATGAAACGCCTATGATGAGAAAGACCTAAGGAAAGCTTTCGAAGGCGTCGACTACCACTTTGCCAACACCAACGGGTTCGCCATTGGCGAGAAAGCAGAGATTTACTGGGGCACCCGACTGTACGAGCTTGCGCGGGCGTTTGGTGTCAAGCACTTTGTTTATGCAGGCCTCGAGTATGCCTCGAAGCTAGGGAACTTTGATCCTAAGTATCGGACCGGCCATCTGGATGGCAAAGGTAAGGTAGTCGACTATATCTCTGCTCAGCCGACGAAACCTATGGCCTGGTCCGTTCTGACCTCTTGCCTGTACATGGAGGGCTTGTCTGAAGTCTTGAGACCACTCCCCGACCCCAAGGACCCCGCGACGATGGTCTTCGCTGTGCCGCTTGGAGATTCACGCTGTCCATTGATTTACCTGAGGGACTATGGTCGATATGCGCGCTGGCTGTTTGACAATCCCGATCGGAGCAACGGCCTGGAACTGCACGTCGCCACAGAAGACATCGCATGGAAAGACGTGGCTGCCGCATATACTGCGGTGACTGGCAAGCCCGCAGTCTACAAAGACGTTACACTTGACGAGTACTTCAAGTTGGGTATCTTCCCAGAGCCGGATCGGAAGATCGGGCAGGCCGCAGCTGGTGAGGATTCGACGCTGTTCACCTTTCGTGAGAACTTCTCGGGATTTTGGAACACTTGGAAAGCTGAGCTGACCAAGCGCGACTACAATCTGTTGGACGAGATCTTGCCCAGCAGAGTCAAGAGCGTGAAAGAGTGGATGGAGTTGACAGGATACGATGGGAAGCCAAGATCTGTACTGAAGGATTATAGGGACGGAGCTAGTGGTAGTAAGGCCTCGGCAGCATGATTAATGGGCGGGAATTGGGCAGAACGGGGGGCGGATGCAAGTGCGGGTGCCAGTAACCGAGCCCTTCAGGGTCCAAAGACCCACTGTGTACCCAATTGCAAAAACATCACAAGATGGGTCTGCGTTCAATTGCATCTACTGTTGACAAAAGCTTTGTCGCGCATTGTAATTGCGTCTGTGCTGGCACACTTGAGGAGATATCCAAGCCATTCGCGCCGTCCGAGCATGTCATGTAAGAGCCATGAATGTCGACGTTCCTACGGCCTGCCAAGATTACTCTGCTGACCACGTACTGCTTTTGGGGGTAAAGCCATACTCGAACTCCTTGCCAGTTTTGGAAAGACCATGCATGTGAAGCACTCGGACGTATGGTTGAGCTCGTATCTCAGGGGCGTCTGACACAAAACACGACCCGTCCCCACCGTCCACGTTCACGAACAAGGCCCCTCGGATTGAGTTGCGCCAGGTGCGAGATGGACGGAAGCACTAACAACGGCAGCAGGCGCGTAACAAGTCTGGACCTTGGAAGTTTCATTTATCACGGCCATTGCGTTGCATCTAACACCCGATGATTCAGCGACTGCACGCCACGTACAACCCCTTCATTGGCAAGCTCGGCTCGCATGCTGTGTCGATCCAGGATACAAAGCTCCCTCGTGCTCCAGGCAGAGCTCCCCGACTATTCAGGCGGTGCTTGTGGTATCCGGCAACAGCAGCTGGTGAACCATTCCAGAGCGCCTCACACAGTTCAGAGCGAGGATGCCGACAATATGGTATCAACCCTCTATGATTCTCAAGAACGTCCACTACGCTGAGTCCGCCCACGGCGAAACAAACGAGACCAGGATTCCGAGCCACGTATCGACTAAGGCGCGTGAGCTGTCGGAAACCAGTGTGCCCGCACATCGCAAGCCTGAAGAGCTCGTCCCTCGACTATACGGGTCCGGTGGCTGCTTCTCGTCGTCTCCGCTCTGTCTGAACTCACAGATCGGAAGCGTAATAATCACAAGCCTGAACAAGCTCCAGGTAGGTCCAATCAGCGGCACTTCGAATCATGACAATAACATGCCATCAGCGTCGTCGCCTGCAGAACCGCGTATCACAACGAGCCTTCCGTCAACGGAAAGAACAGCGCCTTCGGGTCTTGGAGGAGTTGCTCGCTGGTTGGAAGATCAAGCACGAGAAACTGTCGGAAGCCTACTGTGAGCAGTCTGGCAAGCTTGAGAGAATCAGGGCGGAGGCAGAGCGGCTGTTGCGAGAAGTCGATGAATTGCGGCGAGGATTGTGTGGGTCGGACGGGGACGAGTGGTATTTCGAGCAGTGGCAGACAGCAAGCTGGGATCAAGACTTTGGAGAGTCGTGGCATCTCGCCGGAGACGACAACTGTGCCACTTCAGCTGGAGGTACTGGCGCGAATGTCAAATCTGAGCATGGTGATAGGTGTCTCGATCCCGACGGCGCGACCGACAACGCTCCAGGAGACCAGCAACTGTGACAAGGACAACTGACTGTCGTGTGAAAGTGATGGGACCGACTCCATAGTCTTCATGGTGAAGCGGACTTCCAGATTGATGTGGCCGCCGCTAAAATTTGCGATATCGCGGGGGATCCGACGCGAAGTATCCAGTGTAAGGCCGAGACAGCCGTAGGAGTCGCGTGCTGAAAGCGTGTCTCGACCAGGACGCATGAAAAGCCCTATGTACCTTGATGTCAAATTGCTTCACGTAGACATCCTCAGTTGGAATCGTCAGAGCCACTGAGCTAGGCGTAAATCGCAATGACATCATTGCCAATCAGCTGAGCACTGCAATTGAGCAGATGTTCGCAGCGTCAATGTCGGCGCCGTGTGCCAGCAAAGCAACGGCTTTCGTTCTCCGAGGCGTTCAGTTACCTCGCGATGCGGGGTTGAATAAGGGAGCACGCGACATTTCCGGCCGCAAAAATTCTGTCATGGAAATTGCAAGCGAAGCTTGGACGCTCTGCGACTCCAAACAAAAATCAATTTCGTGCTTTCTGACTACTCAAGACACAGAGGCGGTCCACGGGTGACATGGCTGAAATTTAAGTGTTGTTGATGCCTTGAGGTTCTTTGGCAACCTGGCTAGTGACCAGGTACGATGTCGAAAGGAGCTCTTGTGGAATAAGCATGGAACAAATTCTCGTCAAAGCCTTGCCAATTTTAGAAAACCTGCAGGGTTTCGAAAGCCTGGAGAAAACTTTCGGATCGACAGGAGCAGACAGCTGTCAACTGAAGGTCTGTTTTGTCCTCGCGCATGGGGTGACCGTTGTAATATTCGACTGACGCCCCCGTTCTTCGATCACGCAATACAGCTCTTCCACATCACTGCAGCGCAAAAACCGACGCCGTGGCTGGAATCTAGATCTGATGTCGCTTGGAAGGACAACCCAGCCAAACCGATCCGAGCTTGGCCCTTGAATTATGCCGTTTCCAAGCTGGTAAGCGTTGGATCCTGCCATCCGCCCCCGCAACAAATCAGCCACCTCCTAAGTTCGCCGTGCGCTGGTTTGGGCAAGGGTCCACGTGCTGCGGCCTTCTCAAGATGGTACCGCGTCTCTTCCAGTTTCACAGTTTCACGCGATCCATCAAACTCAATCCTTGTCCTTTTTGTCGTTCTCTTCCTCCATTATCCTCATCTTCTCAACGGCTTGCATCAAACTTTCACACTCATGGGTCGCGAGCATGCTTTTCAGCAAGTCGTTCTTGTATTCGGTTCTTGTCGTTTCCAGCCTCACGTCAAAAGTTGTCCATTTGAGCAGTCACCGTTCGTCATTACCGATTCTTCTCTTCGTTCTTTATCTCCCGACATTCTTCCTTCCGGACGCTGTGATTATCATCGGCGGTCGATTGCTGCTTTCATCACGACCTAACGCCAGCCTCATTTCCAACTTCGCATCTTTCATCGCATCAATCATCGGCGTTGTCACCTTATTTGCATCAGCATCGCAACTCGGCTTCTATGTTGAGACTGGAGGAGAGATCAGATGGTCTGCGGCCGGCAACTTTGCGCGTGATTCAGCGGGGTTGAAGTTATTGGCTTCTGGGTCCGTTGGCGTTGGATTGTGTACGGCTGGCCTCACCTTCATCGCCACCCTGTTGAATCCATGGCTTTACCAATGGGTCGGGTCGCTATTAGACTTCGCTAGAAATGTCTTCAGCAGGACTTCGTCATACTCGCAGATCGAGCAGACTATTCAGCCATATCAGGATGAGCCGAGCGGCACCCAAGCCTTGACCGACATCGAGAAGACGAGTACAGCAGTTGTCGTGCGAAAGACGCTGTGGAGGGTAATATTCGTCGGCCTTTCCGGTCTTGTGGCAGTGTTGCAGATAGTCAGGCCCCGACACTCGCCGTTCGCTCACTTATCGACAACCTTGCCGTTCACGCTGTATCAGATCTTTGACGCTGGAGAGGCTGCTGTTTGTGGAGCAAACGCCATCCCGATTCCGTTCCCAAAGCCGGAATTGCTTGCGTCGCTTGGCCTAGGCCGCCCGGCGCTTGGTAACAGTTCGTGGATCGGTCAGCATTACAGTGTTCCGAATTGGCTCCCAGACTACCGCATAGGCGGGTTCGATCGGTTCTACTGGCAGCCCGTGAACAATAGCGATGATGAGTGGATGCCATACAGCGCAACGATGGATCCTTTAAAGGTGTCGAATGCTGAGGAAGAACTGCTGGAGCCGTTGCGCGAAGCGTTTGAAGAAAATGACGTGCTCATCAAACACGTCGTCCTGTTTCACCTCGAGAGTACCAGACTGGACGCATTTCCACTTACGAATGAGTCCCATCTGCATCAGGTCCTGGCGAAGGAAAGCGACAATGACATGGAAGGATTGAATGCGCGTCTCGCCTCGATCTCAGAAAACGCCGAACTGTTGACCGGAGTGGACGGCCACCTCGGCGCATCTAAGAGCAGTGCTTCGGAAGGATGGCGCAGTCATCTGCGGGAGGGTCGTGGTGGCTTGAACGTGGTTGGGTCGGTCACAGCTGGAACAGCCACCCTCAAAAGTCTGATTGGCAGCATTTGTGGCGCACAGCCGCTCCCAGTCGATTTCACAGAAGAGGCGGACTTGACCATCTACCAGGCTTGCTTGCCGCATATCTTCAACCTCTTCAGCCAAGGCAAGGACCTGGTCGATGGGGCTTCCAATGCTCGAGTCAAGGTGTTGCAGCGGCCGTGGCGTTCGGTGCATGCCCAAGCCATCACGGATCGGTTCGATCGCCAGGACGTGCTGATGGACAACATGGGCTTCAATCAGTCTATCGCTCGGTCTTTCCTCATGGATACGTCATCAGCCATTACCCGCCTCAGGAGCCGGAAGCAAACTACTTCGGGTTCCCGGAAACGGAGCTGAAGCCGTACATTCGCGACCTCTTTGAACAGGCGGAACAGGAGGGATCGCGTCTCTTTCTCTCGCATCTGACCAGCACGACCCATCATCCATGGTCTGTACCCGAGTCGTTCGGCACCGACGAGGAGTATCTCAGCAGATGGGGCTGGCACGAGGAACGCCCACTGAACCGCTATCTGAATACCCTCCGCTACCAGGACCGATGGATTGGGGAGTTCATGGACGTCCTCGAGGAGCTTGATGTACTCGATGAGACACTGGTCGTCTTTGCCGGAGATCATGGAATGGCTTTCCGAGAGGACTGCGAAGCGTTGACAACATTCGAGAACCCGCACATCATCAATTTCCAGGTCCCGCTCCTGTTCTTCCATCCACAGCTGCCTCGAATGCAAGTCAAAGCTTCCAGCTCCTCCTTATCGATTCTTCCGACGATACTAGACCTGCTCGTTCAGTCTGGCAGTCTGGACAAGCATGATTCAGTTGCTGCTTCCGACCTCGTTCGCGAATATGAAGGCCAGTCGCTCATTCGCCCCTACATCGCAGAAGATGCCGGCAGAGAGTCATGGCATTTCAGCATCATCAATGCTGGCGCAGCACTTCTCTCTGTCGCATCAGCTGCTGTACCCTGGCGACTCGTCATGCCGCTCTGCAAAACCGTGCCGTATAGATTCACGAACCTCGAGCATGACCCAGCCGAGATCCACCCGGTCGAGGCCTGGACCATGGATGAGATGCAAAGCTTGGTGGTTGGGAAGGAGGGAATAGATGCCATGAAATGGTTACGAAACGCGGAGAGAATGGGTATGTGGTGGGCAGGAGAGCAGAAGCGGAAATGGCGATACAGCGGGGCCAGTCTCCAAGATGATAAGGCACCTCAAAAGCATGCTGGTGTTGGTCAGCTTCAGCATGACCATTGGTGGAACACCTGATAACGAATTGATGATAATATACACTATCACTCTTAATCTGATACGATCTGATGTCGTCCAGTGAAGCTTTCTCTGGTGACGCGTCGTGTGACGCCGTGGTGGGACGATACAGTATGCCGTGGAATGTTATTTTGTGCCTGCCAACGAAACTCAAAGCTGTTCGCGCGTGTCGACAAAGAATCAGCGTGCTGGTAGCTCAAACATCTTTCAACGCGATCAATGCTCGAGGTTTTATCTGGTCTCATTTTAATTCTTTGATGCTGCAAAAGGTGGCGTTGTGCGAAGTACGTTGTGATCTCGCCGATAACGCATTGCGCTGAATCGTTGGTTGGCTGCACTCGAAGCAGGATCCCCGGAAGGCAGCATCTCCATTAGACTTCGCGCCTGGAGATCACTTCCCAGGCATCTGTCACCAATCTAATAGGGCGCTCCTGCTGCCCCTACGCACCTGGGCAGTAAGCTTTCGGGGCTTCTACTGTAAGCTTTTCGGCTTTCGAGGCTTTCTGCGCTTAGCAGTATCTCTCACCCCCGAGCACACAACATCGATTCATCAACGCGAGAGCAGGACCGCGACATTCTCAGGCGTGACATTACGCGCTGCATGTATCTCTGGCTTCATGCTGCACTAGAATTGCTACTACACATCGCTCCTACATATCACACTCGCCCAAACCCTCCAGCAAATCCTCCGCCATCACATCAATCACGCCAGACCGCTCATCCTCAATCCCGAACCCCATCAACACCACATCGTCCAGATACCCATGGTACCTCTGTCCTTGCTGCTTCCAATTCATACTCGTGACATAGATCATCTCCGTCTGCACCCACGGCATATTGTCTGGCACCTTCTTCGGTCTCTTCTCCCCCTTCGTCCCTCTACCATGAACCCACAGCGGCTTCGAAGAAATCGCATGCAATCTAAACGGCGCGCTCTGCTGGAATACCACCACATACGGCTCATACACGCTGTGCAGGTCGTGAAACACCTTGTGCTGAATGATCGCCATCACGAACGTGTTATACACGGTCGGCTCACAGCTCGCATCCGCCCTCTTGCACATCGTGATCGAAAGTGAGTTCGTCGCCTGGTGAATGCTCTCCGACGCACCTGCGGCCAACTGCGGCAGGTATTTCGCCATACATTTGTCGTCGTCTACCCTCGTGAGCTCAGCCAAGTCGCCACCAACCACACTCCCATCGTTCGCGACCTCCGCAAACACTCTCCGCGGACTGACATCCCAATGCATGTGCATCTTCCCCGCAAAATCCCAGAACGGGAACCAGTTCTTCTCAACCAACCCATACGGCGGGAGACGCTGGAGATCCACGGGCCTCCAGAGCTTCGCTCCGCCAGCAACGTCCGCGTCATCAACACGTCCCCAGTCCACGAGAGTCCGAAAGTCCTGCATCCATTGCCCAAAGCACGTATGCCTACTGGTGCTCCCAAAGATCGCGTATGGCCCGGCCGGACCAAACGCCACGCGTGCATCATGTGGACCGATGCTCCATTGGAAGTGCTCTAGGTCGCCGACACACTTGGCCTCAGTCGAGGCAGCCGCGATGGGCAGCGTGAGAGGCGGCTTCTCGCATGTCACGATGCCGATTTCAGGGTTGAAGACAGCGTTGCATGTGAGCTCGGCGAACCAGACGGTCTTCGCAATGTCGCTGCGTTGCTGCTGGGCGACGACGATCCATCTGTCGCGGTATTGCGGGTGCGGGATGAGGTTCGGTTGATGGCGTCGTAGGCGCCGAAGTCGATTTCGTAGTATTTGCCGTTGGGTCGCGATTGGGAGTAGATTTCGATGTGCGTTTCGGACACTTCGGCTGTTGGGATTCTGCTGAGGGTAACTTCATTGTGTGTGTCACTTGCGAAAGGAATGTGTGCTTGCTCGTGTGCTAGGATCGGAAACTGCTCTTTGATGCTGTTCGCGAAGCTTGTCCCCGCATTGTGGTGTATCCACTCGTGGATGTACGACGACGAGCCACGAAGGTGTGGGCTGGAGTACAGTGTGACGATGACAATCACGGCTACAAGGCTGCACACGGCAGTGATGGTTCGTCGCATACCTCGTGCCATAGGCACAACTTCATTGTACGTGTAGCAGGAAAAAAAAGTAGATAAGAAGAGCCGGGAAGGCGGGCCCGCCTCCTACATATATACATCTGCGACGTACCACAGATCCTTGTCAACCGGCGTAATCTCTTTTCGCGTACGAGGCACGCGCATTGTCGTGACCTGCGACCTAGATGCACCGCAAGCTATCAAGAACACCAGGAATTAGCTACATGTATGTAAGGTGCCTTGCTTACTCGAGCACAGCGCATTCCCTCCGCGGCCTCTACTACCCATCCGGCGCAGTAACTTTCCTATACAACCACGCCGCAATCCGAATACTCGGCTCGTCAATCAGCGTCGTCCCAAGCTCACTTGCCCACAACGTCACCGGCAGCAAAATCAAGTGCGGCATCAAAAAGCACGGCTCTAACCCGAACGGCCCAATCCTCGGCAGCGGAAATCTATTCACCCACTGCGGGATTCCCAACGCATGACTTTCACGCGTCATTCCCGTCGCCGCATACAGACGATCGCCCAGCGTCCACATGATCGGCCCATGAAACAGATAGAACGCGTAAGAGACGCGTCCGAGGTATTGACAGAACCGACTCTCGAAGAACCGCTTAAGAGGCGGGATTCTTGGCACTGAAGCCACGAGAGTCACCGCTGCCCAGAATAGGTAGAACCACTTGTAGTCGAAGATGGCTTGCGGCGCCAGGAACGCAAGGTGGGACCATACTGGCGAGTCGCGCAAGTACTGAATGTTCCAGCTGTAGGCTGGGCATCCGCCAAGCAGCACGCTGATGACGAATAGAGCGCCGAAGATCCATGACTTGTACGGCTTGCAGCGATTCATCCATCTCGGAAGATTGTCTGCTGCTGCGAGGAGATCGAGATCGCTCAGCATCATTCCCGCCATGAACATTGCAAAGTGTCCTCCGTCCACGATGTACAGGAAATAGTAGATCAAACCAATCTCGCACCATAGGCGGGCGGAATGTGTACAGCGCGAGAACGCCATGGTTGCGGTGTATATGATGATCGAGCCCTTCATTTCAACAGGTATTGACCACGAATGGAAGTGGTAGCTGAGCCAGGGGTCGCCGCCGCCGCGAAACACAAAGCTGAAGTTCTTGAACTCAGCATACCAGTGCCAGATCTCGGCACGGAACGTTCGCTGTGGTGTGAAGTTTGGGAGGACGTCGAATGCATGATAAGAGACAATCATCAGGAATGTCGTAACTATCAGTGGCAGGAACAAGCGGATCCATCTGCGGAAGAGCGCAGAAGCCACGTTATCGCCAAGTCCAATATGCTCGTCGGCGTGAATCAGTGACAGTGGCTTTGCGGACAAGACGTAGCCGGAGATGACGAAGAAGGTTGACACAGAGTAGTGGCCGCCTGCAAAGAACGTCCGGATACCCGGTAGCGTCACGAAGTAGTACTGATGGTCGTAACCAAAGGTGTTCTCTAGGATTTTGTCCGCGCGCTGTGGCTCGTGTGCCCATAGCTGATGATGGCCCCAATATACCATCAATGCCGCGAAACCTCGCAGACCGTCCAGATACGCGGTCCGTCGCACTTTTGTTGGTCGTGCACTGGCTTTGCTCAAGAACGAAGGACGAACAAATTGCAAGAGCGCCTGCAACATTGGCGATGCTGATCGCGCCGGACGCTCTGACTTCGCCGGCTGCCAGTCGCCGGCTTCGAGGAGTCCCTCATCAGGACGACCCATGGTGTGTGTAAGGTGAGAAGAGTGACAAGGAGGAGAGGAGAGAGCCCGGAATGCTATGACTTACCTTGAGAAGCCGCCGAATACTCGATCATCGGTGTGTCAACGTCAGAAGGCTGGTCGACAGTCCGAGCACTCGTGCTCCACGCGAAGCATAAGGCCTGTTCGGGATCATCGGGTGGGCACGACTCGTACCTTGCATCCAACAATTCCATTCACATGCAGGGCCATACACGAGGAAGGTGTTGTCTCCGAGGTACTTGAACTCAGACAACATCGCTGATTGACGCAAGATGGAGGGGTAGGATCGTAGGTCCTAGTAGTGCTCAGTAAGTCAGACACCATGTTGCAATGGCGTGTGGCGGTCTGCGGTAACGTTCGTCCGGTGATCATTGGTGGATCGCTTTGACAAGGCAAATCATCACATGTACCTACCACTCTGACCCAAGAGAAACCGAGGCTGCAATCGCACAGAAGCGCCAAAAAGGCAGACTTGATGTCAAGCTTCGCGCTAAACAGGCCTCACCCCTGCTAGACATGCGACCCACCAAGAGCTTTCCCCATCTCCGCATTGAGCAAGCCCTCATCCACTTTGTCACTTTGACGGCGAAGGAAAATTTTGACACCTACCTTAGCGACTGTTCAGAAAATCGCAAAGCAGCTAACTCGCGGGCACACTGCGGACGAGAGCTCAGCAGTCTGTCCGGATCATCGACATCAAATCCGCTGCACTGAATGCACGATCGGAATTGACATCGAGTCAGTTCCCAAGCGAGCATATGCTCCGAATCGTGCACGAACGGCGTGAGCATGGTCGGTACATACCTTTTGACGAATCCTTGTCTGGTGTTCCTTTGACCTCTGGCTCGGCAAGTACTGAATCTCCAGACCGTCCAACCAAGACGTCAGCGACATGGGTAGCTTCCGAGTTGATCCTGGAGCTCATGCATGACTTTTTCGAGACAAAGCTGAAGCTTTGGGATCATATCGAGGTTGCGCGGCAGTCTTTATAGTTGCTCATGGTAGACAAGTCGTAGACCACGCCATCGCCACAGCAACGAAGTCGCCCTCGTACTTCTTGACAGTCGGCAAGATGAAGATTGGTGCACGGCAGATTCCCAGCGACTTGACTCTGCCCAAACAGTTTCAGCGAGCATTTCCTGCTTGCGGAGCCTTACTGTTCTGCATATTGTTCCTGTCGGGCATCCTGGGTGGCGGACACACCAGCTCGCTCCATCATCACAACGCAGTCTTCCCGAAGAAGATATGGCAGACTTGGAAAGTCGACCCTCTGGGCTTCGAGGATAAGGACTCAAACGTTGCCCGAACGTGGACGTCCAAGAACCCAGACTATCGGTACGAGGTTCTCACAGACCAGAACGACCTTGCGTACGTTGAGACGCACTTTGGTCCGCATGGCTACAATCGCTTGGACATTGTATACATGTATCGAGAGCTCACAGCACGGATCATCAAGGCGGATCTCTTGAGGTACATCGTCATGTACCATGAAGGCGGCATCTATACGGACATTGACGTCGAAGCATTGCGCCCTGTGTCCAAATTCATACCAGACCGATATGATGAGCGAGAAATTGACATGGTCATCGGAGTGGAGATCGATCAACCAGAATTCCGCAATCACTCGATCTTGGGCAACAAGTGCGAGTCATTCTGTCAATGGACTTTCATGTGCAAGCCACATCTTCCAGTCATGTTGACGCTCATCGAGAACATTGTAAGATGGCTGAAAGAGATCGCGATGGAACAAAAGGTGCCCATCTCTGAGATACACCTCGACTTTGATCAAGTCATCAGTGGCACGGGACCGTCCGCCTTCACGAGAGCGATCTTGGACGACATGTCGCAACGCAGTGGACGCACAATCACCTGGGACAACTTCCACAGCTTGCAGGAATCAAAGCTCGTGGAGAACGTCCTGGTCCTGACCGTGGAAGCATTTGCGGCAGGCCAAGGTCACTCGGACTCCGGGAACCATAACGCGAAACAAGCGCTGGTCAAGCATCACTACCACGCCTCGGGCTGGCCTACAGCTCATCCTCGATACAATCACCCCATACATGGTGAGGTCGAGCGATGCAACTGGGATGCCGAATGCGTCAGGCGATGGGATGAGAACATGGCTGCGTTCGAAGCATTGCCGGCCGAAGAGCAAACCGCGCAGATCGCGTTGAGACAGATGGACACACCGCAACAACGGAAGCGGCAAGCTCGTCGCGATAGACGCGGAAGGCCGAGGTGATGTGGTGTCGGGAGTGGAGTTCTGGTGGCGGCGTTTGCATAGAGCTTAGTCGTAGATCCTAGGTAACATTGCTTATTATTCCGACCATACAGTCAATTCTCGAGTCGCTTGCTGCGTACGCATTCAGGACCCCTCCTTCGCAAGGCTCGCTTACATATCGACCGGCCCTCCGCATGCGTGGACACCTTCTCTTATCTGTGTGAGCAGGTGACTTCAATGGCACTGATAGACAGAAGCAGAGCGGACCACGCTGGGTAAGAGAGTGTTGCATCCATTAGAGAAAGCCACGCCGTCATGGCTGCTACCGCGAAGAAGTACGATGGTAGGTTGCACGAGCTGCTATTCCGGTCGATTGTCTGGCGTTTGGCGGCAATGCCGCTGTCAAGTTCGGCCCATGCGCTCGGGCGAGAGCGATCTGGCAAACTCAAGAACATGTGGTCTCGGAGCAATCTTCTGCACGAGTACAACGCAGGCGGATTTGCAGAGCTTGACTCGAGCACAATCGTAGTGTGGGGTAAGACTCCCGCTTGATCAGCATGGCGATCCCAAAAAACTAGTTGACAGTTGTGAGTCTTGCGCAAGCGACTGAAAGATGAACGTTAGTGGACCTCGGCTCTGTGCCTGACAGAGTTGACAGCCAATGATGTAGTCTCTGGCACAACCCTGGTTGGAAAATCAATTGCACCGGCGGTCCCGGGTTTCTCCATCATTGAAATTGCGAAGCGATTCCAAAGCGCGAATGCTTAGGGCGGGGTTGGTCTGTGAGTAGATCGCCTCCCCGGATTGCCGCCACGAGCCGTTGCGGGCAAGGTGCTGGAAGTGGTATAGAATGTCCAGCGTATGTCGTATAGCATCCATGCAACAAGGTTCGAGCTATTCCGTCCTTGGCCCTGCAACCGAACAGCAAGACGAGGCTGCCGGTCTTCACCTTGGAGGGCAACATGTCCTGCGACTCGAGATTTGTCGAGTGAGTGAAGGGTTGCATTTGCCATCACATGCGATATTCCAGGGCCTCGGTCGCTTCGTTGAGCATGAAAGAAGCAAATGCTCAGTTGCATGTGATCAGAGATTTTGCTGCGACCAGAATGTACCCAATTTCGGCCATGCATTGGAGTCTGAGCTGAATCGAAAATCTGGGGTGTCCGCATATTCTCCACCATTCGTGACTTGTAGCTGACTTCATGACCTTGAAAGCACGACTTGACGGCCAACATCGCAGAAGTCGAAGTGATCTCGTCGACCATAACTCGCATCTGATTGCAGACATGTCGACGAAGAAGGAAGTGTCAGCTCATGAGGAGCTAGGTGGAACTCCTAGGAAGCGAACATTCGGGCAGAAGTTCAAGAGATCGTGCGCTCGGTTCTGGTGGATCTACCTCTTCGTCTTCATCGCTGTCGTACTTGTGGTCGTGCTCCCAGTGTAAGTTGGACAAAACTCCCGGAGACACCTGCTGACCGTCCGAAGCATCTATGTTGCATACCCAAACATCGCTCAGGACAGTGTGAACGACTCGTCACTTCATGTTGTGTCGGAATCGGTCCTAAATCCTACGCCAGAACAAGTCGATCTCGAACTAGTGACCTGGCTGCACAATCCATCAAGTCATAATCCGGACCTAGACCAGTTTGAGGCGTCTTTGTATCTGAAAGACAGCGATGTGCCGTTTGTTTCTTTCACATCCCCGGCCATCAATGGCAAGAACGGAACCGAGGCCACCGTCAAGCAGACCGTTCCGATCCAGAACATGACCGAGTTCACCAGATATACTATGGTGACGCTTGCCAGTGACACGTACACGGTGTATCTCCGAGGCAAAGGCGGCCTCAAACTGGGAGGCCTGCCGAAGACGACCGTCGATTACAACCAGGAGATCGAGATACAAGGTAAGTGCTGCGACTGACAGCGAGACGGCAGGACTAACTTGTCCAGGACTGAGAGGATTTCAGGGCCTTGAGGTGACAGAGTTCCATCTGCTCACAGAGAGTCTGCCAGACGGAGCGAATGCAATCGGCAATGTCACCATTCCGAATCCAAGTCCAGCGACCTATGCATTCGGAGATGTCTCGTTCGACATGTCGGTGGAAGGCGAGTTCATCGGCAACGCAACACTGCCATCTCTGACACTGACACCTGGCAACAATTCGTACCCGATCCACGTCACATCGAACCAGACGCGGGTTGCCCTGATCATACAAAGACCAGAGTACCACTGCGGCGTGTTCCCGGTTGACATCGCCGGTAATGCCAGCATATATGACGGAAAGAGGTTGCCGTACTACAGCGACGCCCTAAGAGCCAACAAGCTGAGCACAGTGCTCAATGTGTCCGATGCACTGAACGAGGTCGGATTTGGTTTCGCGCTCGGCAATTGTACGACCTCATGATGAAGTGCATGTACAGGCCGCATAGACTCGGGACATTGAAAAGATGCAACGCGAATACTTCTCTGTCGTGGAGGCAGCTGAAGCTTGATTCCAATCGTTGACAGCATGGGCCGGATGGCTGTGTGGCTATCTTGCTGATCCGATGCCTCTCGGCATGGATGCATGGGAGCTGAGGAGGTCGAAAATCAGCGTCTCAGCGAGTGCGGCGATCGGAAGCCATCTGGTCGGGACAAAGTCTGAGATTATCGATCTGCTGGAAGGCATCGCAGTGCAAGGGCACGCAATATGTGCAGGCGAACTGATGAAGCTGTGGTGGGAAGATCGAAACCCCCTTGGAGTTGGGCATTTGACGGAATATAGAGTCAGCAGCATACAGTAGACTTAATGCGCTTCGGCCGTTCCGTATGGCACGTACTCCGTATTTTCCTGACAGCGTCGCGTGTTGAGGCTGATTGTGCACATGTTCCAAGCTTGAAGCGAGATCGCATGTGCGCCCGTCAGCAGGGCAAGAGCGGGATTCAGGTGTTTCAAGTAGGCGCAGACACGCCCTGGAAATTTGATCCGACGGGGCCTCGGCTTCCTCTGGCTTGACTTGCCTGCGGAAAACTTCAGCTAGCCACGGTGCGCTCGTTTACTTCGTTTCTCGAAGGTATCGCTCTTTCCTGAACCGTAGCCCGTTGCGATCGAGGAAGCGATCGTAGCTCCTACACAGTGTCCACCTCGTTCAGCGCTGTGCTGTCAAGCGGCGCCCAAGTCGTGACGATCGACGCGACTCCCGCCCCGAGAAACATTGAGCGCAGTTGCACCTGCAGCTCCAGCTGACTTACCACGTCCCCATGAAGTGATCGAAGCCAGCCGTCGATGCGGTCTAACGACCGAACGAACCTGTCCGCTACGATAGCCTAGGTGCCTAAGTTCTACAGAAAGACAGCGTAGCTACACTGTCTTGAGGCAGCATGCTTGACAACCTGCGTATCTCTAAAACTGCGGATCGGTCGTGAAGTCTTGAGTGACAAGAAGATGAATATGCATCTCGCAACGCACTGCTAGCGCACGAACAGTGCCAGAGTGCACCTGAGTACCGATATCGATACTCTTCAATCCCTTCAAGCCTACGGCCGGACAGGTTAACTTTGTAAGCCACAAAATATGCCTCGTCTATTAAGCACTCGACAATCAGAGACACAACCGGAAGGTGTGAACAACGCAGTGAATTTTGTCACGAGATTGTGGAAGCATTGCCTCCCACGTCTGACAATGAATCCGTCTTTCGGCGATTCTGGCCTCTTGTGCAGGCACAGCCGCAACTCTTAACATTACATTGGTCAGTAAGAGACAGTTCTCGCCGCGGGGCGCAGCGCCTGAGGCCAAGCCACTTCTCTTGGCGAGAAGGAGAAGGGGCATCTCATACTATGAGATATATCCCTTGATCATTCCAGATGACTTTGAAGCTCAGTCTTCTCGTTGACAAGTTAGATGATTCCATTGATCAGTCTGCGAAGCACAACAATAGATGACAACATGGAGACCGCTAAGAGAAAGGTTCACATCCTCTTCCAGAAACAGAACCAGATGAACTCACTGAGGTCTTTGTCGACAACGACATCTTCACGGCGCTCGTCATCAACGACAACAACGCCGACGTCACCGCTTTCGATGGTCCATTTCAAGGATGGGTCGCGACATGGTCCACGCCTCCGTCACCGAGTTGAGCCTGGGATCGATCGCGACAATTTATCATACCATCTCCATAGCCCCGCGCTTCTGACAGCCGGCAGACGCGTCGGGATGCGGCATTGTTGTGTCTAAATCTCGTCCGCTTTCGGTACGGAGTTCGATCGCCTGGGCCAGTTGGCTGGTGTTCAAGCCCAGATCTCCTGAACACGCAAATGCCGCCAGCCGAGGCCACACAAACGACCTGCTGTGTCACACAAGAGCTCACCCTCACATGTGTATCGCTCGCACAGACATTATAGTCTATATTCATGCGGTGAAGTACGGGAGGCGTCGTAGCACCTGTTGTCGGCCCTCGGCGAGAAACAGAGAAGAATTTGACGGAAGACGATGTCGGCGCCGAGCAGTTGCTGAGAGAATGCTCTACCATTGAGGGTTTGGACAGGACATGAGGAAAGTCAACAAGGCTATGATGGCTGTGAGGGAGCTTTTTCAGTGCTCGAATGGATACAGATGTGACTGGGACGTGATGTCCAAAAGTCAGACTGGAGTAGTCGAGATGTCAATTCGAATGAAGCAGTTTCGTTTGGTCAAGCTGCTGTGTACACGTCACGACAACCGTCGGAACTTCGCGCTTGCAACGCTCGTCGACACGTAGACACCCGGTGACATTGCACTTGAGTGTCCAAGTTGCACTGGTGTTTTGGCGACTTCAGCCTTGTCACTTCAGCCTTGCGCGGCCGCTCCGAGCACAGACCAGATGACTGCCTTCACCATCTGACCACTGGACCCCTACCCCTCCACAGTCGCACTGTCTTCGCCGCATACGTTTCCTACTCGACCGCTACGCTACTAAACCGGTAGCAGCGAGAACGTCATGAGCGCCCCTTCCTCAGACGCCGTCGCAGGCAAGGCCCCTGCAACAGCCAAATCCAAGCCCAGCTATGTCTCGAGTTCAGGCAACATGCTCGAATCGTAAGTCTCGCAGCCCTCAAACTACCTTCAAGACTACCCCTCCATCCTATTACCCACGAGCCACTCTCCGTTCACTGAACCCACCTCCTGTCCACCCCCGTTTCTCGCACATGTACAACCCAAGCCCTCCCTTCACAACCCTAGCCTAGAAACCACTGACACATGTCTTGACAGACCACCACTCTCCGCCCGCCTAACCCGCCTCTCTGACTCAATCTACAACTTCATTGGCCTGTACCTCGTCTCCCTTCTCAGCCTCGACCCCTACACCGCCGCGCAAAACAGCCAGTTCAATACTGTGGGAAGTGGCCCGAATGCGTATCAGGAGCGGGCTAGGTGGGGTGGTGTGAATCGTGCTGGTGGGAGATTGGGTGGTGGAGGAGGTGGGTTTGGTGGATTTGGTAGCGGGGGTAGTGGGGGTGGAAGTGGCGGTGATGGCCGGGGCCCTGGTGGAGGTGGCGGTGGTGGGAGTGGAAGGAGGATGGGCACGGTGGATGATGTGAGGGGTCCGGAGTGCGGGAGCTGCGGTTGATGTTCCTAGGCGCGAAAAAAATCAATACAAGAGGTGATGGCTATCCTGCGCTAGGAACATTGAAGGCGTGGAGCATACAGTATACAAGCATACCCGAATGCAAGATCTTTCCAGGCGAAGGCGTCCCCGCATACATGAGCAAGAAACGCAACAACGCACTCACCATACTACGTACCCCCTCCCCAAAGGCAGCAGATCAACGCAAGTCATCCCGCAGCGCCGCTCTCGTCCACACTTCAGACATTGCCCGAATGCCCGCTACGCTGCCAAGACAGCGCCCAGTCGACGACGCTCGCTTCGCTCTCCGCTCGCCCTCCTAATAGTTGTGTGGCGTGGCTCAGGGCGCCGGCGCTGCTTCCGGTGTGGCGTGGCTCAGGCATAAGCCTCAGCATAGAGCTCGCGCCACTCGCGGGGGCCACCATCTCCCCACCGCCTCCCCCACCCACCGTCCCCTACGACGCCAACAATCAGCTACGTACGTCTGCTCAAACCCAGAATTGCCGCAACATGCTACCTGTCGGCAAACAAAGCAGCAGCAGCAAAATCGACGAAGCGCCTCCTCTATCTACAATATCATCAGCTCGCGCCCATCATAGCCCACTCCGTGCCCTTCTTCACCCTCTGCTTCCAGCTCATATTCCCCTTTGGCTTGTTCGCATTCTTCTCCTTCTCCGCCGCGATGATCTGCTCCGCCGTCATGCCGTTCGCGATGATCTTCTTTTGCTCTTGTTGTTGCGGCAGCTGCGTGATTGACTGTGACTGTCGCTGCTGCTCTGGCGCAGCTAAGTGATGTGGCTGACCCAGCTGCTGTTGTACCGCCGAGTACTCCCTCGCAGGTGGCCGCATCATGCTCTCCTCTCCGTACCCTCCATCGTGCTCCGCATGATGTTCCGGAATAGGCACGCCCGAACCCGAGCCACCATGGCTGAACGTCGCACTCAAAGCGCTAGCAGTACTGCCGTTCCTCTGCGCATCTTCTAGCGGCGCATCAACAGTCGGCTCTCCACTCGCTTGCCTTAGCGCCGTAGCCGCATCCGCGTCATAAGCAGGCGCATCCAACCCATCATACTCCGGCACCCCCTCCTCAGCCCTGACCTCCCCATAAACCGGCAACGCCTCGCTTCCCCTAGTCCATAAATCCGCCTTGGTCTTCGGCGCCTCCAGCCGCCACTTAGCCACGTCTTCAGGCTTGAGCAAGCAGTCTTCCGCAGGCGCATGCGTGCCGCGATACATTCCCTGGGCGTCCTTGGCGTAGTGTTTCCGCCATACATCATAGGGCACCTGCTTGAATTGGAACGGTGGCAGTTCGCTTCCGCCGTTGTTGGAGTCGGTGCCGCGACGGGTGCGTTGCGTTGTTGGGGCGAGTTTGCGCCATATTGAGGATTTGCGGCGCTGAGATGGTTGGCCGTCGGCTTCGCTGTCGACCTTTTCGTTGTGCGTCCAGTTCAACCGCTCGTCCCAGCCCATGGCATCTGCTGGGCCCAAGCCGGTGGGTGGCGCGACCATGCCGTCGGGTAAGCGGGGTGGGAGGACGGCGAAGACGACAAAATTCCTGGGTTGGTGGGCCGGAGGAGGATTGTTTGCGGGACATGACGCGGCCGATTGACTCGCGGCGGGCGGAGGAGTCGAAGTTGGAGGGTGGTGGGCGGACGGGTTGGTGTTGGGGTGGGACGGGGAGGTTGTGTGATGGCATGGTGGTCGGGATGGGGTTGTGGTGTTTAGTGTTTGGTGTTTGGTGTTTGGCGCTGGGCTTGGTCGTACTGTGGGTGCCTTTCGTCCGAAAATGATATTCGTTGTGCGACGATGCTACGACTTTGCTATGCCTCGATGAGGTCTTATAGAATCGAGTAATGCGGGATCGTGGTCATGAAGACAAGCAATGCGAAGCAATAGTCAATCTCGCCAAAGCAATGTTAGCGCGATAATGGAGGCGGAGTCTTGAAAAGTACGGGGCAGTAAAATGGTCAGAAGGTCGTCAACGTCACCCGTTTCTGCACCGTCTGGGGATCGACAGCGGGGAGCCAATGAAGGAATGTGTCGATCAGAGGCGTAGTCAAGAGTAGTAGCATTCTGGAAGGCGTCCAGATCCAAGCCACGATCAGAGCAAGCTGGTCATTGGAGCGTGGGGATAGACTTTCCGTTCCTGTTCCACGGGCTAGGTTAGCCGACAGACATCTGAGGTATTGAAATAGGCGGACTTTCATCGTCAATAGGCATTGATGCCATTCTGGGCCGTGTATTGAAGTGATCGCCATGCATCAGCATGTATCGAGCATACCGCTGAGTGCACTTGATTCTGCGCTCGTGACACTGAGGCTGTACTTGCTCTTGACCGCAATCCAGCTTCTTGCGTACGTGCAGTAGAAGCTTGTCAAGGGAGGTTTCCAGGTGTTCGGAGGAGAGTCGCTCTTCGCTGAGTTGACGTTGTCCGTGACAGCCCAGAGTTGCGGTGATGTCAGGTCGTTGGCGAACTCCTGCCGACGATCTCCTGTCCATGCGTTCGCTCCGGACTATACAGTATTAGCTCATGGTACGTTCTAGACGTGTTCTAGCACTTACAATCCAAGCATTGGCCAACGGTACCATATGATCAATATCGACATCGCTCGCCTGGGTCCAAGTCGCACCGTCGTACGGGCTAAACCAGCTGCCACTCGTAGAGGCGCACGCTGAATCGGTGACGACATTGGTGCCATCGCGCTTGAGGACCGTCTCACGAGTATTGCAGCTACCGCTTTGCGTGATCCAGTGAGGGAATTCGTCGCGTGAGTAGCCAGTCATGCTGCCAGCAGTGCGGACAGTGAGCCTGGCGAGCTGCGTGCGGGCTGAGCTGGCGGACGGGATACCAGGCTGTTGCGGCGTCAGTGAGCGCAGCGCGTCAAGATCTGGCTGACTTACTGGGACCGGGACAGGCGCTGCCAGAGCAGAAGGCGATAGGCCGATGAAGGCGACCAATGCTGTAAAAATGTACATCTTGACGAAGTGGTTGGGAATCCCTTCACAGGTCGCAGATGGCATCGGCGTTGAGACGCGACAGCAGGTTCATGCAGCGCTCCTACCTTTTGTATTCGTTTGCCAACATTTTAGGCATTGGCAAGTACCATCACGCGTCTGTATCGCATGTCGAAAGTGCTCGTTGTCATTGGCGGTGGTTCGCGTTGTTCACCAACCTGTCATGCACGCTTCAGATCCACTGCATCTTTTTGTCCTGCAGTAGCATCTGGGCAATGTCGATCACGCGCGTAGAGATTATCGGCTCGGAAGTCGCCTGGCTGCCCGCGTCGATAATGACCTGCAGCATGGTTGGTGCCTTCCTGGGATGGAAGTGTTGCTCCGATGATGCCCAGGCGGAGATTGTGGTAGATTTCCTGGGCACATGCTGAGACAAGCTACGCAGCCAATGAGGTCTCAATTTGCAGCCATGCAACTTGTCGACATCGTGAGATCGACGTCCACCGCAATGCTGGATGATAATAGGCTTAGAAGAAGTTCTCGTAGGGATGCTGCATCTTCCTGTGCTTTGCTTGTAGCGGAGGGCGATGAAGGAGGGTATGCGACATTGCAAAGACCCCCAGAATTATTATGAATGTAAGAATATAGTTGTGAAGCTAGTGGCACTCGCCGCAAAGATACTCGTTCTTCAAGACAGCAACTGCGTTGAAACTACCATGACCTGACATGCCACAGAACAGCGCGATAAGCGTCTGCATTGTCCATTGAATGACGCTGTAGAGTGTTCGGTCAGACCGCAGTCCGGCTTCCTTCCATCGCGCCCATTGCCTCTGCAGCCACGACTTCGTCCCGCTTCGCTCTCCTCTTCTTGAGCACGTTCTCAATGAATGCCTCACCAGCCTTGTAGCTACTCCTCACCAATGGCCCACTCGCTACATACAGGAATCCCATGTCCAGAGCCCTTTGCCGCCATAGCTCGAACACATCCGGCGTAACATACTCATGCACAGGCATATGCCTCTTGGTCGGTCGCATGTACTGCCCGAATGTGACCACATCAACATCGCTCTTCCTCAGCTGCCTCAATGCGTCCCACAGTTGCTCTTCTGTCTCTCCGAGACCCAACATCATGGACGTCTTTGTAATTATGCCTGGCTTTGCAGCCTTCGCAGCCTCGAGGATCCGTAAGGACTGTTGGAAATTGGCTCGACGATCACGGACGTTCGGTGTGAGTTCTTCGACCGTCTCAACGTTGTGTGCATACACGTCGGGTCCAGACTGAGCTACCAACGCAGCCATTTCTGTATTGCCGCCAAAATCTCCGGACAGGATCTCGACGAGTGTCTCCGGCCGCTTGCTCTTGATCTTTCGTATCGTCTCAGCGAAGTGATGTGCTCCGCCATCAGCCAAATCGTCTCGATCGACCACAGTGAGCACCACATAGCCCAGTCCCCATCGCACCAGTGCTTCTGCAGTGTTCTCTGGCTCGTGCGGATCGAGTGGTGGGGGTGTCTTGGATGTCTTGACGCTGCAGAATCGGCATCCGCGCGTGCATGTGTCGCCTCCGAGCATGATCGTTGCAGTAGCTGCGGCTTTTGAACCGCCCCAACAATCGCTGATGTTGGGACATCGTGCTTCCTCGCAGACGGTGTGCAGATTGAGGCCTCGTAGGTCCTTCTTGATCTTCTTGTAGTTGCTGTTGTCAGGTATGGGCATCTTCAGCCATTCAGGCAGTCGAGTTATCGTCTTCTGCTTGCCCTTCGGACCGACTACGGCGGTCTTGAGAGCGTAGGCTTCTGAAGGGGCAAGTGGGGCATCGTCGCCAGACACGAAGTCGGAGAAGGATGGGCCGGCATTGAGCTTGTCTGAGAAGGTCGTGGGTCTGACTCGTGGTCGAGATGTGGGAGTGCTGTCGTCGACTGAGGGTTCGTTCACGGTGGCAAGTGATCGGCTGCGGGTCGAGGATGTTGAGGTCGGCGGTAGGAAGACTTTGAAGGGCGATGACCACGTGTTGCCGTGCAAGCACCGTACACTCGAGCGAGCAGTAACAGCTGTCATGGTTGTGGGCAGCGGAGGGTTACGTGGAGGTAGCAGAGATGTATTGCAGAAGTACACAAGATTGAATGAATCGAAAGGCGGCGATTTCTCATCTTCCCCAGATCAGCTTTGATTGGCCAGATCAGCAGCCCGTAGATCCATTCCGAGCCGTTTCCTGCCGAGTTTCTTCGGCTCCCGCTCCGAGGACTTCTCTCCCCCCTTCCCAAGGCGCCCAGGCCCACTGGCAACGTCTTCCCGCGTCTGATCAGCTCAATTTCCAGATGGACTCTCCTCCCGCCGTACAACCTTATCAAAATCCGCCAATCTCTGCTCCGGTCAACACTGCCTCACCTATCCCATTTGAATCCCTCCGCAGTCGCACAGTCCTTATCACAGGAGGAGCTTCTGGCATTGGGGCATCAATTGCTTCAACAGTTGCACAGCATGGCGGCAATGTCATCATTGGCGACCTCAACGACCAGCTCGGGGAGGGGCTGATTGCAGATCTACGACAGATCTCTGAATCTGCACGTCACCACTTCATCCACCTCGATGTGACTTCATGGCAGTCACAAGTCGCCTTCTTCAAGCAGGCCGCCGCCCTCTCACCACATGGCGGTATTGACACCGTTGTAGCCAATGCTGGTATCGCGTCCGCTGAAGAGATTGCCTTCGTCGACCCGCCAGACTATGCGAACCTGGATGACCCGCCACCTCCCAAACATCAAATCATGAATGTGAATCTGATGGGCGTGCTGTATACGACTGAGCTCGCCTTGTCCTATCTGAGCCGCAACCCTGGGAGCAACAGATGCAACGACTCCCACTCCGGCAGCGGCGCGCGAGACCGACATCTTCTACTGGTCAGCTCTATCGCCGGCGTTGTCGCCCTTCCCAGCCAAGCTCTGTACTGCGTCTCAAAACACGCCGTCGTTGGTCTGTTTCGGACACTTCGAATCACAGCGCCTGGCAACAACGGAGTGCGAGTCAATATGCTCAACCCATACTTCACAGCCACTCCGATCATGGGGTCCATCGGACCACTGTTCATGTCTGGCGCAGCCATGGCTCAGATCGAGGACGTGGCTGGCGCAGCGGTGCGAATGGTCGCAGACAAGAATATTGTTGGAAGGGCATTGATTGTCATTAGTCGAGGCTCAAGAAAGGAGGTAGAGGGAGCCGGCCTGGAGTACATCGAGGGCGACCAGCACGGTAACGCGGTCAGAGACATGCTGCCGGACGACATGATCCAGACCGATGCTTTCGTGCGGCGGATGATAGCGGTGATCAACTTGCGAAATGCTGGACGAGGATGGCTCGAATTCTTCCAAGACGCGGTCCGTGGTCTCGTCATGCTGGCACGGAGAATTACTGGACGTTGAACAAGTGAGGCGGACTCTAGACGATCCGACCAATGCTGAAGACTGAAGCAGGCTAGTGCAAGTGGTTGTCAAGCGCGTCGACGGACCCGCACCCGAATTTTCTTGGCGTTCGTTGCCTGCCAACTTCGCCAGCGATTTTCGAGGCGCATCTTCTCCGCTCCGGCCCATCGCCACCGACCTCCACCGTCGACCTTTGTCTTTCGCCGCCAGCAGAACTAGTCGTCCCGGAGCACAACCGCAATCATCGCGTCACTGGCTTGGGCTGTCTACTGTAGGCACTGAGACTACGTTGCTGACGTCTGCAAGCATCTCAGAATACATTCAGCATGGCTCCACCACCAGTGAGTCGGTACCTGCGGCCACCGATTGACGGCACTGTCAATATTTTACAGGTCAAAATTGAGCCCAAGCTCGGCAGCATGCCATACGAAATCCTCCACAAGATCGTCGACCTCGCACTTCCTGAGGCCTCCTCCCACAGCAGCGGAGTTCACTACAACATGGCAACCTGTGGTTCAAAATGTCGCCACATCGAGTTCATTTGGGACGACTACAAGGATGTCAGTCTTCTCTTCGTTGCGAGGAACGTCCGCCAGATCACACGAGATATCCTGCTCGAACGGGCCACATCCATCTTCCAAGAACGCGTGATGAATGCCAGCTTCGAGGATGAGGTGTTACTCTTCAAGATACAGATTGAGATTGGTGTCTTCGACGTGGGAGCGTGGGTTGCGGTCGGACCGAACCAGTACTGGGATGTGGACCGGATGCTTGAGCGCTGGGATGAAGGTAGCCGTACAGAGTCGGTCGAATGATCCACACCGTAGCAGAGCACCGATCAGTGTTGCGACCTCATTGGCGAACTTCGACAAGGCCACGTTCAATGCTGAATATGGAGCCAAGTTGCTTAGGTAGATGCCGATTGCCTTGTTCTCCTCGGTCGACTGAGTCGTCTTGGCAATGCTTACTTCACCTCAGCGAGCACGCGCATCAAAGCCAAACCCTACTTGTCAACATCACGCCTTCGCAATTTCCAGACCGTATTCTTTGCTCCGGTACCCATCGTCCACCACACCGTCCTCGACTGTCGCCGCGTGCCGCAACCATGCCGTATCAATGCTGGAGCTCGACTGCACTCACTGCGCTGCTGGCCTGGGTCGTGTTTCTTTCTATCGTCACCCTCAAGCACAAATGTCTCCGGAGCTGTCCAGATCCCTGCAAGCTGCGCCACCAGTGGTGCGTCAGATCTCATGCTCAATCTCATGCAGCGCTAACGTACTTACTACAGACTGAGATCGAACTGAAGTTGACCAGCATGCCCTACGAAATACTACATGGAATCATCGATTTCGCAATTCCTGTGGCCCCCTACACCTATGCACTCAATTGCCATTACAACACCGATGGTAACAGTCGCCGCGTCGAATTTCTCTTCGGCGATCCTTCGAATGTTAGTGTTCTCTTCGTTGCGAAGGATATCCGCCAGATCGCACGATATGTCCTCTTCGAACGCGCAAGGGCTGAATACTTCCTTGACGAATCGATACCCCTCTGGCTGAGGATTGAGACTTGAGTCGGGTCGTCTTGCCAGCTGTTCACAACGGACAAATTCAACAAGGCTCCGTGTGGAACCTGTGACATGCTTCCAAGTTGGGAAACTTGTAGCGCAACAGCGTCGGCTCAGTATCGAATGACTTTGACTGCAGCTCAAGAAGCCTCAACCTCGGCGATGAAAGCAGTCTGTGCAAAGAACAGTCCAACATTGCGACACTGTGGTCAGGCGGAATGCTCGCGACAAATGACAAACATCAACTTCAAGGCAGTCACAGCTGTCGTGTCTACGGCGGAGTGATGGCAGTTGCATCACATTTGAAGGAGCGACCGTCTAGAACGTCACTGCCACCTGTCGGTGTGCCTGACTCGGAATCAGCAGACTATAGCGCTTTCCATCGAAGCACTTCTTCTATCTTGCTATGAAGCTTCTCTCGTTTCCAAGTCACCATCTTCACACCTACGCTAACTAAGGGCCGCTAAGAGACGCAGCAGTACGAAATCCGACGGAAGAGGGTTGCTCAACAACAGTGGTGGGGTCGTGTCGTGCCACATGATCAACTGGAACCACTTCATCGCCATATCGCCTGTGTAGCCCTGGTAGGGCGTGTACGACCGCAATCGCTCTCTATCAGATTGTCACTTCGGTCGAAGGTACGTGACTTGCAGCCTCACTACGTTGTGACAGAGCTGGTTCAATGACGATATGAACACCTTGAAACTGACCCGGCAGCAGTTCAACCCTCAAAGCGATGAGTCACGACACGGCGGGCGACATCTCGCACCAGACGAACAGCCTCGAGCAACTGCCACACCGACCACCTATTGCAGATGATCAGCACCACGTCGTCGTTCCCTCCATTGCGGTCAACGAGCTGGAGAAGGTGCGCGTTGGGCACCAAGAGGATCCCGATCTGCCCCAGGAGAGGATCGATATTGTGAAGAAGACGCTCGAAGATGGCGAAGCCGATGAGATTGCTCGAGCCGAGATGCCCTTCTTCGAGAACTCGCCATATGAGGAGGTTCGCGCTGCCGTCCGTTCAACGGATGACCCCACCATCGTGGCCAACACTGTTCGGGCTTGGGTCTTGGGTATGATCATGGTGACGATTGGCAGTGGCTCGAACATGTTCCTGAGCATGAGGTAGGCCTCCCCTTGGATGACATCTATTCGCCTCTACGATACTCTGTCAGATGCTGATCTCGCTTGCACCTCTCCAGGAGTTCCGCCATCAACTTTTCAGCTCTGTTCGTTCAGCTGGTCGTCTATTCCATCGGCTGCCTGTGGGCCAAGGTCATGCCCACCAGAGTGTTTCGCACCTTGGGCGTAGACTGGTCACTGAATCGCGGCCCCTTCAATATCAAGGAGCACGTCGTCATCACATTGATGTCTAACGTGAGCATCGGCTACGCTTACTCGACTGACGCTCTCATCGCTTTGGCCGGCAAGCCCTTCTACAATATCGACATGGGCTGGGGCTTCCAACTGCTGTTCACTCTCAGCTCGCAGCTCATCGGTATAGCCCTCGCTGGCATATTCCGCCGCTTTCTCATTTGGCCCTCGTCCATGATATGGCCCAGCCAGTTCGCCAACACATCTCTCTTCTACGCCCTACACGACCACCGTAAGAGTGACGCCTCGCAGACCGATGGCTGGGTCACCAGCCGCTACCGCTACTTTTTCTACGTTGCCATGGGCATGTTCGTGTACTACTGGATCCCTGGTGTGCTGTGGCAGGGGCTCTCCGTCTTTGCGTGGGTTACTTGGATCATGCCTGACAATGTTGTGGTCAATCAGCTCTTTGGCGGCTTCACAGGCTTGTCGTTGATCCCGATCACGTTCGACTGACCCTACGTGTCCGCTTACCTGGGCGATCCGCTGCTCACGCCTCCGCACTCACATGTCAACACACTGATCGGGCTCTTCTTCTTCGTCATCCTCGGCACTATCGGCATCACTTACACCGGCGCTCTTTACGCCGACTATCTGCCCATAGTGACGTCGCAGACGTACGACAACATGCAAAAAGCCTACATGGTACGCAAGATTTTAGGCGACAACTTCACCTTCGACCTCGCCAAGTACAAGGCCTACTCTCCGATCTTCTTCTCTCCCGCCCTGGCCCTCAACTATGGCCTCTCCTTCGCCGCCTTAATATCGTCTATCGTGCACGTAGGCCTCTTCTACGGCCGCGAGATCTGGAACCGGTTCAGGACGGCTTCCAACCAGGAACCCGACATCCACCTACGCCTCATGCGTGCGTACAAAGAGGCACCGGACTGGTGGTACCTCGCCCTGCTCATGTCCACCCTGGCGCTCGGCCTGGCAACCTGCCTGGGTTATTCGTCGCAGCTGCCATGGCGGGGCTTCTTCGCATCCAACGCCATCTCAATGGTCTTCGTCATCCCGACATGCATGATCCTGGCCATCTCGAACATCGTACTCTCGCTCAATGTGCTCTCGCCGTTCCTCGCCGGGCTCATGATTCCAGGCCGCCCCATCGGCGTCATGATCTTCAAGGTGTTCAGCACAATCACACTGGGTCAGGCGCAGACGTACAGCGGGGATTTGAAGCTGGCGCATTACATGAAGGTGCCGCCGTGGGTCACGTTCTGGTGTCAGATTGTAGCGACGGTGTGGGCGGCGTTTGTGCAGATTGCGGTCATGAATTGGACCTTGGGGAATATCGATAGCGTTTGTGAGCTGTAAGTGACTCTTTGTCCTAAATCTCCTGCCCGTGCGATTCACAACCCTCCCCAGCCGTTATCAATACTTAGGGTATAGACGCACTAACACTCTCGAACAATCTGCAGCAAACAAAAAGACCACTTTACCTGCCCAACGGCCGCGCCTTCTTCTCCTCCTCGATCGTCTGGGGCGTCATCGGCCCCCGCCGCCTGTTCGGGGCGGGCCCCCAGTACGCGGTATTCCAATACTTCTGGCTCATCGGCGCCGCCGTGCCCGCCATCTTGTACCTTCTCATCGGATACCTGAACTTCCGCCCGGCCCGCCACTTCAACGCACCCATCATGCTCGGCGCCATGGCTTGGCTGCCGCCTGCCACGCCGTTCTCGTTCTCGAGCTGGGCGATTGTTGGGTTCGTGTTCAATTGGTGGATTCGCCGGCGGTGGAGGGGTTGGTGGGGTACGTATAATTATATCACGGCGGCGGGGTTGGATGCTGGGTTGATCCTGGGCACAATTGTGGTCTTCTTTGCGATTACATTGCCTAGGGTGCAGGTGCTAAAGTGGTGGGGACATGAGGGTGTGTTTGAGACGGTTGATGCGGGTGGGACGGGGTGGTTGAGGAAGGTTGCTGAGGGAGGGACGTTTGGGCCGAGTGAGTGGTGATGTCTGAGGGATCGGGGATGGTAGGCGGATGCTGGGGAATCCAAGGAATCCGTTTGTCTCTGTGTGAACAAAGAGCAGGAGTTCGTGTTTGCCGTGTGGGAAGGAAACGACGTGTCACTTGAGCTCTTCCTCTTACGTTATCACCTTTCACATCCTCAAGCACGGCTGAGAGTGTCGTCACGGCTGCCTGACTTGACTACTGGATTCAGACAGAGCGCCTCGATCTCGACCAGCACGCTACTCCCACGCAACCTTACGCACACACCATTTCCCAACTGCTTCCAGCGACTCTTGCATTGGCTTTGGCGTAGTATCAGGATGCCTCAGCCTCTGTCTGCACCAACATGGGTAGGTACAATAGTCACCTTCAAACGTGTGATCCTCGCTGACCACATTGTCAGGATAAGCCTAGACCGAACCTCGCCAGCATGCCGAACGAGATCCTCCGCAGAATCATCGACTTAGCAGTCCCGCAGGCTTCGCACTGTCTCTCGGTCAATGTTGACTACGAATCAGATCCCCCGCGCCGCCCCACGCGTCGCCGCGTCGAGTTCCTCTGGCACGATTCCTCAGACATCAGTGTTCTTTTCGTCACAAAGGCAATCTTCCAGGTCACACGGGCCATTCTGTTCGAACGCGCTACGTTCAAATTTCCGGATGGTGCTTGGGCCAACTTTGTCAGCCACGCCATCCACTTCGAGCTGGAGATCGAGATCTGTATCAGGGACGGATTGGCGCCTGGTAGCAAAACTCTGGGTTACGTACGCTAGAACTAGATGCTGAAGAACGAGGATGAACCACTTCGGTACGAGCGATGGCGGGCTACATAGAGTTGTCTAGCTACCGAATAACGGCACACGCCAGCCTGCGAGGCTCTCGATACGGTTGTGGGAGAACGACGGGATGGAAGCCCCTGGATCGGCAGATCGGCCTGCAAACTCACCGCTTCAGTCGGAGGACGCAGATCGACCTCGAGGCAGCTACACATACCGCATTCTGTGGGCGGTAGTCAGTACGATATCACAACTGACAAACCTAATCTGCAGAGCATCCGAGCACGCAGTCCGATTGCCGTAATGTTGTCTGCGATGCGTTAGTCGGCGGTGATGGCGAACGACCCACTCTTCCTACCACACAGTCTCGATCGTCTTTGGCAACTCCGAATCATGGGCTTTTCATCGCGATCCCTTACTATCCTCCAGGGTTCCTACGATACGCAAACATCAAAAGCTTCGCGTGGTTCATGTGATGACGGTCAGTTATCAGTCCATTTCGTTGTGTGAAACAACGGAAAAAGTCACTTCGTTCATCGCTGTGACTCTTAACTTCGAAGTCGTCAATTGAACTTGACACCAGGGACGCTCGATTTCGGGATCTGAATCTTTCCGTAACCGTCTCGCCTTCGATCATCGCCCTTCTCATGTGTCGGTACACCATCATGGCTCTTGATTACGTACGAACTCATTACATCAACGCGTTTGCGTCCGCCGCATCAGTTGAGCCTAATGGCATGAACACGATGCCACAAACCCTCTCTCCGCCGCCATGTGTATGTGTCGCGACTCCGATGGAGATCGTGCCGGTGCTAACGCTCTGCTCAGGACAAACCATCCCCAAACTTGAACAACATGCCTCTCGAAATCCTCGAGCGTATTATGGCCCTCGCGATCCCACGACACATCTCCGTCACGTCCTCCCGAATCTGCACCGCCGAAGAAACTAAGAACCCGCGTGACTGCACCTGGACCGAGGCAATTGTCACTGACCTGCTTTCTATCTGGAGGACAATCCGCGATATCCACAAGCCCCCCAGGAAGCCCTACTACTACGTCTACAATTGGACGTCACGATGGCCTCTTGGTTTGCTGCGGGTCTGTAAGAGCGTTAGACCGGTCGCTGGCAGAATCATCTGTGCACGCGTTCAGTCTAGTCGCCAGGACAGCGGTGGAATGGTCACTGGATTCGGAATCGCCAAAGATGGACGAACAATGTGGGAAAAGTTTCGGGAGAGGTTTGAGGGAAAGGAGGCAGAACGAAGAGTGAGTAATGTTGAGTACATGGTGGATGTAGTTACGGGTGACATTTATAAGATGGAGGAGAATGGGGTTTGGGTAAGGGTTGAAGGGGACGACGAGACCAGTGAGGCGGAGTCGGAGTGATTGGAGGATGGTGCCTCGGAGACCTCCAGTGATGAGAGCGATGAGGAGAGTCACGATGAAGAAGAAGCAAGCTCGTCTGAGGCAGAGGAAGGGGATGACTGACGTCGATCGCGAGATGAACGTCACTTGAGCGCTGCTTGACGCTCCTTGTGTCGCCTGAGCAACGACTTGAAATGGAAGAATCTTCAACAACAGCACGCAGGTATCTTGCGGCCACTCAAATTACGACTCCATCTTCATTGCACCACGTACCCAGTGCTGAAATTTCTCCGTCAGTTGGCTGCTTCACCACGACACCTCGCCGACTCTTCCTCACGCGATACCGCAACCTTCGCTGCCGACAAGCCCTACACCACATGTCACCATGTCTCAAGCTCTCTCTGCGCCACCATGGGTCTGTGACTCTATCACAGTCCTCGTGTGTCAAATAGTCGCTAACAAGGTGTCACAGGATAAGCCCGAACCGAACCTCGCCAGCATGCCGACCGAGATCATGGAGAAAATTATTGGTTACGCCGTTCCGCACTACTTCACAATCAACGCAATGTATCGCGAAAAAAGCCGAAAGCAACATAACCCGTTCAAATGGGAGCCATCGTACCTCCCTAATCTCCTCCTGGTCTCCAAATCCATTGGTAATACTGCTCGCAAGGTCTTCTCCGAACGCGTCAAATTCAGTCTCTGGCTCCGAATGGAGACTCTCGACTATGCGCCCCTCTTCCATCCTTCGCCTTATTTCTGGGACAAAATGCCGGCTGTTGTTGGGAGGAAGCTCGAGAAGCATTTCAAGACGGTGTTCGCGAGGGGTGGACAGGTCACAACGGCTAACTCTGGTCTGGTCGCGAGGTTGAAAGCGGGTGCTGGAGATGACTGGTCTCCTCAATGGACCTCCGTGGACAATTGGCCCCATTGATTTCGAGAGAACCCGTGGTCTGGTCCGCCCAACTACGTCGTCTCACTCGGATTCGAGACGGCCATCGGCGTTTCCGGAGGCGTTGAGCAATATGGATGCACGGGAACTACGTGATGGTGTCGGCCTGGCAGCATGTCGCTTCTAGGCATTGAAGACAAATGAGAACCACTTGAACGAGCATCGCCCGCCCTTCACCTTCTTCACCTGAACGACAACTTGAACTTGAAGCGAAGATTCGCAAACGATTTCACCGCAGCATCTCCGCAACTTACCAGAAACCCGGCCTGTCAACGAATTCATCTCCATCGATTGCCAACGTTTCATAAAGCGAACCTCCGCAGTCTTCGTCTGAATCCTCCTCGTCATATACTCGTGGCATCGATCTCTCACATATCGATCGTCTCCAACCCGTCGGTCGAAATGTCGCAAGTCGTTTGTGCGCCGTCATGGGTATGCCATACTGCTTCAGCTTGCACACATGGTTCATTTGCTGACAGGATCTCGCCAGAACAAGCCGAAGCCCACTCTAGAAAGCATGCCAATCGAAGTCCCCGAGAGGATCGTTACCTTCGCCATGCCGAACAATGCGGAGTCCATCTACTCCATCTGAATCGATGCAACATATCTCCACGGAACGTCGAAACAATTGTTTCCCTTCGACTGGTATCCAAAGTGGGTGTCTGGTCTACTACTCGTGTCTGAACGCGTACGTGGAGTTGCTGGGAAGATCATTGCTCAGCGTGCCGAGTTCTCGTTCTTCACGAAACGCTCTGTCACCGATAAGGGCTCCGAATACCACTATGTGCGGCAAGAAGTATCAGCCGACATCAAGAGGAGTCATCGAAAGCACTCTGAGAAGCTGTTCGGGAAGGGCAACTACCACCTAGGTGAGAAGGGACCATACTTTACGGCTGGGCAGCGATGTTCAGATTGCGCTGGTCAGTCTCCTCCCTGATAGTGGATAGCGGCAAGCTGGACGCGATCGGTTCTACGCAGACGAGAAGACGACTGGCTGCATCAAGCGTTTCTTTGGGCGAGGCAAGAGAGCAGCAAAAATCAACTGAGGCAACGTCACACAGCTCTACCTCCTCTTCACTCAAGTAATGGAATGAAGTGAAGTGCTACCAACAATCACGAGAACATCTTCGAAGAACTATAAGAACTCAGAATCACTGACAACAATCTCCTCGTCTTTCTCCCTCTTCCATTCATGATTCGTACACTGTCTCTGCTCGATACTGCGCCTACACCGACGTCGAAGGGGTAGTCTTGTCATCGCCTGCGTTCACCAAGGCAGTCAAGATGTCTCAAGCCATCTCTGCACCACCTTGGGTAAGCTCAGTCATCTTCATGTGTAGCCTGGGTTGCATCGCTAATTCGCGGTCTTCCACAGGACAAACCCAAACCCAACCTCGCCCATATGCCAACCGAGATCTTCGAGAAAATCATAGGCTTCACCGTCCCGGACACAGTCGAAGTTTACTCCAAGTATCACGTCAAAGGCTGCGAGCAATACCGGCGCCACGAATTCTTCTTGTAGCCAGCATTGATCGGGGATCTTCTCGTCACCTCAAAGCGCATTCGCCAAGTTGCCAAGAAGATCCTCTTTCAGCGCGTGGAATTTGAAGGTCTTCTTACATTGGAGAATGGAAGCGTGCTACAATTCGAATGCCCAAGTGATGAGCGGACTAAGAGAAAATTGCGGAAGGATTTGGCAGAAGTCTTCGCCAGGGATGAGTAGCGGACTGGCTCAAGGCGGGTCACGACGGTCGAAGGAGATTTATGTGCTGACCGGGCTTCTCGGCGACGGGCAGTGATATCGTGCGTTCATTCATTTCCCGAGCATGGTTAAAGTCGAAGCGCTGCTTCAGGTCGCAGAGGACGGTCCCAAGAAGCAGTCTCTACCGCTGCCGAAGACGGCGGTCGTCCTGATCAGATGGCGTCGAACGTCGAGCATGGTAATAATTCAGCTTTCAACAAGTTCCCAGTCAATGGTCAAGAACTCGGAGCGCGTCACCTGAGCAACGTTCCGAAGTGAAGACCGACAAACAATTCTCATGAAGCCTTCTTCCGTCTATTCAAACTTCGACTTCGTGATTCGAATAATTATCATCGATCTCTTTTCCATCGTCCCCATGTCTAAGAAACGCCGACCTGCAAAACGCAAGCATCGTCCTACGCGAGCAGACCCGTCCGTATCGGCTGAATCGACAGCGATCAAGATGCCTCAGTCCCTCTCGGCCCCGCCTTGGGTATGTCACACACATAATTCTATTGTCTTACATCGCTGAGCACTCCGCCAGGTCAAGCCGAAGCTCAATCTCGCCAGCATGCCAACCGAAATACTAGAGAAGATCATCGCCATGGCCATGCCAGAACGAGTCACTGTCACTGGGAGGTACAGCATACCGCTCGGAGAACTGAAAGCAGGCCGCTTCGATCGTCAAGCTACCAAATGGAAGCAGTGCTATCCCTTCCGGTGGACCATATGGTGGTGTCCTGGCCTGCTGCTCGTCTCCAAGAGTATTCGTCAGATTGTGCGGAAGCACTTGGCCGCCTTGCCATTTCTATGGTTCACCTGGGACACGTCTCAGCACGGTTTCCTGCTCCAGGCCATGGAAGGCCACGCCCTATGGCGCGCGCCAGCTGAGTGTAAGGAGATGATGAGGGATTACTTCAGAGAGTTGTTCACGAGGGATGAAGAACATGGTCTTCCGACTCGGCGTCGAGCTGCGAAGGTAGAAGAGACTTCCTGAGCTGAACAAGATCCGACAGCGTTTGGCGCCATCTTGTTGAACTTGAGTTGATAGTGACGAGAATGGCCGTTGTGTTGCACCGAGCAGACGCAACAAGCTATCGGTCGACTCGGAGGACGACACACGTTCGACCAAGACGCCAGCGAGACGACCAGTACAGCAGTCACAGGCCAATAAATTCTACCCGACAGCTGGGTCTCGAGTCTGTAGCAGTGTTGAGTAGTATCGTACGCTACGCTTGCGCGCAAAGGTGCGTGTTTGAGAGCGGCCAACAACGATAATGCCATGGAATCGATCTGTCTTTCATCTGATTTCTTCTGAGCAGTGAGGGACCCTTCGTAGATGTCTAAATGGCGCTTCATTTGAGTCACTGCTGGCAGCTCTTCCACAGCAACCCCTCGCAGTAGAAGATTCTCGCCTTCTCGAGATATCTTGCGCTTGTTTGAAATTCGACTTATTTTGACCTGCGCCACTTTCAGGTACCGAGTCCTCCTCGTCGGGCAAGTCATTTGAGACGACATCACGCCGTTGCATTTTCCTGCGCCATCGCCCTTCGCCATCGAGTATCTCCACCGTGCAATCGACCATGTCTCCAACTCTCTCTGCGCCGCCTTGGGTATGTTCAACTCCGACTCTCCTGCATGAGACTCCAACACTTACGCTCTCGTTAGGTCAAACCCGAACCGAATCTGTGCAGTATGCCCACCGAAATCCTGGAGAAGATCATTGGCTTCGCCATGCCGGACAGCCCTAGCCTCGGAGTCACCGCATGGTACCGAGTCAGAAGCTGGGGCTCGAATCGTGAAACCGACGTCTGGGAGCAAGGGTATCCTTTCTACTGGCACCCGAGCCAACGATGGGTTCCCGGTCTGCTCCTCGTATCGAAGGCTATCCGCCGAGTTACTCGGGAAACTCTGGCTTATCGCACCGATTTCAAGGTCTTCGCGCTCCCGACATATGTAAACTTTGTTCACAAAGTGCCGACTGAACTCAAGGAAAAGGTGAAGCGGTACTTCGACGAATTGCTGACGAGGGATGAAGAGCACGGTCTACCGGCTCGGGCCACGCTCTGAGAGAAGAATCAGCCTCTTCGGCTGGTTTGGTCCTGTCGAGGACGTTTGGTGCCGTCATGGCTGTGGGTGTCCTCGTGGAAAGGCAAAGGCTGAGTATCGGTCCAGGAAGAGTGGTCGGAAGAAACAGTACCGATCGACCACAAGGCTGGCGAACACGTCTGGTAAGTTGACCATGATACCGTGGCGACGAGTGCATCATGCTCCATGGGCCTCCAGATCATAACCAGTCACATCATTTCCGGAGTCTGCAGAAATGCCAACGAGACTCCAGCGACCTGCTCGAGCACGTGAGTGGTTTCAGAGAAAAGCAATGCGCCACTGCGCCGGCGCTGGGCTTGCTTCAGAATGGAGGAGAATAACAATACCATTGCTTCGATGTCTCTTCCCACTGTGTTCGAGTGATACCCAATCTTCGTTTCCCTGAAGTCCTCCCGATGCTGTACAAAAGTCTCTCAACGCAGCCATCCATGTTCACACAAGCCCACGACCATTTCTTCCCACCCATCAAATCCCAAATCCAATATCCTCCCTCTCATCATCCACCAACCTTCCATACTCCAACAACAGCCTGAAATACCACACCTCCAAATCCTCCTTCCGCAACACCTTCTCCGCCCACCCCTTACTCTCCTTCGCAATCCTCTTCGCTTCCTGTTGCCCACCCTCCTCCTCCTCAAAATACCTCACACTCTCCACATACTCCTCCCCCCTCAACCCCAGCGGCACATAATGCACCCACGCCTTCAACCACTCATCATGCCACTCCCTGAACACTGCGAGCTTATACACCAGACTATTGCTCTGCAGCCACGCGTGATAGCGACCGGAAAAGGCATTGCCGTCGATGTCGAGCAGGTAGCGGGACTGGAAGGCGTCGAACATGTTGACGGGGTCTGTGGTGCCGAAGTACTCGCGTTGGGCGTCGCAGTCGCCGGGGTCGCATTGGCCGATGAAGGTGAATTTGATGTCGAAGTATTTTGAGTAGGGGGTCATTGGGGTTGAGTGGACTTCCCATGCGCCGATTTCGGGTGTTGAGGAGGTTGTGTTGGGGGTGTATTGAAGGATCTGGGAGGTGGCCTGAGGCTGGATCTTCATGAGGAACTGCTGACGATGTTGTCTCCGCCAGCCTCCATCACGAGAGAAGCCGCCGGTGGTGGAGCCGCGCCAGTACATGGTGGCGTTCTTCTCGGCCCAAGGCATGTCGCGCTCGGGCTCGTACTTGACGCGGTCCATGTAGTACCAGGGCGAAGGGTAGAGGATGTCCTGGAAGCTGCTGACTTTTGACTGGCTGAAGATGGGAATGAGGTCGTGGGTGACGTCGAAGGCGTTGGGGCGGTCGAAGAAGCCGAATGTGCTCGAGGGAGGGGCTGTTGCAGATGTCGCTGAAGGCGGTGGTGTTGCGGATGAAGCCGAGGGGTTGGTCGGAGTAGGCGGTGATGTTGACGTGGCAGTCGCTGTCGATGCAGCCGCGGGCGGGGGAGGTGAGGGGGCAGGAGAGCTTGCTGTTGCTCCAGGTGGGCTGGTGGGCGAATTTGTTGAAGCGCGTGGTGCGGTAGTCTTTGATGCGCATGCCGTCGCCAAGGTCTGAGGGACGTTTCGAGAAGGAGTTGCGTGGGCTGGGGCTGTTGTAGGCGAGGGTCATGTTCTTGCGGCCTGCGGAGACGTGGCGGGCTAGGGAGTCGGCTTGGACTACAACTCGCGGCTCGTCGTGGATGTTGAAGGCTAAGTCCATGTCTGGCAGGTACTTGATGAAGTTGCCCAGCATGACGGGGGTGGCATCGCGGTGCCACTGGTACATCTCGCCGCCTCCGTCCATCTTGACTACCTTGCCGTTGCGGATCATGACTGCGATCAGCGCGTTGTCGAATCCGATCGCTTCTCGGGTCCGCTCGCGAATGACGGAGGGCTTGAGAGACCAGAAGGGTAGCAGCGCGTGGTATATTGTGTCGTACTCGTCGATCAGCTCGACGCCCCTCCTCTTTGCGAAGTTGTACCATTTGTCAAAGTGTGGCGGCGGAGGCACCTTGTACCTCCGCCTGTATTCTGCTACCGCATCCGCCAGCGATCGCGACTGTCTCGCGCGCACCGTCTGGAACGTGCTCTCGGCATCGGTGATGAGCCGGTGGATGGGGTGGGTGAGGGACCGCTGAGGGAGGAGCGGTGGATTCTCTTCGTGAGCATGGTGGCCGCGGAGTGGATTAGTGAAGTCATGCAGCGGGTTGCTGAGTCCCGGTAGTTCTTCGAAAGAGTCCTGGTTGCGCAGGAGGTACACGCTCGTCGCGAATATGGCAAGGAGAATGAGGAGGAAAAGCAAGCGGCGCGATCGCAGCATAACGCCTCCTCCTACATGTTGCGGATGCTGTGAGCCCACAGTCATCCGTTGTCACCAAGAGTCGCCGCTGATCTGAACTTGGAGTCACTGTCAGTTGGAATTGAAATGTTTGTTGAATGCTCATCGAGGACTCGGGGGCGGGTGTCCCAAAGAGGGTTGGCCCGACGCCGAAGTTGACCCGCGCCGGCCGACACACAGAGAAGTCTGGTTGTCGTGATCCGCGTCCTTCCTCATGACATTGCTAATGCTGCTGAACTTCAGCTATCGATTCAGCGACAAAGAGGACCTGCTCTGCAGTAGCCGTATCTTCACTTTGCACAGAGTCATGTTTGCATTGTTCAGAACCAACGCGAGACGCGCAAAGCGCATGTATATTCCGATGACACAACCGACGTCATGATCCTATACCTAGGATTCTGACGCTCGCTTCCGCTACAGCATATATGACGATGTGATTCGTGTTCTTTTTCATATATGTATTCACCAAATGGCAAGACATAGCTTTCCTCGCCTCAGCATCGCTCTGAGACAAAGACTCACTACCTACCCCAGCTGCACCAGAACTAGCTCTCCCTTCCTGACCCGTATAGCTCGACCACATCAATCCAGCATCATCAGAACAATGGCTACATCTCACTTCTCCAACGAAGATCTCAAGATCACCAAGCTCTTCGATCTGACAAAGGTCACCGCGGTCCTCACCGGCGGCGGCACCGGGATTGGACTGATGATAGCTCAAGCATTGCAAACTGCTGGTGCCAAGGTCTACATCATCGGTCGTCGCGAAGAAGCACTGGAGAACGTCGTCAAGGAGTACAGCACTGGCCCCGGTCAGATCATTCCCTTGCAGGGCGATGTCTCGAAAAAGGACGAGTGCATCCGCCTGGCTAAGGAGGTCGGCGAGAAGGAGCCCAAAGGTATCACCGCGCTCATCAACAACGCCGGTATCGCTCGAGACAGCAACACGTCATTCAGCAAGAACGGTCAGCCAGATATGAAGGACGCCGAGGCCATCTCAAAGCATCTCCTGCGATCCGAACCAGAAAATTGGGCAGAGACCTTCGAGACCAACGTCACAGCCCAGTTCTTCATGTCGGCCGCTTTCATCCCACTCCTCGCCCAAGGAACAGCGAATAGCGCGTACACAATGTCCAGCTCCATCGTCAACATCTCCTCAATCAGCGGCCTTATGAAGGGCTCCAGCAACGGCCAATTCGCGTATGCATCAAGCAAGGCGGCGTTCATCCATTTGACGCGGCAACTGGCAACCACATTGAAGGACGCTGGCATCAGAGTGAACCAGATCGCGCCTGGCATCTTTCCTAGCGAAATGACGACTCAAGAATCAGACGATAAGCAGAAGAGCGAGTTGAGTAGCAAGATCGGGAATCCAGCAGGTCTGTTAACCCTTTCCACTGCAATGTCCATCACTGACATATATGCGCAGGTCGTGGTGGCGCAGACTCAGACATGGCGAGCTCAATATTGTTCTTGGTCAGCCCGGCTGGGCTCTTCTACAACAACCAGCTGTTGCATCCGGATGGTGGTCAGATCCTTGCTGTTCCCGCAGCAATGTAATCTAGTTAGATCTTTTATGGAAGGGAGGAGCTACCTGGGTAGCAGACACGCCATTCTTGGCGCCAAGCTCATGGAGCGCGACTCCTTCGTGTCGACCTCTTCCTCAATTCTTTGAATCGTACATGCCTTCTCAGCCAGTGAGAACACTTGTCACAACTTCCCGTGTGCAGTCTTGATGTCTAACCAACAAAACAACGAACCCTCACAATGAACAGAGCTATCAGTGTGTCACTCGTCCGCGAAACAGCAGATCTCGGAGTCTCCGTCTTCGCGGTACCTTTTCGGCAGGACGCGGTTGCCAGCATGTGTTCCTCAGCAGTGTTGCTCCGTAGTACCAGCCTCTGCCAATCCGGGCCATCGCGACTATGCGATGACCACGCAGCTACCGGCCAGTACCATGGGCATCTTCATTTCTCCGAAAGCCAGCGACTGCGACAGAACAGCGGGCAAACAACACGGAATGCACAGGCGACCTCGAGACCGGCTGGTCTATATATTCAACAATCAATCGACGATGAGGCAGTTCGAGGTTGTTCAGTGGCTGCCCGGACGACCCAACTTGCAGCCACAATCGGTATGTCAACTACTCAACGCGTTCGAACACGACCTGGACAGCGGCAAGAACTTCCACCACGACTGGTCTTTGCCGTCCGGGTCTGCTCCATTTCCGAATCGTGCTCAGGAAGCCGTTGCATCTCTCTGGCGCGGCGCACCTATCTGCAAGACTGAGCACCTACGTTTCATCCATCACACATCCATGCTGCAGGCGCCCACCTTCAAGCTCAGAGGCCCACGTCCATGCTGTCGAGGCCAACGTCCATGCCGCAGTTGCCCACGGTGGTCGCAAGGTCGATACGGATCATGCAGACGCACGAAGCGAGAGCTGCCTTATGCGGGTGTCGATGACAAGAACTGCGACAGCTGCAGATCAACGGCCAACGACCACCGACCATACACCAGATGTGGGCAGCACGGGATGTGGGCATACACGAGCTGTGGGCAACACGAGATGTTCTGCCTGCTCTTGGCAACATCTTGCGAAGCCCTACCTTGCGAAACCATGCTGGCAAGCCACATGTTACATGTCGGTCGTGAAGCTGGCGGTCGCAGCATTCAGACTTCGCCTGGGCAGCAATGCCGGTGGTCTTCGACCTCCTGGTCCATTACTAATGTGGCTCCAGATCTCCGCTGTGCGCTGGAGTGCTTAGTCGATTTCGATCTTACAGGGACACCGTCTTGCTAAAATGTTTACTCCAGCAGTCGCCCCGACCATCAACGCAAGCGACGATGCCAAACCGATCCAAGCATCTTAAGCAGCAAAGCCAAGGCATCGAAACCCGCATCAGCGTAGGACAAGACAGTCGTGCTCACGGATCTTGCATGGCCAGCACATGAGATGGAGAAAGCCACTCAGGGCTCGGAAACCCAACTTGAGGGGTTTCCCGCGTGCGCAGGACCCTCAAAATACATCACCCGGCGTTTCGGTGGCTCACTCGCTAGATGTCAACCATTCAGATGAAATAGAATCCGAGCAGGCTGGGCTGCCTTGCGGTCGGCGGTATGTTCAGCTGCAGGACCTTGTCCTAATCCATCACCTTCTACACGATACAGGAGCCACGGCGGCATTCAGATCCGTGGGAACTTCCTAAAACGAACTAAGCCAACCTGGCGCCCAGTTCGTACCACGTGCTCGAAATGCGCAAGCCTTTTGACCTTTTCTCTTCTTCCATATGGTCCGACGGGCGGACCAAGGTCTTCGAAGTTCGGAAGGCCACGCAAGTATGTCACATCACCACCAACCATAATTCGAGCACGAAGCCGGCATGATTTACCGACTCAAGACAAGACCGTCGGTCGAGTAGCAGCATGAGCTGCTAATGGCACAGGCCCTCGGGGAGCTTGCGGATCAATTACCGCGATGGACTCCATAGACCCGATCTTCGAAGACATAAAATAAGCATTCTGGCCATAGTGCATAAGCGTTATTCGGGCATCCTGAGCAAAAGGACAATAGGATGTTCCACACACGAAGCTTGGTCATTATGGGGTCCACAATGATTACTGAAAGCCACGGTGAAGAGCCAATATCCCAGACGATCGACCACGCGCGCTGCAAGCTCCAGATGGATGGACCAAGCCACCGATCAAACATACTATTATCGGCCTTATCGGCCTAGTCTTGGCACTCGCGCGTAGCCAATGCTTCCGAAGAAATGCTGGCAAGCCGCCGGTCATGCTATCGCTTCTGTACAGACCGAGTCCGCTGTAAGCGAACTTTCGCGAGCGCAGGAGCGTTTGGCGGTGCGGATTTTGTTGGCGGTGCGGATTTTGCTGAGTCGTTACTGATGTGGCTGAAACGCCTTCCAGTGGAGTGCTTAGTCACCCGTGACCTAGCAGGCCCCAAGTCTTGCTAAGATATTTGCTCCGGCAATCGCCCCGCATCGACTGCACACAACAATGGCAATCCAATTCAGGCGTCAAAATTGCTTCTTTGACGCATGCAAATCGTATCAGTGTGGGACAATCCCGTTGCGCTCACGGATCATGCATAGCTAGCGCAAGAAGCGGGGAAGGCTCTTTGACTGAACTCAAGCGGGTTTCCGCACTCATGACACTCTGGAGAACCATCACCCGACTCTCAACCGACCGGACGAAGCAAGCCGCGATGGACCTGGGAAGCCTTGCAGTCGATGGTGCATTTGCTTTCGGTAGCGTGTCCCCAACTGCATCCAGAAGGACCGACGGCATTTAGCTCGGCGGCGGATTCCCTGGCCACAAACCACGCTGGCTTGCGACTCGTTTTGAGCCATGAGCCCGACATATGCATGGTTTTGTTTATCTTGTCCCTCATTTACCTTTTTCCCGCGGATCGAGTACGGTTTCTGAGTCTCGTAGGACGATGCAAGCATACAACGTCATGGACAAGCCCAATGCTGAAGTCATCAGTATGCCCTCAGCTTTCAGGACGCAGACTGTCGTCTTGACTTCAGTCTACGGGCCGACAAACTCGTACGGGACCTTTGACAGCATCGAGTGCGACAATGGCGCCGATAAAGTTCAGCAGATATTATCATGACCTCAAAACAACAAACCCTGATGAGTGGGCGTTTCGCAGGGCAAATGAGCGCTCACACGCCGCACGAGTTGCTCATGATCGCCGCCGGAAGAAGCAAACAAAGTCTGAAGCACTTTCCGAGCCTGCTGAGATTGCGCTGGCACCACAACCGTCGACATGCATACTTGACCCATTCGTCAGACTTCCCACCGACAACATAACGACAGCGGACAAAGGTCTGTTGCATTCATGTGAGTGACGTCCACTATACGGCTGGCGAATAACTGAACAAGCGACATTCAGATCTAGTCACCATCCCATCACAATGGCAGACCAATGCATACGCCGGCACGGGTTCTGTGCGGGAGGTGTCCTTACACCATATCTGTAACAACGAGATTGTCTTGCAATGGGTGCTCCTACTGGCCGAATCCCGTATCTCGAACTCGCCACTCCGCGACCGATCACAGCACCGACGGCGCCAGCGTGTATATCGCACGATGCGCCACGCCGCAATAACAGCAGACGTCTGGGACGACAATCTCATTTATGGCGTCTGCTTCGCCATCATGACAGAGTATCGAGTTGGTAGCAGGGATCGGGCACAGGTGCATCTGCAAGCATATCGGGCGATTTGTGCTACTCGACAAGGATTGAGCTCGACTGAATCAGTAAAGAAGGGACCAAGCTTCATGAACGCAATGCTTATGATGTATGACGTTGCAGCTTGCAGACCAATGCTACGATGCAAGAGCGGCGCCTCGCCCGAGGAGGACGCTGTGAGCCGGCACATTCCAGAGCCACTGAAAGCTATGGGAGCACACTGGCGCGAGCGCAGGACGATGCGCCAGCTTCGCCGGCAAGTGAGCGCCAATCAGATCAATGCTTGGTCTGATGAGATCACATGGCAACACCAGCAGAGTTCGGACTACGTGGGACCAACACCCTTCACGAACCTCCGCCAAGCTCTGAAATACTGCATCACCGACAACAGCCACACCGACTCTCGCAGATGTCTTGGAATCCTCTTCACCCTCAATCTCTTTCTCTGCTGGGGCCATGACTTCTCTGACCTACAAGTCCTTGACTTCTTCCGCAAACTGGATCAGCGATTGTCTGCGGCTCTTGCTGGACGGCATGTACACGATGATGATCAGCACAGCAGGAGCGACACACTCGCATCCAGTTCGGGCTTTGCTTCCGGCTCTGCCTACGGCGTATCTCCGAGCGCCAACGACGTGCCAGCGACAACTCTCGTCCCTCTGCTGCTGTCCGTGACGGAGGGACTCATAAGGGAAGCAGCTCGCGAGTCGTCGGCCAAATACGAGCTGGTGTTTGTGTGGGAGGTCTTGCGGATGCTGGAGATACTTGTGAGGCTTGATGGCGTGCGAGTGGCGGGGTCGGGATCTGTACTGGCCGAGTCAAGGGAGTATCTGGGAAGTTCCTTACTGGGCGTCTTGGATGATGAGGCGGACATAATCAGGGCTGAGGAGGAGAAGTTCTTGAGTCGGGCGGAGACTGGCCTGGGGAAGGGAGGCGGAGGAGGTAGACGACCAGCAAGCAAAGGTGAATCTGGTTGTGACCTTCTAAGAGGCATTAAGTGTGGACCTGGGTGTTGAGAAAGTCATTTCACACTTCAACAGCAACAGCATATGAGGTGGGTTTCATCAAAGGTCAGATCAAGGAACGAGCATTACGTTGAAGACGTCCTCCAAAGGCCCCGTACGATGCTGGCCTCGACACACAGTCTTTCCTCTACGTGCCGTGACAATCGACTGATCTTGCACATTCGACTGGATGTTCAACGCATCACCTCACTTGCTTCCGCCCAACTTCTCCTGTACGGTCCCACCAATCGCGCCACCAGTAGTGAACTGCTTTCCAATCGCACCATCCTTGCTCAGCGGTCCGCCGATGGCTTCGGCTGTGCCGCCAATCGCTCCGTCCGCTATTGGATCATAACGTCAGCACGTGGACCCTCTGCTCGAAACTTGAAAACGCCCACGGGCCCCAAGCAATGGTACATACCAGTAAAGTGCTTCCCAACAGCACCCTGCGCGTCAAACGCGTTTGCCTGACCCCCAACAGCCTCCGCTGCGCCGCCGCTGGTGGCTTTGTCGCCGAGGATGCCGCCGCCCGTGCCGCTGTTGGCGGGAGTTTTGGTGTCGCTGGCCATGCCGCCGTTGCCGGAGGTTGGTTTGGATGCCATTGTTCTGTGGAGAGTGCGGAAGACCGGGAGCTTTGTTCGACTGGTTCGTGTGAGGGTGGAACTAAGCATGTGGTACTTGTGTTAGACGTGAGGGATGTTGAGATTTCAGTAGCTAGTAGTTATCGAGAACTCTCGGATCGGATCTGCGTTGACATCTATAAGGGACCGGATCTCACAAGGCAAACTTTCAGGCGTCATGACGACGTCATGAGCTGATCATCGGATGTGGTGTGAAGCTGTTCCGTGACGTGCACATTTGCCTTCGACGGGTCATCATATCACTGGTTGGAAGTATTATGCGAGGATGGCGCTCGAATGATGAGGTGAGATGTCGAGGATATGCATGTGCTGCGCCGATGGGCCCCATGGTACAAATATGAGGTGTAGAGACGAGGGATCGCGGGGCGCTTGGCGCTATTAGTTTTGCGGGCATGGAGTCCACAGCTTTTCCATTACCAACTACATGTGACTAGGACCACCCGGAGTATCGCGTGCAGCAATGAGCGGCAGGTAGCAGCCATTTGGGTGCGTAGGAGCTCATAACATCTGAAGACTATTCCATGTGCAGCAGGGGTTGGTGGAAAGGCCACCTCGTCGCGAGCTCTGGACTCCGTGCTGACCTTTCCGCTGACGCTGCAGAAATTGACGGAGAAGTCGAATTTCACTTCGATGCCAGATACGCACCCTAATCCTGCTCCAGACCGTCATGACGGGCCACGTGTGATGCAGCTCATGTACGGCAACAGGACCGAATGCCTTCTCTTCTACCTGACAAAACCTCTGCCGGACTAATCGACCGGACTGTCACCTTGAGCATGGTGCGTGATTTCCTCGGACGACTCTTGCGTCTCCCTTCCTGGCGTTGGATTTTAGGACATCGCATTAATCACTCGAATCGATCCCTTGTCCTGCTTCATCGACTGCAACTCAGCCGATCCATTGTTTGTCGGGCACAGTGCCAACGAGCTTCATGAAATGACGCAGCGCCAGTCGGTACGTTCGGCTCCTAGCGAAGGCATCTCGCTCCATGGAACTATTCAGCGCATCTGCGTTTTGGACCTCGATAATGAGCTGGGTATCGAGCTTGGGCAGCAAAGACTGAGTGACTCGGCGGAACCGCTTCGAGGTGAGCAGAAGATTTGGAATGCGTGCCTGGTACCACTTGATAGCGCCGTGCAGAGTGTTGCTCACAGCCAGAGGCCCTCTGCCCTTGAACGACATCTCAATGCTGACTGTTTGGCCGATCGCGAAGGCGACGATCTTCTCAAGAATCTCGAATGGCATACTCCCAAGCTCCGGCTTGCGTTTGTCCTTGCTCAGATCATCAGTCTTCATGCTTACGCCGGATCAAAGAAAGTGAGAGAGCCTTACCCATGGTGGTGCAATGACGGCTGAAGACAAGATCACATACATGTTGACGCGGTGGCCAGAGGCGGCGAGGTTTCGTAGGCCGCCTGTTTGTAGCTTTGTGCTGAACGTGAGTGAGAGCGATGGCGAGCAACGATGACTGCTGCAATGGACAACGATGGGCGCAGATGCAAGTTTCCGAGGCTTGCGTGAGGTATGAGAACACGATGGACGAAGTACCATCACAAGTTGAAATGGAAGGCGAGGATGCCAAGACAACTGGAGCGCGCCTGTGGCTTCCTGGGTATGCTAACCGTTCAGTGACTGCGTCCTGGGCAGGAAGTATGGACGGCAAGAGCTATACATGCGAGCCAAAGGGAGAGGTTGTCCGGCAATCGGCGAGAACATTACATTGTCAGTACCGCGGATTGACTACAAGTGCGGATGCAGGTCGATGAACGACGCTACAGGACGGAAATGAGTAAAGGAGGACAAGGGGCGGAAAATAACGGTGCCATTGTCCGATCTGGTTACTGATGCACCTGGTGCTGGGCATACCTCAGCACCTCATCTGCAGATTACAGCTATCGCTCGTGGCGTCGCGTATGTGTCGATTTCCCGCTTGTCACAAATGGAGACCTCGCCATCGACCAGATTTCCACTGGACGCCGCCTCAGAGTCCCGATCTTTCAGCTGACTGAGGTTTGTTCGATGACGGTCCGCGTCTGGTGTCGCGAGGCTTACTCTTGAAGTTGACCCTCAATGCGAGATTCGGCGTATTCCCAAACGAAGGCATACGTCTCCGGGGAATGAGTCAGCTCCCAACCAGCCATGTCCCCAACAACCTGAGTCCACGCAAGATCTACGCTGACCACCTTGTGCACAACACCGCCCAACGACGTCTTCTCCTCTCCGACTGACAGATTGTACTGAGACTTGACCCACTCCTTCATCTTACCCCGGATGGACTCGCCACTCGCCTTCAACATCTTTCGGACCTCAGGCTCTCCCATAGTGAAGTGAATGCCGCAGTTCTTCACCATAGCGACCAGTACGACCTTGCGAATGCGTCGGGAGACAAGGCGGAGGTTCGAGACCCACTCTGGCGACCAGGAGATGGATGTCATGCCGATGCGGTGAACGTTGGTGATGTTGATGTCGAGATTGTCGGGGACGGTGTAGCCGATGATCTTCTTGAGGATCTCAGTTGGCATGGTGTTGAGATTGGGGTTGGGTTTGTCCTGGTGAGGGTGTCAGCGGTGGTTTGGAGGTGGGATTTGTTGCGGGATTGGACTTACCCATGCTGGTGCGGCGGGAATTTTAGACATCTTGGGCAAGCCTAAGGAGGTTTGAGATTGACGAGGTTAAGGCTAGAGGACTGTTGCGACGTTCTCAGCTTGACTATACGTAGTTGTGGTGGAATATCGTAGTAAGAGAACACGGTTGCAACTAGTTCACGTATAGAAACAAAGTCTTGGCGTGGTCAACAAACTACAGCAAATTCATGTGACCTTGCAAACGAAGAAGTCACGCTCAGGTCAGGTGAAGAGTGATGAGTGTACCTGAGCTCCCTAATGACTTGTTGCCTCCATCCCAAGCTTCAAGTGACGATCAGCAGCCACAGCCACATTGGCCAGCAAATGCATTTGCAACACGATCTATTTGGACGACTTGCTGACCTTCCACCCCTGATCTCGGGCGACTCATGCTCTGCCGTGATCACGTTGACGGCGCTCTCGGACGGTCGGCGCGTTCAGCCTTGATGTGTTCGTGACGGACTGTGTTGTACCAGCCGGCCAGGTACCGCTGCATCGACCATGTCATGACCACTTGTGTCCAACTCGCTCGCCGTGCCTAGCTAGTCCTCCTTCTTGGTGATAATACGCTTGACGTGTTCTTCAACCTTCTTCACTATGCCAGCTTTCATAGGGTAGAAATTGCGATAATATTCGTCGTCGTCGAGGACAGGTTCTTCCATCAACCTGACGAACATGAACTCGATGTGACGTTGGGAAAGGATCTTTCGGCCAGTCTTGCGGATGGTCTTCGACACGAGCAGGATGCTCATTGGGTTCCAGCTCTCGTAGAGGACCCCGGAAGAGGTTAGCTGGCGCCAGTTGAGTGGTTTGAGTAGCTCCAAGAAGTAGTCTTCCTCACGAGAGGTAATGCCGTAATATGCTGAGATTTTGAGTTCCATTGGCAAGGCAAAGCCGATGATATTCTCCAGAATCTCGAGGGGCATGCCCGTGAGAGTCGGCTCTGGTTTGTCCTAGAACATAGTCAGCGGTCCGTTGAAGAAGGTGCTCTGCGTTAGCATACCCAGGACGGCGCAGAAACGATGCCGGACATCGTTATTGGAGACAGGCGCGATAGAGTATGGCGAGGCTTTCGCTCAATTCGTACGATGCTATGGGGCGCTGAACAAGTAGACTTGCATTGAGTGATCGTGAGCAGAGTGGCGATAGAACAAGGCGCAACGATGTACGATTCAGCGAAGGCGACAAGTTCTGTCGACTTCGAATGATGTGGAAAGGGAAATGCATGGACAAGTGAAGTCAAAAATGCCACGACCCCACCTGAAAGAAGTTCAAGGTTGTTCTGATCTCTGTGGGTGCTCAAGTGACAAAGACACCTAGTGATCGCCTCAACGCGCAACTGCTTGGTTGGCATGCTAGTTACCTGCACAGGATCGAGACTCCATACCGTGGCATAAGTCGAAGGGTTGGCTGCTGAAGAGTGTCAGTAGGTGCTCCTGCCTACGCTCGTGCTCCTTCACGTTCATCACCTAAGGTCCAGCACTCGTTGTCTCACTCAACGACACAGCTCATGTTCGGGCTACTTATATGCTCTAGGAGCGCGGTCGGCTACCCCGCCGCGTTGGTGAACATATTCTCGAAGTGGTCGATGGACTTCCTTCTGACGACACTGTCGAAAGCAGGTAGACGGTAGTTGCTGCCATGAAAGCTAAAACGCCGGAAGCAGTGGTATTTGATACGCGTGGACAGAGCTCTCAGTGCAGCCGTACGGATGCGCTTTGACAAGAGCAAAAATTCGGAATCCCATACCTTCCTGCGATCCCCAAAGTCTGATGACTGGAACCACTGGAACGCTTCATCTTGCACATAGACCGTCGAGCGGCTACGAGACGAAAACTCGCTCCGATATGTTGCCTCGACAATGACGCTCTCCGGAATGGCAAAGCCGATGATCTTCTCCAGTATTTCGAGTGGCATGCCGGCGAGAGTAGGTCCGGGCTTCTCCTATCAACCACATTAGCGCCTGATTTGGAGAGAAGGACTGCTGTACCTACCCATGGCGGCGCAGATACGACCTGAGACATTTCGCGAAGGACCAATCGATGCGGAGTACGGCGCGTGCGTACGATCGAGCGTTGGACGAAGTTCGCGGAGTCCAATGTGGATGTCGAGCGAAGCAAAGGGTGATGAGGTCGTCCCGAAGAGGACGGCGCCGCGTACTGATATTGTCGTGGCGGGTCGAAGACTTCCGTGCTGTCATGGAGACAAAGTAATGCCAAGAGATTGCCCCCAGAAGCGATCACGAGAAATCAGCTCAGCTTCAGATGAAGTCAAGTGATGCCAACTCTTGAACGCTTAGAGCGCCCGGTTGCCATCCCAGCTCGCCTGTCCGCGAGCTCTGATCGCCAACTACCGGTTTCCAAGTACGACTTCTCTTTGTCGTGCAGCGGTCGTGCCGCCAGACACTGTCTCGTCCGTTCTCTCGCAAGACCGTTCGTCCCCTGATCTTGGCCGACCGTCCCTTAATGTGAAGTCTTATACTTGAGTTCGAACGTGCGCACCTCCCACCCCTCCTCCTCTATCCAAGACTCCAGATCACGCACGACGGGATCCATCACACGAACCCGTTCCTCAAAGCGCTTGACAGCGTTCCTCTTCGCATATACCACATCAAAATATTCATCCAGTTTGCACCCGTTGAGAACGTTGATCGTGCCCCGTAGCTCGGCACGGTCCCTGAGTAGTGGCCGAACGATACAGTATATCCGCTTAGACACGAGTGTCAGGTTATCGATCCACAGCGGCCAGCCGTCGTAGTCATGTTCTCCTTGGTACCCGTAGCGTGCATACGACATCCGAGCTTTCAGGCGCTCTGGGATGGCGAAGCCGATGATCTTCTCAAGGATCTCCTGCGGCATGCCAGACAAAGTAGGCTCGGGCTTGTTCTATGAAGGGATCGTCAGCGCAGCGTCCCCCAGTACCGCATTGACTCAAGGTTACCCACCACAGACGGCGCAGCAATGCTATCAGACACGAACACCCCGACGGCCGAGCTGGGCCTCTTTGTTGCTGGGCCCAATTTGCGCAGAATGTCTGATCGGGCCCGATCGAGGCGCCTCATAGCCAAAGCCCGTTCCAGATCGCTCGAACCCATACTCGACGTCTCCGCTGCTGTGCTCTTGTTCCTCAAGCACTTTGAGCAGAAGAATTTCCACGTAAAGTTGGCCATTGACGGCGACGGATTGCCACAATACTTGTGATATCGGCGTTGGCAAGTTGCACATCGTGTCTAAGGGCGTATAGCAGACGGCCCACCTCTGCACTCACTGCAAACTACCCGCGATCGCGATGGCTGGGACATCTCTGTAGGGGGAACTGCTGGTCACGGAGAGACTGCCAGCCGCAGATACCCTGTCCGTTCGAGGGCGATGAGCGATGAGCGAAAGCCGGCGGTGCGGCTCGTCCCGCGTCGTTGACGGGAGACTGTCGCGGCAGGAACAACCATGGGACCAGGCGACGAGGTACAAGGTCTCAAAGACAGGAGAGCAGGGTCGGGAACTGGAAGTCAAACCACGGACGCCAAGAGATCACCGGCCGAGCCGCGGATACCAACCTTGGAATTCCGCCTTGCTCAAGCTTGTCAGGCCTGGACACGGCAAGCGCGACCCCCCACGTCGCCTATAAGAACCTCGTCCTACAGCCTGCCACTACGTCACGCACATAGAACTATCCATATGACAATGCATGCCTGATACCCTTGTAACGCGTGTTCCTAGGTGTGCCATCACCGAATCTTACCACCTATGCAGCCTACACGCGAGGACGGCTATCAAGCGGAAGGCAGCCGAAATCTGTCAAACACCGCAGAAGAGCGAATACAGTTCTAATCTGAGAGATGGCCAATTCCTACGTAAACTGTCTACTTCCACACAGCGCTTCACCGTCTTCATGTATTGATACCTTATCCTTCCCTCTGGCACCAGATACGCTCCCAACAGCCATCCTACCACCCTATCCTTTTCCTCAGCGCTTCACGTCTCCGTGACCCTTGTCGCTACCTCATCAGCAAACCCGAACCTCCGGACTCAACGGACTAACAACACTCATCCCACCCATCCCGTGCATCATCCGCTCTCCCATGCCTCCTGTTCCACTCCCACTCCCAACCATCTCAAACCCCGGCACAACTCCCCGCTTACTATTACTCCTCGCCACCATATTGCTCCTGACCAACTTCAACGGCTCCGGCGGACTTCTGGTCCTGCTACTTGTCTTCCTTGCCCTAAGCGGACTCATTGCCGCAGGCAATGTCGGACTGTCGACATCATTGATCACAAGCGAGGCGCGCCTCTCCCACATATTGCGGACTGAACTGATGCGGGACGGCGCAGCTGGCGTTTTGACAGATTGAGAGCGCAGAGGTGGCGGTGTTGGCGCCATAGTTGCTGACGAGAGCAGAGGCTGATCTGCGCCCCTCATGGTCGGCTTCGCTGCGGGAACGGTCGGCGCACTGCCGAAGCCTCGAACGACGACTGGTCGCTGCGGTCTGCTCTGCGCTGGTGTTATGATTGGACGTGAAGCACCATGTGCCTGTACGCTTGCTGTCGAAAGTTGCCCGGATGATGCAGACTGTGAGCTCATGCTGGGCGTATATGTGACCGCCGAGAGGATCTCAAGGCCGTTCTCGTCGAGCCTCGATCCGCTTCGCCCATGCTGTGGATGCGAAGTTTTGATCTGCTCTAGTGGCGGTCGTCTATCTGGCATGGCCGTCGGCTGTGCTGGTTGTGTGGTGGCAGGCGGGTGTGGAAAAGTATGCTCGACCGTGCACCCTTCCTCAACTTCCTCGTTGTGCTCATCTTCGTCCTCATGCCACGGGTTCGAGGGGACTTCCGGTGTACCAACTGCGTGCTCCGCCCTCCGATCTAGCATAATCGGCAGCAAAGGAGAATCCCCAAGTGTTGAAGGCGCCCTACCACTCGTTGGCGTACCGGTCGCAGTAGCTCCATCGAGGTAAGAGTCCGGAATGCCGAAATCCTCGAGCTCCAAGCTTAGCTTCCTCATCCGCTCGTCAAAGTCAATGCGCTCGCTTTGATGCCGAGAATGGCTCCGTATATTGAACTCGGCAACTGCTGCTGCTGCTGCAGCGGCAGACTCGGCGCTGTCTGGTGTCAATACTGGCGTCGGCCCAACTTTCGCAGGCAGAGTAGGCGAGTCGCCCCACGTGGCCCATTCTGGTGCTACTGGCAGCTGAAGGAGCCCTGCTGCGGGCAGGACCGACGACTCAGAAGGAGCACTGGCGACCCGGTCGACGGGTAAATTGGTACCGAAATTGACAAATGAAACGTTTCTGCGCCATTCTGGATCTCCACCGGCGAGCTGCATTGTGTCTTTCGCCATATCGAAATCCTCATTCGTCTTCAGTGATGGCGGATCCATCCACATACCAATGTAGCCGATAGTGTAGCCTTTGTGGCTCGGAAGTTGTGCGATTTTGGCGCCTGTCAGTGACATCGGCTTCACGTCATGCCCATTCGACTCTTTCAGTCGCTTGCCAGAAGTGTCTGGAATCGCATCCGTGACAGCTCGGTATGCTTCGAAGTCGACGTTTCGTTTCTTGCTAGGCGGATACATCCAAAGCCCGACCTGACCGAGCGTCCGACTTTGCGTTCTAGACGCTGGAAGCTGACACCGCTCTGGAATGATGGGCACTGTAGAGTCGTTGAGTACCATCACTGATCGAATCAAGGTTTTTCCGCTGCCAGATGAGAACGACAACTCCGTCAACTCTGCGCTGATTTGCTGAAAGTCATGTGCCATCCTGTTGAGCAAGTCGTTCTTGCTTCTGAGTAGGAAGTTGGTTGCGTTAACGACGTGCTGCTCAAAGTCGTGATTGATCTTTCTGGAAGGCGGGCTCATCCACATGCCAACACTTCCAAGCGTCAAGGCACCCTGCGCTAGGGACTCTTGGTTGAAACTCATGGCAGGATCCCATAACTTCTGCATAGAGCCGACCACAGGCGCGAACGCCCATGTGGATCTGCATGGCTTGCGTATGTTGCGCTTCTGGCGAGCATTTTTGCACTCACTCTCGAAGTACTCAAAGTCTTCATTCCCAATCCGAGAGGCAGGCCTCATCCACATTCCAACATAGCCTTTGGTAAGACCAATCCCGCTGGTGCCTTCGTGATCGATATTTGGCCACAGCCCCGCAGCAAATCCCACCGACGACTTTGGGCTCTCGTCCATTGGTTGACTGCTAGGCAGTGCGTTCGGTGAGGCGCTCAGAGCAGGAATCCTCACACCTTGGCGACTCAGCTCAAAGTCTTCGTTGATCTTCATAGAAGGCGGCGACATCCAGAGTCCGACATAGCCTAGCGTTCGACCGCCGCGAGCAACGTCCTTTAACGCCTCAGCAGTCCAGATGCCTGAGCTGATTGCGCTTGCACTTGTTCCGGAATAGTAACGTTTTCGGGAACGGCCAAATCCCCGTGCCTTCGTTCCCAGGATAGCGGTTTCAAAGGCGGCATTCGCAATCCGTGATCCTGGAGACATCCACATCCCGACATACCCGAGCGTGGTTCGTATGCCCGCATCGCTTTGCTTTGTGCACTGTAGGGTCTGTGGGCCTCGCCACAGATGCTTGCTCGATTGTGCGCAGGGCTCGTGTGCGAATCGTCGATTCGATAACATGAGTAGCGTTGGGAAGACTTCGCGGCGGCACGGCTTGAGCTCAATGACAACTGAGGTTTCCGGTGGATGTGTCAGCTCACTTCGAGAGTGCGTATAGACACTCTGCACGTCGGATCTGGCTAGTGGTTGAGAAGTCCTTCCAACTGTCGCCATTCGGCTTGCGAATTTGTCGATGGCGGCTTGATCGTATAGACAGGGTCGTGATGTGTCCGTGAGACCTTGAGCTCTTGCGTGCGACTTCCTGGCAATGGGCCCGTCAGACGCAGAGAATGAGTACAGTCGATCGACTTTCGAGGTGACTCTTGTGATCTTGAGGAGATGATCATGCTTAACTATCGAGGCATTTCGACGAGTCTTGGAATGTGTGAAGACACTTTGCATCTCCTCTCGACGCTTGGCGACCTTGTGGTCGGTCTGGCAAGTAGATTTGCGACCTCATCAATAGCACCTTGATCCCACACCCAGTGTCCAGTAGTCGGCGATACATGCTTAGCACGAGGCCGTCCTGCAGCATTGCCGTCAAACACAGAAAATGTGTACACACGATCAATCTTGCCTTTGGCCGTCTTTGCTCGGGATGGCAGAGGCATTTCCGAGACTAGCTTCTCGTGATGCAATTCTTCTCGTGAGTGAGAGAAGATCCGCTCAACCGTCCGAGTCCTCTTCTGATGGCGAGGGCCGTCGGAGTTTGAGCCGGGCGCTGATTTCTCGTCCGCAAGGTGGTCGACAGCGGCTTGATCGTAGATTCCCAACCCTGCAGGCTTGCTGTCAATGTGCTGACTCCTTACTTCGCCTGCAGCGAGGCCGTCAGAGATGGAGAAAGAGTACACCTGGTCGATCTTGTTGCGTAAGGGAGGAAAGGTTGGAGCCTTCAGACTCGGTTTCGATGCTGCCGTTGGAACGAGTGCCGGAGCTTCCTTGGCCACGTAAGCATCGAGGTGCGTCCGGGAGGAAGCCTCATACCTTGCGAACGGACGAGCGTCCGAGGAAGAGAGTACGTCACCTTGGTCGGCGCTCCCCTGTTCCTTCGCAGGCAGTTCTTCTGGTGTAGCTTCACCAATTTCAGCCGTTCGTGTCATCGTATTCTGCGCGACCATGTCAGGTAGCAACGGTGAAGGCAGCAATGTCGGCATAAGCTTGGCTCTTGGTTGCTGCTCCCGGATCCGCTGGTAGCTTTCCCCAGTCCCATACTGTGCTGGATTCATCGAGCCTAGCGCAATGGTCTGGCGCCTTGGCATTCCAGGTGCTGCAGCCCTTGTGATTGTTGGTACTGCAACGGGCAGCGGTCCTTTCATGGGTTTGAACGACAGGCTTCCAGCTCTCGAACTCGACCTGTCTCTTGCTCTCAGTGTCAGTTGAAGAGGCAAAGTAGCTTGAGGCGACGATGTCACCGAAGCCATGGTGTAGGGAGTATCGGCTCCAGCTGGCGTCGAAAAGATGCTTCGGGGTGCGCTGCTGGATATGGAGCTTGCGTTCGTTCTCCGCCGGATCAGCCGCGGACGTGGAGCATCACTTGGTAACTGCTCGTCCATTGTGCGCAAAACACTGTTTGCAGCAGAGTCGGTGCGAACGTGACCCGTATCTAGACGACCTCTCCCATAGGTAGACATGATGTAAGCGACGCTGATTTCGGATGGTAGCTGGCTAAGACGCCTGACTGAAGGCTCACTCAAGCCAAGGAACGAGGCGAGTGATCTCATTGCCTTGCGATTCTGCATAGCATCGTATGCAGTCGATACCAGGCGATGTCTCGTGGTCTGAAGATCCTTCGTGTCATCGGTCGGTGCAGCAACGAGGCTTTCCTCGTTGATTGCGTGCATCGCCTGATCGACCAGATCCGCAAAGCTGACAGCCTGATCCGAGAAGCGGAGCACCGCAGACAGCGAGGACGGATGCGGAAGAACCTTTGACGAGTAAGTCCCGTCGGTAGCCCGCTGCACGATATCATACTTGGCACGAAGACGAGTCCTCGCGACGCAGGACTTCCCAAGTCCTTCGATGGCCATGTGCTGCCAGAATGACTCGTATCTGCAAGCGATACGCTCAAGGCCGCAGAGGAGCTTTGTCGTTGCGTTTGGCGGCAAGTCGTTGTCCGTCAATTCCGCTTCGGTCTCAATCATTTCCAGCGCGACGGACGCCTCTTCTCGAACTCCTTCGAGCAGGTGCAGCTCGATGGCTGTCGCTGCTTGACAGTACTGGTGAATGCTTGCGATTTGAGCTGGTGTCAGATAGGTCGACTCGCTCAGCTTCATGATTGTAGTAAGTTCGTCCTTGCTCGCCGCGGCCATTGGCGAGTTAGTTGCACGGGCAATGATGCCCATCACATCAGGGAGCTCAGCATCGGGTCGGGCACCGATGACATGCGCAAATGCGGTACGCAGATGCAACTCTTGCAAGCTCAGCCCGAAGATGCTTGACACAGAAGCGGAGAGAAGCCGATGCTGCAGCCGCAGGAAATCGAAGAGTGGCTGCCGATTGTTCTCGGGTCCAAACCATGTCGTGCTTCTTTCCAGGAGCCTATTGGCCTCGAAGCAGAACGCTGTAAGCGTTTCCACGACCGAGTGAAGATACCTCACCCACGTACCGTAAAGCGCTCGCATATGCTCGGTAGCGAATGCCGGCTTGGATGCCAAAGATCCGACGTAAAACGCGGGCAGCACAGTTGCTATGTCGGAACCATTGCTGAGCAGCGATGTCGACTTCTCGGTGATTGCAAGACCAGCATACAGCTTCATCGTCTGTGCATGCCAAGGTTGTATCTGGTGCAGATCTGTGAAATCGTAGACTTGGCCTCGATAAGCAACCCAGCTGGGCAAGTCTGTGCGATGCCCTGTATGCTGTGCCAATTGAGACAGGCTGATTGTGGCTTTGTTCGTCATCGTGGCCATCGGATCCGGGTGGATGTCCAGCACGATGCGGCCGTTCATCACGGCATCCTTGACGGCTGCTTCGGCTGAAATGGATTGCATCGACCAGTCCGCATTGTACAACGCACGCCTCAAGCCTGTCACAACGGAGTGAAATAGGTCGATCGATCCCGAGATGTAGAGCTGGCCCCCGAGACCGCCTTCTGAGACAGGCATGAGCATATCCCAGAGCAGCTGACCCTGGTCTAGCACGATAGATGCCAGAAGCCGTCGACTGTCGAGTCCAGTGGTGGAGTTGCGCGCGGTCGAGAAGACCTTCATCTGCTCTGTAGCCTGCAACCGCTCAAGCTCTTCGCGAAAGGGAAACCTTTCTTGTGATTGATGCGCAAGGAAAAGCAAAGTCTGGCAACAGTGTTGGATCTGGATCGCCAGAAGCTTCGGAACATTCCTACACTCCGCGAGTCGGCAAACATGGCTACGTGCTGCATATGTGTGCTATGCATACGCAGATTAAGCCTGGTGCAGTGCCGACGAGAAATGGAAATTCGTCCTCATTACCAGGGTCCGCCTCGTTCATATCGTCTGGATCTGGATGTAATGCCTGGCTTGTCATATCAAATCTTTTCGTCGACTCCAGTCCACTATCAAGCTCCACCGGGACGTCGTAAGACACTCTCTCGACCATGATCTTGACCACTGAGGGCAGTCCAGAGCCCATGAGCGCAGGACTTGAGATGCAGTAGAGCTGTGGTGTGCCAACTGAGACCAGCTGTGTGAGCCAAGACAGGTGCTCCAGGTCAAATATAGTGTCCCAGACGATCGGAGAAACCTCTTCAATGGCTCGTTGAAGGACATCGCCAAGAGTGCCCATCACAGGCCAGCTCTCGGACGCCAACAGCTTCTTGACTAGGGGCGAGGTGCCGTGAAACATCGCATCCAGATCATTCATGTGTTCCTTCGTCAAAGATCCAATTTGGCCGTATCTGAGCACATCTCTGACGGTCAGTATGGGAGCATGTAACGACTGCTTTGAACCCAGCTGCCTGGCGAAGAGGTCCCACGAGGTGCCGCCATACAGTGGTACGGAGACGTCGAGAAAGTTCTCCAGACCGAGCGCTGCCGACACCTTTTCAACTTCAGACCACGGATTGAGTGGCATCACCAGCAGTCGATCTCCATTCTCGAATGGCAATCCATCAGACTCGGGGGTTGCCAGCGTAATCAGGGCCGTGGCACCGTTGGGATCAGTGTCAACCAATGATCGTGAAATCACTTTCGCCCGAGTATTGCATCTCGTGAATGGCTGGTCCTCGAAATCCACTTGTGGTGAGTCCATTAGCGAGTCGTCCTCTGGATCCCAGGGCGGTCTTTGTGATGCTGTTGGACGGCTAAGCCGAGAGACGCAGCTACGCCAAGCATCACGCTTTTGCAAGTACAGAGGCAAGATACCGCCTGGTCCGTGATATGCTGTTTCCAGAGCCTGCCAGGCCTTCGCAAGCTGCATGTCGCTTGACTGAGCGACAAACTTCGATATGTTATGATGGTTCTCGATGGCAGCGAGAAATGCTCGGATGTTCAGAGGCAGAGCTTTCCGAAGCTTTGGGAACTGGCGTAAGACGCGCTCAAGTCGTGCCGGCTCACCAATGACTGCATGCAATACCTGGAAGATCGGGAGTCCGAGAAAGTGATCTTCGAGGCTCAGGTGGTGGCATAACGCGTTGAGCCCAACAAACTTCTCTGCAGGAGTCCGACGAAGGTACGGAACAGCCTCTTCGACAGCCCGCTTCATTCGCAGCAGCACTTGCACCAGAGAGGTTGCCGCCTCCTGAATAACCATTTCTTGCGCTTGCACAACGAGCTCAACAATCCGAGAGCTTGCAGAGTGTACATTCGCATGCCAGACGCCGCCCTCTTTTTGCTCGATATCGCTCAATAGGTGTGCGCTGACCAGATCATGATATGGGCAGTCGATCCCACTCTCAGGACGAAGACGTTCCAGTAGCTGTTCGTGAGGCGATGAAAGCGTGATTGGCAATTCGTTGGTATGACGAACAACGTGTGAGATTTTCGAGTAGATCATAGCATTCTCCGCTGCAAGAGCTGCACTTATTCTGCTTAGAGCCACCGATGCCGCCCAGAGCGCCTGATCTGGGATTGTGTCTGATGAACCACTGATCAGCGGCATCGACCTAAGAGCGTTGCCGACAGCACCCCTCCGGATGAGCGCAGGCAGTCGTTGGCATGTTTCGAGCCAGACAGCGCCAAGCGTGCTTTGTAGATGGACTCTAGACTGTTCGATGTTGGCCGGACAAAAGCCGTGTTCACTGGAGAGGAAGCCATCCTTCCATCCGGTTCTCGGACCATTGGACTGGGCATGCTCGAGGACCTGACGAGCTGGCGCACCAAGCGCGACTCTCAATATGTCTGCGTCGCTGTCGGAGCTGGTGCGGTCCGTCATATTACTGGTGTTGGAGCAGAAGTCAGGCTCGTAGCGTTGAATCAGGCTGTGGTGTGATGAATGTGCGCTGGACACACCGTAATTATCATGAGCGAGCGTTGGTTCGACCGCGCTAGTACTGATCGGCCGCTCGGCATTCGATACTGTAGACTGTCAACACATGAAGGACTCTAGAATAGGACCAGCCTGGTGCGCAGCACCCTGAAATGAATGTTATTAGCTTGCTGATGGTACTGAGGAAGCACCGTCGCGAGTCGACGAGCTCCTCGGCAGCGTTATTAAAGGAGTTTGTGCTCTTGGCGTGCTGGGTTGAGGAGCATGGGTCAGGTAGGGTTTCGGCAATGGCTGATACAAACTGTTCGGCTCAAAAGACAATATTGTATCAGCACCACAACACAACGGCGGTACTTTGGTGCCATTCCCTGTCTGGCCCAGTAAGCCGCCCTCACCTTGTCAGCTAGGGTCCCGTCGAGGCCTGCTTGGCAGCGCTCGAACCACTCCGGATGATGTACCGTGGAGCAGGAGAGACAAGAAGTGGGACTGCGAACAGAGGGTGAAACGAAAGTGCCATAGCGATAGGCGGAGATGAAACGAGCCGAGCTTTGCCACGGTCTGAAGTACAATCTGAATTACCTTGTCCGAGCTGCAGCTTCAAGCTCGTTTGAATAGATCGAAGAAATGTGGCAGATAGTCGAGTTGCTGGTCACGCTGTAGCTAGTCAATGCAGTAAATCGCGCTGGATGCAGCTTCTACAGCGTAGAGCAGCCATCGATTGAATGATTGCCGTGTGATGACAAACAACACAGGCAGAATCTAGGAGGCGTTCGGTTTCAGAAGCGACGATGGAGGTTTCGAGTTCAGTAGAGCTATTTTGATGATGCTCTCCTCATACGGCAGGTCTCCTGCCTATCGCAGACTTCTATCGGGTCCGCGAGGGGCGAGTCTGACGCCTTAACCACTCGGCCATTTTTCGACAACACCGTATGTTGGGTAGCGGCGACATTTGCTGTTGGTTCCCTCCACTTGAACGAGACGCAAGTCGGTCACACAGGTCACCAGATGATCGCTGTGGTCCCCCATGACCGTACCACGACCCCTGAACCGTTCATATCGCACGGCGTGACCGTGCGTGGCATTTATATTCTAGTGTGGCCTGATACCGTGAAGTCCACCACAGGATATCAGGCATCGAACTCAATTCAGCTGTAGATATGGTTGTATCGGGAGCAGCGACACAGAGAACACCGTTTGGTCTATCATCACGCAGTATGAGCAAGCGAGCTGTGACTGGAAGTACTGGGCGTTTTCTCCAGGCCTACCAACTTCTGTTTTCGAGCTGTGTATACTGTTCATCATGGATTTTTTGGTCATGGATTTCTTGGTCAGGAAGGGCGTTGAAGCTATAGCAATATCACGCTCTTCAGGTTGGTGGGCTTGAGATGAGCGTCACTTAATCGTTAGTGTCACGGATGACACATCGTGTTCTGTCTGGCTAGGGAGGGCGCTGTGCGGAAAACGCCCAGTTCTTTCAATCACAACTTGGAAAGCACCAGAAAGCCACGTTAGTGAATGAATTATGATCTGTCTGTCTTTATCGAATTTTGCAGCTCTACTAGTGGTCCCTCCCAGAGGCCGCCCGGACTCCTTGCGAGCCCTACCATCCCATCAGTCGACGATAGAGTCAAGACTCGGACGATCGCCATCAAGCTTGGCACGTCTGTCCTCATCCTGAGTCGATTTGGCTGTGACCTCTTTGACGTTGACTGTGAGAGTCCGCGGCTTAGCGACTCTCTCATCTGCATTGCCGACACAGAACGGTGATCCGAATTTCAAGCACTTCTCCTTACAGCAAGACTACTGCTGCTCTTCGGTGTCCATCTGCTCCGCTCCACCACTGCTGCCCGCGTCCAGCACTGTAGGCTTCCCACCAGCGGCCGTCGTGGCAAAGTACCGCACATCAGCGTCGTCATCTCCTTGCAGCTTCTCGAGGTTGGGCAGGATTTGTGTGCTAATGAGATCTTGGCCTTTTGAGGAAGGTGGTGTGTTCGAGGCTTCGGCTTCGGCGAGGGTGCCTTCGGCAGGCAGTTTGCGGAGGGTATCGATGAGTACGGCGTAGGACTTGGCGACATTGAATCGAATGTTGGGAATGGGGTCGGAGACTAGGCGGTCCATGATGGGAAGGATATGTTCGCGAATGATGTCTAGTGTGACGACTGGTGCGAGTGTCTGGAGACACTTGTTAGTGCTGTTCACATGGGGGCGACAGGAGATACATACTGTGATGGCAAAGCAGGTCGTCATGCGGTAAAGATAGTTGGCTTCTTGACCCATCTTGGCGACCTTCGGAATTATCGATTGGCTTGCCCACTCAACGCCGAAGACTTCGGTCAACTTCTTGAGGTTCGTGGTGGCAGCTTCGCGGATAGAAAAGACCGTATCACCTAGCCAGCCCATGCATAGGATGCTGAGCTGATCGTCGAAGAACTTGACGCCGAGCTGCTTGGCGAGAAGAGGAATGTACTCGATAATGGCTAGACGAACACGCCATTGCTTGTCTTCGGCAAGCTGGACGATAGCTGGGAGGAGGGATTGCGAGAGCAGGTCGATGCCGATCACATCGTTGACGAGTTCGAGCTTGGAGATGATGTGCAGCCGGACATCGGGAAATTCGTCCTTGAGCATCTGGAGGAACATAGGTAGGAGATGTGCTATTGTCTCGTCCTTGCCGAGGATTGGCGCTAGACCGCTGAGTTGGGTACCGAGTGCGGCTCGGACGTGTTGTGAGGGATCCGAGACGAGGTCTTCGATGCTGGTCATGATTTCGTTGAGGAGTGTCTCCCGGTCGAGCAGATTGCAGAAGCCCGGAATCTGGCTGGCGATGGCTGTCCGTACTTCGGCCTCGCTGTCTTTCAGGAGCTTGACGAATGCCGGAACTAAGTCGCGTGTGACGACCTCCTCGTTGACAGCCTTTGCGATCTTCTCGAACCTCTCAGCGACCATATATCGTACTCGCCAGCTCTTGTCCTCGAACAGACTGCGCAGTGCTGTGAGAAGCACACCATGGCTAGGCTGCTGCTCTTTGGGAATAACTTCGGCGATCGAGACCAGGACATCGACTGTGAGCAGACGGACACTATCTTGATCATCACCAGCCAAGTGCTGGAACAGAGGAATCATCTCATCGATGACAATCTGTATGGGCACCTCTTTCACGAACTTTGCTAGGTTGTTGGCGGATTGTCTTCGGACCATGGGGGTCTCATCGTGTACGAGATGGCCAAACTGTTGCCGTAGGCCCTGTTGCGACTGCTGCGATGCCTTCTTGTATGGTGCCACGTAGAGACCTGTAGCTGAGATCTTCGAGGTAAACCAGTCGGCTTTCGAGAGGCGAATCGTTAGAGGAATGAAGGATTCTTCGACTTGTTGACTCGACAGCTCTTCGCAGATCTTGTTGAGCGAGTCGACCGCCTGGACGAGTTAGATGTATATACCATGGACACGACGGAGATGCTTACCTTGTCGCGCACGAGGGGTTCCTCGATCGACGCCAAATTCTCTAGCGGAGCGAGCAAGACGTGGCCGTACTCCGGACCACCGACATACTCGACAAAATTGCCCAGCTCGTCAGCCAGGGCAGTCAGAACCTCGTCTTCATCCTCGACCGAATCTGCCACGCCATATCAGCGCTGCTCATGAGTGGCACGTGCGCTTTGTCTCACCGTCTAGAAAGGGTATCAACTCTTCTCTCGTTCGTTCGGGACCAAGCGCGAGGGCGATTGTAGAGAGGCGATGTATCGCATTGAGGCGGAGGAGTACATCGTCGTGCTTGAGAAGGTCAGTAATGTCATACACCGCGAGCTGAACAAACATGGTGATCCAGTCGAGCATACCTTGAGTTCGTCAATCAATACTGCGATCGGGTAGAGCTCGTCCTGCTCTCCTTGTCCCTCCATACTGAAGAGACTCGTTCGGACGCGGAGTCAGGCTGCCCTTGAGGATTTGGCGTCGCAGGACTTTGTGTAGTCGGGTGGGGGGAGAGAAGGAGACGTGATGTCGTTGTTTCTGTTGACTGCTCCAAAACTGCAGGAGCAACCCAGTGAATCGTTGAAGATCTAGTATGCTATCGTGTCAGTCTTACTCTGCTGCGTTGTCGATCTTGAGAGGTCCGATCACGTCGACTCGGCCATTCCTTTCGGGTAGGCCCTGAGCGGTAAACAGTTGAGCGGGCAACGTACATGTGCGAGGGGCACCAGGATTTGCGGGCCGGCTCTAATCCGTGGTCTTCGAGCCTCAAGGCGACAGCTCAAGAGCACTCTATAGATCCTCTGGCGCGTTGGACTCTGGATGTGATAATGCTTGTGGGTATTGTGGAAGGTTAGGCTGTAAATTGCGAGCTACATCATCCGCAGGCAAGCAGGGCCAGATACTGCTCCAAGAAAAGGCAACCGCGCGTAAGCCACACATGACTAAGGTGCAGCCACATCTGCCTTCTTCACCGCCACAGATGCCAAGATTCCCGAAACGTGACTCGAAAAGAAATGTTTCTTCGACATGGTCAAGTTGGACTCAAGTGGATAACAGGCGCTGAAGTCAGTCGTGGCTACCTAGCTCACAGCATAGCGCTCGTCGCCCCAACAAGCGATCTTGAGAGATCCAGTCCAGCCCGACCAGAGGTAGCACCACCAGCTCCGTTCACCACCCACCATGCCTACCATCACAGTGGACAAGGCCGCCCTCTTCAAGGCTCTCGGGCAGGAATACACAACAAAGCAGTTTGACGAGCTATGTTTCGACTTCGGCATCGAGCTTGATGAGGACACCACCGATCAACAGCGCCCCATAGTCGACGGCGTCCAAGAACCCCCACAACTCAAGATCGAAATTCCCGCCAACCGCTACGACATGCTCTGCTTCGAAGGAATCCAACTCATGCTCAACATTTTCAACCATAAAATTCAAGCACCAATGTACAGCCTGAAGCCTCCAGTCAGCGGCCAACTCGAGACACTGACCGTTAGCCCCGAATGCGAAAAGGTTCGACCATATGTCTCCGGAGCAATCCTACGAGGCGTCACGTTCGACGCAGCCCGCTACGCCAGCTTCATTGATCTACAGGACAAACTCCACGCCAACCTCGCTCGGCAACGAACTCTTGTGTCCGTCGGCACCCACGATCTCGACACGATCAAAGGACCCTTCACCTACGAAGCCCTCAAACCCACAGACATCAAATTCATCCCCCTCAACCAAACCCGCGAAATGAATGGCGCCGAACTCATGACCTTCTACGAATCAGACCGCCACCTCGGGCGTTACCTGCACATCATTCGGGACTCTCCCGTCTACCCTGTGATCTACGACGCCGACCGCACAGTGTGCTCTCTCCCGCCCATCATCAACGGCAACCACTCAAAAATCACCACCTCAACGAAAAACGTCTTCATCGAGATCACAGCGACCGATCGCACTAAAGTCGAGATCGTCTGCAATATCTTAGTCTGCATGTTTTCCCAATACACTTCGGAACCGTTCACAGTCGAGCCCATCAAGATCATCAGCCCGCATAACGGCCAGACTCGCGTCGTACCCGACCTCGCCCCGCGTGAAACCCAGGCCGAAGTCGACTACATCAACAGTTGTACCGGCGTCACTCTCTCCGCATCCGAGATCTGCGAGCTCCTCACCCGCATGTCCTACGTCGCCAAGCCTTCCAGCACCAATGACAACCTCCTCGAAGTCTCCATCCCCCCTACACGCGCCGACGTTCTGCATCAAGCAGACATAATGGAAGACGTCTGCATCGCCTACGGCTTCAATGACCTGCCACGGGCTTTCCCCTCCGTCGGCACCACCATCGCCCAACCCCTCCCCATCAACAAACTCTCCGACATCATTCGCCTCGAGGCGCCATGGCCGGATGGGCCGAAGTCATGCCTCTGATCCTCTGCTCGCACGACGAGAACTTTGGCTGGCTGAATCGAAAGGATAATGGCAGCACGGCGGTACGACTGGCAAATCCGAAAACAGCAGAGTACCAAGTCGTGCGCACCTCCCTCCTCCCCGGCCTCCTGAAAACAATCCGCGAGAACAAACACCACTCCCTCCCCATGAAAGTCTTCGAAGTCTCCGACGTCGCCTTCAAGGCGCCCGAATTAGAACGAAAAGCCCGCAATGAACGTCACTTCGCCGCCGCATGGTACGGGAAGACCTCTGGCTTCGAAGTCGTCCACGGCCTTATGGATCGGATTATGTCCATGCTCAAGACCGCTTTCACGACACGAGAAGAAGGACTAGAATTGGCGGAGAACAACAAGGTGCAAAATATGGAGTACTGGATCCAAGAAGTGGAAGACGCGACGTTCTTCGAGGGCCACAGCGCGAGCATACATGTCAGGGTGGGCGGAAAGGAGAGCGTGGTCGGCGTGTTCGGGATTCTACATCCCAGTGTGTTGGAGAAGTTTGAGTTGAGATATCCCGTCAGTACGTTGGAGGTGAATGTTGAGGTGTTCCTGTGAGGGCATTTTCCGGCTACTGGCAATGGGTCAGACCAGGAACAGGGTCGACATGCAAGCAGAAGCGTTGCACGATATGCAAGTGATCAATGGAGAATTTCTCCGCATTCAGGCAACCTCGTCACCCCCACAAATATCGCTTCTTCCGCTTATCGTTTTCCTCCAACTTTCTGACAACACTTATCTTGACTCGGTGATGTGCCTAGGTTGATCTGGGGCATCTGCCGCCGTGCTCTTTCTGCACGCCAAAGCTTGATAATCTTATCCTCAAGACACCTGCGGGGATGAAGTCGCACGAATGTCCGGGGCCGGCGTTATACCGTCCTCCACGCGAGCGCGATGGAGCCTAAAGGCAAGCGTGTCAAGAGTCTCACCCGAGGATACAAGCATGCTCATAACCGAGGATGAAGAGCGCAGGGATGCCTCAAAAGGGAGCACAAGGCATCACTGTCGTCCGTAGACTCGTACCACAACCATAGACCACCAACAAGATGGGGCTACACGATAGAGAAGGATTACTGAAGAGACAGAGGTTGAATGCTTATACGCTGTTTATTCTATGTACGCTGGGATTAGGCTCGCTCACTTATGGCTACACAGCATCGATTATAGGCACCACACTTGGCCAGCCGTCATTCATCCAGTATTTCGAGCTTGACACCAGGCCAAATGCAACAGATCTCATCGCCTCGACGAATGGGCTCTTCCAAACCGGCGGTGTCCTTGGCACTCTATTCCTGCCATGGGTCTGCGACAAATACGGACGTCGATGGGCTTGTGCACTGTCCGCCTTCCTCGCCCTGCTATCCGGTGCTTTCCTTGCCGGCAGCGTACACATCGGCATGTTCCTCGCCTTCGGCTTTGTGGCCGGCGCTTCAGCATTCATGATCCTCGCAGCCGTACCCATCCTGATGAACGAGATCGTGCCTGTCCATCTCAGAGGCGCCCTCGTCGATGTTCATGCCGTCATGCTTGTGCTCGGCTACACGATCCAAGGCTGGGTCGGTTTCGGATTCTTCTTCTGGAAGACCACGAGCAACAATACATGGCGACCACCTGTTGCGATCCAGTGCTTTTGGCCGCTATGTCTTCTCATTGCCTTGCCGTTCATGCCAGAGAGTCCAAGATGGCTGTGTATGAAGGACCGGCACGAAGAGGCGCGGGCTGTTCTCTTCCGATTACACGCTGATCCGACGGATCCAGAAAATGAAGTTGCAAATGCAGAGTTCTATCAGATTCAGAAGCAAATTGAGATCGATCGGACACTTGGTAGCTCGTGGGTGCAAATGTGGAAGAAGCCATCGTATCGGAAACGTGCCTTCCTCGCCATTGGCACGACTGGTATCGTACAGTATGCTGCCTTTCCCCACTCGCAATCCCCTGCCCTCCTTACTGACAGTCTCAGATGCTCCGGCGTCCTCGTCATCAACAACTACGGCCCATCCCTCTACTCCCAACTCGGTTTCTCACCCACCAAGCAACTCCTGTATCCCGCGGCCTGGCTCACCTTCGCACTCGGCATGAACGTCATGGGCATGTTCTTCGTCGACCGCTTCCCACGTAACAAATACATCGCTTTCGGAGTATTGGGATGCATGGCTACTCTCATCGTTGAAGCAGCACTGGTTGCACAATACGTGCCGAGCGACAACAACGCGGCATTGCAGGCTGCTGTCGCTATGTTCTTGTAAGCCCTCCCCCCACTCCTTTTCCCCACCCCTTTTACATGACTCTGAGATATTGATGATGTTGGCAGTATTTTCCAAGTCTTCTACGGCCTCTGCCTCGACGGCACGCAATTCTCCTACCTCGGCGAGATCTTCCCCACGCACCTACGCGCCAAAGGCGTCTGTCTCGGCGTATCCATGATCTCTCTCATGAACATCATCTGGCTTCAAAGCGCCCCCACCGCCTTCGCCACCATCGGCTGGAAGTTTTACTTGTGCTTTATCATTCCGGGAACGATCGGTGGAGTGGTGATGTGGGTGTGGTTTCCCGACACGTTGGGGAGGCCGTTGGAGGAGGTGGCGGAGATCTTTGGGGATAAGGACGAGGTGGCGGTTTATATGCGGGACTTGGAGGTGGATTGGGAGAGGAAGAAGGTGACTGGGGGGGTGAGGGAGGAGGTGGAGGGCGATGGGAAAGGGGTTTTGGTCGAGAAGACGGGAGATGGGGTGGAGAGTCGGCATGTCGATTGAGTCGAGATCAGTCTGCAGAAACCGATCTTGTAAGACGGTGCGTGGTCATGCTATCTCTGCGGCACTGGTAAGAAGGCAGGGATCTGGGCGAGCTGCCTCCGTCACTGTCGCTGTCATCTTCGCTCCCGTCATCTTCTTCCTCGTCGCTCAAAGTACTATCGGCAACGCTCGAACTCTTTTCTGATTCATCGTACTCATGTCGAAAGTAGTACCTGGTCTGCTCCACACGATCCTCATACTCTGCTTCACAATTTTCGCAGCAGTCGACCATCCACGCTTTTTCGTGATACCATATAATTGCTTCGGGTGCGTCGCAGTATATGTCGTACCTCTCCATGATCGACTTCACCCAGTCTGCCTCTAGGTAGTCCTCCTTGCCACGCCTCACCAGGGCAGTGAAAAAGTCACCATTGAGCAGCTCCGTGGGTCGTTTAGATCCGGAATGTCCTCTATTCGTGACTTCCATCCATCTGGCTTCGTAAGAGAGCATAAGCTCGATGGTTTCCTGATCCTCCCCGTCTTTTCTCTCCTCGAACAGCATATCGATCGGGAGATTGCCTTTAGCATCTCTATGAAACAAGAGTTGACTGCGGCGATACTGATCAGGAATGTCGACATCGGCAGCCAGAGAAACCACGTATGCCTCAAAAGCCTGAAACTCGTAATCGAGCATCACACGCATGAGCCGGTCTTGGTTTACTTCGACGAGTGCATGTGAAATTCGTTCCCCCGAACACTGTCCCGACAATTCATGAAGAAGCATACTCACTCTCGCAGATGCTCCAAAATCCTCCGCACGATCGTACACCGCGCTGGGATACAAGGTCGCATGTTGAGCGCCGTACGTAAGCATGAACGTGATTGTGTCCATGGTCGACTTCACAGGCCCATTGATCGTGTAATGATGAACATAATGAATAGGCAGCTGCCCCAGATAATTACGTGTGATGGGTGTGAACAAAAGCGGCTCATGGACGCCGTCAGAAGTATGTCGATGTGGACCAGAAGCCTGAATGTGTTGGTCGGAATTCGTCCTGCTACGGTCATCAGCTTGCACTAGAGCCCGAACAACAGCAGCATGCTGATGAGAAGCCGCAATATCGGTGGGAGAACGACCTTGCCCATCTTGCATCCGCAGAAGCTCGGACACCGTGAAGTCTGCCGTTGCTGACTCTTCAGCAACCGCGACGATCCAGGGCACGATGTTGTCACTGTTGCACTTACAAGCCAGAAACAATATTTCAGGAATATATCGGTCCCAGTAAGCTCGGTCAAGCTTCAGTCTTGCTTGCGTCATGTACTTCTCGAATAGAGCTCGGCTTGTGACATTGATCGTCGTCAAGAGACGAAGAGCCACGGTGGAATCACACTGACAGGACCAACGGGTAATATCCAGAAAGGCTGTGGTTGGCTCGCTTATTGTCATGGGAAGGTCACGCACGAGCTGCGCTGCGTGGCCGCCGAAGCCGTCAGCGCGAAGCCCTGAATGCCAAAATGTGTACAGAAGCCTGACAAGAGTCATGACAGCTGGCAAGGCTGACTCACGCGAGTCAATTGCATGTCGCAGACTCGCCCTGAGAGCGTCAGTGAGCACACCCAATCGGCAGACTTTTCTCAAGTGGTACATAAAATCGAATCAGCACATAGACCGCAAATGATGTCGCTTCCAGAACTGGAATAAGAGCACTGAAGCAGGCGCTCGATTCTAAGACTGCTAACATCGACTGCCAGTGCGACACGGTCGGGTCCGGGGCGGTCCCTGCTCGTTTTTTCCGGGCATTTTCAAGACTCAGTGCCATCATCTCCGCCTCCTCGTCCAGTGCACGATCTGACCGTGAGGCATGACTCCTCAGCAAGCCAGTCAGATCGAGCTGTGCGTTCTTCCAGACCTCGTGATCACGATCAGCTAAGACCTGAAGAGCAACCTGCGACATGTAAGAGTGGTTGGCTGAGTCAGTGAAGATTAATCTGTCGCCGTCCTTGAATTTGACCACGAAGTCTTTCGCTGATTCATGGGCCCATTCCAACTTCGAACTCGGGGCTGTAACCAAGAAGTTATGGCATAGCCATTCGACTTGTTCTGCTTCCAGCTCCTGGTTGTACTCCTGCACACCTTCGGGGTCAACCCGTAGGGCGTCAGTCAACTGGGCGACCGTGAAGTTCTCGTAGGCACAGAGTACCACGTGGAATAATCGATACTGTAATGTCTCATCCACTCGTACACGCGAATTGAGCTCCCATAGTTGTCCGTACGCGGCAGCCAACTTGTCGTGGCCTTCTTGACCATTCTTAAAAGAGGCTGATCCGCCCGACCTGATCTGGGCAATGCGATCTCGTGCGTTCTTTGAATCAACGATCTGCTCTCGAGCTTGTACCGGCAAGATGACGTCCTACCAGATTTGCGTCCATCGAAACATTCCAGCAGCGCCCTCCTCGAGTGCTAACACAACATCTGCCAACAGCTGTGTCCCGTTTGCACCGAAAAATATGCTCCTTCTAGTTTCGAGTGATTGCCGCCTCTGCTCGATAGTTGTATTGATGAAGATCTTCATATCATCTTGGTCCTTCGCCTGGAACGTGTCTATTTGGATGACGCGAGCGCGAGTGTACTCATCCACCAATACATGAGCTCTTGAAGCGCACAAGAGCCGCACTGCAGGCCGTGGGTCGACAGCCTTGGCCAGAGCTTTTATAAGCTCTTCAGGCTGCGAACATTCATCTAGAGCGTCGATGACTAAAATCACCCTTGTTTGTGACGCGTCCAAGAGTTCGCCCAAAAGACTTGTCCAGTCTGGCGGGGGTGCAGACTCGGGGGAATGCCGTGCGTAGCAATCGTGTGCACACTTGGCAATATCGTTCGTCGATGGTTGCCATGCCAGTTTTCGACACAAGGAGCGCGTGACAGACTCGACGTCCGGGCTACTGGCTTTTCCTGCGTTCGTGCTTGCGCTGCAGTAGTGATAAACGATTCGCAACTGACCCGGGAGTCGGCGTTCCTCCTCTTCGGAGAACATGGAGATCGCTTGACACATCAGTGTTGTCTTTCCGGTTCCCATTGTGCCCCTTAGCCATGCAACTCTCTGAGCAGCGTCAATGTCGTTTGGAGTGACTATCTGAGCTGCTTCGAGATTGCGTGACATATTCCTTCGATCTGCTTCATGGTCCGCTGGTACAAGCCTTCGAGTCGCGTCACTACTGCCTGGCACAAGTCTCTGGACTGCTTCATCGTCGCCTGGTGTCATCCAGTCCTGAAAGCACCGCGTCTGAAGAAACCATTGACCGGCGTGCCGGTACTGCTCCTGATCCATGCCGGTCCTCTTCCTGATATCGTTGTGGTGGGGGTCCGGGGCGCCTTCTTTCCTGATCCATTTGAGAACTTTCGAATTGTAGTCCTGCCTTTCTAGGCACTCCTTGAGGATAGCTTTCTCGGCGTCACACTCCTTATCAACGCGTTTGAGTTCGACGAGATCGGCTTTCCAAGCCTCGATACTGCCAAGCAGTGCAGCAACAGAGAAGCCTCTTCGAGTGCGGGTGTCAGCACGAATCCTGGCTTGGATCCGTAACGTTTTAGTGTAGATATCAGGCAGGTATTGGTCTATTCTCGCTACAGCTTTCTTTGCCCACTCGTCTGTGCTCGCCTGATGGACTGGAGAAGTGTTCTCTTCGTAAGACTTCCATTTTAGTAAGATGATCATGCTGTCTGAGACAACCTCCAGAGCCGCTGCTTTCTGGTCTGGGGGGATTGTGTTAAGCAAGAACTAAGTAGTGTGAGCGAATGACCTGGCGGGGCCCGCGACGGAAATCATGGCGGAGATTGTAACAGAATTGCTCAGTTTGGACCTACCTCTATGACGAAGAAGGCTCCAGCAACGAGATATGGCGCAAGTTGATTCGGGTCCAGTCGCGTCAAAGTCATTGTCAGCGCTTTGGTCGCGCCGAGAGCGGGCAGCCAGCCTTTCAATCTTCGTACAAAGACATGGGACACTTCATCCATTTCTCCTGAAAGTACGTCCGGAATTCTCCTGCTCAGAATGGAGCTCTCGAACGACATGCCGCCTTGGGAGAATCCGAGGTCCTCGTACTCGGCCCTTCCCGCTGGGAGATGGAAAGCTTCGTACTCTCTAATTCGATTTTTCATGAAGTCGGCCACGGCTTCGTCCCAGCGCGGACTCCTCGATACAGCAGGCCGTGCTTGAGAAGGCGCTGTGGCAGTTCCAATAGATAGTGCAATGTCGCCATCGTTGGCAGGAGGACATGAGTCGGCGGGAGATACTTGCGCCGGCCGTGCAGTTGGACTTGAAGAGGCCTCTGCCGCGAGGACTGCCGTGGGGAAGTCATGCGAATTGTCTGGCTTCCCCTTGCGAAAAGATACTTTCGACCGCAGCGACTTGAAACGCTCTGGTGACGATCGACCACTCGGCGTAGACATCGTTGCTAGGGTTCGTTGGTGGTTGGCTTGCTCGTCATCGTAGAAACGTCGAACAGGTGTGCACAACACAACGAGAGAAACACAGAAGCCGCCTTAAGGCAGAAAAGACAGGAACTTGATAACCACAGGGCGCAGCTAGAAAGAGACAGCAGCATCCCGGGGGCCAAAGATAGCACCAAGCAGATTGACAGCGCCACGACCCACGAAGTACGCCATCACGCTGGAGGACGCCTTCGAACATGGCGCGTGATGGGACCAATGGCAGGCGCAGGGCAGCACTGCGACACTCGGCACGACTTGCTGCATGGGAAAAGACGAGCAGTGCCTGCAGCTGTACTTTACCTCAATTTGCAATAATTCAATCTGCAGTGCTTGATCCTAAGGTCGTTGAATGGTCTAAGGACAAGAAGTCGGATAGAGTGCTCACGGGATGACGGCGAGGTTTTATTAGGTGCTACCCACTGGGTAGTACCCACCACGGCCACAAGCGAGTCGAGTCACTCGACGTCAGGGAATTCATTACTGTAGAGAGACTGTACAAATTTCCATTATTATTATAGTGGCTCTGAAAGGTCCTTACATATTTACCAGCAGTCGGCTAGAAGTTCAGGAAGATTAACAGGCTTCAGTCAGTCAACACTTTGACAACGCTTTTCGGGGTACTTGGGTCACAGAGGACGATGCTTCTGCTGATCGAGCGGTTCATCTTAAGTTGAGGCTCACCTGAGCATCGAACAACGTGAAGGCTTGCCTTGGATCTCCTAGTTGGGGAGGACCCTCGAAATTTATCCTTGTTCGCTGATCAACTTTTGCCTTGGGATGAGCTCCTGGGCGTTGCTCGGCAGCAAGACGCGCAGACGGATTGCCAGCTTGGGGAACGCTGTGTTAAGTCAGAACAACATACTATGCGCTGTCCACGAAACCAATCAAGGCCAGGACGACTCAAGAAATGCTCGATATACGCAATGGAGATCGGTCAGTGCTTGTGATTAATTTCATTCCTTGATTTTGGTATCTGAGTATCTTATGATTGCAGAGCTTCCGGCAATTCTGCAGCAACATGGCAACTATGGACCATGTGTGCCTGCGAGCACGTCCTAGCAGAGAAACCTGGAACTTTCGTCCGCAGGCCGACCATGCTATGCATCTGCGTGGCAAACGTTATGTCAATCGTCGTTTGGATGTGGTGTGTTTTGGTGTCATCTCTCACTCGCCAGTAGGCATATGCAAGTCCGGATGCCACGTGTCATTGGGATCAATGAAATCGTAGCCGCCGTCGTAGCCATTCGTGTCCACCTAAGACTCGAAGGTTTCACCACCCTGCTCGCCACCCTGCTGTTGCTGCTCAGCCTCCTCTTGTGCACGAGCATCTTGTGCCTGGCGCTGCTCAGCAGCCTGAGCCTTCGGGCCGTAGTCCTGCGACGAAGGCTGGACGATGGGCTGCTCTTCCTTGGGCTCGATGACGGTGACGGAGTCAGGCAGAGACTTCTGGGGACCGGCCTTGCCTCGGGGTCGGAGCCGCGCATGATCTTGACCTTGATACCGAGGACACCTTGTCGGAGCAGGACGTGGCGGGTGGCCGAGTCGATGAAGTCTTTGGCGGGTTGACCGGAGTGGATCATGAAGCCATCCTGAAGATTGTGTCAGCAATGGTATGCCAGTTTCTCAAAGAGTATGGACTCACAGTGAACTTCATGCTCTTTGCACGGGCAGCACGAAGCTTGCCAGAAACGACGACCTCGCAGCCCTTGGCGCCGGACTCCATGATGAAGCGGAGCACACCATAGCAGGCACGACGGACGGCCAAACCGTTGAGCAGCTTGTAGCGCAGGGACTCACACTGAGCGACAGCGGAGAGACCACGGTTCTGGACCTTGGCAGCGTAGAGCGAGACCGAGTTCTCGGGGAACTTGAAGCGCTTCTGGATGAGGGAGGTGAGCTCGCGAATGCGACGGCCCTGCTCGCCGAGGACTTCTTGGGTGTGGGTAGCACGGATGACTGTTGGGCTTTGTTAGCCAGAATCTTGTGCGACACTATGGTAGTGTCTTGAGACAAAATTGAGCGTACTGATATCAGTGACAGTGGGAGTCACGCGGACTTCGACACCAGAGTAGCCCTCCTCGGCCAGTTCGCGCTGGAGGAATTCATTGAGCTCGGCATAGAAGACACCGTCGGCGACAAACTTGCGACGCTTGGAGATAGCGCCTTGAGTGGTAGCCATATTGGACGACTGATTGAGTGTGTTGGAGAGTCGTGGAGGGTGAGCGACGGTATGAGACGAACGAACGATTGATTGAGAAAGCAGTTTGATGAAGCGCAGTCAAGACTGAAAGTGGGCAACTTTGCGCCAAGAGTTTTCTGTCGGCCAAGATTTTTCGCCGGCCGCGGGGTGCCGAAACTATTTCTTTCGGAGACCCGAGATCACCTGCAATGCCGACTGCTAAACTGGAGGCAACACAATTCGGAGGTGAGTGTGGTATCCGTTACCGCAAACACGGCAGAGATCGCAGCGTAAGTAGCCTCTTAAGCATGCAGTCTCAAAGCCATCGTATGCGTAGGGTTGCCCCCAACTTTGTTGCTGTCGACAAGAGATATAAGTGCAATGCTCATAGGCAGGCAACTAGGTAGCGCCTTAGAAGCTGGGACCCTTCCACAGCATTATTCTACCTAGGTATCCTAAGACGTCTATCAAAGCCCACGCCAGTGCTACTTTCCGACACTGTGCCATAAACATCATCTCAGACCAATTTGCCAGTTGCTTGGTCTGCCCGCTCCATGCATTCCTCCAGAGTCTGCCAAAACTTCTTCAGATCCAGCGTCCTCGGTATAACGATCCCTGCCTTTTCCGACACTGCCACAGTACGACCGACTTGCTCGCCGCTTAACACAACGTCAACATTCCACCGCTCACCTCCTCTGTCGTCAAAATTGATCCTCGTCTCCTCGTCAGCATGATTCCAGAGCAATATAGCCACAGCCAGGGGATCATGCAAGGGCGGCCCTTCCTTCATGGCAAAGACAGTGTCGTAGGTATGTGCAAAGAACATGAGCAGCTCATTGAACATCCTTCGAAGGCGAGTTGGCTGTGGGCCAGACTTGTTCAGGCCATAGAGCAGCATCTCCCTGATATCTTTCGTGACCACTGCTTGATGAGTGATATCCAGCGGTATCAGATATGTCTTCTTCCTCAAGACTGGATTTCGGAAGACGCTGTTTGAGGCTTCTGCATCACACCAGATATTGAACTCGGCGAATGGCGTGGTATTGCCAACCCGCTTATGCTTCTGGCCGTCTTTACCAGTGTACTCAGGCCCGAGGTAGACATCTGAGAATTCGCCACCAATCGCTCCGCCCATGATACTAAGACCCTTGATGTGATCGACGACCTCAGGGAACGTGGCGAATAGCAGAGCCACGTTAGTGAGAGTGCCAGTCGGCACGATCCAAGCTGTATTTGGAGCACACGCCATGATGCTGTCGCGCATCTCCTTGATAGCGTTCACATGCTTCAGAGGTTTCCTTGATGGCACTGGAAGAAGGTCTGTCCCATCCAAGCCACTTTCGCCGTGAATGTCTACCGCTGAATGATGTATTCGGCAGAAGGGTTTCGCAGCGCCAGGAAACACTGGTACCTCTGGCTTTCCAATGGCCTCGAGCACCGCCAATGCATTGTTGGTTGTCTTGGTCAAGCTTGAGTTGCCGTAGACAGTGCTGATACCCAGGAGATGCAGTGCAGGATGATAGGCGGCTAGCAGAATCGCGCAAGCGTCGTCGTGTCCTGTACCTCATGTCAGCCTTCCGGATATATTTTCGAGGAATTTGACGTGCCTGGATCACAGTCAAGCCACAAAGGGAATTTCTGACTCGTGGCTGCCATCTTGTAAATTGCAACCTCCTACCTCACAGCAAAGTGGAAGGAACGATCTAACATGACGGTGCCAGCATCGCCTTTGATAGAGCACTTTTGACTAAGCAGCTTACCAGTAGCACACTGTTGCTTGTGCAAACACAAACATATTTCAAGCCACTATCGCCGGCGGAAAAGAAATCCCTAGGCAGATTGCGGCACTCCTCGTTATCGATAACGACTGGCCTCGATGTTCGTGAATTACGAACAACTTTTTGACGGCAGCCAATCAATCACTGCCACAACATCGCTGCACCTTTGACTGACCGGTGAGCAGCCCAACCTTACTGCGTCAGCCAGCCGGGTGAGCGTTTATAAGACCCTCAGTCATGCCCACATCTGTCCCAGTTCTCTGAGCATGACCGGTGCTCCTCTGCAACCCACCCTCAAAGCCGCTTCCACTGCACAGCATTCCCAGCTGTCTGCTGTCGCAAACAGCACCCCGACTCCTTCACGAGCCGCCTCGCCTGCGCGCCCGCGCAAGACGCCTAAGTCGGAGCCGCCGAGCAATGAGTATCTGTCCGACGCGGCGACACTGTCGCTGATCAGACGGATACTGATCGGAGAGTCTAATGCCACCGATCGAGCAAGTCCAGGACCCATCGAGGGCGCGTTGCCGCCATTGACGAGTTCCAACGATGTCGACATTCAGCTATATGCTATCATATCGATCGTGGTGAAAGACTTTATACAGCCATGGTATACCAAGATCACGCCAGATCAAGCCTTTGTGGACGAGGTTGTTCATATTGTCGCCCATTGTAGTCGAGCATTGGAGCAGAGACTCCGACATGCTGACATCGCTGGGCTCATACTCGACGAGGTCCCGGCAATACTTGTACAGCACGTCGAAGGTAGGTCATATCACGTCCAGCATGTCTTCATTTTCTAACTCTTTAGATTTCCAAGCAGCGACCATTTCTCATGGATCCCTGCCGTACGGTAGCGATCTTGTACAGGTATATCATGCTCTAAATCCGCATCCTGCTCTTGATCCAGCCCTGTCGGATGATGCGCGGACTGCGACCGAGCGAGCGCATCGCCAGCTGCTTATCCAAGGAGCGCTTGCGGTGTTGTTACCTACAGAGGATCTGCAGAACTCGAGTCTCCGAATACTGGTGACAGATGTACTTGCGGATCTGATCTTGGGACGGGCAATCAACGACCGTCTATGTCAGGGCTGGTTCTTGCACGAGATGATGTCGAAGGTCACTGTCATCATCAGTCGACGAACGCACCCTAAAATCACTGGCGAAGAGATGCAAGCAGACGCTCGTGGCCGCTTGGAGAAGTTCGGCCTCCTCTCCAGTCAACAAGAGCAAGCCTCAACAGTCCACTCGACATCGTCTCGCCAATCGATTGCCTTCTGGTTCTGGGCTATCCTCCAGTGGTGCTACATGGCCGTCATTGGGCTGAAGTTCACGGGTCGTGGGTTGATGCATGCGCGGCATCTTCCCCCAAGGCAACGAAATCAGGTGCACACGCCAACCCTCACTGGCTCAACCAAGTCGAGTCAACATGATGCAATGGTCCTCGACTACAGCATCTTCTCCGCTGTCTCCATGCTCCTCAGTTTGTCCACCCGCATGCCATGGCTTATCGGTATTTTGGCCTTCTTTCGACACATTTTGACCTCGGGCCAGGAACGGCCCAACAGTACTGGATCAATAGTTGATAGGTGAGTCTTCCCTGTTGTGCTACGTCCTTCATTTCATCGTTGTGCATGAGATCGCTTCGAGGAAGAGCCGGAGCGACAATGAGATGCTGCAATCTCCTCGTCTACCTTGCATGTGCATCAAATGCTGGTCATATGATCAATTCCAGAGCCAATATGCGTCGAGAAGCTGCTTTTCGCCCTCAGAGTCGTCTTGACGTCGCACATGCTGGCGTCCAGCATGCGCATCGAGTGCGTGTGGGTCGAAAATTACCACAATCCCATTCTTCGCCAATGATCTTCGATACAAGGTATTTACAGTACCGCACATGTACTGCTCACAAGGCGTCTCTGGGGTATGATTGGTCGGACCACATCTTGGACTTATTCTCTATCGAGCATGCTTTGCCATCCATGTCTCAAAACGACTCAGTGCCCAGAGACCCATGTTGCCAGTCGTGGGCATGGACAGGCTTTCTCGGACCCAGACTGTTGTCATCCTGCTGACGCCAATCGAGCTCGACGATGATATATACGCCAAAAATGGATGAAACTTTTGCAATCAGATGTCACCTAGGATCAGGCGGACAGGAAGGCACGGCCCCTTCCTGCTGATGCCGCAGCATCTGGTGACCACGAGACTCCATCAGACTGCGCACTCCACGTCGGTGCTCGCTGGAAAAGCACCAAAGAGGACTGGTGAGATGAAAATGCAACATCACGAATGCTGACATTGATCGAAAATTCAACCTGAGAGACCAATCACACCTCGTCGTCGCAGAGTATTTTCTCGTTCACCCTGCTCTCGACATCTCATTGGACATGCGCGAGGCCTTTTCCGTGCTCGGATCGGCATCGGCCCTCAACAAAAGGCACGCCAGTCCAGCCACACTACGAGGTCCACGAGCCCTTGCTTTCCCGACAAGGCCTGCGTCTCCATCCTGCGCCCTCAAACACCTCACGAACTTGATCTGTCACTTCTCCTCACGACTCCTCAAGCCCACCAAATCACATTGGCCGACTTTGCGTTCTCGATTGACAGCGGCTTCGACCGCTCTCATCTTCTTGCATTGCATGAGAAGCACGAAGTCCACATGCTAGCCTTGCATTGGTCTTTTTGCTCAACAATCTGGCATTTCGGAATCATTAAGGCTTCTAAGCCTGAAGCCCGCGTTTGCCACTACTGCCGGCGGATGTTTTAGCGGCGCTTCAAGCTACTTCGCTACTCGCCCTCCGACCGTTGTGGTCGCCTTCCCTCTTTTCGCGCAACATTGTCGAGCACGCTTTCGAAGCGCGTGTTTCCCGACTAGGATGGATGTAGACGCCGTCTAGATCCTTGCTTGTTGCTGTCAAGCGAGTCATTCGAGACACTAGCGGCTGCCTCTGGGATTTGAGGTTACGGCTCGCATCTATCCTGCCGTCTCACTGCGCCGCGAACGTGCCGAAGCGCAACCGAGAGCGGAGAGCTCAAGCCCGGGAGCTCTGGGCACATGTCGCGGTTGCTCGAGGCGGGCAAAGAAAGGGGCATCGTCCTCGCTGTCGAAGGCTCGTTGGGCTGCGACAAGCTGTGAACAGCAGGAACGACCATATGTGCAATCCGCAGCACCGCAATACTGTCCGCTGGTCATCTCGTACCGTGAATCCAACGACTGGACATGATGAACAGCCTGTGCATCGTATCGTGCCATGTTACCAGTATCTTCGCCAGCTAGGTCTTGCCAGCGCTCGCCATCATCGTGTTCTCTCATGCACATCCATTTGACTGTCTGCGACGATTCCTCCGCCATCGTAAGCTAACCAGCGCCTATAGATTCCTCCACACCTCGATAACGAAGCACCTGTTCCCTCCATCTCTCATACCGCTACTCCTGATCAACTTGCGCGCAACAATATTCCCACAGAACTCTCTCGGCCCAGCCGCGCCTCCACCGCCGACACCAGAGCGTGCTCTCGAGATTCGTGCCACTGCTGCTCACGATCTGCTCTCTCTGCTTCCCAAGGTCGGCGTCCGGGCTCTCTTCGGAGCAGATCAAACACTCGAAGATCACGATGGAGAAGCCAACACCGCACAGAGACAAGTAGAAGACATTCTAGATGTCTTCGGCGAAGCCAGACTGAACAAGTACTGGATTTACGGCATCATTGAGCTTATCATCGTCAGATTGTGTCCCGAAATGCTGAGCAAGACCCCGACTGAGCTCATGGCAGATCGGGGCGCTGATTGGACGACGGCTGGCGCAGAGGACGAGGAGCCGTCTGATCTGACAAGCAGCGAGCTTTTGCCTCACATCGAGCTGCAGAAGACGACGAGCTCGTCGCGGCAGGAGCAGGAAGAGAAGGCGAGGAAACTGAAGGCGGCCCAGAGGCGGCAGGAGTCGAGGGATGAGAAGGATTTGTTTGCGGCGTCGCCTATGGTCGGGCAGCAGCAGCGGCAGCAGCAGCAACCGCGGTCAAGACCGCCCGATAGGGAGAGACGCCAGCAGTCAAGATCGGAAGGCCAGTGGCGGAATGAGAAGTTGCGGGTCGTAACGAATGGTAGCTAGCAAAAGATCTGCATGTTCTTCTGTGACTAGCGCAGCCTGCTTCTTGAGTCTGCTACTCGAATTCATTCTCGCTTGCAACCAGGTTCATGCCTCACCTTCCGCTTCGCACCATCCCGTGTGCTTGTCCTTCTCTTGATGACTCTTGACGAAATTATTAGGCTTCATCTGTCTCCCCGTCAGCTCATCTCAGGCAGAAGAACCACATCCTGAGAACCGGCACCTGGGAATCATGCAGGAACGCCGTTTCTGTACCACCCACACTTTTCTCGAGCCGAATCCAAGATGTCGGGTTGCAGCGTGAGTGCCAGGGCAGGGAAAGCTGTAACTCGGATCTAGTGGGAAACTTTTGGTCGGAATGTTCTTTGCTTCTTCTGACAGTCCGGTGACAAGATCTTTTGACACTTGACAGCGGACTTCGGGATGCCCTATTGGAACGACATGCTGCCATGTATCTTGGTGATCTCAGTTGCATTTGGTATCAAGCGGCTATGCTGGAGGTCCAGCTGATCACAGCTCTCGTGCGTGGCTTGCTGATGTTATCGTCGACCGTAGACCTTGCCGGATGCCTGCGCCGGTTGCGTCGAAAAGTAATCCATGCTCCATCCATTTGATTATTCGTCGGTCTTGCTGTACCTACTCGACGATCCAGTGGTGAGCAAAATCGGTGCAAACAGACTACGAGTCAGCGTGCTTGATGGGATGGCAACTATTGTGTAGTCCCAGACAGTAGCACCTACCTTGCTACGCAGTCTGCCCAAGACGTGATCCGTAGTGCGAGGTAAGTACCCAGTACAGAGCACCAAGTAGCAGACCTACCTACTGCAGCATTGTATCTCAAGGTGTATGCTGGTCAGCTGGAGGGATTGATATGCGACGCCCAGTGAGTGGCCTCGTTCGGCTCCCATCTGCCTGAAAGCAGCACTGGTCTAGGAGTTCCTCTGAGACGCTCTCTCGCAAACACCGACCGCCCACTGCGATCTGTCACAGGTTTTGGGCTATCGAGACACGCGTGTGGGAAACGCACAGCGGAGATGAGGCGGGCAAGGCATAAAGCGAGACACGCGAGCTCACATCAAGTCTCATCAGTGCCATTACTGCTCAGATGGTCTGCAGGCATCTCCATAAGATCGACTCTTTGGTTACAAAGGCAAGCTCTCCGATGTCGCTATTGAAGTAGAGCAATGAAGCTCGCTTGTTGATGACTTGCATCACGTAGAAGGTGTGTCAAGCGAGGACATGGCGTTGCTGCCCAATGTTTTGGCGGTGAAGATCGCTATTTCCTGGAGCGGCAGTTCGGTGTCGTGCATGCCTACCTGTAGAGTACGTCGTCGGCGATGTGAAGCCGATGAATGGCGTAAGAGAGAGTGACCGGCGAGACTTGCCTCGCAATACCAGTGTCTCTGATGATGGAGGTACAGTACTTGCACGGTGTGAGTGGTGTGTGTACCTGGACGAATATGTTTGCCGGGTCAGTACGCCCCACCCACCTGAACGACCTTCCTCCGAGCTCTTGTACTCAATTCCGCTGCAACTTTTTCGTAACACAGCGTACGCGGACCTCATCCTCCTATCTTCACCTTTACTCTTCGATTCGTGCTGTTGATGAGAACATCATGGCTAAGACAGAAATCCGTAGTTCCGGCCCAGCCCGAACCAAAGAAGTGAAGCAAAAGCCACCTCTGACCTCCAATTGGCTGCACGAATTCCGTCAGATGAAGTCATAAATTCCTACAAATGGGTGTGAGGCGGGAGGTTTGTTTTCGAGGCACGAGTTCTGTCGAGTATCTTCGGGGAGGAGGGTGTACTGTATGGACGCACTGGACGGACTCGCGAGTCGTGAAAGGCATGTTCGAAGGTTTGGCACGACATTTGCGAAATTTTAGAGCTTCGAATCTACTATGTAGAATGTGCCCATGTGGGCTGTGGATGGGACAACCATCAAATGGTGAACCGTACTGCTTGGCTTACTGCGCTCAGATATGTGGCAGTACGGATTGAGTGCCACGTATTTGCTTCACCTGCCTATTTGACTTCCGTGGTCCTCAACTCCGCCGTCATCCCTCTGTCCTGCACCAGACAGTGCATGCGCTATCGGCCGTCTCAAGAAGAATGAAATGCTCGAGCACTGGCTGCTCTTCGTTCGTCGCATTGCTGCGAGCTGCGGCATCGCTGCCCTTTCTGGTGTCGGTCGTGGCGTCTCAATGTGCTGTTGTTTCCATTCGACCTGTGAAGGTCAGTCCCTTTGAGCTTTGCAGCTCAGTGTCTTCCTTCTTCATGCTATACGTCCCGTCCTGTCATGAGATGTGCGAGCTTGTGCTCCTTTCACAGTCTCCCAGTCGTCCGGTCCTTGCCGTCATCCCATGCCCTGGACCCGAACGTCCTTCGATGCTACCTAATGCTAGAAATCGTTCTCGTCCTCCGAAGTGAGAAGGCCCGAAAGAGCTGGACACATAACGTCGCGGCCGTCAGAGAAGAGATAAAGAAAGCGCCGTGTGGCGTGCTATTGGCCTTAGCGTTCTATAAGCGCCGAGTCGAATCGAAGTTGAATGATCGTGCTGCGTTAACGAGACGTGGCCTGAGCCGAGGCGTCCGGCGTGTCCGTCGCAGCCAGTCCCTGTCGTGTTGGTTCACCGAATGGCTAGTATGACTAGCAGTGGCGTGGTGAAGTCTGCGGTGGATGTGTGAATCGGTGTCGAGCGTCGGCTGGGGTAGGGAGATGATGGCCGGAAGGGACTGTAGTGCGCACTGCTCAGTCGAACAGAGCCTCTGCTGCCACCAGTCTGATACCTGTCAATCTCAAGAGATGCCCATGTACCCTCTCTTCCTTCCGCCTTTGCCATCAGCAGTATGCAGGAATGCGTTGCTCTGCGTCGGACTCCTGATCAGCTTCACCTTCTCCATCAACTTTCCTATCGCCAGGTAGTCGTCCGGATCCGCGAGGCCAGGGTTGTCTTCCAAGGCCTTCTTGATTGCATGCAGGGCTTTCAAGTGATCGTCGTCGGCCGGACTTATCGGATTCGTGATCGAGACTGGCGAGACAGACTCAGAGGGCACGCTGGGGTACGGCTGCGGAAGAGGGGGCGCATGCATCGGTGTGAAATGAACTGTCTCGTCGTTGTTGACGTCCTCATGGATGTCAGGAACGGACTTGTGACGTTTGACTACTGCCGGGTCGACGTGTGACTGCATCGTCAAAGATGTGGTGAGTGCCCGTGTCATAGGTGGCTTCGAGTCCATCGCTGTCGGCGTCGGTCTGGACATCGTGCTTGTCGATGCGTAGTCATCGAGGTTGCTCAGTGTCTGACTGCGCTGGCGATGGAGGTTGGTCCCAGACGGAACTCTGAAGGTAGGTCTGGAAGGCAGTTCGGTCATCACGTCGTCGTCCTGGACAGCTTCATCGGACAATGGAGACAAGCCCGAGGGATCCTCGAAGAAGTCTTCTGACTTGCCTACAAAATCGAAGAACTGGTCGTTATCGTCCTTGACTGCGTCGTCGTCTAGAGCGGATGCCGGAGCCTTCACATCCTCTGATGATGCAGGTGATGCGAAAGGAGAGGTCTCTGTTTGTGTTGTCACGGTCGAATCAGTCGCAGTGTCCGTGTACTTTCCCAGCTGGTTCTTCTGCTTGAACTTCTCGAGCCAGCTCGTGCTCGACAGCAAGGCTTGGTCACTCCTGCTGAAGGAGAACTTTTTCGCCTGCCTTTTCAGATCTTCGTCGCCGACCGCGATCCCGTTTCGTTGCTGATTGCGTACCCAGTTGGCGAGCGTCTTTTCGAAGTCGGGCAACTTTGCTTTTGATTTCTTTCCCGGACTGACAACATCTTCCAACGGAGGCAAATTTATGTATTTGTCCTTCTGCCGCAGTATCTTGGAGACAGTGCTGTCAAGATCAGCCAATGTTACTTCTCGTATGCGTCACCCTTACCTTCTCTCCACGTTGAACTTGGCTAGAGACGTCAGTCTTGTTCAGGTTGCACAGCATTCGGGGCCACTAACCTCCTATCTGCGTCTGCTTCATGCTGGGATTCTGCTCAGCCTCCAAGCACATCTGCCGACGTTCCTCGTCCGTAAGCTTACGTCGGGAAGTGTTGCTCTTTGCGCTCGTTGGTGTAACATCTGAGATTGTTCCAGCAGACAGTGGTGTATGTATGGGTGCTGCAGCAAGGACTGGCGGCTGGTACGACCCGGGGTGACCTCCAGATGGGTGTGCTCCGGAGGCTATCATGCTCGGCCACAGGACATTGTGACTTGTGATGAGCGGTGGCGGCATCTGCGGCACTCCTGCAGCGTACGGGGGAGGCCGTGCAATTCTGCACGCCGGTTCGAGTGATCCTGGAAGAGATGCAGGCGGCTGGTGGTAGTCGAACTGAGAATAGTCATGCATCGGCGACATGGTCGTCGACGGTAACCCGGAAGGCGAATACATCCCTCCCATGGGATTGATCCACGCATTTTGACCACCTCCAGAGCCTTGGGACTCATGATGATGGTCAGATGGCATAGTCAACACTTGCATTTGAGGCCCCGAGGCTGCTCTCACGGCTGCTGGTCCGACGTGTTGCCTTGCATTGGCACTATGCTGGTGGAATCACCAATGCACCTGTCCGTCGGTCCGGGTAGCACCAGGCGAGATGTTCTTTGTTGGTGGATTGCGTCAGTCCTCGTCAGTCGAAGTATGCTACGTGTCAAGGTGTTATTGAGGGTGATGCACAGCGGTGAAAGACAGGACAGGGACCCGGTGGGCCCGTATCTGCTTAATGCTGTCTATCAAACTTCAACTCGAGGTGCGAGTAAGGAACACGACTATGACAGAAGAGGTTCCGATGGGTCGCTTTCGAGGTCCCTCGGGCGATTGGATTGACCTTCCCTGGGCGGCAGGGAGCGCTGTGGCTAGGGTAGCTCCGACGGGGATGTTTCAAGGCACGGGTCGCTCTTCGGACGCTTAAAGGGGGGGTGCCTAGTCCGAGTCAAGTTGAGCCCACAAAATGTTTTTCTCCAGGGGTTCTAGGCGATATCGAGCCTAGATTCAGAAGATCCTAGACTGTGGTGGCTTGGAAAGCCTCGTACCTCCACCACACGATGCGTGGAGGGGCAAGCCACCGAAGACACCTGAGCAGAATCCCCGTCGAAGTGATGCTCTGATAATCGGGCAGGTGTGCTGCTACTCAAGGCAGAGTATTTCAATCTCGACCGGGCCGCTGTAGAATTGTACCTGAACAACTGCCGATGCTCTGCATGCGGGTCTCGATGCAGTAAAGTCGTCCTGGCGAGGCGGTTGTTCAAACAATAGGCAATTATTCAAGCGCTCAAGTCTCCTGAGTTCTGCACTCAGAGAACTATCAAAGAGCGCCTCAAGATACCGCGACGCAATATTGAGTTCTTAAATCGTGCATTTCGTCAGGCGCCTCCCACGGTCTGACTCCAAGCGAACGAGACGGGAATATGCGCATTCATTATTGCTTGATGGACTCCTGAGCTGGTAGTTGATAAGATGATTTGTTAATTGGTCATCCACTCCGTCTCCGACCTGCGGTATGGCTTGATAGTGCCGCAGTCGTCAATCAGAGATCTGGCGCAGCTCTGTAGGCAGTATCGTACTGGTACGCAGCGGAATGGTAATTTTCAGTACCATTCTAGCCCTAAGATGAGGCATCTCCTACCCGTGGGGGCACTGGCGGACCTGCTGAGGACAGAGATGTCCTGCCCATCAGATGCTGCTCGTGCGCTCGAGATCGATGTGGAGAGAGAGTCGAGTAGCCGGAAGAGGTGCCCAGAAGTGAGCGACGGTTTGGAGGCAGTTGCAGGCGGGCGGCTAAATAGGGCGTACTCACCCACCACATCAAATCAGCGTCGACAAATGAAAGGTGTAACACCTAATTGATTGAAATGTGTCTGTTGGAGCCCAATGGGCTTCACAGTGGTGGGGTGGGCATTATTGCCAATCGTACGCCATTCGCTGCTTCTCCAGGACTTCCTTTGCTCGTTCGCAAGCAGAATTTTGTTACCGCAATCCTCGATCCTTAAGCACTACAATGGCTTTCGTCAATCTCGGAGCAGCCCTAGGTCTGAGCGACGCAAGAACCAACGAATATGGAATGTGATGGATGACTCATGGGTACACTTGAACATGCGAAATGCCAAAGGTCCTGAACCGAAGCATAGCAATGGAAGGATCGATATGCCGGTGTGTTGTCGCTACCAGCAAAGACGATCATCGCATTCGCTCAATGGCGCACTAGTGGTTCAATAGCGCTGCTCCTCGGAGGAATGCGACCCAAGTGAACGGCAATGCTATCACCGCATGGCGATAATGAGGACAAGCGAGATGGCCGTAGTGAGTGCTTCATATGCTTAATGCATATGATGCGATCTCGTGCAATCCCCCGCACTCGATAGCTGTCGATCGTGAAGAAGGCGCTCATTCCTTTGGAGCATCCTATTATTACGTCTGCCCGTTGAGCGACCTGTCGTCGGAATTCACTCTTGTTGTGGATTCCAGAGCTCTGGGCCTGCAGGCGTCATTGCGATGTCGCGACGGGCACCTACAAGACATTCTGCATGGCTGCTGACCAGGGTTTGGTACCTGACATTCGAGCTGCGATAATTGCTAACGGCATCGCGTGTTAATCCCGGACGTCGAACGGTCAACCCCGCCCAATCCGGCCAATACGGTTTCAAGTCAGCGACCAGTATCGGATGTTGGTGTAGCGGACGAACAGTGCTGTTGGCTAGGTATAGTCTCGAGTGCGAAGTCCGGCCACACTGCAATTTGGCGATGTCAATGTTGAGAAGTTATACGAATCAGTCCTTGTCGATCAGCAAGGAGGACTCTGCAGCAAACCCTGTAGGTTTGCAAGCATTGTGGGTGAGTTCGAGAAGCACAGACCAAGTCCGCGTTGCCTCACGGGAGGATAGGCGGCTTTTCAGGGCCGAAGCTGCGCCTAGCATAACCGAACAGCTAAAATGAAGCCTAAACCTTGAATCAAGGCCTGGTCTCCATTTGCTTCACACCATATCTGTCGAATTTGTTGAGAAGCTTTTGTCGAGAGCCAACAGAACGGATGTGATGGATCATTTCTTGATGATGGTGACTGCAAGAACCACGTTAATAACGTGATAATTCGCCCATGCGGTGTACTTACTGATGTCCTCATCTGCTAGCTCGTGTGATAAGCCAACGCGCTGAGGCTGGTGCTTCACTGATCGTCCATAAACGATGGCGACACGGAAGTCGTCTACAATGGTCTTATGTATGGCGTTACACTAGACGAGTATTAGCGGGCAGTGTGCATGTGTGGGATCGACTTACGAAATCTTCGACGGTCGAGGCGCTCTTGCGGAGGACGACAGGTGCTGTATAATCTGGTTGTTTCCCTTTTGGCTTGGTGTAGACTCGCCTCAGTTCGAGTTTCTCCCACATCTGTTCCAAGAGCTCATCGACATTCCAACCTTGCTCGGAACTGATTGGGCATGCGTTCGGGATCCGGTAGAGCAGGTCAAGCTCTTCAATTGAGATGGCGTCAATTTTGTTGAGAGCGTAGATGACGGGAATATAGCTACGACTCTTCGCTTCGAGCACGTCGATCAGATCGTCAATGGTGGCGTCGCAGCGAATGGCGATATCGGCTGAAGATATTCTATATTCGTTCATGACCGCTTTGATCTCATCGTGGTCGATATGAGACAGTGGAACGGTACTGGTGATGTTGAGCCCGCCCTTGTCCTTCTTCTTGAAGACGATATTTGGCGGCTCCTTGTTGATACGGATGCCGAAGCCTTCGAGTTCGGTTTCAATGACACGTTTGTCGGTCAATGGCTTGTTGACGTCGAGGACGATGAAGATGAGATGGCACGTCTTGGCCACGGCAATGACCTGTCGACCACGACCTTTGCCATCCTTTGCACCTTGAATGATACCTGGCAAATCCAGCATCTGTATGGCAGCGCCGTTGTACATGACCTGGCCCGGCACTGTGGTGAGCGTTGTGAACTCATATGCTGCCGCTTCTGAGTGCTGGCCTGTCAGCCTACTCATGAGGGTCGACTTGCCCACTGAAGGGAAGCCTATGAAGCCGACTGATGCCACACCCGTTCTTGCAACATCGAAGCCTGAACCACCACCGCCACCACTCGATGTTGGCGTGAGCAGCTCTCTCTTCAACTTGGCCAGCTTCGCTTTCAATTGACCCAGATGAAATGATGTGGCTTTGTTCTTCTGCGTCTTGGCCATTTCGGCCTCAATGTCCTTGATCTTATCCACCGTCGTCGCCATCTTGCCGGACTGTGCTCAAAATTCGGTGTATGGAGGGGTAGATGGCTTTCGTCAGTTCGTGGTGGTGTATGCTGCACGAGCGAGGTGGTGGCAAAGAATCAGTGAGTAGGCAGGTGTCGAGTATGAGGGCTTTGCCAAAGTCTGTGCAGATGAAGGTGACTCTGGTCGCAACTGCCATGTTGCCTCTCTCAAATGGGCGACTTCACTTCCACGAAAATTCCAGGTCACGTGTACTTTGCCCGCGAAGTTTAGCCGGCGATACCCGCCGCGTCCCCTCCAGACAGCAACCTGACCTCCTTGTGACCCCGGAATTCCATCTCATATTACGCGATACATTGCTTTCCGTGGATAGTCATTTCGGCAGAGTTCATTGAAAGGTCAGCATGTTGCACAATCGCAGGACGTGAGAGTCGAACGAGATTTCACGTGCCCGTAATCACAAGGCGTACCCTCAGACCGCATTCGAGAGACAAGTTCTGAACTCACAAACAATCTTATCTCTGATCTGACTGCTGACAATCCATCCTGCGAACGCCCGGTCTAAACGGGCTTAATTTATACTTTTCAGCGCCCACTGGGCTGGACTCCGTGTTCTCGTCGCATGCGGTCTAGTTATACCCAAGATGCTGCAACATGCGAAGCCCGCTCCGTCCTGCATTCCCTCGACTCCAGCCTCCGCTATGCACTACGACCTCAAACCCCCAGGTGACCCCTTCCACTGCCTGGTCAAGTCCTTGTCCGACGTGCTGGGCCCATCAAGTGGGATAGACTCTGCCGATGTCAATCCACAAGACCTCATCAATCTCATGTCAATATACACCTCGAAAGAATCAGAGTGGAAAGACTACGCATTCGCCGATCCCAGCCGGAACTACACCCGCAATCTGGTGGACAAGGGCAACGGAAAGTCCGACCTGCTGATCGTTGTCTGGAACCCTGGCCGTGGCTCACCTATCCACGACCATGCAGACGCTCACTGTGTCATGAAGATATTGAAGGGTTCGTTGACAGAAACCCTTTACAACAAAGTCCTGCCCAGCGCAGACCAAGCAGGCGATGGTCAAAGGACACCGCCTCAAGTGGTCAAGCAGACGATGTACGAGCGCGACCAGGTGACCTACATATCTGATGACATTGGCCTTCACAAGATCTCCAACCCTTCCGAGACCGATGTCGCGGTGTCTCTACACCTCTACACCCCGCCTCATGCAGCCAACTTTGGCTTCAACTTGTTTGACGACAAGACCGGCAAGCGTACTCACATTAAACAAGCTGGGTTCTTCTCCGATTGCGGCAAAGTATTGAGCGAGTCCAAGTTCGGATCATTTTGAAGTCTTTCTCTGGGCATGATATTAGCGAGGTGTTTTGGCGTTGAGGCAGCGACCAAGCTCCCAGGAGGATGCTGAAAGGAAGTTGGCGGGGTCATCGATTGATGCACCGGTATGGGCATCATGTCGAGTCTTGGATGAGGTGTCCTAGTATAGGTGTGGCAGAACTTCAACAGTTCTTCGGAAGTTGCGGTCTTTCCGAATCCAGTCTTCGCTGCTCACATACTTCTGTACCTGCTCCCTGCTTCTTCAAATACTCGCAGTTACGCAGGTGCTTTCATGTAGACATAACTGCCTGCCGCTCAATCAGAATTGGCGGCCATGAGTCACGTGAAGGTAGTTTCCCAATCAAGCTAGCGTACAAAAGCAACTCTGAATGTTTTGGCTGACACGTCGATCACGCCGGCTTCGTTCTCCTTCGCCCTAACCCTTACGCGAATACTTCCATCTCAGCAAAACAGTCGTGTCATCTCGTCGAGATGGCTTCGTCACGCGGAGGACGATCGGCTCAGAGAAAGGACACGCCGCAATCGCCACGCAAGCCGCCGTCGGCCGTCGGCTCACCAAAGCAGACGCGTCGCAGTGCCAGAACAACAAGCCGCGAGCCAGAGCCCGAGCCAAGAGTACAACAACAACAACACCTCGAGCCGGTTGTTGAAGAGCTTGGCGTCGTCGAGCCATCCGATGATGACGCTAGTGACATTACTGCTGGCACACAGAGCGAGTTCCAGAGTCTGAATGTCGACAACATCATAGAAGCTCTCCCTAGTGTGTGGGAGGACTCTATTCAACTCATCCAGTTCTTCGCCAAAAACAGAAATTCGCTGGAGCAGCTGCAAGATGGAGCAGACCCTTCTATATTCCTCTTCAAGAGGTGCAAGCGACTTGTTGAAGGCTTCCTGGATGACCGTGCTCACTTCAGCAATCGAGTCTTCATCAATACTCAGCTCGTTGCTCACAAGCTTCGGGACTCAGTGGGTGATGATGCAGCCCGTCGCCCGGATGCCATCCTCTTCGCTGCCAATGTGGTCATGCTATTGGCCACCATGATCACTGGTGATATCGCACGGAAGGATGAGGTTCTGCAGCTCATCTATCCGTCTTTCCCAGCTGGCTTCGCGTCCTTGGAATCTGGTGGTCTGTTCTCAACCAACTTAGCATCCGAGACGATCGAATTCGGCAACATCCTACGCACTCAGCTCTTCATCATGCGGGTTGCGGAGGCGTACCAAGAAGGAGTCAGCTTCGATCCGGACAATTACATACATGATCTATTCACGACAGACACAGGAGCTTATAGGGGAATGGAGATTGTCGACAAGGGTGAGGCTGATTTCAACAAGGACATGATCACAAAGTTTCTTCAAAGCCTTCGCCAACGCTTTGTGACTACAAGTGCCTCCAACCCTGTCAAACTAGCCGAGCTAGAGGAGGCTTACCCATTTGCGGACTTCCTTCAGCACCTCATTCGATGGTCTGAGGATCGCGGAAGAGAGCTTCAAGAAGCTGTCGAAGCTCAAGGCGGCGCTGAAGCCGTTGCTCAGCGTCTCGTGGGAAGCCAGCCTGACGAAATCGATCTTGGATATGACGAACTCGCCGAATCCACGGAGCAACACGTTTCAACCCCGCCCAAGCCTCAACCACGCAAGGCGGCAAAAAAGAAGATGACGAAGAATATGGCTGCCAATATCGCACGCTTGAACGAATTCAAGGCTCAAGCTGCCGCCGAGGAGACTGGGTTCGATACCCAATCTCAATCAAGTGTCATACCCCCGTCCATTGTGGACCGCATCGAGGTGCTCGACGAGGAGGATCAACACACCGCTGAACAACTCTTGTCAGCGAACAACGCTGTGCCTCCCAATCCTGACCCACACCAGGTGCAGCGGATCATGCGAGAACTGGCTGAGAGAGCACTCAATGAGCCTTCATCCAGCAATCCTGCGAACCCTCGGCCACGACCTCGCTTCGATGAACCTCAACCGAATGCTCGTCGTCTAAGCTTCAACGATATCGACTCACAGCAGCCAACGCCGCGCAACAAAAAGCGCGCAGCAGCTCCCGCAACGGACGACGAGGAGTTTGAAACAGACAAGCGCCCTGCACCCAAACGTCGCCGCCAAGTCAACAATGACAACATCGATCCTCAACTCCGAGAAGAGCTTCCCGCACTAGACGAGGACGACGACTTCACCACGCCAGGCACGCACCCACGGCCAACCTTTCAGACAACTGCCTCGCCTCGTCGCCTCGGACGACCTTTCCAGCCGCAATCCGCCAACAACGCTGGACCAAGCTCCACTGCCCCACCGCTAGGCGCACAACCAACTCGACTCGAGCAAACGCCCTCCATACCGCCCAGCAGCGCTCCTGCCGCCCGACGGGAAACGCTGGACCCTGAAGGCGCTTTCCCTGCCAGCCAAGCATTCAACGATGCCCGAGACCTGGCCAAGCAGGAAGTCCGCAAGAGGAAGACTGCACTTGCCAACCCGCCTAACCCCGACGCCGCCGCCAACCCTGACGCCGACGTCGACAACAGCGACCTACCTCCCCTGACCCAACGCGCCGAACTTCCTGCCACAGGCAGCGGCTACCAAGTCCGCAAGCCCTGGACTCCCGCCGAGGAGGAGCGCCTAATCACGCTGATCGGCGAGGTGGGTCCCTCATACGCCAAAATCCTGAAGCTAGACGCGCAACATGACCAGGGCCCGGAGCTGGAGGAGCGCAATCAGGTGCAGTTGAAGGACAAAGCGCGGAATATCAAGTTTGCGTACCTCAAGGCGAATGTGGCGCTGCCAGATGGATTTGGACCGGTGAGTATCGGGCCGAAGCTGGTGGCCAAGTTAAATGAGCTGGGGATCACGGGGCTCGGTGTGAGTGACCTTTCCCGTCGTGTATTTGCACTCCCACGCACCTTGACTTGACGAGAGGGCTAATCAAGCTTGTTTGAATCATAACAGGCAGACGGTCGTACAGCCAACTAGTCATCGGTCGGACAGGACACGCAAAATGACACACCCTCTTATGAGCCGACCTCAGCAAGTGTACACGAGACCACAACGACAGATACCTATCCGGCCTCCACAAGATATTGTACAATAGCACACTGCGCTACCAACGACCGCTTCGCACAGTCAGGATCTCGAAGGATCTGCGAATGTTGTTCGTAAGGCCGCGCAAGATCTCGATCGAGTGACTGTAGCTTTGCATGAATGGGACGTGGTTCAACCACCAGGTAGACCCGAGCGGGAGGCGGGCGCAGTGATGTGTGTCCTCATGTATGACGGGTGGTGGAGTGGACCGACATGTAACTTCGGGGTTTTGGAGTATGGTGGTGCTTGTTAGGCAAGGAGATTCTCGAGTCGGCTGACTGTTCGTCTCGAACCCTTATGCTTTCCTTCGCACATCACTTGGTTTTGTGGGGTGGAGTTGCGGGAGCGGGCATCGGGTCTTCCACACGGGTCTGGCCGGGAGGTCGTCAGGTCGACACGGACTTTGAAAGGGTGTGGTATATGCGTGTATGTACAACAGCTGTGTCGGACTACATCATGGATAATTCATTCATTCAATCGATCATTCAACCAAGACGAGTATTGCTCTCGCCCACTACGTTCTGATCAAGTCTACCCAACGACGTCAGATGACTAGTCTTGTCCCTCATAGCAGTTTACTCCTTTGATGGGACGTGGGTCTCCTCAAATTGCACCTTTTCGTCTCTCAGCTCTGCACCGTCTTCCGGCAGGACGATCATGTTGGTATCCTTGAGCCAGTATTTGATGATGGGCAATACACATAGCATGCCGAAAGCCAAGAACTATATGAAACATCAGCGAATTCCGCTCAAGTGTCAACCTGATGAATGGGGACAACTCACCGCCCATGATGCCCCAAACATGAACTCCTTCGAGTATTTGGCGTAGTCCAACGAGTACCCAACGACCATGCACAGTGCGTTCAGCAGTCGATACAGCGCCGCATAGACCGACAACTGCGCGAATTGTTAGGTTCATTAACATGATATGCAAGCTTGTGCAAAGAACTCACCTCAGCCGGATCATTACTCAGCGCTCCAATGAACCAATAAGCATAGCAATTGTACGTCGCGTCCGTAAAGCCATACATCACAAACAGCAGACACCACCATCCATAATCACGACCAAAGACATCCAGACGCTCCTTCTCATCGAGGCCCTCCACAGTGTACTTCATGCCCCAATAGCCTCCAATCCAGATCGCGTTGATGATGACAAAGGTATAGACCAAAGCCCAGAAAGCCCGCTTGCGGCGCCCAAAGGGCAACTTGTCCGTGAAGAGATACGTGCACCAAGGCGCAAACACTTGGGCGACGCCAGACAGAAAAGCATTGAGACTGCGGGCCCGCACCGTGAAGACTATACCGTTGAAGTCGTTGTTTTGGTAGACGCCGAAGAAATTGACAGCCCAGCACATAGGGAAGAAGAAGACGATCCAGCGGTTACGGTTGATGACTTGAACAGATGCGCGGAACTCCTCTGCCAGGGTCTTCTGTCTCTCTAGCGTCACTCGAGATCCATCTTCGCGCACGATCTTGTGCCAGGGGTATAGCGCGGCTCCCAGCGCGGCACCGATGAGCATGAGAGCCATGAGGCCGATGTAAGTGCCGTTGCCGACGCGGGAGCCGTTGTCATCGCCTGCGTTCCAGTTCTGGGCCAGTGGGATGGCGGCACCGATGACCAGGCCGACTTGGTAGATCGACCAGACGATGGAGATGTAGAGGCCTTTTTTGTCTTCGGAAGCGAACGAGGTCAGGCCTGCGCCCTCGGCTACTCAGAGAGTTAGTGCTTGGTCATGTTACGCATTGTCTTTCGCAATACTGACCGGTCCACAGGAAAGCGGCAGAGAGACCACACCAGGCGCCACCGAAGATCACAAAAGGTACGTTGCCTGTGTAGTTGAAACACCAAAGACTTGCAGCATATGCAGCGTAGCCGAGGCCTCCAAAGCACAACGTCGGTCGAAGCCCGAAGTAGTTGAGACAGGCAGGTGCGACCAGACAGAAGACACTGAAGACTGTGTAAAGGGCGATGTTCGAGACATCGGAAAGGTAAGCGGTTTGTTGACCTGCTCCTCCGATGAACGTCAACACATTGTACATTCCAACAGTCATGAAGAGGACCAGGCCCAGCATAGCGGCTTGGATACGTGGATGACTGTATGGGAATACAGTGATGCCGAGGATGCGACGACCTTGGGGAACCTGCGATGGCCACGTCAGTCCCATATTGACAGAGCAGTGCCGCTTGAACGGGTAGATCGTGCGATTCCACGTACTTCAACAGCACCAGCTATATGCTGACTAGCTTGAGCCTTGTCAATATGCATCTGTTCTGCGATGTATCTGCCATGAGTGGTCACCTCCGGCTCAGCTGGGGAGATCCCCTTGGAGTCAGGTCGGGCGTTTTCGAGATCCATATTAACGTGCTGCGAGGAGGGTGCGACGATGGTGGTGAGGGATCCAACACTTGATGCTCTAAGTCGCTATATATGCCTGTCTCTATCTCGACTGAAAGATAAGAAACGACGATGCCCACCTCTGTCGCGTAAATTCCATCGCGGTTCAGATGGCCGTGGGTTATGGTGTGGAGACATGTCTGGCGGCTACCTCAATGAGCAGTGTCGGAAGGGGAAGGAGAGATCGTGGGATGTGAGTTTCTACAGACTACTAGTGCGCAGAAAGACATCAGTGCAGGAGGGATGCCGATCAACTCAACGCAACGCGCGTGGGAGACATGAAGGATAGACGGCATTGGAGCTTCGGAGGAGGTATTGCGGGAGTGCCAGCATATCAGCCAAGCGCTGATCTTCGTGAAACGCTAACCTTGAACAACAGAGCTTGAGCATTCTCTTATCGTGCCGCATGCCGGAAGACGTTCTTGCTGCTCGGACCCCATCAACTGATTGCTCTTTGATGCGGGGATCACCCGGTGCTCTTGAATCACAGCAAGGTCCAGTCAGATCACCGCGAGCGTATGGAACGGAGCGTCGCCAGTTCCAGCTCGTCAGGAGGAGTATGTATGTAACATACTACCACGTCTTGTGTCGTTGAAGTAGTTGTGCAGTGCTCCGGGGTCACTCACGATAAGCGGGGCCCCTTCCCCAAAGTCACGTGCGGAACTCACCTTCCTAACGGAGGATAGCCGTTTTGGGAAAGATCTCCCTGACCTGGCTGCTGGACTTTGATTTTGAATAGGCGGCGATCAGCCAGAGATAGGGACAGCTCCCCGATCTCTCGCAGGGGCCTCTTGGACGTGAGCAGACTAAGAGGATGCTCCCTCCAAGCAAGATCAAAGGTAGAGTAGAACCACGCTTGTCCAGTGAGCGGGCCTCATCTCGACTGTTTGAGGCCCGCTCTCATAATCACTTAAGTTGGCTGCAAGCATTATGCAAAGATGCAAGACCAGGCGGTCTCATTCATCTGCGCTTCACTGCCATCATCGTATTCCTGATGCCGGCCTCCGATCTCGCCCAGGGCTCGAACGGCCACACTAATGTTACTAATGGGGACAGAGAACCTGAGATTATTGGATATGCAGAACCTTGGATTGTAGCACCTGGTGACACGGTTGACATCAAGGTGAGTATACGGCAGTCTCTGATCTCAGAGAACATCCGAGGCCTTTCACAACCACCTAGGTATCAAAGGTCAGTTTCGGCTGATCAATAAGTGACAGGTGTCATGTACCGAGCCGGAATATGAGCACCAGACGTTCCGCCTGATACAAGGCGTCACACTCGAGCATGCGCCGTCAAAGCAGGAAGAACAAGTGACTGAGATCCCTCCGGGACGCAGAGATGGCCGTTACCAGACAGCTCGACCAGGGTCGTATGTTATGGTGCCAGAATGGGGAGCGCCATGGGCCACGACAAAGGTCATCCAAGTGTCATTCTGGGTTCAGCCGTGGTTGAATAAATGCGGACATAAGCAGGCTCTCGTCTCAAACCTGAATCAGAATACCTACACCGGCTTCGCCGTTGTCATAGACAAGGAGGGTCTGCTCAACGTCCGTCTGGGTACTGGCAAACAGATCAGCACTTTATCCACGGGAATTACGCTGCAGCAGAAGGTATGGACCGAACTGCAGGTGAGACTTGAAGGTCAGAGAGTTCAGGTCGACGCGCTTCCTGTAGGTTTCCGGAATGAACCACTTTTGCCGGCCGCCACTTTCAGTCACACTATCGAAGCGGACGGCCAACTGGTCATGAACCCTGGCCCTTTGCTGATTGCTGCAACGCCCACGCACAATTCCTATGCAGGACAGCAAGGATCGCAGCAAGACGCCACCGACTTCTTCAACGGCCGTATAGGTGGCTTCGCAATCCGAGCAGGAGCACTCCACGCAGACACTCTGCTCGTCAAGTATGATTTCTCGCTGAACATGTCTGACGATGTAGCCGCGGACATATCTGGTCACGGGCATAATGGAATACTTATCAATGCACCAACTCGCGCCGTCACAGGACACGACTGGGACGGATCCGAGCCCGACTGGACCCGCGCGAAGACCGGCTATGGAGCGATACACTTCCACGAGGACGACATGGACGACGCCAAGTGGGCAACCGATTTCAGCATCACAATCCCTCCAAACGCTCGGTCAGGCGCATATGCCCTAAAGGTCGAGACGACTAACGGACGTGATTCAGACTACATCACCTTCTTCGTGACTCGACCTCAAGCGCCACATCGAACATCAGAGGACAGATCCAAGCAAGTCTGCTTCATCTTCTCGACACTAACCTACCTAGCCTACGCCAACGAGCGTCTCTACGACACCACAAGACCCAACACCGCCACCATCGGCCCCAGCTTCGACATCAACAAGGCCCTCAAATCCCCCGAATTCTACAAAATGCAACGCCGCCTCGACCTCGGCCTATCCTGCTACGACCGCCACATCGACGGCTCCGGCGTCTGCTACTCCTCCTACAAACGCCCCATCCTAAACGTCCGCCCAGGCTACATCATGTGGGGCTTCTCCCGACCTCGCGAGTTCTCAGCCGATCTGATGATGCTCGGCTACCTCGAGCACCTCAACATCCCTTATGAGATCCTCACCGACCACGACCTCCACCACCACGGGGTCAGCGCGATCAGCGGCTTCAATACCGTCATCACCGGCTCGCATCCGGAATACCCGAGCTTCGCATCCATGGCGGCCTATGACGCCTTCGCTCGCCAGGGCGGCAACCTTATGTACCTCGGCGGGAACGGTTTCTACTGGCTCAGCGCTCTCGGTGGTCCCACCAACGCACACCGCTTCGAGGTCCGCCGCGGCGACGTCGGCGTAAGACCGTACACTCTCCCCGGCGGCGAGCGCGTCAATAGTCTCGACGGCCGACAAGGCGGTCTCTGGCGATCGCGCGGCAAGAGCTGCAATACACTCTTCGGCGTGGGGTTCTGCGGCGAGGGCACGGGCCCAGGCGTGCCTTACAGGCGGACCAAAGCCTCTCGAAGCCCGGAGTTTGCATGGATGTTCGAAGGCATCACAGACGACATCATCGGCGTGCACGGCTTCGGCGGCGGCGCGTCGGGTGACGAGATCGATCGGTATGATGTCGAGAATGGCAGTCCTGCATCTGCAACGGTGTTGGCGACCAGCACGGGCCACAGTGATGAGTTTGGGATCGCGATCGAGGACTTGGGGTTTCCCGCGATCAAGACGTTGGGGACACAGACGGATCTAATACGGAGCGATGTTGTGTACTATGTGGGGAGGGGAGGAGGAGGGGTGTTTAGTGTAGGGAGTATCAACTGGTTTTGCTCGTTGGGGTGGGATGGGTATCAGACTGAGGTGGCGAGGTTGACGGGGAATGTTGTGAGGGGGTTTTTGGAAGGGAAGAGGTGAGATATGGTGGTATCTGTAGAGTAGATGTTTGGCAAAGTGCGTTCGCAATGTAGTCGTCATATTCTGCCAGTCACAGGCCAGCAAGCTAATTGATACTAGAACATGTCTAATGCTGAATCATGTGCCCACGCACTGACACAGCCTGAGCATAGGAGCGCCTCGACGAGCACTTGTCGAGACCTATCAAGAGCTCCTAGTTGTTGAAGGGATAAGGAGGTTCCACGCCAGCTTGATGACCAGCAATCTCTGCCTGAGCAGCCTCGATCTCGCCCGCCTTCTCCAGGCTGATGTTGGACTTGCTAGGCCCGGCCGAGGCAGGGGGCGAAGCCGTGCCAACGAAGGCTGCCTCAGGTGATACACTTCTAGAGGCCATTTCATTGGTCTGCGTGGCTGCAGTCACATGCTTCAGGCCTGCCTTCTCGTCGTCCCCGGATTCGACTGTGCCAGTCGCGTTCCGTCTCTCCCTGTGGGCCACAAAACTCGCGTTTCTGGTGCGGTCGATCACGTCCTCCACGTCTCGCGTTACGATCTTGAGGTATGTGCGGATACTCTCAGCCTCTTCTGTGGCTGTATGGATGTGGTCAACGCTCCTTGCGCGATTGATTGAGTCGAGACGGTCGTGAAGATCAGCGAACTGCTGGTCGAGGAGGTCAAGTTCTGTGTTGAGGTATGATTTGGCTTCCTTCGTGGAGCTTGCAGCTTTGGAGGGCTTCGCCCCGGAGCCCTTGCGTTTGCTGTGGCAGCCGCAGGTCATCCGCTGGTTGCAGTCGTTGCAGATCAGGAAGACATCGTTCTGGTCGATTCCGCCGGTATTGATGCAGCCTTGGAGCACCTTTGTGCCATCTGGAAGAGTAGTCACTTCTTGTTCATATTCGACATCTTGAACATCGACGTTCGAGCGTCCACGGCGCGATGTCCCAGGATGGCGACTTGATCGAGCGCCTCGCCTCGGATCTTCTTCCTCCTTCGTATCATTGAACCGCACGCTCTTCTTCTGCTCTCGGCGACTGGACGCCTTATTGTAGGTGGAAGTCTTTCGACGTTCCGACGCCCCTCTGCCTAAGAATGACATGACTGCGCTCGTCGCTTTAATACCAAACTTTCCGAGTATGGATGGTGCGATAACTAATACTCGCATGTGGATGTTTCAGGACTGGTATCTGGTAAGGTCTTCTGGTGGTAGGAACAAGGCGTATTTTGTAGGGATCCCAGGCAGTATACTTATACCTGGAGCTCTGCAGCTCCGGTCGAACGGCCCTGATTGCATGACGCTGCTGCGGCCAGTGCTGTATGAGCGCAGAGCAGTAGCCAGTCCAGACGTCATGGTGATGATGGCGGAGCGGTGGTGTGTAAACGCCTTGATCGAAGGTGCCGTCTGGACCGCGGCCAACAGGCTTTGGCTTGGACGACGAAGTTAGGTGGCTGAATCTATGACGTTGGAAGTCACTTGTCGTCAATTGACAACCGTTCCGGGAAGGTGCATGGACTGCCACGATGTGGTTGCCTGGTTGCCTGGTCGCACTTGCCAACAGGCATTTTGTGCCGAAGAGCAAACAACGCCCCGATCAAGTCTCACCCTGACCATTTCGAGGACACTTCGTCATTCTTTTCCTTTGGCCATATCATTTCGTCAAATCTGTCAGCAATCTGCCAACATCCACCTTCGCTGAGTTATCGTCAACATCGTTCAAGGTTCAGCGTAAACTCACTCGACACACACAATCATGGGCAAGCGGAACAAGAAGAACAAAGCCAAAGCCACTCACCCAGACCCATTGCGCTCCGCTGCAAGTCAGACACCGCTGCAGGCCTCGGCTGTGTCCAGGGAAGCCAAGGTCATCAAATGCGCCAACTGGTATGCTCTTGCTTCTTGTCCGTCAGTAGTCTGCTAACAATTGTCAGTGATTCCGAAGATCATGGGTGGCGTGATTGTACCGCTCCCAAGAACTGGTCTCGTGTGACTTGCCGCAATTGTGGTGAGAAGGGCCACACCGTCAAGCATTGCAAGCGACCCATCAAGGAGCCAGATAGTGACGGCGGATTTATCAACGCTATTATCAACGCTGCCGACTCAGGGGCTGAGGATCCTGGTAGCGATTGGGACAAGTCTTCGGCTTCAGGCGGGCTCCAACCTCAACTCGGCACCCTATCTCAAGACCTACTCTCGAGAGTTCCAGCACAAATTCAAGCACAACTCCAAGACAAGATCAACAAGTCAGGCCTCATCCCGCTGTTAGACCAAGAGCTCGATAAGTACTTCTCGAAGACTCTATCAGCCAAGGCCAAAGGCGAAGCCGTCCTTGATATCTTCGATATTGCCGATGCGCTCTCTACCAAAGGCCGCCTCGATATTCTCCTGACTGCCAAAGTTGCGTTCAGCATGAATATCATCATTCCAGGACATCACCATAGGGGCGCTTGTACATACCTGGAGATAAAGACCCACCTTGAGTATGGAGACCGCGTGGCGGAGGCAAGGACTGCAGCTCCGAAGGGCGATCCGTTCGATTGGGCTATGATCATCTTCAACAAGCCCGAGTGGTACCACACTCACAAGAACCGTGTGGAGGAGGTCAAGAAGTACTATGGGTACATTCAGACCTGGGCGAAGATCTTCATACAAAAGGGTTACTCCGCTGAGGCGGCCGCTGAATGGGCGAAAGAACATCCAGACCCGAATCTGGATGACGAAGAACTGAACGGATGCGCCGCAGCCTCTGCAGCATCTGCAGGCAACCTGGAGCCCGCCCCGGAAGGCAAACCTGCTAAGTCGACGCGGCTCGCTATAGACGACAGGCTGCTATTCCGCATCCTCCCCAATCCATGCGACACCTATCATCAACATACCTACCACCGTCTACGTAGACCGAGGACGAAAGAAGAGAAGAGAGGAGAATGTCCTATTTGTCAAGCTCGATTCTCCGGTCTCGCGACATCCGGAGCTCTGGTCGCGAGAGGTCGTCGCCCGTACTCACTGATCTGGAACGTCAACACACCACTAGATGAGGATTTCACGCAAACCCGAGATTATCGAATGGATAGCATCTGCTACGCGATGGAGCTGAGGCTGAAATTGCGGCTCTTGGGATGTCTAGGCGATATGCCGGGACCGGGACCTGTGTTGCCAGCTGAGCTTAAGAAGGATACGCACATCGCGAGGATCCAGTCCCGCGACGAACCCAAGTTGGCGATCCTCAAGAGTCTGCGCCGGAACACTCAGCGTTTCCTAGTGACTGTCGAATGGTGGCTTGCGTACACGGCCGGAGATACTCCCAAGGTCAATGCCAAAGTCCTTCGAAGTATTCCTAGCACCAGTAAGAAGGGAAGCCGGCAGTACGTCCCCAGGAGAGATGCCTTCGCCGATTTCGAAGAAGCATGCCGATATTACGACCGGTCGCACGAGGCCCTCCCGGTGCGCATTAATGCCAAAAGCCTGCCTTACCTCCCGCCGACTCGGAGTCTGCGTCAACGATTGCTGGAAGAGGAAGCCGAGGAGGACTCTGTAGCGCGGATTACGAGCGATGTCGAGGACGCGGTCATCGAAGATTGCGCTCTATCGAGACCAAGTGACGATCTTGGGGACTTTCTGGGTGTTGGCGATCCTAGTCGGATCGGAAGTCTGGAATTGGGGTTGTTGAGGAAGTTGTCGGAGATTCACTGCTCAGATACAAAGCCCGCCTCGGAGGCGAGTGTTGACGACGCTTCGGCTAGGAGGGCGGCGCTGGAAGCTGCGCTGGGCGACCCAGATGCATTCATGTGCGCAGCGAAGCGATTGGATTAATGCCAGGCGTCGTTAGGCAACATGCTTGATAGTTGACTTGGTTAGCTGGAGCTGACAGGAAACAGATAGGAAGATCAGGTTGTGGCTAGAATAACTGGCCATTTTCGCTTCAGCGCCCTCCCTAACCAGAAAGTCCACGAGGTATCGAATTCCTGTACTGACGGTTGACTGAGGCTCATCTCCAGCCATTTGACCCGATCAGAGTCCTGGTGCTAGGCCTTCAGCGCACTCTCAGGCTGAAAAGTCCATGATAAGCAGCAATTATGGTTCAAGGTGGGAGATGGGGCAGACGACCAGTGTTTCCCGTTATTGGTCGGACAATTCGTATACTTCGCCCATGGTAACGATGTTTTTGTGTCTACACCCATGATGCAGTATCGGATCAATGCCAGACCTAACAGGCCGTCGCCGTCCCGAATCATGAACTAGCCACCACGCAACGGTCAGCATCGAAGTCATGTATGAAGTAGGATGGAACTGATCAGCCAAGAGAGAAGATTGCACGGGGGTGGCCCCCGAGCTTTTCGCTTAGCTCATGCACAGACCTCTGATGCAGTGATCGAACCTAGGATTCGTTGGCACGCGTACATCGAGGTGTTTGGCCTCGTCGTGAAGCATCTGCTTGCCATGTACGCGACGGCTTAGTGAAGCAAAGTCAGCAGCAGCAACGTAGCATGGAGGCGAACTTAGATCGGTAAACGAGGAACACAAACATACGTGATCCGGAAAGAGTCTGTCCCAGGAAGTCTGGCGCCTGGATGCTCAACAAGCGGGTCCCTTACAATGATACGATTAATGCTGCTGAAGGCAGTCAGAAAGACAATCACCACTCTCTACGTCGAAGGCAATAATCCCTGCAGGATCAGCATCATTTGCGACCACGTTGCTGAGATGCTTGGCTTGCCGCTCGAGAACTGAACCTCGAAAATCGATTCGATGAGCCGTGGACATGAGCAAGGGGCCTAGCTGCGATCGACAAAAGATGGAAAGATGGCGATGCTTACGATGGATAGGTATTCTCGTATGATCGAAGGAATAAAAACTTCCCCAGAGCCGTGGGAAACTTGAGCCACCCTTACCATCGTCCGCCAAGCTAAGCGCAATCAGTGTGGGGCCGTGCTCGTGCTCCCGGGCCACTGATTGATCAAGGGTCGTCAGGGTTTAAGTGAAGCCCTCCATTTCGTAACCACACTCGCCACACAAGATGCCGTCGCCAGGGGAAGACACGGAAGGTTTTCTGCCACAATCTGACTTGAGGGCCCGAAAAGTGCCGTTCCGCCGCCTCCTTTTTTTACTTTTCGACCCCTGTCCAGCGGAATCTTGTGCCCTGCCAGTAATCTCGGGTCGCCGAAATGCTTCCATGTGACGTTATTTGTGTACTGTGATGTGGCATGGAGGGCGTTGTACTGTCGACAAAGACCCCAGAGCACTTTTTCGATGCCGTATGCGGGATCGAAGCTGGTAAAATTCGAATCAACACGTAACGAAAGACTATGGTCATGGAATATGTGGACTCCCTCAGGTCTCTTCTCGAATGAGACGCATTGACACGGTGTATATCAACCTTTGAGATGGGCCTACGGTATGTTTTCACCTGGTAAGGCAGATCAGGACTGTATAGGTAGCTATCATCCCAGGAGCTGACAGTCTTTTGTCCACGAGACAGGCCACGGAGTCGGTGTTCCTCTGTCACAAAGATATATCGTGGTGGCTTTCCCTGGGGATCTTACGATCTCTTTCTCACTCATCTGCACGCATGACCTGTATCGTTCCTACCGCTCATCTTCACTGTCGTTCTGTTGCCGGAGCGTTTTTCTACCCGCAGCACGTTCAACCGAGCACACGAGCCCACCTCTTGCCATGCCACGATCTCGGTCGGACTCCATGGATGGGGTTGTGTTCTTCGCTGGAAGGTTCAGTGGACTGCGGCTTGATGATAGTAAGTACTGATCAAGGTCTCCTGAATCGATGTTCGTTGCCAAACTTGAGTTTCTTGCTGGCCTTTACATCCCTGCCCTTCGCACGCTGGCTGACCGTAAGCCTAGACCAGCAAGAATATCACCACTGCCGGCCCAATCATACGCCGTCCACCTCCAGCTACACATCTCGTGGCACGTACTCATCTCGCGCCTCGAACTACTCAGCCTGTGCTGGCCCAGATGCCATCGACCGCAACCGCACCTCCATTGTTGTGCAGGCAGTCCTCCCGCCACCTTACCGTGAGCCTCAACACACCAGCACTCACATTACACTTGATGTTCCCGCCGGCATGAGCGTGACCTACCGCAGACAGACCTTCACTGCAGACCAGACCATCGTTGTCACCAACAACTCGCGTCGGACTGTTAGCGGGCGAGAAGAACGCCGCCGTGCTGTTGCCACGCCGCCGCCGCCGCCGCCTCAAACCATCATCTGTCAGCATCGCCTGTCACTCCACGACAGTCAAAGCAGGAGGGGCAGTCCCCGCAATCAAGACTCTGCAAAGAAGCAGAAGTATGTCCGCAGGGTCAGTGTGTTGAAGTCCGTGATCTGATCATGATCAGAACTAAATCGTCATTAGCTAAGCCGACTCGTCTGAGAGTCCCACAATGGTGCTACAGACGTCGTTGTGTGGCATGTCGAAGGGACCATCAGGTGCCGTAGAGGTCAACAAGTACCAGTATTTGTACCGAATAACGGAATTGTGGAGTTACAAGGGCCGTCAGGTGTCACTTTAAGGGAGGATTGCAGGCGACGTACGAAACCTTGGTAGCACGGGAGTATCTGGATAATGTACACTCTTACCTGTTCACGATGAGCTTCATCAGATCAGTAGGCTAGCAACAAGTCATCCTACACATCCTCTCGTCGATCCATCCGCAGTTCTGCGAATGGGCTGCGAACACTCAACATTGAAGAAAAGTCGAAATGCAGACGGAGCTGCAATCGCCGCGTCACCATGCCTTCCGCCAGAAGCTTGGCAGGGCTCCGCCTTGCCTTACCTCGCTACCTACTAAGGTACCACCACAAACGAGTTTCATCAAAGGACAGTGTGCTATAGGAATGCTTAGTCACAGCGACACAAGTCGTCCGCGCTGCATCGATGCTTTGGATGCACTGGACTGACGACATGCAGTCGTACTAGGGGTGCATGATCGACTTGACATCACAGGTCACCCATTTATATTCCTCCGCCGAAAGTCGGCACAGAGGCCGTGGATACTATGACTTGGCTGTGGACGAGTAGAGCGGTCGAAAAACCGTGCATGAAGAGACGACTATCACATCACCCAGTTCACTGCTGGGTGGGCTCTATAGCGTTATCTGCCCATTCCCGCCACCACTCCCACCACCTCCTCTCGCACCAAAGAAGCCCAAAAATCCTCCCTCAGAGTTCGAGTTCGATGACTCGCCTCTCTCATCACCGCCCATCCACTTCGGCCGTTGTACACCTTCGCTCCCTGCTTCATCCACTTTGGCGTCTCGATTCCGTCCATTGTGTTCTTGACCCTCCTGCCGAAGAGCGTGAAGAAGTTCTCTTCTTCGGGCTCGGGATCTAGTGGTGGTGGCATCGCTCGAGAGGCGCGGGTCGTAGTTGCTGCTTGTCCGCCGGTTGATGGTCCCCACCGCGTCGATGATGCTGCCGCGGTTTGCTGTTCGGGAGGATCGCGAATGCCAAAGTTGCTGGGTCCTCGCAAGTCGCGGGCGATCAAATCGCGACCGTCGCGCCACGTTGCTCCAAATGCCGAATCTTCTTCGTCATCGTCCATAATGCCGAACCCGAAGACGCGCTTGATGCGTCCATACAAATTGAACAGCGTGGCACACACCGGAATGAGGATGAACATTGGAAACAGATAGTCGAACCACACGCCCAAATGCGTCAAGTTGACGAGCTTCCCGAGGAAGTTGTAGAACACTGTCTTCTGGTAGACCGCTTTGGGAGTGAACGTAAGGAAGTTGTAGGTCAATGGCACCGTCAACTTCGCGACCTGCCCTGCGTACCAGCATGCGGACTCCGGATGGGTATTTCGGCGGACCAGAGCCCGGCCGTTCCATACAGGGACGTCATTGATGCTGCTGAGTGCACAGATGCACATGTATGCGATCCAGCCTGCGGCGATGAATTGACCGCCGAAACCGACTTGGTAGTCGTCGTTGTTGGGATGGTGGACGACTGTTAGGCTGACTGGAGATAGTTGGGAGGCCGGGAAGCGGATGATTTCGGATGTGACGACGGCGATTGATGCTAGTGCGAGGATGCCGCCAGTCGCGAAGTAGAAGTATGGTAGGATTTGGACGTAGAGGAAGTACCGGAGGCTAGGTGTCAGTATCGACTTGCCACGGCCGAAAGTCAGCTTCTTAGAGGCTGTGGAGTCGAGTATGGCTTGTAGATCTGTCGCCTTCTGTACGATAGCATCCCACTCTTGTGTATATCTGGTCTTGCGCATCGTGGCTCGTTCGAGTCGTCGTGTGAGATCAGCAAGGTATCGATCAGTGATGACGGCTGGGAGCTTTGCAGACGCTCCAATAGTTGCCGGATTGGCCAGAATGCGACTCTCTTGAGTCGACAGCATGTCTGCCAGCTCATCGATCCACTCCTGGAAGTCTCGCGCCGTGCCCGTTTTCCGTTGCTTCAGCTGCAAAACCTGTGCCTCCAACTCTTCTAGATCGACAACGGCATCATCTAATTTCTCGTTGACACGTACGGCCTGAGTCTGTACCCGCTTCAGAGAGCCCGCCGTGCTCGCTTTTCTGAGCAGATTTCGCGGTACTGCAACCATGCCATGTCCGGCGAGATAGATGGCTAACATGAGACCCCACACGTAGGCTAGTGCCATGAGAAGTCCCTTGATGGCGGTAAAATTGAAGCTGTAGTCGAAAGATATGTAGACCAGGCCCAGAACCGCACACGATAGCATGATCAACTGGTATCTGCCATTGGAGCGCAAGGAGTAGATCAGCCGGTCCATTGGGTCTCGGTAGCCCGCATCCATGTACTCGGCGAGAAGGGGCAGGATGAACCAGGTCAACATAAACGTGAGCCAGTAAGCGAGTCTCCAGGCGACCAGCAGTGGTCGCTGTGCCAGCCAGATGCCCTTGTGTGCTTCATCTTCTGGGCCGGAACTCGAGGCGAGGTCGATGGGCACTAGGAGGACGGCGGAGGCCGGGAGGGCAAGCGCGAGAAAGATCGGAACCGTCAAGAAGGCCGGTGTGGTTCGCAGAGGCAGATAGTGCCGGAGCAGGAGGAGGACTGCAAGACATATCGCAAGGAGCGAGAGGGTGGTAAGGATAGTCGAACTGGCGGCTGATACCATGTTGGATGCGCGGCGGGTGCCCTTCTACTGTGTACTCATCACTTTAACGGTAGAGTCGAAGACCGCCTCGATAATGTGGTCAGATGGCGTCGTGAGTTGGGTTGAAGACCGAGTATGAGGATGAGAAGGCAGCAATGTTATCCTGTAGACCAGAAGTCGCATGCGGCGGATCTCGGCCAAGTGACGTCGCTTGTCATCCGGCGCATGAAAAGGACCCCTCTGTAAGATCGGCAGATCGGCGCCAGGCTCTTTCTGGGTATGCGGGCTTCCCGTCGGCGCCTAAGAAAGCCTAGGATGCAGGGAGCTGAACACAGCGCCTGGATAGTACAGATATCAACATTGAGTACATCACCTCATCAACCAACTAGATACTTGTCCACTGCTTGGACTACACGCGATCCTATATAGGGCAGTACCTACAGTGCCTCATCAGCGCATATAGTCGAGGACCATTCCTCCCACACCTGTGGCAGGCCGTCTTTGAGAGCCCAAGTGCAGCCGCCCACCTCACCCGAGCACCCCTCCATACCATCACTGGCAACATCGACAGAGTGCAGCCTCACAGCTCAACTTCACTCGATTTGCCTGGCTAATAGGCTAGTGACGGCCCAGCCACCGCCTTTCCCAGGTCACTGTTTGTCAACATCACGTCAAACCGCCTGCGTCCTCTGTAGACTGAGCCACCTTCATCAGTGGTGCACCTACCCGTGCTCGTACCACCACATTCCGCCCTTGACCTGACTTACTTTCGGTCCACTCCCGTCGTGCCACCATACGAGCCCGTCGATCAACTGGAAGAGACAGAGCTCGTTGTCTTCTTGTCCATGGTCACTCTTCCACCGCCTTAGACCTGCGCCTCAGGCTGCTGCAGCCAGCCTTGAGCCATCATGAATCCTCAGCAATTTGGCAACATGGCTGGCATGGGAGGTGGCATGCCCAACAATATGCAGCAGATGAATCCCCAGATGATGAATCCTCAAATAGCCAACGCCATGCGCCCTCAACCCGCCATGCCCATGCAGGGCAGAATGCAGGCCCAGGTCAACTCACACAACGCCGAGATCCAACGTCAGGTCATTCAAGCTCTACAAAGTCAAGGAACCTTTTCGGGCGGCTGGCAAGCGACGGTACCTTTGGTGGAGCGTGCCGGCCAGGTCCGCTTGCTTGTCGACTCCCTGCGCCTTGTACGTCCGCCTGTCGAGCCCGCTCGAGCCACCGAAGTTGCCATCCAATTCGAACGCAAGGCTTTCAGTCAGAGCACAAATAAAGAGCAATATCTACAAGAATGCAACAACAAGTTGACCAAGATCAGAGATCAGAGGGCGCAGCAGATGAATGCCGCCAGCATGGGGATGCAGGACAACATGCAGATGCAGAATCAGTCATTCATGCAGCAGATGGGCCAGAACAATATTCAAGGCATGAACGTGCCCATGAACCCCATGCAGCAGATGCAGAACGCTATGATGAATCAGCGCATGCCCAACATGAACCAACAGCAGCCTCAGATGATGCAGAAACAACCAGAGAGCTTAAGCCCAGAAGACAACCAGATCATCAACCAACGTGCGGCCGACCTTGCTAAGAGCACCCCCAAAGACAAAATGCGTCAGATCGTTGACCAGATGAATCCACAACTCAGACAGAGCCTCGAGACTAAGGGTGTCGATCCCATCATTTACTGGTTCCGCATGATGGCCACTCGCGAGTTCAGAAAGCAGAAAGATCCCCAGGCCGCACAGAATCAGATGATGGGTCAGAACATGCAGCAGAATCGTGCCATGCAACAAGGTCAGCCAATCATGAATGGCATGGAGCGCTTCCAGAATCAGCAGAATGAGGCTTTGAGGCTGCAACAAGAAGGCGACATGGTCGTTCCGGCAAGCAACAATCAAGGCATGGGCGCAGATCATTTGAGACTCCAACAACAGATGATGGCCAACTCCCAGAGAATGGGGCAGCAGAATCCCAACCAGGCCATGATCGAGCGACAACGACAACTGCAGCTACAGTCCGCCAAAATGCAGCAGGTCAATCAAATGCGCCAAGGTCAACAGCCCGACGGTGGCATGCAACCTAATCAGACGCCGCAACTAGGCAATGCTGGTATGAACATGCTGAACCAACCAGTCGGCCCCAATGTGCAGGGAACGAACTCCCAGAACAATTCGCGCCCACCGTCACGGCTTCCTCAGCAACCCGGTCAGCAATTCAATCTGCCAGACCAGCAGAAACGAGAGCAATTCCTTGCCAACCTGCCACTTCCGCTCCAAAACATTCTGCGCCAGAAGCCGTTCGAGCAGTGGCCTCCGATTATAGAACAATTCAAGAGAACGACCGCCCAGCGGCAGAACATGGCTCAGGGTCAGCAGCTTCAGGCTCCCAATCAGTTCATGCCTGGTCAGGCACAACAGATGCAACAGTCTCTATCCAATGGTGGCGTTCCTCAGACAGATGGACAGCCTGGCGTGCCGAACATGGCTCCCAATCAAGCAGCAATAAATCAGGCCATGGCGCGGAATCGTGCCCTGCAGCATCAACAGCAGATGGCGCAGATGCAGCAGCAACACCAGCAGCCGCAAGCGCAAATGCAGCCTCAGCAGCAGAACAAGCTACAGCCACCAGTACAGCAGCAAGGTCAACCACAGCAGCAAGGTCTGCGTCCACTCAACCCAAGAGAACTCCAATATATGGATCAGCAGCCGGTCGCTGCTCAGGTCCTTGCCCAGATCCGGCAGAACAGTACTCTACCGCTGCCACAGGTGCAGAATCTCAATTGGCTTGGCCTCAAACAATGGGCACAGGCGAATCCTCAGCAGAGTATCCCGATGGCCACCATAATGCGGTTCCAGGCAATGGTCTTCGCTCAACTGCAAAAGAATAAACAACAAGCTCAAGCGATGGCTGCACAGCAGCAGCAGCAGCAACAGCAACCGCAACAACAACAGCAGGCACAGAACGCAATGCCAGCTGATATTGAGGTCAGGCCGATCACTCCCTTGGAAGTTGCTCAAGCGAAACAACAGTACCCACAACTACAGAATCGCAGTGACGATGAGGTCCGCCAAATGCTCTTTAATCGACGGCAAACCCAGGCACAGCAAGCCGCTGCAGCCAGACAGAATCTGCAAGGCCAACAGCAACCTGGACAGCAACCTCAGCAACCTCAGCGGCAGGTTCCTCAGCAGCAGAAACCTCAGCCAACAACTCAACCGCAGACTCAGCCCAATTCTCGACCGCAAAGCCAGACTCAAGACCGTGCGGCACAACAAGGTGGTAATGACGCCAACAAAGCTGTACAACCGCCACAGCAAATGCAGGGTCAAAAGTCCAGTATGCCGACAGTCACTCCGGAACAATGGGCCAAGATGACACCACAACAGCAACAGGGCTGGGCGAAAATGCGGCAGCGTCATGCTGCGACGGCAAAGATTCAAGCCTTCTCGCAACAGATGTCAGCGGCAATGCAGAACCGCCCTGTACCAGTGCTGAGCGATGCCGCAAAGGCCACAGTGCAGAGCGGCTGGGTAGTGATTCAGCTAAGGCAATGATGCATCGGATGGACTCATTCCTGCTGGCTTACCATGAGATTCTGGGCAACACCAATGACGATGAGCTTAAGAAGGTCGTCAGAATGCGCACTTTGCTCTTCCGCCAGTACCATCCAGCGTCGGTCGCAGATAAAACCTTCGTACCGAACCCTGCGAACTTCAACGTCACGCCTGAGGAAGTCTCAGGAATGCTCTCGGAGCTACAGATCAAGTTTGCGCAGACCGCTGCTTCAATCCCTCGTCCACCAGGTCAACAACAGCCAACTGCTGGCCAGCTCACCTCCGAAAACCTCAAGCAGCTGGAAAACCAAGAGCAGGGACGCAAGCAATCTGTCGGTGGCACCAAGAACAGAGATGGTCCCCCACCAGCACCCACAGACGCGCAAGCACCGTTCAGCTTCTCCGGCGAGCGTGGTCACGGCGCACCGAAGTATGCAGCACCAGGTCTCAAGCAAGAGGATCTGAAGTTGCCAATTGACCCCAAGCGGCGCAAGAAGGGCGCCCCAGCAACGCCGGTTTCAGCAACAACGCCAGCACAGACAACTGCCTCGCAGTCTATGGTACCCCAAGCTGCCCAGCAACAGAAAACTGCCGCTACACAACAGACCACGCCGGCCTCAACTTTCAACTGCTCTTTCATCACTTGCGATCGCCACGCCAAGGGATTCCAGTCCAAAGCCGAACTCGATCAGCACGTTGCCATGGTTCACAGCATGGCGGACGTCAAAGATCCGCTAGCTTTCCTCGACGAGTCGCTGCAGGAGGCATTCAATCTGGATGCGAACTTCAAGCAGATCAAGAAGCCGCAAGCACAATCCATAGGGCCCGCTATTGGTGCGCAGCCGATGAAGCGGTCCGCTTCAGCATTGCTCAATGCCAAGATCGAATCGCGTCCTGCTACGCCCAGCGCAATGGCTCGTGTGCCCAGCGCGGCAGGCTCCATCGGCGAAACTATCCCTGCAGGCAAGCCCGAAGGCGAGGAAGACCCATGGCAACACTCCAACATCCAGCCCGCTCAGATCAACGACATCTTCGGCGACGTTGAATGGGAGTACATTGTCCCTGCTGCGGATTCAACGGTGCATGACAAGTTCATGGAAGGGTTCCACAAGAGCGAGCACTGGAAGAAGTTATGGCTGAACCTCAAGAGAGCGCTGTACCCAAGGAAGGCACAAGTACGCCCGAGGCTGCCGTTGACGGTCAAATGCAACGCGACAAGAAGAGTGTTTCGCCGCCTACAGACGGCAAGGACGCTTCGCCGAAAGCAGCTGACAGCGACGAAGACTCCTTCCTAGTCGATCTCAGCGGTGTCCCCGGCCTCGACCTCTCAGACTGGGACGCCCTCAATGGCCCATCCGCCGAGCACTCTCTCACATCTACATCCATACTATCCGACTCCGATGGTGATTTCGAAATGGTCGATGCTCCAAACACCTCCGCTGCCGCACCTACAGGCAATAAGCCCACATCGATCATGACAGTACAGTTCAACGACAACGACGCCGCCTTCCTCCGACAACTCGGCATCGACCCCGACAAACCCTATGAAGACATCAAGAATCAGGACCAGCGCGAGTTCTACGACTTTCTGGCAAAGCCGATCCGGGAGAAGCGGTTCATGGAGCAGGCGGTTGAGGAGTTTGAGGTTGAGTTTCGGGAGTGGGAGATGCTGGAGAAGCAGAAGGGTGGCGAGAAGTAAGCCAGTCTCGTCTGGGAGAGTGGGCGTTCGAGTTGATGGCGGGACAATATCTTGCTGTCCTGTCGGTACGAAGCTGGGAGCTGGAGTCCTCCTGGCGTAGGCGTATGTGGCATATACGAGTTCAGGTCCGAAAAGGCCAAGTTCGGTAATGAGGATATGAAGGAGATTCGCAACGTTTGGGAAATTTAAGCACGGGCGCAGATCTCCTGAACGACTGAAGGTGGAAAGTCTGGCTCGCAGCGGTGCCATGCTTAGGACGGACACCTAGGTAGTTGCTCCAAAACTTTCAATCACCGTTGCCATGGCCTACTTTGTCTCTATTTCTCGGGTGAACGAACACCCTTCATGTTTGCCTCGATTATGCCTCCCAAGCCTGTCTACCAACGACTGCGTGCTTCCTTGCCAATAAGTTCCATAGTGCATCCCATCCTGTGGTAGCAGATGATTCTGGAGATCGTCCAAAATCTAGACTGTTCTCGCTCTTCGTCCCCGCGGCGGTGTCGTAGCCCGTCTGCGAGCTTGCGGATCTCTACGTACATGTTCTGGACTGCAGCTTTGCGCAGCGCTCCCGGGCCGATCGGTTGCGGCGGCTGCGGCGGAAGCGCTTGAGCCGTGGCAATGAGCGCTGTCGAAAACGTCCTTGTTGGCTTCGAAGTTGCGTTTGGGCTGGACTTGACTGGGCAAGTCAGGCGATGGAGAAACGAGCTTCGGGCCCCGCGGAATTGCAAAGCTCAGGCTCGAGCTCGATCTCCGAGCGAGCTTGTGGCGCGGCGAAGGCAAGGTCAGTGGATCTGTGACGAGATCTTGGTAGGACTTGAAGGAGCTGGTGGGTGAGACCGGTAGTGGTAGCCGTAGGGGATCTGTGGCGGAGCTAGGGTCGGACTTGAAGGAGCTGGAGGGCGAAGTTGAGGCGAAGATGTGGTGCTCTGGCACGGGGTCGGCTGGGTCTGGCGATGAGGAGGCTGAAGATGAGCAGGTTTGTAGAAGTCCGTCGTCTGTAAGAAGCGCCTTGTTGGTCATGGAAGGGGTTCTCGTTGGTGGAGGATCTTCGGATGTAGAGAACACAGGATGATTCTCGGGCGCAACTGGTGGTGAAGAGTTGGCATGAGCCGTGTGCTCGTCTTGGCAGGTCGTTGTGGGAGGCTCGTTGTGTGGCGGAAGGATGGGTCTGCATCTACAATTATGGTTGCGGCTTTGCGAGGAAGGTGATGCATGATTGCCGCAGACATCGCTCGTCTGCGATGCGTGTGCTTCCGTTGACTGAGCATGACGCCAGGACGTAATGTTGCGCCACTGATACAGAGGATTCATCGTTGAGTGCGTCGGGTCGCAACGGCGTGGTACTGTTCGTTTCGCGTGGCTCCTAGTTCGACAATGTATCCCAAGCTTGTCAGACGTGTAGTTAGTCGTAGATATTGGTAGTGCTGCGGCGGATGAGCCGCAGTCTGGCTGCCATGCCGCTTTCGAGGGCAGAGCAATCGTAAATTGTTTGTCGCGCCGGAGCCTGGAACGCAGCGTCGCCTGCTGCGCGGGCTGGAGCGGTATGGCACTGCCATGGAAGCGACATGCTCGCTTCGATGCGAATGAGGACTGGAGGCTATAAGTAGCCTATGAGATCCTGGTGTACACCCGGTCGCCATCACAGAAGTGTCGAATTGAAATACCCCAGACCTGAATGCTTACAGAGTTCAATCATAACTGACTGACTTCCGTCGCGCAGACTCTCAACCCAAGATGTCGTGGTCTTCAGGCTCCGACTACTGGTCACCAAGACCATCAGCAGAGGAGTTTCGAAGGTACTTCGGACGTACCGACCGATATCCTGACGAAGACGACCACGACGATGGGTTCCATCGCCAACGTGGCCAGCATTACGCAAACATGGGACGTCAACCTGTGCGCCACCTCGATCAGCTCTGACGGGGAGGCTTACCGGTATCACGCACATCCTGACGACTATGACGACCACCACGACCGCGGCTATCATAACAATCGTTTTGACGATGACTTCCGTCGCCAACGGGACCGACACTACTCAGGTATGAGAGACCACCTGCACCATGGGGTCTCGGAGAGCTCTGACGAGGAGCCCTATCGGTATCATGGATATCGTGACGATGACTTCCTTCGCCGACGTGACCGACATTCCTGGGGTATGGGAGACCATCTGCACCATGGAATTTCAGAGAGCTCTGACGAGGAGACTTACCGGTATGGCGGATACTCTGACCGGTATGCCGACCATGACTACCGAGGCTATCGTGACGGTTATTGGGATCGTGGCGACTATCGCGATCGTGAATATGATGGCAGATACGGCTATGGTGGCTATGACAATCATAGCGACGATGACGGGTATGACCGGTACGACGGGTACGGCGACTACCGCGACCACGGATACGATGATCGGTACGGCTATGACGACCACCGCGGCCATGGCCACTACGACGAGTACGCCTATAGCGAGTCTAGCGACGAGGAATGGTATCACTGATCCGATGGCGGTGGTAGGTGCGATCTCTGCGTCTGTCGAGGCAACCCTGGATTCATAGCTTCCTGCGTCTCGTGCAGCAAGTCAACAGCTGGGGTCTAAATGATATGGTGGGGCGCGGTATTGATGTCTTTGATGCCTTTGGATCTGATGAACGAGCTGTTCTCGATGTCGAGATGGTGAATTCGATGTGCAGCATGTGGAATAGAGGATGGCAAATATACTTGCGGCAATAGCATAGCTAGCCACTTTTAGAGGACTCTGCAGACCCTTTCCCGTTCCACGCATCGTCTCGACGTAGCTCCATCAGTACTTGCACGTCTTGTTACAGCGTGCACAAAACGTACATCAGTGATGGTAGTTCAGAGAGTGCTTGCTCGCCAGGGCGACCTCAGTTTTGCGCGATCTCTCTTGGAAGCTTCGATTGGTCTACTGGGCCCCACTCATTCTATTTTCAGGCAACCTCGTCCGCACCTCCTGTCTTTCTCCTGCCTGTCGAGCCATGATTTAGTATAAGTAGCAGCGATGCTGCTGCTTCATTTCCTTCTTTCTCTTCGTTCGTGTAAGATTCACGGTGGAGATAGTGGACCCCAAGACATACTGCTACCCGCAACACTGCCTTCTTACAGCTTGCCGTCCTGTCAAAGCCCTCCCCCATACCTTGTCGTTGCTGTTGTCGCCGCCGGACTGCACCTCGTCGCCATAGAGGGCACCCAACATGGCGACTTCAGCTAGTGGCGTTTACTCCGAGACGCTACAGTCCATCGTTGATGCAAAGCTACTGGAGCTCGAACGGAAACGGTCCACCTTCATCAACTCAAGCAACGACTCATCCAAGATGCTACCAAACAGCAAAGCAAGGTCGACGCGCTGAAGGTCCTCGCCGATGGTGTCAAGAAGCTGTTTGGTATCAGGTCATCCGAAGGTCGCATTGTTCAAGGTAGCAGCAAGTACCATGAGCTAGAGCAGAAGCTGTCTAACCTCGATCGCTTCCTTGCCCAGCCACGATATGATCCTTCTGTCTCGTCAGATATGCTTGACGAGTGGGAGAAGGACCTGCATCAACAGCTTGCCGTCCAGTCTGCTCGGTTCGAGTATGCATCGTTGTATGCCCAGCTCGTCACTGAGTGGCTGACGGCAGAGAAGAAGACGGGTATCAAGCAAGAACCAGATGTCGACCTGGACATGTCAGACTTCGAAGAACTGGAGACCAAACATATGATGGAGGCTCGCGAGAACTGGGCCAAGGATGTCTTCGAAGCGGCCGATGTTGATAGCCCACGAATACAGGCTTACTTGAGGGAGCTCTTTTCAGACCCGGGCGACGGCAAGCACATGGCAAAAGCACACCAAGCCCTCAAACGTAGCATCACATCATTTCAGAATGAGCTGTCTCAGCCGGACCAGTTCAACGAGACTGTGCTCAAGTGGGTCATCAAAGGACTTCTCAAGACAGATCTGCTCACCGAAGACAAGCGCAATGTTCTGCGGGACTTTCTTTCCAATGCCATCATACTGAACGAGCTGGCAGACGTCTTGAATCTGCGTATGACCTCCCTAGACGCCTGGTCGTGGGGAGATAGGGTGCCTTTGGAGCAGAAGCGGAAGATTCAGGGACACATCACCTTCGTCATGCATGAGGACCTGCTGCAGGCTATCTTTCTTCAATACATAGGTGTCAAGTGGTCTGTATTCCTTCGTGGTGCTTTCACCGAATTCATCAACGCCGACAGAGTGTGGCGATATTCTTCACAGAACATCCCGCCAATGGCTCTCAAGCGACGAGAGTACTTCCTGGGGCCTCAAAACACGAATGACAGCCTCAATGCGAAGCGCTTGGGATTTTGGAGATCTGCATACTTCATGAGTCAGTTGCCGCGTTCTGAGGCCGAGGACAACGAAATGCACGAAGGTGAAGTCGAGGCGGAGTTCAGTGCGCCAGCACCGCAGCCGGCGGCACAACAGCAAATGATGCAACAGCAAGCCCAGATGGTACAGGCGCCGGCGGCACCCATGGCTCGAAGATCGGCTCCGATGCCTCAAGCACCTGGCAGTCTGCAGGATCACCAGATGGGCCTGATGATGCTCAACCAACAGAACAAGAAGCGGAAGGCAATGTATCAGGCTAACCGGTTCGGGACTCGAGATGAGGCAGATCCAGAGCAGTACGATGGCATCAAGAAGCCGAAGAACGTGACAGAAGCCAGGCAGGTTCTGCTGCACTTGCTCAGCACGGAGGTTCTGCTCAATACAAAATTATATGGCAATCTATCGGCTTTCCGTGGTCGATACGAGCGATGGAACCCACTACTGCCACACAAGACGATTCTTGTGGTGATGCAGCATCTTGGGGTCTCGACTCGATGGCTGAAGTTCTTCAGCACCTTCCTGGAGGCTCCACTCAGCTTTGCCGACGAAGATACCGTTCATCACCGTAAGCGCGGAGTACCTGGCTCCCATGCCCTCAGTGATATGCTGGGTGAGGCTGTCCTCTTCTGTCTGGACCTGAGAATTAATCAGAGGACCGAGGGCGGCTACTTGTGGAGGGTACACGATGATTTCTGGTTCTGGTCTTCCAATCATGATGCCACGATCCAAGCCTGGCAAGACGTCCGAGAGTTCTCGTCTGTGATGGGCTTGACACTTGACTTCAAGAAGTCAGGCAGCGTCCGAGCAGGTAATCAAGCCGGACAAGTAGGCGACGATCTACCATCAGGAGATATCCGTTGGGGCTTCCTCACGCTTGATAGCTCATCAGGACGATTTGAGATCGATCAGAAAATGGTCGAGCGCCATGTGGACGAGCTGCATCGCCAACTGAACGCCAAGACAAGCTCTATCTTCTCGTGGATAGAAGCCTGGAATGCCTACGCCAACACCTTCTTCACGACCAACTTCGGCAAGCCCGCAAACTGTTTTGGCCAGCAACACATCGATGGCGTACTTTCCACCCTCGAGAAGGCTCAGCGAAAGCTGTTTGATGACAGTACTGCCTGCAGCGTGGTGGAATACCTCAAGCAGACACTAGCCACACGTTTCGACATAAGCAACATACCCGAGGGCTACATCTTCTTCCCAAGTGCACTCGGTGGACTGGAGCTGCGGAACCCATTCGTGCTGCTCTTGCAGCTGCGTGACAACGTCAGCAAAGACCCGCAAGCGGCAATAGAGAAGTTCATAGAAGGCGAACGAGAAGCATATCGCAATGCGAAACAGAAATTTACAAAGTACGATGGCAGAGCCAATCGATATTCGCCCAACACATGGGCGCCGGAGGACAAGGATACATTCTTCTCTTTCGACGAGTTCACACGATATCGGGAAGAGTTCATGCCCACGCATGGCTCACATGGACTAGCTGCGACGTACACAGACTTGCTCCAGCGGCCGAACGAAGAGGACATCTGCATCAGCACAGAGCTGATGAGCGCGCTGAATCTCATGGATACTGGCGGCGTGGTCGGTCAAGAAGGCAAGTGTGGCATTAATGGCAACTGGTGGAGTATGGAAGCGTACTGGAAATGGATCTTGGGCGTCTATGGTCCTGGCATACTGAGGAAATTCGGCGGACTGAATATTGTGGACAATGGGGTGCTGCCGATTGGTATGGTGAGCTTGTTGAGGAGTCAGGGTGTTGCTTGGAGAAATTGAGATGCGGATGTCTGTAAGCAGAACCGGCAACAATACTCAGTCACTCAGCGCAAGGTCAGCAACATTTGAGCTACACAGGCACTCGGAAATGAAGTGAAGTCGGTGAAGTGACCATGGTAACGAAGTGCCTCATTTCTTGGCACGACTGATGGTGACTTAGAACGATCGTTCTTCGCTTGCCCTCGCCCACTTCTCTCCATCTCACACTACGAGCACGACTATCAACTCGACCTTGCTATCACGACACAGACGCCGACACGTCACTGGTCACGCTTGCTCTCGGAACATAACGAGGCTTGCGATCCTTGGTTGGCAATGGCTGGAGTTCACGCCGCACCGCAATGGGTACCATCGCCACATTCACCGCTGTCTGAATAGCTGCTGACTGTATACAGGATAAACCAGAGCCAAAGCTCACGAGCATGCCTGCCGAAGTCATCCAGAACATCTTCTGTAGGGCCATTCCCCACAAGATCGACGTCATTGCGGTGAAGGATGGTACATTCGGCGTGGACGGCACGTCACGGCTTCTTTGGTCGCCAGAGTGGGTCAAGGATCTGGTGTTGGTGTCCGAGAGCATGTGGCAGATCATCGGTCCCATCGTTAAAGGACGTATCAGAATTCACACTGCGACCAGCTCCGGGCTTTCGACCGCTGAGAAGGTTTCCGAAGATTACGTCCTTATGCCGTTCCACACACGGGCGTACCTATGCGCCTTGCATCAATCGCGACCGATGGCTCGTATCACTACGCCCTCCGAACTTACGAACGCATTAGAGAGCCTTGCTCAGTTGGCTGGAAGTGATGCGGCGGTCTTGGCGAGGTTGGCAACGAACAATTAGGAAGGCAAGGCCTAATGAAAGATTGCGAGTAAGCGATCAGGCAACGTCTGGAAACACATTAGACAGATCTGGAAGGCACTTGATTCGTAGCGACTGCCATGGCAATGACAGAAGCATAACCTGACTTAGAAGTCACGACGGTGGACGGAATTTCTCGCAGGCAATTGTGGAGCTACGATGCACGAAGCAGGAGCAGCTCGAATCATCTCAAAATCGTCACTCTGATATAGATCCGAGTTCGAATACATCATTCACAACTTCATATCGCAGCATTGCATTACTGAGCTCATCACTTTGAACCAACACTTAGTCATCCTTCAGAGAACTAGCAGTATGTCAGCAAGTACAGAGCGCCATGAGGTCCCCATCCGTCTAAACTGGGTGAGTTGGTCGACTTGATATCATCTCTGAACCATCGAGGTTGACAGTCGACACAGAACAGGACCGAGCCGAAACTCAGCAATAAGGTATGCCAGTCGAAATCCTCCACTCCATACTCGAGAACAGAGCAAGATGGCTCGACTACTTTGATTCGATCGGGACTACGTGAACAGTTCGCCCCGTCAATAGAGCGGATGATAGAGTATTACGGCGAGGTTCAGGCTCGAGGGACAGGCACTCCGGCGGCCTCTGTGTAATCCAACCGGTTCTGAAGTCAGCAAGCGGGAACGGGGAAAGAAACACACTGGTACAGAACCTTGGGAGGCGTCAGGGCTCTAAGACGAATCATGATTGCTTCGTGACCCTGTCGCCGACATGGTACGCTGGCTGTGAGTACTTTGCTCACCAGTAGGAATATGACGGAAGAAAACGCCGTCCGCCATGCTCGAGTCCATGTCTGAAGCTCTGATGCTCCCTTGCTTATGCTACACTGGATCCTACTCGTCCAGGAATAGTAGCTCGAACTCCTTGAACCGTTTGAACCTCTGTCTCGGGTATCTAAACGCCCTGAGAAAATGCAACTTCGATTCCGGCTTCGATGCGTCGACCGACATTTTCTTCAGTCCCTGCGGTATGCGATACATCGGGTCAAAGATCATGAGGTTCGTGTCCGTTCCGTCTTGAGTCGCTACCTCCTCAAAGCCGACGCATGTCAGCGAGTGACCTTTGTACTGTAGGTAGACTGGGGCGAGGTTTGTCCGACCCTCCGAGCGCTTCGAGAAGTAGTCCGTCATACAAGCGAGCATAGCGTCGCAAGCAGACGAGCCTTTGGTGTCCGTAAAGCTCTCAGCTCGGCACGCGATTCCCTTCGATTGAAAGAGTGCTGATGCTTCAGATGTTCCGATGTACTTGCGGGTGTTCTTGATACCGCCGGTCTCGACCCTGCCGACTGCATTGAAGCCAGCGTCCCATGCAGACTCGATGGCATGCTGTAGCTCGAAGATTGTCGGCAAGCTGCCTTTGAACATGCGCGACTTGTCCTGCAGATGGCTTCCTCTGATATATGAGATCATCATTTGAATGTTTCGATAGCCACAGAAGCCTCCCTCCTTGGGCAATTTGCTGACATGATTGACCACAGGTTTGCAGAAGGCAGATCTGATGACGCTATTGTCCGCTCGAGACAGTGCTTGCAGTTTGGGAATCAGCAATGATGTCTCGTTGGCGAGTGCGGAGTATCGATATTTTCGGCTTCCGGTATGGACTTCTTCCAATGTTACGCCGACGTTATTGCTGAGCATCTCGTGCAGCCAATTAGGCATGCGGTCCTCATAGGCGTAAGGTCCTAGCTCGGACTTGCCCAGTCTTCGTGCCTTGGCTCCGTTGGGCAGGCTGGCTAACAGGCTTTGAGGAGGAGCGATTGGAGCATCGGAGTACGTTGATGAGTACCCGTTGGACGAAGATGCCGCGCTCGACTTATGATCCTCAGGCCCCTCTCCGTCTTCGAACTCAAGTTTATGCATATCGGAATGCATGTCAATCTCTTCCAGTAGGATGCGTTCACCACAGAAGCAGTCAATCCATAGATCTGCATCAGAGTCGTTGTTCGGCGTTGATGTCGACGCGTCCCTGAGGAGCTGCTCTTGTGCTAGCTCGGCTGGAATACCTGCTTCCTCAAACGCCAGGAGCTGTGCGAGTTCTGCGTCTGAGAGATCGGACTGGCCGTCCTTGCTGTCAGGAGGTGCTTCGATCTGATCGAAGTGAGTAGTCTGCACGTGCTGCTCGAGTTCGTCGAAGTCACGTCGTCTGATTGGGCAGAAAGGACATGTGAGAATGGTGCCTCTGGTATCTGGGGAGGGCCTCATAGGCGAGCTTGTGAAGTAAGTGCGGATGTCGTCCATGGCTCCGCCGTCGTAGAGAGGATTTCTGACAGGAGATGGAGCGACGGACTACGATCGATAACTGATGATCACTGTCCAGGACTTTGGGCATCGCTCATCCTGAAACGTCTTCTCATTTCCGAGTGCATTCGTCAGCGACGCGGATGTAGATTTCGAGTAGCGTGCCCAGCGACATTCGCTGAACAGCGTAGGGTATCAAACAGGCAACATAGCGACGTGAGCACGATGGAAGTGAAGTCTGCCTTCTTGACTACAACACGTCACGGTAACAAGGCGTCAACAAGGCAAAACGTTAGAAGCAGGGTGCCTGTACGGCGGCCGATAGCACGCGTACCGCACAGGGTGTGATATCGCCCAAGTTCGGCCAAGGATGAGTTACCGTCATCAATGTCATCGTCGCACGTGCCTATACATTAAAGGCTTTTACCTGGGCCTGACGAAAGAGCTCGGACGCGACAGTTTAGGTGCAGACAGGATGCATTGAAGGAGAAGCAGAGCAGGCTATGCGTGTAATGTTAACGTCGAGCACCTCTATACTGACGCCGATCCTACCGGCACGTATCGAGCTCTAGCGTTTGTTCGCCATTGGTCTCATGCTACCGCATTTTCCCGTTGCAGTAGAGTTTATTCCCACTGCCAGCTTGATCTCTCAGTCTAGACAGCAGTGGTGTGGGTTTCTGCCTCCTTGCTCTTCACACCATTCGGAACAGGGCTCTCGCTTCCTGCTTTGCTTTCCTGATCCACCTCGACACCAGTGACTGGCGTGCCATAAACAGTGTAAGGAATCAAAGTCTTCTTGTCTGGCCAGATCCAGTTGAGAATCAGGTACAGGACCATTGCTGTGACAAAGCCGTACATGTAGTTGATGGCGAACAGATTCTTCATGCCTGCCGGTATACTGACGCTCTTCGGAGTGACTCGCTGTGCCAAGCCGGGCATAAGTGGGAGGATGACCACACATAGAATGACGAGAGACCTCCAATTGCAGCGACCATAGATCCCATCAGGATCGTACAAGGCCGGGACATCGTAGCGTCTCTTCTTCACTATCCAGTAGTCGGCTAGGAGCAAGCTAGCAAGCGGTGCCATGAAGATAGCGTACGCAGACATGAAGCTGAGAAACGTTTGAGCTGAGGCCATGACGAGCCATGGGCAGAGAGCCCAGCCACCAAGGACGAAGCAGATAAGTTGGCCTCGGAAAATGTTGATATATTTCGGCCACAACGAGGTCACATCGTTGGCAAAGCTGAGCGAGTTTGCCGAAAGGTTGAGACAGATCTGAGCAAGACACCAGCAGGCTGATGCAAAGAACGCCGCAGCACGACCGCCGGAGGATCCATGCCAATGGTCGATGATGAGGAGAGGATTCTAGTCTTGGTCAGGGATGAGGAAACTTGATAAGGCCGCTGTACACTTACCCACAGGGGTTGGCCCCAGATCTTGGCAGATGCAGAAGCACTGATGATGCCGAAAGCTCCGATCCATACCTTGAAAAGAGGAATGACTGGAAGCTGCCAGATCTGACTCCCTGGCTTCTTACTGAAGCGAGAGAAGTCTGAAATGTTCACCTAGAACCTGTTAGCGATGATTAGGCAGATGCCAGCAGCAGGATGCGTACAGTAATGGTCGAGAACGAGCCTGTCACGGATGTTAAACTTGCCAGCCACAGCCATGCCTTCGCGCTTCCGGTGACCTTAGAGGGTGCGTCGAAGAAATCGTTGCCATCCGCCTTGACGCAGATCCATGCGACCATAGCAATGACCATGGGCGGCATGACGATCGTCTTGGCCAAGAACATGGGCTTCAGCTTGTGCATCGGAATGAAAATGAATGGCAGCTGGACCAGGAAGAACAGGAAGTATGAGATCATGCCCTGTGTCGTGATGCCAGCCGACGCCGGGAGGTGGTTGGGTAGTGTACCATAGGATGGCCAGATGGCTTTGATCATCTGTGTGACAGCGAGTCCACCAGCGGCGGTGTTGACTCCGAACCAGAACATGGCCAGGATTGAGCGCGACGCTATGGCGAAATACGATAGCCACAGGCCGAACACAGCTCGTGCCGCGATCGGAAAAGGGATGTGCAGAGTCGCGCCAATAGCTCCGTTGAAGACTGTGGGGATGGCGTTCCAGAGTGTCGCGAGCAGGACAATCAGAATGGCATCCTTAGCGGACAATCCGGCGGCGACAACAGAGCTTGCTCCTGACCACGTAGAAACAGTCACTAGATCCGAGAACCAGTATAGAACAAAGACCCATCCAGTCCAGGTGCGACGCTCAGGTGGCACGGGGTCCTAGCAGAATCAGCAAAGTGCTTCGTGTTGAGGGTGAGATTCCATACCATATCTGCATTGGTCCAAACATGTGGTGGTGCCACAGAGCTCGTCTGCTTGGGCAACACCCATCCTGATGGCTTTGTGCGGGCCTGCGCGCCCTCCTTGAGACGATTGAGAGACAGCATGATGAGATGCGAGCAGCGTGTTTGAAGGTGTCGACGGGTACCTCATGCCCCGTGGGACACCCGCAGATATAGCATCTCTGGACATAGCGGAATCGTCCCTCGCATGAGAGCGCAGCATTGCGGCCCTTATCGAAAGGCTGAGGTCTTGGATCGGGGCCGGCCTAGAGCTGAAGCCAATCGAGAAGAGCACATTATCTATCAAGGATCCTAAGAAGTCGGCGGAGTTGTACTACCATGATACGCAACGGAGAGAGCTCCATGCCAAGATAGCTGTCTCTTGGCGACCGATAACGTTATCTTCAGCTCCACACGTCGTACGACACTTGACTCCTCGGCCAACACTCCAGCGAAGTGTCGCTGTTCCCAGATTTGCGGATGCCGAAGCAGCGCGAGACCTGCACAGAATGCTCAATCAGGCGACAGAAGTGCGACAAGGCTTTGCCTGCGTGCGGGCGTTGTGTGAGACGGGGCGTCGCATCCAGATGCACCCGTGTCTGGACCCGCTCAAGCAACTCAACGCGTCGGAGCTCGAGCGAGAATGTCGGACACGACGAAGCAATCGCTCCGGATGCGCTGCAACAGTTGTCCAAGTCAGGAACGCGTGTGTCTCTTAACGAACTCGATATCTCCCATGCGGCAAGCCCTCACGGACACATTGGACCGGGCAACACCCTTGACACTGCACTGGCCTTCACAGCACCGTCAAGTACTATTCACGATGCAGGGAACTTTGGGACTCTGCAGCTTGAGCTGCCGTCCTTACCCATGATCTGGCAGCTAGTCCGCTTCCACGAGCGTAGCCTGCTCTGGTATCATGGCTGCTATCACGGACCAACGTTCCGGACAGAGCTACATACCCGAGTCGTTGCCGAGAGGGCCAATGTGGCAATTGAAATGGACCCACCGTGGAGCGCTTTGCTCTTTGCGATACTGGCTGGCAGCATCATCTGTGCTAACGACAAGCAGCTCGCCTACTGGAGCTTTCGCAAGGTGGACGTTGCGAAGCAGGCCACCCGATGGTACAACGCCACGGTGAAGTGTCTCGAAGCAGCGGACTTCACTGCCAAATACAGCCTCAAGTCTGTCCAGGCTATAGCCACCCTGACGGTGTCGGCTCATACGCTCGGGCTTTCGAGCAAGCAAGCTGTCCTACTGGCTTGTGCCACAAAGATCGCACAGTCTCTCGGCATTCACAGACTTAGCCTCGAGCCTTCCACGGACACCATCACATCTCGTTCGCGCGATGATGATAGGAAGGAGGTGCTCGAGCGTGAGACATGTCGGAGGCTCTGGTCACAGTTGTGTGCTCAGGATTGGTTCAGCGCACCTAGTAATGATGGTTACAGCATCAACCCACTGTTCTCGACCAGTATAAAGCCTGCTAACAGAGATTTCATCACCATGGAAATTGTGCCGGACCATATTCCGACGTATGTGAGTTATGGGAATTATCTGTATGATATTGCACGTCTGCTGGCCGGTCTCCAGGAAGCCCTCGCATTGTCACATACTTTGCTGAGCCGGTACGAGCGTGTTATCGAGTTCGATGCAGAGATGAGAGATCTGGCAACGAAACAGCGGCCCATCTACTTCAACGTGACAGAGCCTGTCGATCCGGATTGGCAAGATTTCGTGCCTTGGGCTCGACGCAGCCTAACAATATGTTTCTCCCACAAGAGTAAGTGCAGCCGTCATGCTTGTGTCCTGGGAAGGCCTCTGGTGGCTGGACCAGGCCATCAAGCATCGCCGCAGACAGCGCCGAGCTTGTCTCCGCTTTTATGTTCTTGACTGCCTGTGTTACATTGGCGACCTGCCTTCTCATACTGACATCACAGTCATCATGATCCACCGGCAATTCCTTGGTCGAAGCTTCACCAATCCTACATTTGCCTTTAGCAGACAGACCTGCACAGCCGCCGCGAAGACCATTATCAACGAAGCGAAACAGGACAACGCGGATGGGGGACCGATCATATGGATTGATCAAGTAAGTTCGTCCTCTTGGGTTAGCCTTACTGACCTTTCAGGCTTTCTGTGCTTCTGCTGCTATCGTTCTAGTACTTGATGCAAAGCACCAGGAACTGCAGAACGTCCGCAAAGCCCATCTCGATCTGGTACGCGACTGCATAAGCTATCTCAGTCGATTCACTCATAGCGTCATATCGACAAAGGGTGTACGGCTCTTGAGTCTCATGCTTGCAATTGTCACTGCTCAAGATATAGGCGTCGTAGCCGACCGAATCTCGGCGGAGGGGTCTGATCATGGTCTGATAAGCACTGCAAGGGCCATGGATCCAGCCCTTGCTGTGGAACAACTAAGAGCCGAGCTAAGTCTTGACGAAGTGTTCCCCGCCCACACTGGCTTTCCAAACGCATTCATACTGGAAGAGTTCTTTGGCTAGGCCGACTATCCGTGAAGGTCGTGCGACAAGCCTGTTGGGCGACACTTCTACCGACGATCGACCAATGACATCCGTGTCGGAGATATCCACCGTCGTACGACAAGATACCCCGGCGGCCTCCACAGGTGACTGATTATGCCTGGACCACCGCTAGGTTATGCCCTTGTACACATATAATGGCGGCTGACACCTCAAAGGCCTTGCGCAGTATCACACCATCTGACAGCACAGCGATTTCGAACACCATTAACCTCGGCCATGAACCAGACAAAGTACTCCGACCGCCAGGTCCCCTCAATTTCACTTGCAGACTTCGAGAACCGCATCGATGAGATCACAACCCAGCTCGTCGACGCCTCCGAGAACGTCGGCTTCTTCTGTCTCACCGACCATGGCATTACCCGCGAACAAGTCGACACCATATTCGACAACTCTGCAGCCTTCTTCTCTCTTCCAGACGAGACCAAAGCACAAGTGCCCTTCTCCGCAACGCACAACGCCGGCTGGGAGAAGAACGCCCAGATAAGGCCCTCCACAGGAGCAGCAGATCAGAAGGAGTCTTATCAAATGCAATTTGGCGCCAACATGAAAGGCCGCTGGCTCGACGAAGAAACCCTTCCGGGATTCCGTACCCAAGCCCTGGACTTCATGAGACTAGCCCAGACCGTCTCCGAGAAGCTAATGATCTGCTTCGCACGCGGCCTAGGCTTCCCCGACAATTACTTCATCGACGCACACGATATCAGCGAGCCAGACTCCCAGACCGTTGGCCGTCTACTGCACTACTTCCCAACCCCCGAAACCAACGACGGTGTCATCCGCCACCGCGCCGGCGCCCACTGCGACTGGGACTTCGTCACCCTCCTCTTCCAAAAAGCCGGCCAATCTGGCCTAGAGATCTGCCCAGGTCGCGAAGCCACCTCCAAGTTCGGCGTGTCGGACATCTGGACCAAAGTCGAACCGGACCCCGAATCCAACAGTATCATCTGCAATATCGGCGACCTCTTAATGTCCTGGTCCGATGATCGCTTCAAGTCGACGCTGCATCGTGTAAAGGCGCCTTGCGAGCCTGGTGATTTCTATGGCGAGAGATACAGTATTGCGTTCTTCAATCAGCCAAGGAAGAGTGCGAAGATTCAGGGGCCGAATAGGAAGTATCCAATGCTTACGGGCGAGGAGTTCACAAGGAATGCGATGCAGAGGAATTTCAAGGCTGTGTTGGAGGCGAAAGAGAAGAAGGAGGGTGAACGGCTCGCGGCGTTGCAGGGTCCTCCGGCGGTTTCCTCTGTGGTTTCGGTCGGTGCTTGACCGAAACTTGATCCCGATGTCTTGATTTCGTGTATCTTGAAGGTTTCATTCATTTAGGTACCAAGAATATTCAAGATACTTTCACCCATGGAGGCAGCGACCCACAATACCTCCACTACCAGAGTGGCCTTCGTTCTCGCAATGACCTGCTCGACACGTCTTCGATCTCCTCCCTCTTCGCCCCGAAGCAGTGCCATCGTCGTCCTCCAGCATTATCAGCGCCTGTCTGACTTGATGGTTGTTTTGCCGGTAGTAGAGGTGGATCGGGGTCGGAAAAGGTTCGGTGGGGCCGTGCACTGTCGTGTTGGAGAGCATATGGGAGTGTCGAGTAACCGGCTATGGGGTATGGCTGATTCGGTCGAACCATTCTTGAAGCCACGCTCGAACCCGTTTGGCCGGGCTTCTACTTTCCTCGCTTCGCTTGAGCTGCAATGAGATCTGTCGCCAGGCGCCCGCCACCTTCCAAGAGCTCCTTGAATGATTTGTACTCGAGCAAATCATTCACGTGCTCCACAAAATATGCCTGCACAAGTTGCCGGGGGCCCACCGGGGTCTTGTCGTATATGTCGAATGCCGCTTGACTGTAGAGGTATCGTGCAAGCTCGAGCACTGGTCGCAGTGTCTCGTCTGAATCGATGATCAGGAACTTCAGATCGCGATGAAGCTTGTACAGGCATACATCTTTGAGCGCATCGGCCAGGTAAGTATCGGCGAGGACCCAAAGCTTGACATGCTCAGTGATGGCATAGGTAGACTCATCGCCCAGAACCTCGGCCCCAATCTTGAGATCGTCGAACTCACTTCGAAGCTCGACGTTTGCGAATGTCACGAATCCTGCAACGTCCGAGCAGCGTGTGCAGACCAGAGGGCTCTCGCGGGTGTAACAACCGATGGTGTTCTCGTTGAAGTACTCCCCACTGCATTCAACACAGTATCTCATGTAATCACCCTTCTTAGCTTCGCAGGAGCTATTACACGCAGGAAAGTCGTCTATGTCGTCTTCGTCGTGGCCACAAAAGTGACAGTAGAAGGAATGGACCTTGTCTGGATCTGCTGGGTACTTCTTGGCGTTTCTGGCGAAGGTCTCCCCGTTGGCCTGATAGTTGCCGCTGTATGCGAATTGGCACAAGTATGTGAATATGGTGGGGTCAACCTCTGGTAGCTCGGCGAAGCCGTCGTTCGTTTCCTTGCCCCAGCCGGCCACGGGGGTATAGAGCGGTTGAGAGACTGTTTGAAGGACTTTCGGATGGACCTTGAACGGCGTTCGTGCTGGACCAACGAGGAACGTGAATGGCTCGTCCTTGAGCAACCTAGGCTAGCGTCAGTATCGTCGCTGCATGCTTCGGAGCGGGACGTACTCCTGGGTGATCTGAAAGCCGGACTGGTGGCGCGAAGAGGAGAGTTCTCGGTCACTAGGGCGGCCTCTGTCAGCTTGCGACCGTTAAGTATTGTCGGAAGGTGGTACCTCATTCCGAATAGCGTTTGCAGAGCCGCGTGAGCTCCTGAGCGGTTCTTTTGGGACAGTGTCTGATGCACTAGATCGCTGGAGTCCGCCTGGGAGGCTTTCTTGAGAGGTACGGAGTGGTGCGAATGGTAGACACCGTCGCGGCCGGGCTGCAGGCAGAAGTCGATGTTGATGTCTCATAAAAGCTTGGCACGAAACTCGGTTGTGTGTCACTTGTCGTTGGCCACAATCACATCAAGACAGCACTCGCCTTCTGTGAGAAGACTGCCAGGTGACCTTCAAGTGACTTCATGCAGGCTGCGCTCGTTGATAGTCATACCGAATCCATTCCATTCGACCCCAGTATCACCGCACTTACTACTTTCTGCAAAGCTCAATCTGGTTGCACCTCCGGCCGATCAAAATTATCGCCGGCGTGAAGCGACGCCAGTGGCTGCAGTCATGCCCGGTAGTCATGCTGCTCCCGCTTGGGTGAGTCTTACAGGTTTAGGGCAACATGAAGGACGCTAACAGATTCATGACAAACCGGCACCTACTCTCACGACCATGCCCGTCGAGATCCTGGAGAAGATCTTTGACGAAATCCTGCCAAGTCGCGCCATGATCGAAATCGGCCCTTCTCGAAGGGATTCTCTTGGACCTAGCGGGCTTTGTCTGAATTGGTCCCAGTCTCAAGGCTGGAGGGTGCCAGAACTGATGCTCGTCTCCAAGTCATTTCGCGAGGCTGTCAGGGTGAGGCTGCTGGACCGTGATCGGATTTGCATCTACGTGAGAGACCGCATGGGTATGTCCTGGGAGGAGCGCAGGCTATGGCAAGCGATCGCTGAGATGAATCTTCGGCGGAGTCTGACACGCCAGTCTTGAACGATACCCTGGGACCAACGACACAGCCTGTGACGACCCTCGATCATTTAACAGCGCACCACACCATGAAGCCAGACTCGACCTGCCCTGGCCACATGTTGAAGAAGGAGTCCACCTCGATGTCGAGATTGTCGATGACAATGAAGGAGGGATTGTTACGCGTCGTCTTTGAAGCTGTCCCCAAATTTGGGGAAAGCCACGAAAGTTTGGGGAAGTTAGGAGACGATCGGGGCCTCGCGGACCGATTACTCGGTCCGATATCATGTCCTACGTATGCTTCATATCATACAAGATGACCACGAACATGTCAGATATAGACCTCTGAGCTATCATGCCTGCACCTCGTTGTCGTCCTTGCCATACTCGCTCGACCAATGCGCCTCCGTAGCCCCCTCAAGCTCCCACCCAGCTCATCATGACCACCGCATCTCGTCATCCCACAACAACATCGCAGTATACCATCGACTTCTCGAAGGGCTTCGACGGTCTGCAGCTTCAACACAGCACTCCCATCCCAGCCTTGGGCCCAAACGACTGCCTCATCCGCGTCCAAGCCGTCTCTCTGAACTACCGTGACATCGCCACCCCGCTCGGCTTGTATCCTGGCGCCGGCAAAGATGGAATCGTTCCCACTTCAGACGGTGCTGGCACCATCGTAGCGGTCGGCGACGACGTGAGTGAGTTTCAAGCTGGTGATCGAGTGTGTAACACATTCTTCCTCGACTATCAGGACGGGATCCCCACTGCAGAGTCCCGAGCAGGAAGTTTGGGTGTGCGGAATGACGGGCCCTTGAGGCAGTATGCTGTGTTCCCTACGACGGCTTTGGTCAGCGCACCGAAGCACTTAAATGCAAGGCAGGCAAGTACATTGCCTTGTGCGGCGCTGACGGCATGGAATGCTTTGATGGGACTGGGTGGGTGTAGATTGCAGGCTGGGCAGAGCATCCTGACGCAGGGGACTGGTGGTGTCAGTCTCGTAAGTGCTGGTCCACCTTCCATCATTTAATTGCGTACCTAATGTCGGTTCAAGTTCGCAATCCAATTTGCCTTGGCTCTCGGTGCTACCGTGATCGCCACCACCTCTTCAGACACCAAAGCCGACCGCCTCCGCGCCCTCGGCGTAAAGCACATCATCAACTACCGCACCGACCCCAACTGGGGCGAGACCGCCCGCAAACTCTCCCCTAACGGCCTCGGCGTGCAACACGTCCTCGAGGTCGGCGGCGAAGCCACTATGGCGCAGTCCTTCAAGGCTGCTGCACTTGGCGGGTGTATAGACATTATTGGGTTTCTCGCGAAAAAGGACGGGGAGCCTAGCAAGGTTAGCTTTTGGGATGCGTTCACGGGGTTGAATGTGGTGAGGGGGATTGGGGTGGGGAATAGGAAGCAATTTGGCGAGATGAATAAGTTCATGGAGGAGAAGGGAATTGCGCCGATTGTCGATGAGAGGGTGTTTGGGTTTGGAGAGGCGAGAGAGGCGTATGAGTATTTGAAGAAGCAAGAGTTCTTTGGGAAGGTTGTTATTGATGTTGCGAAGGAGTAGAGCACAGTCTGAGTTGATGGCCAGAGTGATTCGATGTCAGATTGAGCAACGGCTGGCATGGCTGTGAGTCTAATGTGCTTCGCTGTTGCGATGGGCTAGAGCCAGTCGTGAGATCGCTTGAAGCGAGCTCTAGGACGATCTTGCATGCGTCGCGTGGCAGTAGCTCCGTGGAACGCTGCAGCAAATGTACCGTCAGCGGTGTTTGCCTTGCCACACTCAATGTGTTGCTTTCGGCCAAGACCACGCAAGTTCTGCTCGACTGCAGTGCACCTAGAACCGAATGATTGCACCGACAACCCCGAAGCGTCGCTGGTAGCACACAGCGCAGCCTTGATCCTTTCCCCACATGTCCCACACCTTGCGCCCATTGCTATGATCGCAGCATGCTCCCTCTCCATTCATGACACGATGCAAATGATGAACAGCCCACCAGTACGTCTTCTCATACTGCTTGCTCGCCTCGCTCACCTCGCTCACCTCCACGTACGGCGCGAAATCCTTCCAGAAGACCTCACGCTTGTGCTCTCCCAAAATACCCAAGACCTTGATCTCGATTCGACTGTAGATGACCTGGCTGGCAGGGACAAAGAAGGACTTGCAGACGCGACGTAGACCTCGGATAGGTTGGTCCCACGCATTACCTTCGTCGTTCCAGCGGAGGCGGCATTTGGCGTTGAACGTGGAACCACAGCCATCAGAATTGGCGGAGATGGAGATCTTGTGTGGCAGCGCGAAGCCGATGATCTTGCGGAGGACGTTGCGTGGCATCGATTGGAGGTTCGGGGCGCGCTTCGGCTGTATGATGTTAGTGTACCTGAAAGACAGGGAGGAGATCGGATAGTACATTTGGTGGCAGAACAACTTGAGCGCGATGAGTGTAAGGGCTGGAATCGTGACCGAGGCCACCCACTGTCCGAGCAGAATCTCCATTGCGAGGATGTATGCCGAAGGTTGTGTCAGAGGGCTCCTGAAGTGTGATTTTGGTGGCTGAGGTTGTCAATCAAAGGAAAGTAGAATATTGGACCCACGAGGGGAAACAACATTCAAACAGAATAGCAGCGCGTCAGGGTTAGCAAATGTGCAGCCCTGATGCGCTGAGACCCGATCCGTTAAAGCAGTGGTGACTCTGCCTTGCACAGGTTTTTGTGGTTTCTGGAAACCAAAGGCTGCTAACAGTCAGGAGCCCTGTGACCATTCCATCACATATGCAGTACTAGCCGGACCAGAGACTCGATTGTCGCCTCCAACGCGTTTCCCCAGCCACGCCGCGACGTCTCTACCGACACATTTGGCGACAGAGCACTTACTTTAACATGAGACCGTTCGCTGTTCGCCTGATTGTTCTACTCGCTGTTGCTTCGTCTGCCACCATACATCACCCAACACCATCGACGAAGTCCAAGACGCTCAAGCCTCCATCATCTGGGAAGCCTCATGACCGGCCGCAGCGCACATAAGTCCCGCAGGCTGCTCTGGCGACGCGCCGGCCTCACGGAAGCGAACAACAACACTTTGGTTAGGACATATATTTCGCTCATGACATGCCAGGGTCGTGAGCAGCAGTATGGGCCGCGCATGGCTGAAATTGGAGGCAGAGGGTAGGTAGTGATCGAGATTGCGCATCACACCTCCGAAAACATTCCTCAGGATCCTGATGCTGACTTCCTTGGTGCAGGAGCGCTGATTCTGCACGTTGTCGGCTTTTGATGCTGCCGGTGGCGTTGACGCGAGCAGCGGTGGCCCAGTCCAGGCATACTATCACACACCTACCACTCGCGATGGACCAGACTAGGCTTCCTCGATGCATCATGTTCATGACAGGAGAACAAATTGATGAGAACTCGAAGACAATGAACCTTTCTTGGATGGTAGTGGCTGAAATGAGGTCACGTCTTGGCATGTTTTGTTCCAACCACTCACGTGATTTTCTGAACGCATCCTGCTCTTGCTGGTACTCCTACCTTCAAGCTAGGCATGTTTCCCACCATCGACACTTCTGCAGCGACGTCTAACGGAATCAACGCATTATACAATGATCTCGATAACGATAGCTGGCAGGGGAAAGTTCTCAGACGCGGGAAGTGCTCGAGCCGCTTTGAAAACTTCCTATCAGAAGAGACTGCCTAGCACGGCCATCGACGCGCCAGTCCGCAAGTAACGAGGCTTGTCTGGAGGGCAAAACCAAGGACTGTCATGTTGAGGACTGGCCAAGATGTCAACGTGATGAGGATGCCACTGTAGGTCCAACATGGAACCACGATCGAGAACACCGTGCTCGACAATCAAGCTACATCTACGATTGCCAAGAGAGCAATAACCCACGAAGCGCGAGACAAGCCCGCTGCTTCCAATTGACAACCCACAAATCAAGCTGCATCTACTCAAGCGAGCCTCACCGTCATAAGAATGCTGAACAAGTTCCCAGACAAGTGAAGCTGTTCCTCTGCTCTGGGTGATGTGAACGCTCAAGTGAGCAGCCAGCCAGCACAACACGGTGAAATCGTGAGGCCAGGGCGAAGACAAAGAAGATCAGTGCACGCTGATTGGCTATGATTCAGGTACCCTGGTAGTGCCTCCGGCATATCACTTGTGATGATTATGGGTGGTTGATCTAGGGCCATCGATAAGCTATACATATACATCAGCTGTTTTCCATCAGCACTGTTTCGACAACATCTTCGCTCACGTCCGGCCCCTGCCAGCTTACTATACGACGGCAGACTTTGCCTTGACCAGACTACCACCCATCGATACCCAGTCACCATTGCCGAAAGCCCTTAAACAAACCAAGATGAATCTACCCTCCTCAACGATGGCGAAGATCTCAGTCGCACCTTCTTAGGTAAGTCCATCAGCGACCAGATGCAACCATACTCACGTGGAGCAGGACAAGCCTCAACCAACACTCATAGCGATGCCCACGGAGATCCTCGAGAAAATCATCGGTCATCTGCTCCAACCAAAGGTCAAAGTCCTAATTCGACATACCTTGGTGCCTCGTGGCAGGCGTCGTTACTACCAGGCGGCCAATATGACGTGGGGATGGAAGGATGATCCAATCGACGTACTATCTCTGCTTCGTATCAGCAAACGTTTCTCGGCCGTCGCAAGGTATCCAATCAGTCGGAGGATTCACATTCGAACGTGTATGATGAGGTCTAGGTCCGAGGATCATGCGGAGCTGGTGAGGAAGGCACGAAGACAGCTGATCAAGCTCTCGCTCGCACGAGAATGGGGTGAGATTCCGACTTCGCGGGTCTTGAACTGAAACGGCCTCCCGTTGGATAGGCAAGGTGTGAGATATGCTTAGTGATGGGTCTCTCTTTGGGAGTCTCAGTCTATCCGAGGGCAGTCGGCTCTGGCTCACGGGCGTGAGCTAGGATTCCAGGGTATCACCAATAGACATCAAGATGGTAGTGCTCGTGTAGCGAGCATGATCTCCACCATGTGTTTTCCCGGCTCGCGTCTGCCTTGTGTCTCTGCCCGTGCTTGGCAAATCAGGCTGAGAGATGATGGGATTCTCCATTCTCAGTGACGGCATGCCTATATCGCTTTTCCAATGGTTTCTTCGCTGCTGCCCGGACTCAGGGCTTGGACCTCGGGCAAGCCTTGTTCTCCGTCTTCAGTCATTCGACACCAACACGCCCGCACGACCTGACTGACGACTACCTGCTTCCACCACAAGATCGTCCTCTCATCCAATTCCCGACTCCCATCATCCAGAAGTCCACCATTCCCACTGCGCGTATTCGCCATAACCTGAAAAGTCTCCCAGTCCTTCCGAATTCTCCCTAATCTGACCTCTATCTCCGCCCACATCGCAACCTCTCTTTTCAACGCAGCCAGCTTCCGCTCCGCCGTCTCCTTGCTATCCGAGGTCATATGCTCAATACTGGAAGCCGCGATATTGGCATTAGTATGGAGATGTGTGAGGGCTAATCGTAGGATCGCTGTGGGACGAAAAGCTTCGTCTTCAGCATCGTGATCATCGAGGAGAGTCGCCTCGTCATCTTCTCCTGGGATCAGCTGCTCGGCGATTTTTTCAACGTGCTTGATCGTTCGCTGGATGAGGTCTGGAAGGGAGTCATCTGCCAGGATTTGGATCGTGGTGAGCGTGTCGGTATATTCTGAGAGAGGGTGTGCGGAATCCAGCACTGTTGCGAGCTTCGCGCAGGGCTGAAGACTGTCGCGTATTGTACCGTAATTGGTTGATCCGTATGTGCTTGTGCTTCGAAGAGAGCGAGTACCCATCTTGACTTGATTATCGCAGCTTATGTTGATGAGAAGGTCGCTGAGAGTTGTGTATATTGAACCACAACCGTTGTGTCTCCAGCAAGGAGAGTATATGCTGCGACCGCAGAGCCATGAAAGTCCTTTCCATTGTGTGATACCCGAGACATCACGATGCTATCATTTCTTTGTTGTTAACAAGGCCGATAACTGGCGTAACAAACACGTCTCGGGACGGTATACCGTTGTTCGAGACAACTGGACACTGGTTGAATCTCGGAGAACCGACGGTCGCGCTCTCATGTCGATGAGGAGCGCTTCATACACGGAAGGGACCCGACATCGAGCCAGTCGAACAAAGCATTTTAGGTCGCCCGCCTTGGTGAGAGATGGACAGGTCTTGACATGGTCTCACTTTGTGCTGGATCAGTCGCTGAAACCCCAGTCCGTCGCTCTGCTTTCCCTCCTCGCCCTCTCTGCCGCTACCTTCTCCTCTTCGTCGCGATAGCCAAGTCGCAGCCTTGTCAGACTGGTCCCATCTTTCATTGGAATGTCGGCCTTCAGCTCTGGGAAGCTCTCGAAAAAGTCTACTGTCCCTGGATAGCACCTAAGGTCGATGATCCGACTGTGGAACCAGTCCGAGTAGGTGTACGTCTTCGTAGTCGGATCCAGTGTATATAACTGGTGCGGATCGCTTCCCCACGAGAAGTCAATCTCACAGCGCAAGTTGTCCATGAACTTGTTGGTAGCAAACATCGTTGGTCGGAAGAGCATACGTTCGCGCAGACCTGGCCACGGGAAGTACTCGACAAGTGGATCATGCTCAATGTTCTCCTCTGCTGGTCTTGGCGCGAAGAAATTAGGTAGACCCTTAGCTCCTTTGGTGTGGCCCAGCATCATCTGGCGAAGGAAGATAAGCCGACAATTTCGCAAATGCATAAGTCGAAAAGGCGCCCAACGATGGAAGTAGATCCGTTCGTCGACTTCTTTCAGCCATTGCCAGCCACGGTCGAGGGGATACTTCTCGACGACCGAAGACCAGCCCTCGAACACAGCTCGGATCGCAATGTCTTCATCGTGTGCGTAGTCGATCTGAGCAGGTGTGGTAGTCGCGAGAATATATCGAAGGATCACTCCACAAACGTACCACATCCGCCCATCGAGGTCAGTATTGCCGAAGATCGAGGTGGCCATCTGGGTAATCGACTCGTGCTGAATCTGCGACTGATTGACGAGTTGCATAGTCGTTGTATCTACGGGACTTTTCGCAGCTGCGGCCACCTCCGCTCCATTGTTGCTGTCATCCTGCTGAGACTGTTGAGGTGTCTCGACCATTGAAGTGTCATCATCCTCGACTTTCACCGGAGACTTGCAAAGTCGCTTAGTACACTTCGGAGCATCTTCATTGTCGCCGTTGACGTGCTCGACGTACTCGCTTTTGCCGTTCTGACTTGAGGCGGCGCTATCGATGCCCTTGACGATATTGGCGACGCCGCTCAGCAAGCCCTTCAATCGCTCGATCTCCGTCTTCTGATCATCAATCTGGACCACAAGTTTATCATGATCGCGATCCTGCAAAGCTTCAACTATGCTTTCAAGGTGTGCGATGCGGCTCCTGGTCTTTTCGCGATTGTTGCGCTGGGCCCGACGATCAAGTTCTCGCTTGTGCGCAAGCTGCTCCGCAGTAAGCCTTCGCCGCTTGCTAGACTTTGACTCAGCAGCCTCCGCCTCCGTTCCACTCTGCGTGTGAGCATCCGTCATGTCTTGCAGCACAGCTTCGCAAGAACTTTGCAGCCTTCGAAGGCCGCATAGTTTCCGCGTAGATTTGGACCATCAAAGACGATGTCGTCAGGAAGGAACAACAAAGCAAATTCCTGTAGTCAGGCTAGAATGTTCAAGTTGCGAAAGCGGGGGGGCTTGACAGATCGAGCCGCGGCCCATGTCCAGGCGTCGTTCAAGGAAGCTTTTCTGGAGCAGTCGTGTCCAGTCGGCTCCCGATGGCGCTTCCTAGGGCTCCAGCATTGCCTGTACGCCAATAAGAATGGAGGCATCGCATGTGAGCGGCATCGCTACGATGCTCGGATCAGGCTGATTGAGTGTTCGCGGTCCGAGATTCAAGGGTCGTACAGGGTTCACTGCAGCCGAGAACCCACGGCCAACGTTCAAGTTGAACCTGTAATCTGCCGTCTGTCAATCGCACTTTCCTAACATATCGAATTGATTATGAGATGTTCGTTGGAATGTTATACCGGCAGTCGCGTCCGGATCTGCCATATCCAGTGTGCTGCAGCAGATTGGCGAGATCTCAAGCGACAACACAGCCCTAGAACTTACTCCATTTATCGTCATGATGCCGGAGAGCTGAATACATGTACCAAGCTGTACCCCTCTTCAAATCGCCCTGCATCACGCGTTTCCGTCCCTGACGCCTTCCATTGCGATATCTTGCTCAACGGACCGATCGAGACAGCTGCAGGTCCTAGTCTCAACCGTTTTCGCCAACATACACCGACGAGTCCCTAAAACCTTGATCTCCCCTCTCCTGCGCGGATGGTGGAGTAGTGACCTGTCACCCGTTAGTTAAGCAGCTCTCCCAATCGAGATGCGCTGCCCGGAAGTAACGACCAAGGGTAGCCACTCACTTCATCCTTGCTGGCGAAGACGACACGACTTCCTGCTGCACGGCTTCTCGACTTCTCAGCCTCTCGATCGTACACCGACCTTGCCAGCTCCTGCACGGACGTGAGATCACCCAGCCTTCGACACCGCTCCCATTCGGCCAAGACTTTCTCCGGATGCGGCCTTTTGGTCTTAACTCGTCCGCCTGGTAAAAAGGAGCAACGTCGCAACATCCAAGCTAATTCCTCCATCATCTGCTCTAGTCGGCACATCTCTCTATTGATGCGAGCCAGCAGATCTTTGGCGTCACAAACATTCATATCGCTGAGTTGATCGATCTGTCCGCTCAAGGCTCTGAACCGGAGAAGTTCGCCAAAATGTAGTTGCGTGAGGGTGGGCTTGATTGAAGCCTCATGGGGCCCCTGAGATCGACAGCATGATCAGTTCCTCCACCATCGTCATCAACTGGCTGTACAGTGGTAAGTAGTACGAGTCGGCAACGTTGAATATATTGCTGCGGAGCGACCGAAGCGTGAAGAACGCATGGACGGTATGGAGCGCTCGTCTCAGCATTGCGTGTGCTGATGTATGTCGAGGTGTCTTCGATAGAAGCTGTCGATACCGCTGCTTGACTGTTGATGATCTCAATCCAATAGTAAGGTCCAATTCAAGGATCGAGAGCGCAGCAATGATTTTGTCTGTGTCTGGGATATCCATCAAGGTAGGCTGCCAGTTGGTCCCAAGATTCAATTCTATTGGGGCGTGCTTATCGCAGAGAACATCTGGAGCGGCGTAGCTCAAGCTCATGTTGACTATCTAGGTCCAACAGGGCGAGATCGCGGGACCGATGGTGCGGAGTCTTTGTCGACAAATAAGGGGCATGGACGGCGACGTCAGGTCATCTCTATGCGTTGTCGATGACACGCGCAGGCAGTTCAAAGACATTGCACGTGATCAACGACGTTGCTAGGTCGCGAGCGCAGGTATCTGCACAACGACTTCACCTCGGAGCCTTCAACCAGCCTTGGCAAAAAAAACACGATCGGGTTCGAACCACGCACTGAGCATCGTGGACTCACCGAAAACATACAGCCACCTTCAGTTCAACAGAAACACGCTTCTACAGACACTTCCAGTCATTGTTAGCAAAACAAAAAGCAATAACATTGGGGAGTCCACGACTTACTGCGCGAACCCCCCGAGACACTCAAAGGTTACTCTCAGAAATTTTTCGTTTTAAATTAGGGAGCGACCCCAATGAAATGTACTTGCAAGCACTTTAGTTCTTAAAGCACCATACCCTTCTTTTCGGGGTAGGTTACGGAGCAAATTTCAGAGATCTAATTGATAAAGGTACTCGCTTCGGGGAAGGTGAAGAGCAGGTAAGTGAGGAGTGAGAGCGTTGTCAGGGTGAGGTCAGGCGGTAGTGAAGACATGGCTTGGCGACGACGTGATGGACGACCAGCAGCGTCTTGGGTTAATTGGAACTGTCGGGAAAGTACAGCCATTTCAACCTATCGAGCACAGGCAGCAAGACGGTAGAATCTCGATCTATCGACGTCAGTGATCAGATGCGCCATCTCAGACCTGGAGAAACTCGTAGAGAATCAGCCACCCTTTACCACACCGAAACCTCCACCTCACACCCACCGAGTCCTCCTCCCACAAACAGCAGGACTCGAGCTCACCTCACGATGCCCGCTCCGTCCACTCGGACGCGCTCTCGACCCTATGTAATCGTGGTGGTTCAGGCCAGAGTCGTGGATGCTATAATCGCAATCGGTGAGATGCTTCTTGGGTTCTGTCTGGGTATCGCCATTGGCCATGTTCTCATCGTGCTGGCACGGTGGTAGCTCATATACGCCTATTCCACGCCGCAGACGAACAGGACTTTACGCACAAGCCGTGGACGCTGCACCAGTCGACGAACGGCAACAACATGGCGAAGCACTTGCCATGTGGAACATGATCCTACACGCAGGGTGCGAGGGACAAGTCGCGGAACAGTGCTCCGTATGAAAGATCTTGGACGCTTGCAGTCTAGGGAGTCGAGCTTGTGCGCAAGTGAGCAGGCGCAGCTAGATCTGTCCGTCCACAATCAACATTTTACGAAGCAGCACCATTTAAGTGCGAAGACAGGATCAATATAGCGAAAGCGTTTTTTGGGTAGTAGGAGTGTATTAATCTATAACACTAAGGGGTGGTCGGGGATGTCAAGATACTTACCTTACCTGCTTAAGCGCATCTTCAACAAACATTCTCCTAACGAGACTCTCTATCCTCCGCGCTCCAGTTCTCGAGATACTCAAATCCCATCTCCCATCGCCGGAGGCCACGGGCTGCCTTCCTCGCAGCCTTCTTGGCATGATCCTTGTCCTCAGACATCAGCGCGTCGTAGCCGATCATCAGCGAGTGCAAATCATCGTACTGAGAGTTCCAGTTGCATACAAGCTGTGAGACTTGATCGTGGCGTTCCTTACTGAAACGCAGAAAGTCGATACTATTACCGGCTACCGCGCTTATAGCGGACCGGTAGAAGTGCGTGACTTGATCTCGAGTACCCAGCGCTTTCTGCAGAAGCCACTCCGCCTCGTCTGAGTCGTACACTGTCGCAATATGAGCCAGGTCCCGAATTTGATCATCGAGGACCTCTTGGATCTCCTTGTGTGTTGCGGAGAAATCAGCGACAGCGTCAGAGAGCTTGTTAGCCAGGGCAGTCTGCTCAGCAAGACGGTCAAGTTCGGTGTGGATGTACTCCTGGGTAAGGTCGTGCCATCGAGTATCGCAAGCGGAACTTTCGGCGTTGACGGCGTCTAGATCAGCGTTAAAGGCCCCGAGCTCGGCAGGCACTGGTGATGGAAGGGGCAGTCCGAAGGTACTAGCGTCCAAAGGGCTGCCACTGGTAATTTCCACTGACATGAGGCTGTTGGCGAGCGACGAGTCGAGGCTTCCGATGTCCGATGAAGTGATACCAGTCGAGCTTAAGGCACCGGAGCGATCCGATGCCACCGAGGTAGGTCGCCCACGTTTCCGAATCGAAGTCGATGACTCCGAGCGGTCGGTATCCAAGGGACTGAACCAAGGGAACGCAGCTGGGAAGGCACGCGATATCAGTGGCGCCGAGCTGCTGATGATCGATGGTGGAGGTGATGTGCTGTCCGAGCCGTGCTCTTTGTCAACCAACAAGCTCGCAGGCGGATCGTCATCTTCCGTCGGCTTCGAGTCGTTAGACTTCGATTTTCGAGCAAAGAATGCTTTCCAGTCGATCTCTTCAACTTCCACGTCCTCCGGCTTAATGATTCCCAGAACTTTCTGCTCGAGCAAGACACGAGCGAGCTCTTCCGTTTGGCGCTTCAGAACCTCGGCCTCTGATGTGTCCAACTTAAGCGGTTCTTCTGAGACGAACTCACTGATCCAAAGTGGCCACATGGGCAGAGGATTGTGTGGAATCCAGCTGTCACTGCTGCTCGAAGAGCAAGATGACTCGACGTCGAGACTCGGGATGTGCACTTCTGGGAAGAGCGTCTGAATGTTAGCTATCAGCTTTTTCACCTTGCGCATGAACTCGCCGAACGTCGTGAATGGTGCCTCGATCCCATCACCCAGGTCTTTGACGTCCAGGTAGTTCACTTTGATCAAATGAACCAGTTTGAGCACGATCCCGGTGTCGCTGACTTCAACGTTGTCGTCTTGCAGTGTAGACAGGAGGTTGTCGTAGTTGTCTGAGAAGATCACTATCTCCATGACTTTGTCAAGGACTTTCTTGTAGCAAGAGTCGGCGCGACGACCTTCCCATTCTACCCAGTCTGCAATCGCTGCTAGGATATCTGCTTCAGGCGTCTCGTGTTTCCAGAGGGTGCTTGTCGGCCGGTCCAATGTTTCTTGGCGGTATTCTTGCTTTATCGGCGTGTCAGACCACTGCCATTCGTTCTTCGCAGGCTTCGCACCGTTTGTGAATAACTGCTCGCGCTCGCGTGCTCCGGCAATTTCCTGATTGATGGCATCAACGTCAAACGAGCCTTCCAGATCGCCGGGCTCGAGAACATTGGACTGCTCGAAATTGTCAATGTCGAACAGAGTCTCGCTGCTCTTGAGAGGCACAAACCCGAGGAACTCTGGCGGGATGGGGCAATCGATCAAGTCAGGAAACTTACTGTGAGGTCCGAAGAGGATCTCGGAACTTGTCAAGCTTGGCTGAGACTGCTGGTCGAACGTGAGCTGGATTAGGCCCGACGACGTAACGATGGGTGGCAAGGTTGGCGGATGGTTGGGCTGAGGATGTTTGACTTCGCCCAGCAACTGGCGGAACAGTGCCTCTGAGCTGGAGATTGAGGAAGCATCAGGGCTTGTATCTCGTAGCAAGAGTGACAACGTGTCCTCCTCGAAGTCTGGCAGGTCGAGATCAGCAAGGAAGTCCTCGATCATTCCTTCAGTCGTGGGAGACAAGAAGCGGAATGCTGGTGGGTGGACTTCCTGACTATCTTCGAGACTTGGGATGGCGAGTATAGCAGGTGGTTCACAGAGCTCAGCGTCCAGCCAGTGTTCATCGTCACCGTACATGTCACTCGACTCCTTCTCGTACTCTTGTGTCGGCGAACAGACAGCGTTGCCATTCGGCCACTCGCCTAAAGCACAGGGGGAGAAAGCTGGAAGAGGCAAAGGCTCGAATGAGTCCTGCTTCTTGGTCAGTGGCCGGTACAGAGGCGGTCGTGGACCATTCGGGTCGGGCGACCAACTGTCAGGGTACATACTGTATGGCGTCTCCTGGATAGTCGCGGCTCCCTCGCTCCAAGGCGAGCGAGCCTGGACCCGCTCCAAAGGCTCGAACATGGCAAGTGACATTTCCTCGGCAGCCAGTTCGGTATAAGAGTCGATACTGGTTGGGAGATGTGGGAAGGGAGTGGCGCCGGGCCGACTCGAGGCTTCCACAGGTGTACCGAATGGAGGAATAATAAGGCGTAGTGTTGGACCACGTCTGGCGACCATGGCTGTAGCTTGATTCGAAATGATATTGTGGCTGCGCTGCTGTGTTGAGTTTGGCTGATGATTGTTTCGAATTAAGCTCATGGTAACCATAGAGGAGTGGACGAGGAGCTCGGACCAGGTGTTGCTGGTGACATTCCAGGTTATATGCCGAAGACGCAGCAGTCAGCATTTCTTTCTGTGTCATGCCGTCGCTTTGTGCTTTTGTCTTCGAGACCATGGAGACAAAGCCAATGCTCCGAGATCTCGAAACAAAATGTCGTTGTCGACATGGTACAAAGGCCGAGCAATGAGCATTGTGTGACCTTAACCTAGGCCACGCTTCGTCCTCCACGCAGCCAAGGTCCGACGACGACTCTTGGCACAAGCGCGGATGCGCCGATCCCAAGCACCGCTTTCATCTCGTAGGATGCGTGCGATCATGCGATAATGGCAAGGTCCGTCTGGAGCAAAAGCCGCGGCTTTTCACGCGGGAGTCATAATTGCAATGAGCCGAAACGGTGCTGGGCGTAGATCTGCCCACAACGCGCTAGTGGCACCTGGATGAAGTATAAATCAGGGAGACTTCAAACCGTGATGTGCACATGACGTGAACGCAACGGTCGGGAGTCAGCCTCTCCTAAACAGGATTTGTGTCAACACAGCTGTAGCTGGGACGAGGACGATTGAGAATTCTCACCCGCATTCTGGACCCGAGTCCGTGTCAAAGTCACACAGAAATGCATGGATGCTTGGGAGTAGCATTGTCTTCTTCATCGACCACTTCGTGCAGTCCCCCGCGTCGCACCTCTGCGATCAGCGCTGAAGCCGGCATGATCGGAAGAGGCTGCTGTAGGACGCTGCAAGGTCGGCGTCAGGAACGCGGAGCCCCAGGTTTCGGCATTTTTCATTGCTTGAATTACTGACTTTGTTGACAACTCAGTGACTCTGCGCGACTAGCTTGAGTTTATTCGATGCAAGCACCAGCACTTCGACGGGTTCAGCCGCAACGCTGCTTGATCTCGCAGCCGTGACTGGCTTCACACTTGCTGCGAACCACAAATCTGCTCTCGATTGTAGTCTAGACTCGCTGCAGGAGACTTGATTTGGACTTTGTGGTGACTACAATGGTCCGAACAGCTGCTGTCAGCCTGCAACATGGAAGCTTCGAGCACAACTTCGCTTTCGACTGGTCTTCTGACTCTTGCCAAAGCGCAATGAGTAGGTGCGGACCGGTTAGCCGCATGTGCTCCGAGGAGTGCCTAGGTAGGTGCTCTTGCTGCGCAAGATCGGTCAATGATCAGCACAGGCATGAGGCGCCACGGTCTTAACTTTCTTTCCACCACAGTCCCATACAGCCCGATCACGTCGACAGTGAGCAACGATGAATCCACTCAAAGAGACCGCCGAGGAGATCAAGCTTGTAGGGAGCTCTTCATCACGAGACACTAGCACATCCATTGTAGACAGAGAATGCCATGCCAACCCGAACCCGACTATGGCAGTCGCCGCAAGTTCTGAAGCCGACGCCGCTAGAGCCGCCACAGATGCTGAGCATGGCATGAAAATCTGGCAGGCCGTGAAGCTCTATCGTTGGGCTGTGTTCTACTCTGTCTGGTGAGCATTGCCGTCGACCCTGCAGGAGCCATGACGCTGACGAATGTAGCATCTCTGCCGCGCTCATTATGGAGGGATACGATACTGTGAGTCGTGCCAGGCGCTTTGGCGCTTTCCTCAACCTGGCGACTGGCCAAGCCGCTTTGTGCATTACTTGTGGTCGATCACTTACTTGGTGCTTTCGCTGACACTGATAGGCGCTACTGCCCGGCTTCTATGCGCTCGAAGCGTTCAACAAACGATTCGGAGAGCCAGTCGGCGATGGAACGTACCAGCTCCCGCCACTGTGGCAAGCTTTGCTGCAGTGTGGTATGCAGGCAGGTCAATCGATCGGATTGTTGTTTGCTGGTTTCATATGCGATCGTGTCGGCTATCGCAAGACACTCGGCCTTGCGCTTGTGTTAAGCATGTGCAGCATTTTCATCTTCGTCTTCTGCCAGAATATCAGAATGCTGCTCGCAGCAGAAATCGTTGCAGGCATGCCCTGGGGTGCGTTCGAAGCGCTTGCCGCGACGTATGCGTCAGACATAGCCCCCATCCCTCTTCGGCCTATATTGACAACCTGGGTGAATGCGAACTGGGCACTGGGGCAACTTATTGCACTGGGAGTCCTCCGAGGATCTTCGGGTATAACTGGTGAATGGTCATATCGACTGCCGTGGGCCCTTCAGTGGGTCTGGCCAAGTAAGCACCGCAGTCTTATCGCTGCCGCTCGCTAACGGGATCCTCCAGTTCCTATCCTGATCGTCGTCAAGATCTGCCCCGAAAGTCCCGTATGGCTCGTCAAAAACGGCTACCCTGAAGCTGCTAGGAAATCCCTGGAGAGACTGTCGTCCGGTGACTGGGCAGCCGAAGACATCGAGCGCAAGTTGAGCATGCTTGTACGGACGGATGAGGCGGAATGTCAGGAAGTGTCAGGACAATCCTATTTGGAGCTATTCCGTGGCACGAACTTGAGACGCACCGAGATTGCATGTTTTGTCTGGATCGGACAAGTGGTCTGCGGTATATGGTTCTGCAGTAACGTCGCATGGTTTCTCCGGGTTGCAGGAGGGTTCTCACCGAACATGGCTTTCAACCTCGGCATCGCCACCAACGCGGTCGCTGTAGTGGCGACCATCGGATCGTGGAGTCTCACGCGGAAGTACGGACGCCGTACTTTGTACCTCGCCGGATTGATAGTCATGTTTCTCCTCCTGCTTGTCATCGGCGGTCTCGGGTTTGAGCCTGAGGAAGAGCAGATTGCCTACACGAGTGCGGCTCTGATGATGCTGTTCGTCGTTACCTACGACTTTACCATCGGCCCAATAGCATATACTCTGGTGTCAGAGATGTCGTCGACTCGACTACGGATCAAGACCGTTGTTGTCGCCCGGATCTCATACAATCTCAGCAATATCGCTGCCAGCTTTGCCAACCCCCAGATGCTCAATCCCTTGGCATGGGACCTTGGTGGGAAGACCGGCCTCGTTTGGGCTGTCACGTGCCTGATGTGGATATTCTGGACCTACTTTCGCCTCCCCGAGCCCAAAGGTCTCTCGCCTGCGGAGTTGGACAGGCGCTTCGAACTGAAGCTCTCTGCCAGACAGTTCAGGTCTGGGGAAGTTGATGCATTTCAGGCTGATCAAATCACCCCGGATGAGGAAAGTCCGGTCAGGCCGATGGCTGAGGTAGTGTGATGGGGTCTGATACACTGCCGTGATCATTCATCACACTGGCTCTTGAGCAATGGTCCTTTCCATGAGAATCTTGGAGTACCACATACTGGTGACAGGAGTATTGGCAAGGATGCCGAAAAGCACCCGAAGTTCGTGCACACCAGGACCATCTTTCTGCCGTCCAGCCAGGTTCAAAATGTCCATCAACGAGTATGCGATCTCGAAGATCTTGCAATAGATGCTGAAATGATGGTGCGCTATCGCGTCTTCAGTCAACGATTCCAGGACCAGACAGAGATCCTTGGCGATTTGGATCGGGTAATTATATGTGAATGCAGGATCCGGCGATAGAGTCGACAGCAAGCTGAGACGGTTCGAGATCTGCCAAAGGATTAATCGGAGCCATTGCTGTGTGACCAGAATATCAGCTCTTGGAATATCTGGAAGCGGTCTGTCAATGAGTGAGCGGCTGGCAAGTTGGTGTTGGACGCCTTCGATCATATCGCGGAGGGTGTCTCTATGAGCTTCGTTCTCGAGCCGGCCACTGGACCAGTAGCCGAGAATGGTAGGGTTGAGGAGGCTGAAGAGGCTATAGAGGCATTCGAAAGCGTCGAGTGTATTTGCATCTTCTGCATCGAAGAAGACGGAGGGCAGAGAAGGTGGCGTGCGGAGCAATATTGCTGGCACGTCAATCAGAACCGCCATAGCACGCTCCGTGACGCTGAGGAGAGCGAGCGTACGACGTGCACAGATCAAGTCTGCGTCGTACAGATTATTCGGCTGCTCTCGCTCATGCAAGCTCAAGCCCATGCCGAAGCTGATCGCTTCCCGAAGGAAATGTCCTGATGATTTGACTTTCTCGAGACAAGCTGACGAAAGGTGGAGAAAATAGCTCATTGTCACAACCAAAGGTGTCTGCTCCTCGATGAAGTCGATGCTCGCTCGCAAGGTGAAGCATTGTTCCAGGAACCGTATTCCCTTCTCTTTGACATCGTCGCTGATCGCCTCGCCATGTTTGCAAGCTTCGCGTAGGATAGATGCGGCGCAGAATGCTAATACAAAACATCGTTGGACTAGGCTGAGTTGCGAAGGTCGTGCAAGCAGTCGTCGGAACGACGGTTCGTGGACGACATTTACGACATGATAGAGGCTACCGAAGTAGACTTCAACGCATTCGAGGATGGTTGGTCCATAGCGGACAGGTAGACCGACTGCAACGGCCAGACTTGCGCCGTCGAGGCCTGCGGAGAAGTCCGAAGCATTCGACGACGAGCGAAAGAGGCTCTGAGTCTGATGGCTGTCACTCAGTGTCGGAGTGCTTGAAGGCTGCCGAGGACTTGTCAAGGTTGACCTTTGCCCGGAAGGAATGGGAGGCGATAAGATGGGTGGACGAGATGGACTTTGTATCGCAACATCGGCGCTGTGAATACTATCTCCCGAGGTTTGATTGAGGACGTAATCGGCCAGCTCGCTGACCGTGAACAGCTGTCCAGCCTTATTGTCACTGTCGGTAGGTATGCGAGTCTGAAGGACGCCTCGATGTAGTACGTCCGGGGATGTGCCTTCCATCTGTAGCAAGCGACCAGCTTGCACAGCGTGTCCGTCGCTACTTACCAGCCCTGATCCCGCGCTGTCGTTCCTGACTGCCGAATGATCTATCGAACGACTCGTTCCTGCCTTCTTCGGGCCTCGCTTCTTCCGCACAAGCGTTCGAGTACATTCTATCCTCGCCGAGAAGCATGCTTCACACGAACCTCCAGGACGCGTTCGACAGCGCACGCGTCGTTCATGACACTGATCACAGGGAAGGTGCTTCTGACTTGCGTCCATGGTCCTCAGTCATACCGTACGAAATCCAGCTCGCAAAGGATTTGCTAATCACTCGCATAGGGGCTGGGCTACCGGAGCCATTGGGGATGCTGCAAATCCCATGACCTTGTATCTCTCGCGCCTCGCCGAAGCTGGCAACACACTTGGAGCAACATTTGAGGGTCAGCTCACGCTTTACGGCTCGACGATGGAAGAGACCGCAAGTCGCGTAGGCCGAAGGATCCAGACCGGTCTGATTGTCCCACGCGGAAATAGACGTTATCGCCATTCGCTCTTTGTCATCAAATGTACAGTGGCTTTGTCATCCGGTCTTCCCGGTGACCTGCGAGCATTGGGCGTGTCATCCGGCCTGCATTTCCCCGACGAATGTCAACCGGTCTTCTCAGCGCCTCACACCCCGGCAAATCGCTATCAAAGGTCATCGCATTGATGTAATGCTGGAGAGCGGTCAACCTCAGCAGCCATCTGTGCGTATGTCCTTTTGGCTGTCACATTTGTGGGGAAACCCTGAAGAGCGAAAACAATAGCACGGACTGCGGCGGGAACTTCACTCAGAGTGGTACATATATTTGCAAGACGTATCATCGTCCGCAGAAGTACAGGGCTACTTGAGGTATGGGAAATTTCAACAAGATTGCTTAACGACAGTGAATTGAGTGCTCAATTGAAGGCCACGGCGCAGACTCATCGTCGCCCTGAATGCGAAACGCTCCCCCGGGTCAGCACACGGTACACATCAACAAACATGATTAGGGATAGGGAACGCTGGTTTGCTTCTTGATTTATCGATCATCTTACGTCAACTACCAGTGTGCACTCCTCTAGCGGGAGAAGACGCCTCTCCATCGCGCTCGACTCAACAGCGCCGGCTTCTCTCTCGCCGCTGGCCGACGCAGCCAGTCGACGGGCAGACACTCTCGCGGAACGAACTTCGCGACTTCGCAGGCAGGGACTACGTCGCCCTCTAGCGTCAAAAACGTATAGAATCCTCCAGAGTCCCCGGCGGCCGCATCAATACCGACCTTGAAATCACCGAGGACGGTGTTCAGACTAGACGTCCAGATAAGCGCCATCTGACGCGCGACTCGTGCCTCGACCTCGCTGGCAACGTAGTCAGGCGGCGCTGAGGCATCAGCCGAGTCCCGTGTGAACCAGCTCGCAGCAACCTCACGCGCTACCTGAACCAAACCCCTCAGAACCCCCGTCCAGGCATCGACGTCGTTCTTCATCTCCCAGACTTCCTCCTCCAAATCTTCCACACTCACCACTTCCAAGTTCAATCCTGAACCCCACGCCTTCATCTTCCGCCTCTCCACACAGTGCAGCGTCTCCCTAAGCGTCAGCAACCACGACTGCAACTGCGACTGGTTAGCATTACCGGTCAGAAGCTCGCTTACCAGCCCCTTACACTCCTTGATCGTACCCAAGACCTGCTTCCGCATCTTTGTGATCTCCGGGTTGAGACCGGTGACAGCAGCGACCCAGGTTCCTACCTCGTTCCAAGCATTGGCTTTCTGGAGGAAGTGACTCGCGTGAACGAGGTGTGGGCTAGCGTAGTCGATTTCTGCCAGAGCGGCACGGATGTGTTCTGGGAAGGGACCCTTCAGTACCGTTTCTTCGGCTGTCGTGTCGGTGTCGGCGATGTGATAGACGCTGCTCGACAACGCGTGAGGGGGCAATGTGTGCTCCGAAGATGTGGGTTCTGGTATGGTCTTGCGTCGGAAGGGCCACCATCCACCTGACTTCTTCGTCTGTGTTAGTGACGACTGAGGAGGAGGAGCACCACCAGCAGTAGCGGCAGCAGCAGCAGCAGCAGGCTCTCGGCCCTCGCGATGGAGGAAGAAGGCGATCTGCATGACGGATCCCACAAGCGCTTCGATGGCGCGGACTATACCGGTGAGGATGTACGGCCAGAGTGGGATCTTCGCTAATAGCCACAGAACCGTCGTCCAGATGTACACTATGCAGAAGACTATGTAGGTAAGTAGTTCGATAACGATGTATTGCCAGTCGATCTGCATGGTGTTCTGGAGTGTCAGCGGATTTTGTGGGAACGAGGGACGGTTCAACGCAAGTTGACCACTACTCGCTCTTTAGATGCAAGAGAAGAGGCATTCTGTGATGCCTCGCGCAAAGACAAAGAAGGCATTGTGGACTGCGACAATGACCTTTTGCTTTCTTTGCCTTGGATTCAGTTGTTGGTGACGAGAATGACCCTTGACCGATACACACCGGCCTACCCTACGAACCTACCTGCATGCCCGCCTACCCACAATAGGGGAGGCCCTCGCACTCCTCATCTCGAGATAGAACGTGCTAGCCAGTCTGGAAGCTGCGGCAACGAGCGCATCCAGATCGATGGCTTGGCACTTTTTTATTCAATGCTGGTTAAGATATGAGCGCGGTGGTCCTCCAAATGTGCGCTGCCTTGCGGCATCTTTGCTAACGAATTCAAAGAGCGGCGGACGTGCTTCGATCTGCGAGTGAGCATTCTCCAGTCAGCGGTACCGGGGAGGTGGATGTGGCTGATAGCCGCCACAACCTTGCGAGATTCTTGGCATGCACGAGGTATACGAGACCAGCTGAGACCTGCGTGTTGGACGGTTGTCTGGCCTGCAGAAGATTCGCAGGGAATACGAGGCCCTTCGTAGTGATATGATGCCTGCTTTCTCGACATCAGAGCCTTCTCCTTCCAACGCTACTGTGAGTCGTCGTTCGTCAACGCCGAGCCAAGATGTTGACCAACCAGGATTTCTATGGCAGCGAAGAACCAATGTCCCTGTCATCAATCGAGGTCCTCGCGCAAAAGGCCGCTGATGCTGCGAGACAACTTGCTCGATTCCACCGAGCTCGCCAGCCTGAAACCACCAGAGCTGCCACGGCGGGCTTCCTTAGCTTGCCAGATGGAGCACCGGCCGAAATCACCGCCGCCAAAACCACTCTTCTCGAAGCAACGACTGCTCTTCAGCAACTCGTCATGTCACCAAGCGACTTCCACCTGAACAACACCATATACACCCAGCAACTAGCCAGCTATCGGTGGCTCGCAAATCTCCAGATTGCCGATCATGTACCGCTCGACGGGAGTATCGAGTACAATGCATTGGCAGAAATCGCCAACGTACCAGTGCAGCAGCTCACCCGTATCGCCCGACTAGCCATGACGGGCGGATTCTTCTATGAGCCCACACCAGGACACATCCAACACACGGCGATCTCAGCTGGTTTCCGTTCCTCTGAGGCGCTGGGGCAGACGATGCTGTTTCTGACCGAGACGGTCCTTCCTACCACGACGAAGATCGTGGAGATGTCGAGATCTGCCCAGTACGCCTTACGGGAAGGCACTGAAGCTCCGGCAAGGACAGCATTCCAGCTCGCCCACAACACCTCCCTGCCCTTCTTCGCTTACCTGGCACAAGCTCCCGAGCTCGGCAAGCGCCTGGCAGCCGGCATGCGCAACAACACTGCGGCACAGGAAACATCAGTGCAGCACGTCCTGAACGGCTTTGACTGGAGTGCTCTCCCCGCAGGTACTCATGTCGTTGACCTTGGTGGCAACCACGGACTCGTCAGTGTGTATCTTGCTGAGAGGCTGCCGAATCTGAGGTTCACAGTGCAAGACTTGGAGGGTGTGATTGTTAGAGCTCCGGCTATACCTATGGAACTGGAAGATAGGGTTAAATTTCAGGCACACAGCTTCTTCGAACCTCAGCCGGAGGGCCAGCAAGCAGATGTCTTTTTCATCAGGCAATGTCTCAACAACTGGCCGGATGAGGATGTGGTTCGGATCTTGCAGGCATTAGTGCCGAGTCTGGAGGGATCAGGGAAGACACTGTTGATGAACAATATCGTTGTGCCAGCGCCATTCTCGACCATAGCCGTGGGCGAAGGCGACGTTGGGCCGGCGTCAGTGGACTATTACGGCAAAGGTCTTCGTCATGAAGCAACGGCTCGAACACGCGATGTTTCGATGATGCAGATGATGAACGGCGCCGAGCGAGATATGCAGCAGTGGACTCAATTGTTGAAAGCTGCAGACGAAAGGCTGGAGATCGTAGCGGTCCAGAAGCCGGAGGGAAGCATCCTCAGCGTGATCGAAGTGAAGTTGCGAAGTACGCAGATGTGAGAAGTGCTCATACTTATAACCTTCCGTGGATAAGAACACTGCAACCATTGATTCCCAGGTCATTCCTCCAAATCGTGATGCTTTGATGTGTCTAAGTCCCGCTCCTTGCAATCGCACACAATCGAGACAGTATCTTCCGCCGAGCACAGAATCGTAAGCCCCTGAGACCCTCGAGCAACCACCTCCATCACGTCCGGAGATGATCTCGCCGCCACAGAAATTGCTGGTGGTGATGTTGTGATCCACAAACGCGACTCGCGTGTGGACACCCGGGGGCGGCTTGTCCCGCCTACAAGCCGAGGCAGGGTCCTGTCTAGGCGAAAAGCAGCTAGCTCAGGCTCTTTTTAGGCGTCAAGCCATGGAGTGACGCCTGGCGCGAAAATGTTTGGGAGCGTGTCGGTGGAGTGTCTGTCACGAAATACCTCGAGGGTTATGAGGGTTGGTGTGGTCGCGTTCGTGGTGTTGGCGTTCTTCATGTCACTTGCCTGCTACTGATCTGATGGTACATGAGCAGAGCAGTCCCTCATTTGATCTTTCGCCTGCTTCCTTGAGCCAGGAATTCTACCAGCACGGACATCAACAATATCAGTCATTCGCTTGCACTGGGTGTTGTGAAGTCCGCTCGAGCACACGACAGACAGCACGAGACTGTCTGGGAGAGACACTCGCAAGTCTGCTCGGTCCCTAGAGAGCACAATGCCACTGCTCGATTCCCCCACGCGTCGCGTGCTCGGAGACAAGCCTACCAACACGCCCATCTACAAACAAAGCCTCACAAAGCCAACAAAGGACAGTCATGTCTCACATCAGAACCAGCAGAGACAGTCTCAGTCAGTCAAGGCCGGGCTAAAGCGAAGCATTGAAGAGGTGGAAGATGCAGAGCGCGTCGACTCAGACGACTCGCAGCGGTCCACTGGCACGCAGATACTGTCATTTCTGAACGACGCAGACGAGGACTCGTCTGCCGACAACGCAGCCAGCATGCTAGTCCGGCAGTCCCAGCAGGAAGCGGCTCCTGTGGAGACCACATTTGAGATCATCGAGGAAGCAGAATTGAGCCAGCATACACGCGAAAGCTTGGTGCGTAATCAGGTCATCGTTGGATGATATACGAGAGCTAACATACCCCAGAGTGCTGTACCTATGCCGCAGAACGCTTCTCAGCCTACAGGACTACGACCGCTGTTACTACCAAGCCTGTCACAACTCAGTGCTGGCATGTCCAGCTTCGTTGATTTCGATCAGTCCCAGCAGGACGACCTCAAACCACTGCCAGCTACAGAAGAAAGTGCCATCCAGCAACCACCTGAGACAGAACAGCCCGAGGAAGAGAGCATAGCAAAGAAGGTAAGCAAATCCCTCCTCCGTGAGGGACTCATCTGACATCGATCTACCACAGGCCGCGGCCCAGCTTCGCACCCGACTCCAACTCGCGATGTACAAAGTGACCACCAATCAGACCACCGTGCCCTTCTCACGCCTGAAATCACCAACTTCAGCTCGCCGAACCCACTTCAACCACGACGACGAAGACGACGAAGACTACCCGATGTCCTCGTCGCCCATGCCCTCCTCCTCGCCCGCCGCACCCCAACGTCCCTCGCCAGAAACACGAATTCACATCAGGCGTGTCCAAGCCGCCATGCAGGCTAAGCGGCCAGTACGAGATCTAGCGACGTATACATGCCATCAATAGTGCCAACGGCTTTCTCGGCGAGGATGACAGTCGATCCGCAGCACATCGAGGTCGCAGAGAGCGAGACAGTGCTGCCAAGTAGTCCTCCGCGATCAAGAGATGCGAGCATGGACGGTGCGGACGAGACGCCTCGGCCTAAGGCGGCCAGGCAGGACGAGGATATCGGGGCAGACAAGGCAAAAATAGCACCACGAACGCCAATGCAATTGAGCAGTCCCCCTGGCAGTCCGCATGCTTCATTCAGGTCAGCAGCAGGGAGGGCCCCCGGTGAGAAGATAATGCTGAGTGCCAAGGCAAAGCAGTTGACCAGCAGTGTTGTTAAGGCTGATGCTGCGGGAGCTCTGCTGAGAATGAATCAGGGCGATTAGTAGGCGTTGTGGCGAACCTGTTGTATTATGTCGCGAGACCGGCGAGTGGTTCTGTCACAGTTTCCTGCGGAGGGCTTACACTGCAATCATTACATAGCGATGGCGTTAACACCATGGGATGGCAAAGAGGTCTTCGCAACGAGTCATGCCGTATTGCTGCGGCCATCTCCATTCCAAAGAGTAGAGTTCGCACATCCCATGGTAGATCATGCTCTTTCCTGTTCTTGAAAGTTGGAAGGAGAACTGCCCTCGCTACGCTTCAATGCGGGGAAAGCTCATCGAAACAGAAAGTCCAGTCGCTCCCCCTTTCCACTCCCTCAACAACTTGCCTTGATGCTGTGAAATATCTCAAGGAACACGAAACTAAGTAAGGACTTTCTCCGTTAACATCAACGAGGTTCGAAGACACAGTCATCGCGGCCGCTCCGCCTAGACTTCCGCCAGACTTCTGTTGAAGACAAAAGCCTAGCTTTATCTCTTGGCACCGATCTCCGCATCAGGAACCGAAACACAGATATCAGTCTCACGGTGCAGCAATGGAGGTCCGAGATCTACCGCTTAACGATGAGAGCGAGCAGACGTGGCTCATTGAGGATGACGTGAGTCGCATGATCAGTCATGGCGAGTGGACCTCCTTCGACACGAGCAGAAAGGTCGTGGTTCAGGTAGTCGACATAGAGTACGCGGACGGCCCGCCTGGCGGATACGTTGATGCATTCAACGCCGTGGCTGCTGGGAGATACAAGTATGGGCTGCGGATGAGAAATGGCATGAAAGTCGCAAGGTTGCCGTGGGTGCCCGAGCAGATCAAGGATGCGGTTGAAGGAGTTCCAAAACGAAAGCGCTATCAACCACGAGGTAAACAGCTCTACAAACTCAACGAACCTTGGACTCTGCGTTCACCCAAATGGGACCCATCAGCAAACATTGAGGTTCCCTTGCCCAAAGACACGCTTACCGCCAGCGACAGGTCTGCTCCGTCCCTGGACAGTCTCCCAGATGAGATCCTCTTACACATCATCAGCTTTTGCGACACAACTGCTAGGCTATGTCTCAGTCGGACCAACGAACGCTACAGATGGCTTGTCGGCCCTCAAAGCTGCACACCTTGGGATATACATTTGTTCGACCGTCGCTTGAGGCACGACCAGCGGAGGCCAGTGGGACTAATTCGATGGATCGGCCGACGTGGGCTCAAATGGTTATCAGAATTCTCTCCTATGAACCCCCTGGCCATGGCTTTTAACCGGCGGTTCGATCGAAAGCATCAGAAGTTCCAAGAACAGACGGCGGTACGCCAAGGGACCCAGCAGAACCCCAATACCGATGGCGGCAGTCAGAAGCATGCGCAGGCTCAGGCGGCCTCTACAGCATATTGAACGCATTGTTCTGCTGTAATTGACGACCTCAAAGACACCGATATGAATGAAGGTCTCGTCAACTTTGGCGATGTAGACTGGGACGAGGATGCTGAGAGACCTACTGTCGTCTAAAAGATGCACATGTGCATCTCTAGTATTCAGAGTGCAGAGAGAAGCCGGTGCTGCATGTCAGCGTTAGGCAGTGCTCGGCCCATGTTATGCACAAGTTGGTCGTCCGGGAAAGAGCCTCGAAGGCTTACAGTCTGCGTGCTGCGCGATAGTCTTGTCGCTGCTGCACATTCGTCCTTCACACATTACCTGCAAGACCGAATGACGACCATTTCTCAGATTGTTAGACCGGGAAGGCACGAACGACCCTGCGAGCGTACCACTTCGGCACAACATACCACCCGCATCGCGAACGTTGCAGCGTTGCGCTTCACTCAGACCCCGTCGGATACCGCTCGTGGCTCAACATGCTTTCCGGTGCTCATGAGATGGTTCCGTTGTCGTTCAATGAAATCTGCCACGAACACTGCTTCAGAGGACTCCTGAGAGTACGGCCCAGTATTTCTTCGAAGCTGTCTTGGCTCAAGTTCCGACGGAGCCTTGCGAACTACAAGAAAATTCCCAGGATGCATCATAATATCTGCACATGGTTCAGCCCAGACTTGGCGGGACTTTCGTCTCGGCACACGCTGGATTGCCAAGTGTCCATCATTGTACGTGGCCTCACCTTGACCATCGAGATCCCATGAGGGAAGCCTGCTCTATCATCGATATACACTATCCGCTTTTTCGAGATCAGCCCTCCTCGTCCTCGAGGTACGCTCTTCTCACGCTCGAGATACGCCTGCTGCATTCACGTGACAGGCCGGTCTCGATCTTGGTCATGGGCAACCAATTTTCAACCTGCCAAAGATGGTCCGAACCTTCACCAGCGCGACCGAGCTCGCAAGCTAGTATCGCTCCTTCAGCAGACTGCTTGCTGGTCCTTCAGAGTCAATATGCCGCTTCGATATCGTGTCTCCCGAATGAGCTGCTTTTGTCAATCATTGATCTGCTCGAGCCACATCACGCAATCGCTCTCAGCCTTGCATCGCATCGATTTCTTCAGCTCATCGAGAATGACCGCCAGCTCATTACAGGCTGCGATTTCGACACCCGAATCAAATTCTTGCGCCTCCTAGAGCGCGATCACCCCGAATTTGTGGTCTGCCCATTCTGCGGATTTCTGTATCGATGGGCTAAACAAATGACATCAAGTTGGCTGTGTCCCAGGCCCCATCGACATCAAAATATAGGAATGCAATTGTTGTGGTTGTCGCCCTCGGGCTACAAGGGGTTGACTCGGGTATCGATCAGTCCAATGCTCATCGACCTGATTCTTCGTGCTAACAGCCGTGGTCTGCAGCACGGGCTACCACTGTCAGTCCTTGAGTCGCATGATCCACTGTTTCGAGGACGCCCGAGCGTCCGTCGGTCAAACATTCCCCGTATCGTCAACGGCCAGCTCCTGCTCGCCTCCCATTGCGAGTTCCTCTTTGATGCGCAGTGCTGGTCCTCGATCATTAGCAACACGGGATTCACCACCAATCTCTGTGCCCATATACATTACGGCCCAAGCGCCATCTGGGTCCACGGACATATCTGGGAACTGAATGAGTTGATTCATAGGCCGACAAACTATCGAGGCGATGGGTGGTTGCAGTTCAAGTGCCTTTATTGTGACACGGACTACGAATTGGTTGCTTATTTCGTGTGGCCGAAGAAAATCAAAGTTGATCTGTGGGTATGGCGGCGGTATGGTGAAGCGAGAATGTTTCGGTACTTCGCAGAGCCCTCGGACAGGCTGCCAGACGAGATACTGATGCAGAGAGACATCAAAGACTTGTTCGACAGTGCCTCGAACCGGCTGCCCAGGGAGTTCGACGCTCTCGATCGGCCGTAAAACTTTCCTCGACATGCTCACATGGCTGCGAATCGAAAGGGCGCCGCCTGTGGCAGTCAGGCGCTCGCTCAACTGCACCTATAGGTTGTTTAGCCAATTAGCGATATCATTCAGCATATGGAAAAGAGTCGATAAGGTTTCGATCGAAGACCATGGGAAATCCGCCTGGAGTCCGCCGCATCAGGCTGCATTGGTGGCATCATACGTAGCCTCAATCTCCCGCTCATACTCCTTATACACCCTACTCCTGATCAGATTGTACTTTGCAGTCTGCGGCAGCTTCTCCCTCTCCCTCTCCACCACCACAATCATCTTCTCCTCAATCTCAACACTCATGCTCGCATTGATATCGCGCTCAATGCACTCCCAGACCTTCTCCCTCACCCCTTCGACACCACCTCTACCCTCCTCAACAAACACCAATACCCCCAATCCACCCCTCCCCTGTCCAAACACCACCGCCTCCGCCACCAAACCCCCACACCCCGCCACAATCCTCCCCTCATACTCCAATGCATTCACCACAACCTGCCTCCCCTCCCGATACACCTTAACCTGATCGTCCCGCCTCCCCACAATCTTCCACCTCTCTTTCCCCTCCGGATGCCGCACCCACACATCGCCCGTTCGGAAATACCCATCTTTATCCCTTACTCCCTCCATGATATCCGGACATCCCGGAAGACACACCAGCTCCGCATACAGTGTCCCACCTTCCTGCCCTTCAATAGCCTCCATCCTCAAGTAAGGCTTCTTACTCTCAATCATCTCACACCAATTCCAATCCTCCCTATCATCGACTTCCCGACCAGTCGACCACATCAGCATCATCGTCTCGCTCATTCCGTACTGCACTGCTAGATTCACGCCGTATTGGTGGACGAGACGGTCGCCGATTGCGTCGTTGACGACTGCGCCGAAGACACATACTTTCTCGGCACGCCTTAGCTCCTCTATACCGACAGGGGAGGAGGCGAGGAGGTTGAGGGTATGAGGCGTCAAATACATATCCCCCAACCCGCCACCACCTCCCTCCACACCCTCGCTTGCAGTTTTCGCGAATTCCGCGGCCGAATGAATAGTAAGCGGCAGCTCATCCCCCTCAAAAAACACAGGCGCTTCGGCGTAGAGAGTCTGGATGAGGCCACGGAGGCCGACGGTCATGTAGAATGCGCTCGCGAACCAGCGAGAGCGGGAGGGCGGGTAGTGCTCGAGGGAGATTTGTAGGGTGCGGACTGCTTTGAGTTGGGAGGAGGCGAGGAGTTTGGGCGTGGAGGTGCTGCCGGAGGAGTGGGTTTGGTAGGCTGTGTCGGTGGGGGAGATGGTGGCTGGGTTGGAGAAGAGGTCGCCGTCAGAAGGAAGTGAGCCATGAAGGGAGGAGAGCTCGGATGGGGTGATTATTGGGATGTGCTTGATGGTGCAGTTGGACTTATCGGGGTTGTTGTGCGGTGTGGTGGTGAGTATACCTCCGCCTCCCGGGGCGGCCAGTCCATTGGGTTTTGCATTCCTGTTCGCCGTCGGACTCGTCGTTGGAGGGGGCGAAGGACTAACCACGAACTCTGCGCCGCTTCGCTCGAGAAGGTCCAAAACGTACTGGTCGACTAGGCGCGGACTAATGATGACCACAGTGTGCCCCATCCGCACGATCGCGAAGAAGGATGCAGCCCATTCCCTCCCGCCCCTGGCCCACAATCCAACCACTTTTGGGCCTTCACCCTCCTTCCTCGGTGTCACACCATACGCCACATACTTTGCTGCTGCCCGACGCGTCCATTGCGCGATGTCGGCTGTCGTTGCATAGCTGAGGGGTGTATGTGATTGATGGGGGTTGGTTGGGTGGGCGAAGCAGAGATTTCCGCTATTGTTAGTGTCTTGGAAATGCGCGACGAGCGCAGCAAAAGTTTCGAACTGAGAGAGATTGGGCACCGTCATGTTTGAGGTGTGATAAAAGCCGACACACAGGTCTGCGAGTGCAACATGAAGGTGGGTGTTGGAGGAGTATGTGAAAAGAAGTCCTTCTCGGATGGAGGGTCGTGAAACGCCACCGCTCACCATTGATTCGAGTACACAACATATCCAGGTCTGAAGGACCGCCATGGTGACGTGCACTGTCACGACCTCAGACGTAGTGTATAGAGTTCAAGCTCGTTTGCATGACCCAATGTCCGAATATGGGATTCTTGGCACGCCTGAAGTGAGATGTAGTAGGACGGGTGAGCAGGTTTGCGTATACGCATAACCGAAAAGGGAAACTCCAAGGACTGACTGAGTGACTCGAGTAGTATGAGCCTGAACGATCCTATAGGTACGTTTGGGAAGATGAGTGTCGAATATGGGTAGTTGCCGGAGCACGTAGAGGCCGGCTGGTCGGGCCGCGGTACAGCTCGTGATCAACGTCGCGACAAATGAAGCTATTAACCGCTGTAATTAATTTGAGCAGTGGTAGGCGCAGGGAGGCCTCTGATGGATATTGTCGTTGGCTTTCATGATGTCGGTCATGTTCAAGCCTTCCTCCTCGCCAACGACTTCTCGACCAGAGCTTTGTACTGGTTCATTCCGCCCTCAAGCTTGTGCAGTCCCGCTTTCATAATGCGGTAGACTACACCTGGTGGCCTCACCGCGTCGTCTTCTTCACCACTACTTTCATCCTCAGAGCCCTCCCCAGCTGCTGAAACTACCTTCTCGCCCTCAACGACACATCGCATAAAGTATCGGTCGTGTGTAACGACCAGGAGGGCTCCCTGCCACTCCCGCAACTCCTCGATCAGTGCTATGATCGTATCTGCATCCAAGTGCGTGGTGACCTCGTCCAGAATTAGAAAGTGCGGCGAGTCGAACAGCGCCAGTGCTAAAGCCACTCGGACGCGTTGGCCACCCGAAAGGGATGCTAGGGAGACCTCTGAGACGACATTGCCGCGAAGGCCTAGACTGGCCAGGATGCCACGTAGGTCCTGCTCCGAATACTCTGGGCCGGCGTGCTTCCCGAAGTGAGAAAGCGTTGTCAGGGTAGGGTCCTCCCGGCCCAGATTCTCGAGCTCTTCCACGGCATGTTGGGAGTAATAGCCAACTCGAAGTTTTGGATGAGTGGTAACGCTGCCCTTTGTGGGCTGAAGGCCGCCCGATAAGGCTCCCATGAGCAGCTTGATGAGCGTCGACTTGCCCGAGCCGTTCAGCCAGCGAGGCCGATTCGGTCCGAGGGATGGATGATCAGGTCGACGTCTTTCAGAGTGTAGACGCCGGACTTGGGATACGTGAAGCTGACTTTTTCGAAGGAGACTAGGGAGCCGGGAGTGCGCAGATCAGACAATTGGCTGGGAAGACTGTTTCAAATCCTCTTGGTCAGCATGTTATCGGAAGAAGAGCACGAAATCTAGGGACTGTGGGAAAGCAGAGCAAGCCTGTCTAGGGAGGCTTTTGTGCTTCTTTCCGGGCCAACGCTCGCATTACGGCTCATGTCACAAGGGAAGTCGGGACCTGCACTTACCTGAGGCCAACAGGCGGATCAAAGCCAGGTATCTCAATCTCGGCACGATTCGTCAGATGGAAACCACCAAGATCTCGGTTGAGCTTGAATCGTCCTCCTTTCAGTCCGACTTCCAACCCAGAGCGCTCCTCAAGCTTCTTTTTTCGAGCCGCAGCCTGCTTGAGCTTCTTGTCGTCGCCTGTGCGCTTAGCAGCCTTGAGGTTAGACGCTATAGAGTCCTCCAGGTGCTTCGTCTTGCGATCCGCAGCCTCACTCATCTTGGTCATGCGTCGAATTTGCCGGCGCTTCTCGCCTCGTACTCTGCCAGGTTTCCTTTGAAGGTCTCGATGGTTTTGGCCGGTTTGAGGCGAAGAAGTACAAGCTCTTCTGCCACGGCATCTGCGAAGTCTCGATCGTGGGTGACCACAACCACAGTCTTGCCAATGAGCTTGGTTGTAATGTATCGCTGTAGCCAGATGATGGCGGGGAGGTCGAGGAAGTTTGTTGGCTCGTCGAGCATGAGTATGTCGGTCTGCTGAATCAATGCGCATGCGAGATCACATCGGCTTTGCCAGCCGCCGGAAAGCTGCGTCGCGGGACTCTCAATCTGCTTTTCGCCGAAGCCGAGGCCGAGTAGGACGCTTCGGGCACGAGCTTCCGTACTGCCAGAGTCCATGGCTTCGAGCGACTGCCGCAGAGTTTCGAGCATGCCCATGCCGGCTCTCTGATCCACCTCCATCTCCTCCGCCGTAATCGCTGTCGATAGCCTGATACACATCAGTCCACCACAAAACAGTGCCACGTACAACTCACCGGTCTTTAGCCTGTGCGACATTGTCTTCCTTCTCGATCAGGACTTGACGAGCCCTTGCACCTCTCGCACCACTTCTTCTTGCAGCGGTCAAGTCAGCTTCTTTCATCTCGTCCTCAGCATGCTCAAGCTGAAGCTTGCGGACAATGATGCTGGTCTGCTCCGCGTCCGCATTGTCCTCGATAGCTTTGGACAGCTGAGCCAACTTGCGTAGTGCTCGTTCTCGCTTGACGTCGCTACGCGTCACATACTCAAGAACAGTTTGGGTATCCTTTGCTGAATGGTCTTGTTCAACTACGTCCGAACTTACTCTTGTTTGTCCTAGAAGCAGGAGTCGCAGATTGGATGGCACGCCGGGCACACGTCGCTCTGCCAGTGCTCTGAGAACAGTCGACTTTCCTGTCCCATTTCGACCATGGAAGACGTAGTGTTTGCCTTCTTGGAAGCGCAGATTAGCATGATCTAGAAGCTCCAAGCCTCCAACAGAGATGGTGAGGTCTTTGATGTCGATGTCCTTGAGTGTCGGTGCGTCGATGCTCTCGGTATGAAAGCGACTCTGTTGGCTTGTGACGACGATGCCGGCATCTTTGTTGGGTTTTGAAGCTTTGGCGTCCTTCACACGGGGCATGTTGTCTCGAGATAGCCGTTGTGGTTAGGAACTACTCTGTCAGCGAATAAGATGGGCTGTGTTGGGCGAGTTGAGCCTGAGGTTCAACAAGCGCTGAAGCAGTCAGTCTGCAATTTGCGCGTTACATTCATTTTGAAAAAACATTGGCCAAGGAGCACTCTGTCGCATGGCTGACGATCAATGGGACGTGTATGACTCGATTGATGCAGGAACTCGGCATAACACGAGCTTTACACTCCACGAGTGAGTCACCTCGTGTGACATGGGTGATCGACGCTGCCAGTCGGCCGAGTTGGTTGAGCCAAAATTGGAGGAAAGCGATGCGTACCCGACTCACCAGGCCGCCGTAGTCTTTCCACCGTAGTGATAGCGCAGATCCGATGTAGACTGCGCTTCGAAAGCAGCATCATAGACGCCTTTCAAGCTCTCACACTATCGCCGTCGCCAACGATGTCGCAATTCCGAGCCAAAAAGCTCGACCTCGGCGGCTTCGTCAACGCCAAAATCATCCGCGACCACACCAAGCGGAAAGTCTTCATGGAGCACGAGCATGAGAGGTGCGCAACTCTTTCGCCAGATACCAACAAGCTGGTTGTATTGACTGGTTGACAGACAGGCTCTACGATACATCGCACGGAACACATCTCTACCGCAACGATTACGGACGGTCGCGCAGCTCGAGCTGGCGCAGATGCACTGTTATACGAGGCCGTGTCAGATCAATAATCGGTGTGTTAATGGGGGTGTGAGCAGAAGTGTTATGAGAGCTTTCAGGATGGGACGGGTGAGTGCTCCTTTGGCGTGCTTGTTTCATGAGCAGAGGCTGACTATGGCTGCAGTACCAATTCCGAATCAATGCTCTGGCTGGGAATCTGCCGGGTGTGCAGAAGGCTAGTTGGTAGAGCATTTGTCCCGCACCTTGGGAAGAGCGCATGCATATATACGGCGTTACTATGACGATTCATCTGTCCGACGGCGAGGGGTACCTCTTGGGGTGGCAGAACAGCATACAACATGGTTGGGGCAGGCGAGCCGTCCTCGCCGCAAAATATCACAGCTTTAAAGCCCAGTCCTCCTTGTCTGTTGGTGCTCTCGGAACTCTCTAGCCACGATTCTGCCCGGATATGGTCTACGGTCCAGATTAAGATGCAGGCCGATCAGGTCTGCGGCCTGCGTCTCGCTTCGAGTACCTACGTGTGGATTTCATCGAGAGGTGGACGTGCTCAAAAGGGAATAGCTCATAGATCATGATCTCGGGCTTGGCTCTGGTCGACCTCACCTCAACCTCAACCACATTTCACAGACATACTAGCGGGTCATTCACGAAGTCTGCTCTGGATGGCCGTCGATTTGCAGTCTGAGATGGGCACGACAGACCATAATCGGTGGATTTAGAACTTCACTGATGACGGCAGTTTCCCTTCACTCACCGCCTACTTTCATTACGTGTTTGCTACATTCTTTCATGTCTGCTTCTTGTCCCCAGTCTCTGCTCGTTCATCACGACCCTTCAGGTTCTCAACAAGTCTGCGGCCGCTCGAAAGTGTCGCTGCCACCTTGATCATTCACAGAGACGTCCCCTGCTTACAGCCGAAGTCATGTTTCGTCGCAAAACCTCAAGTCTACCAGAAGACATCGTCTTCCCAGGAACGCTAGCAGAGCTCGGCTACTTCGTCAACGACAAGGATCAAATTCGACAGATCAAAAACCCCGAGCAGAGATACAATCCTAAGACCAACAGGAGCGAGCGAGTCAATATGATGTATCGGGATGCCATGAACTGTAAGTCCTTCCAGACCATTTCAAGGCGTTGCTAATGCGCAGTAGCATGTGTTGCCGACATAGTCAGCAAGCGACTGAATCACCTCGGGTTCGAGACGCTGCGACTACCTCTCGGTGCTGGTCCAACAGACAACCACGTACCCATCTACCTCTCACCCGGCGTCAAGCACAAGAAGAGAGTCATCGTCTACTTTCCCGAGCGACAGATCGATCCGATAATTCAATCATTCCGCGTGACAGGTGAGAACGACATCGCCACAGGGTCGGTGCTGAAGATCGTGGATGGCATCATGAATGGTCCAGCAGCGACGACCGACAAGGGTGCCCCAGGATTTATCATCACTAATCCGAGTCAGCTGTTCTGGTATCGTGGGGAGCAGAGACCTGTCACTTGGTACCGGTGGCTGAATCTGCCCATGCCGACAGCCGTATCGCCGGCCTATCGTGTTGATCCGGAGAAGAACCTCATACCTGGCAATGCAAACTCCAAGGAGCATGTCGAGTACATTTTCGAAGAAGTCCTCGCAGGTAGCACCGTTGACGCGGATGCAAAACTGGACATCATTGCTATGGACTGGCTCGGCAAGGAAGTGTTGAGTATCTTGCTGAGAATTGTGAGTCCCTTACGAATAAAATCAACGGCCAAAGCTGACGTCTCAGGGCCTAATTGGTCACAACGAGTCTCCTCCATTTGCTTCTGCTCGCCACAACACCGCATCGTCGACCTCCTGGAGCATGAAGCGCCTACCGACTTAATCGAATTTCTCAGCAAGAAATGCCGGGCATATTTTGTATCGAATGAGAAGCAAGGAACGGTTGTTGAGGGCCGCCCGGAGTTTGGCTGCAATTGCTACGCCAGCGGGGATCAGACATACAAACATCAAGTTCTCATTCGTGCGTGGCCTGCGATTCTGGACCATTTCAACGCGGTGCACACTCTGGAGGACTTTGAGGAGGTTGAGAGATTCGCGCCACTGGAGCTGGAAGGGAACGGGACTCAGAACGGACAGGAGAATGGATATGAGGACCACAGCGAGGCATAGGACTGATCGTCCAGTGAGAGCCACGTCTTGACAGGATTTCGGTCTACACTATGAGGAGTCCTCTGGTGGAAATCACACCTTAAGACACTGGTGACGATAAGCGTCGGGTGTCACTTGATAGTACTTGGCACGTATGGCTCAATCCGCTGCGCCTGACTGCCCGCCTGTAGTCCAGCCACGAGATTTAGCATCGAGGCGGGCACTAAGGCCGAAATTCTAGCTCCATCGAACTTGCCCGGAGTTACAGCAACCTCACCTTCCGCTTAACTTCCATATTGCCATCTGGTCTTCGATCCTGCTTTCAACTTCCGAGAACCTCATCAAAGGCCGCCACGATGGTCAAGTTCCGCGGTATCGAGATCTCCATCATCTCGCAATTTGATATCCGCAAGCTACCAGAGTTTCGTTTCGTCGCAAAGTCCGAAGCCGACCCTTTCACTGAGCCACCACCCTCACCGAGCGCTAGTGCGGTTGCCTCCTGCTACGTACCCATCTATGCAGGCAGCCAAAGTAAGTGTCGCTTAGCTTGACTTCCTTCATAGGAGCCTCCCTGACCTATTCTAGTTTGGTTCGAGTACGCCATCGAAGGACCACATCCACCTGGCGCCGGTTACTTCTTCAAACTCTTCCTGGATGGCCAGCTTATGACGTCGTGGGATTGCGTCGAAAAGCATGAATACTGCGGCAAGACCATGTACAACATCATCTGTGACGACAAGCACGACATCAGAGGAGCCCCTCACATGATCCGACAGGCAGCTTCGTTCAACAGTGCCTTTGATGGGGAAGCGGACCCTGACGAAAAGACAGATGTGGTTGAGATTCGTGTGTATCGAATTGAGCATCGCCAACGTATCCGTGACTTCGATATTGGCACTGGTGAGAATGCTGTCGGCAGGAAGTCCACAAACAATATTCGGTACGTGTCCCACCCAGCCGCAGTGCTGGTCAGCGTCTGACAATCCTGCAGGATTTCTGACGGAGGCCTCCTCGAGCCAAACTTCCCACATCGTCGGTACAAGTATCAGCTCCTTGATCCGACCGATGAGCCATACGCTACCTTTCGCTTCTATTACCGCACCCTTGGTGGCATTCTATTCATTCATGGCCTTCTCGCTGACCAATCTCAGACTTCCTCAAACGCCGCCAGATCGTCGAGAGCGCCCCTGCCAGCTATTCCAGGTCTTCTTCTGCGACATCTTACCATGATGCGCCTTCCAATGCCGACAACTCAAGCCCTGCTGCAAGCGATGATACTGCTACGCCAGCCAAGTCATCGCCCTACCCTACAGACCAGAGCCTCAAGAGTCCCGCCTCGAAAGCTTCGAACGCCTGCCCTCCACCAAGCGAATCCGAAGAATCCCTCAGTCTCGTCACCAAAGACAGCATAGAAGACCTTCCCTCCAGCGTGCCTCGCTCGCCGAAATCTCCAAAGTCGCCAAGGTCTCCCAGATCGCCCAAGTCACCTCTCAGACACGCCGAAACCTTCGATGAGATCCTCGAAAACAGCCCCGAAGCGCTCCCTCCTCCACCACCGCCCCCAAGCCCAACGAAGATGAGCCGCCTCTCGCCTCGTCGCCTGCTCAAGAATGACATGACAGTCAAGATCAATGGCACGGAGTTCAACATTGAACGTCGGCCCAGTCGCCCACTCAGTCCATTCACAAGCGGCGGAATGCTTAGAAAGCTCGTCCCGTCATCTGCGCCTCCCAATGTTACTGAGTTTGGTCCGACTGTCAGAGATGAAGTTGAGAAGCTGGAGGAGCGAGTCAGGAGGAATGATGGAGAGGCTCCGCCTATGCCAGTGGTCAAGCTCACAACAACGACAAGAGTGGAGCGGGGTGGGAGCAGACTGATAGGATTTCTGGCTGGGCGCATCTCGAAGCGAAGCACGCAGTAGATGGTGTAGATGGTCGTCATGGACACATTAGACTGTTGCAGAGTCCTCCATGGATATTGGACGACAATCTGCGATACATGATAGCATAGCTTAATCAAAGCTCACCTTTGTCGTAGGACCAATGCGGACACCGGTCTAACGATTCTTTTACTGCGCGTCTGTCGTCCTCGACTGTGCTTTGGGTCACGCTGATCTTGCGTTGGGTCCGTATTGCTCGTTATATGAACTTGAATCGAGTTCCATCCTGTGAGTAGTCGATTGGTCAGTCAGGAAGTCATCAGTTGCAGATCCTAGCACGACGCCTAACGCCAAGGGCCGAGGCATACGCGACTCGCGTTGGACGCCTTTTTCAGACACGACCTCATCGTCCCTTCTTCCCTTCCCAGTAGCTTGACCATCATTCATGCTTAGCTTGTATCAATGCTATCGTTTCTTGCATCGTAGCTCGACTTGCACCCATATCTAGCTTCGCACGACGGTGACTGAGGCTTCGTTGTGTGTTGGGACGACATAGATTCACAGGAACACTGCGATCCATCTTTGGCAATGAAGCTTGTGCTATCGATGCTGGAGGATCGTGCCTGCTGCGATGCTTATGCCGTTGGCTTCAGTGCTGCTGTTGGCTAGTAGCTATCACCCTGCGGTCGCTCCTTCCTGTGTTCGATGACCATGGGTGCTATATGGCAGGCGCAGCTCCCACCAGAATGTTCTGGCTGCCACTTCATTTGATGCCCTTCTCACAATCGCTTGCTGTTTGGACATTCTAGAATGCTTTTACGTCAGGGAAAACTTTGCTGATTTGACTAGATGACATTAGCTTGTTCCGGAAAGCATTCTGCAGACAGGATGAGAAGTTCTGGGTGAGTATAAGTATCAGGTTAGTGTTCTGCGGTTCTTCTTGTTGCTATCCGTCACATCATACGATATATATAGACATCCCACAGCGACTGTACAACGACTATGGCGAATGGCCTCGCTTCCAAATGCTTCGCTCCTACAGCTACATGACATCCAACTGTGCAGAGTACGACGTGGGCGAACTCGCACACGGTCTGCTTCCTCTTCTGCTGCCACACCTCCTCGCCGCGGTACACGTACCTCCATGGCCCATCCCACGTCACCAGTCTCGACCCCGCCGGATCCTCGTAGATCGCGACAAGCGCTGCAGCTTCATTTCAACTGACGACCAGGTTCTTTCTCTCTCCTTCCCAGCCACCCACACCTTTCCCTTTCCAGCAATGTTCACGGCTTCACGCGGGCGAAACCTCTGCTCAGGCAACTATGCCCCACTTCTTAGCGCCTCACGAAAGAATACAAGTATCTCGCTCCTCCCCGGCAAAACACTCGCTCTTTGTTACCTCTTCGCACCAATCGACCAGAACGCAACCACTCACAACTGGACGCATAACACTCTTTTGTCGACACTCAAAGCCTTCTTGCACCAAGGCAAACACTCTCTTGCGACAGAAGGGCAAGCGCTTGAATCATACCGCGCATTCAAGTAAGTACTTGTTCTCCTGCTGTTCAACGCATCTCTGTGCTTGTCAACTTTCATCATCCAACTTGAGGCGACCGACTTGATGTGACAACTTCAAACACCCTCTGCCCTAAGCCTTCTCCTTCACTCTTGCGCTGCGCATCAACGATTCTCATCTTCATCCACCTCCTTCATCTACCACCTGCATCCACCACCTTCATCCACCTCCTTCATCCACCTTCTTCATCCACCTTCTTTATCAACTACCTTCATCCACCTTCTTCATCCACCTTCTTCATCCACCTTCTTCATCCACCTTCTTCATCCACCTTCTTCATCCACCTTCTTCATCCACCTTCTTCATCCACCTTCTTCATCCACCTTCTTCATCCACTACCTTCATTCACCACCTTCAACCACCACCTCCATCCACCACCTTCAACCACCGCCCTCATCCACCAACTTCAACCACCACCTTCAACCACCACCTTCACTTCCTGTCTTGACTTCATTACAGCAATGGACAAACGTACTAACCGCACGAGACAGAAGTCTTCAACTTCGATTCCATCAGAGCGATCCGACAGCCTCTCGTGGGACTTCCTGCGCGCAAAGATGTCTGACTTCGATGCTGTCGCCGGTCCCTCATCAACTCCCACTTCTTCCAGCACCTCAGGGAAGAAGGTCAAGGCCGAAGGAGTCAAGTGGAGTGAGTTCGCCACCAATGCCATTGTTGCGGCTGTCGACTCGCTGGCCGGTGATGATTCTCCGCTCCTGGGCAACCAGCAGCAAGCATTCCAGAACATGGTTGAGCACATCAAGGACGAATTCACGAATCCGAATGCCCCCTTGGATACAAGAAAAGTCCGAGACAAGCTCGCCCACATCTGGCGTGAGTGCAAGCAGGCAGGATGCGGGGACATCAAGGAGTTCTGGCGTCATGGAACTGCAAAGCTAGATATGGCGTCCTTCGAGAACAAGTTTCTGAAGGAGCAGGGGTACCACCCAGAGGATTACGAGGACGAGTCAGCCGATGCTGGAACTGGAAGTGGCGACACTGATGTTGCTGCTAGCCGCAAGCGCGATCGTGCACAATTCGAAGAAGATCTCGCCCTCGAAGCACCAGGCGCACCGGCCCAAGTCGACCCACCGACCCCAACACTCCGAGATCTCTTCCAGCAGGAGCGCTGGAACCCCAACATTGGTCTTCCTGAGCGTCCGACCGATAACGAGGTCCATACCGTGGTCGCCACTCTCCAGACGTCGATCATACGCCGCGACGGTAGATGCACGCCAGCGGAAGTCCGAGTCGACATGCGTGTCATCTACCGCGAGAGCGCCTTGGCAGTCAACACTCTCCTACCGGCCATGGGCTTTCCACCACAGCAGCCGCCCGCTCTGGATACGACTATTCGATTCTCCGACGAGATGGCGGAGCTCTTGGCCATGCTCATGGGCACTTGGAATACCGAGGACGGGGACTGGAAGAAAACCAATCAGTTGCTGCGCTGTGCACTATCCCTTCAGACTGCCGACCAGATCAGTCTGAACATCCTCATACAATCGCTAGTCGGTGCTGCCGTCGTGTCCTGGGTCTTTGACCTACTCAAGTTCAACGAGCGTGACGAATTCACGCCGGAGGAGCTCGAGCAGCGCTTTCCAGATCAAGCCAAGATGCTGAGTGAGAAGCTCGACACGCTTATCGGTCAGGTCATCCCCTCTCGTCGTGGCAGTGCCTTCCTAGAGGACAAGTCGTTGGGCTTGTTCAGTCGGGTCTATCCCAAAGCAGCGGCTCCGATCACCAAGGAGCAGACTAAATTCCACCGCCCCGATCCAAGTACTGCCCATCCGATTGCCGACTTCCAGTGGCAGGAAGACTGGTTGGAGTCCCTCGCGCTGATATTCCACCTGGCTCTGCAGTTCCGTGCGAACTTGTCAATGCATGATCGATACACTGCATGCCTGTTCGAGTTCCCAGCCCACCTGGATCCGACGGCGGAGGCCGGACCGAACTGTGTCATGCTGGGTCTGCTGCCAACTATCAAGGTGCAGGAGCTTGTGTGGGATCACGAGGACGAGGCCGGTCAGGGAGTTGGTGAGCCTAGGGCTGAGCTGAGGCGCTTGTTCGATGGCGTCTATCATGCTGGCTTCTTCGGCGCTGACGGCGGTGACTGAAGGAGCGATGGGTAGGGCGGAATTCCCTTTGGGTTTGCATTGCGGTTATGGTTTTGGGTCTTGACACTTCAGCACAGCGACGGCGTCATCACAACACCACGGTTGACTTCACGGAGCACAGGAAAGCCCAGTCGACGACTCTGCCTACGGGCTACGAAGTGATGATGAATGCTGTCCTGAAGCATGAATGAGTTTGAAGTTTATGATGCCCCACAAAGTTATGCGAGGAAGTCTCATAGAGCAAATGTTGACATGAGTGTCAGCTGGTTGGCATCAAGGAGTGCGAGGACTCTGTCGACGACTCAGAGATTGTATTGAGACTTCCCAGATAGAAAACGCATATTCATTTGAAGAAATCATGAAACGACGGTCAGTGACATCTTATCCTTTCCTGCGCAATGTGCATTTGTCCGCGAGATCCTACTTCTTTCAGCCAAATAGCCCTCCCGCTTCAGCAAAATCTGCCGTACGCCTCGGCCTTTCTCAACACAATGCTCCGTTGCCCTGTAACGATTCCCATCGATGTGAATGCGCCATAGTACCGATGTAAATCTGCCCCTCCGAGGACCTCTCAAACCTCCTTCCCACTTTTATCGCTAACATGCTCCGCCATCTCGGTGTTCGCCTGACTAGCCCTCCTCTGTCCATCCGTCGCCAGTGACCACTTCCTCTCTCCCGCAGCAGTCTGCCTCAACTGCCCCTCAACATCACCACCAACAACACTGCTCCCCCTCCTCGCCGCCTTCACCAACCCCGGATTCTCCTCCACCAGTCGCCTATAATTGCTCTCCGCGTCCCACACCCACGGACTATCACTCGCGAACAACAAATTCATCTCCTCCAGTGTCCGCTGATTCGTCTCCGGATACAGCGCCCAGACCATCGGGATGGTGATGATGTTGCACGCCGCGAAAATGAAGAGCGTGTACTCGCTGATCGCGCTGAACATGACCGGACAGAGGAGGGTGAGCCAGCCGTTGCCGATGCTCCAGCCGACGACGCCCCAGGCGTTGCCCTTGGTGCGGATGTTGAGTGGGAAGATCTCGGCGGGGTACAGCCAGGGAACTGTAAGCCAGGTGGCGCCGAAGATCATGGTGAAGAGGAATACCATTGCGACGGCGCCGTTGCCGGCGGTGGTGTTGCCGCTGTCCTTGGCTAGTTTCGAGAGGCCGCCGGCGAGGAATAATGTGATGCCCTGGCCAACGGAGCCCCAGTAGAGGGTCCAGCGGCGGCCGATACGGTCGAGAGTGAAGACGCAGATCAAGGTGGAGAGCATGTAGGTGATGGTGTTGAGGCCGGCGATCCATTGGACGTCTTTGTTGGCGATGCCGGCGATGCGGAATATGGTGGGTGAGTAGATTGTTACACCGGCGATACCGATCCATTCTTGCATGATTTGGAGCCAGATGACTAGCTGTACGCGGCGACCGGTGTGTAGCTTTCCGGATCCGATGCCGAATAGCATCTTGTAGTAGTGTTGTTCTGACGCGGTTTCCTTCTCGAGTTCGACGATATTCCTGATGTCCTCGTATTCTGCGTCGGCTTTGCCGGCGTCGTCGCCGTCTTCGCCGCGTAGACGGCCGAGGATGTAGCGAGCTTCGTCTCCACGGCCGACTTTGGTCAGGTAGCGAGGACTTTCGGGAAAAGCCCAGCAGCCGATGAGGAGGCCGAGCAGGAGGAAGAGCTGGAAGGCGACAGGAAAGCGCCAGACGAAGGAGCTCTCGCCGCCTTTGTAGAAAGAGCAGCCGTACTCAAGCCAGTAAGCAACGACAACGCCAAATATGTTGAGCGTGAACTCAATTGCCACAAATTGGCCACGAGAGGTATGATCGGCGGTCTCGGTGGCGTAGACTGGAACAATGGCGTTCAGGATACCAGTACCCCAACCATTGATCAGCCTAGCGCAGATCATCCAGACATGATTCTGCGCACTCGCCTGCAGCGAAGCACCGAGGATGGCCCAAACACTACCGAACGCGATCGCCTTGATTCTGCCATATTTGTCGCCAACGATGCCGCCAACCAGAGCACCAACGAGCGTGCCGAGGTAGTAGACACTGACGATGCCACCTTGCAGCAATGAGTCTGTTATCACAGGCGCGCCATCCGGACCTTGGTGGCCAAAACCCATGATGGTATAGTAGTCCTTGGCGTTGTTGACGCCGGACATCATGCCTTGATCATATCCAAAGAACTGCATAGGAGGGAGGTCAGCACGTCGAGGATGCTGGTGAGTGCCGCTCTTTAACTTACGAAGATGCTCAGTCCAGCCAGGCAATTGATCGCGATGAGTAGATTGCGTTTCCGCAACTTGTGCACAACATTGTACCTTGGGATTTTGTCCATAGTGCTAGCGACTCGGGCGTGTAGCTGATGGTTACAGAATCTTCAATGTTTTTGGCACCTTTCACTAGGTGGGTGACGAGCTATCAAAGTCGTGCGCCATTCTCAAGACTATATAGCTGGGCCAACGGGCAAAGCTTATGGGTTCCCCGTGGAGTCGGTGGACAAGCAACGGTCAATCCCACATAAGGCGAAATCTCAAAACGAAGCTTGACGCTTCGACGCTACGTGGAGTGGTGTATCCGTTTGGCTGCCACGTTCTGCGCTTCCCGTGATTGGGCGATCTAGATGTCGATCTCTGAAGTATTGGCTATGATGTAATTTCGAGGCATTGACCAGTGCGGAGAAGTGCATATTGACTTTCGTGGAAATCTCGAGATCTCCCCGGTCGCCCACGAACGCAATTTCCGCGCAGCAGGCCCTGGCTTTCATCGGCGTACGAGCCGACGGCGTGGCGCGGTTGACGTACAGCTTCAATCTTGTTCCTGGGGAAATGGTCTGCAGTCGCTTAGGCATACATGCAGGTCAATGTTGGCAGAAGATCTGGGGTATTCTTCCTCGCAAGGCTTTCGTGCCTCGGGGAGAACGGATTTTGTGTCTAAGCAGCCATCTCCAGTATGAGACCTTCGAGGACATCTGCATGTCGAATCATTTCAGGAGCTTCGTCCGACCAGAATCGAAGCTGATCTAGTACTTTGCCAAGCTTACCACCAACTTGGCTGGGCCTGGGTACGGCAGATCCAGACGATGACGTTCTGGGACGCTGCATCTCTGCCCCAGGAGTCTGTGGAGAGGTCCCCACCAAGGTTGCTAGACCACCAGGTATGAGGTCTGTATAGCCGGCTCGGACAGTGGCGAGCAGGATGAAGGACGCGCAAACACTCGCCCTCAGGTCGTACCAGAGTCCATGGTGTCGATGTGTCAATGTTCGCGTATCCAAGATGGTCAAGTTGCATTCGATGCCCCTCTGAATGAAGCTCCAGTACACACTTGCTCCTTCGGGGCTCAGTCCCATGTATGTGCCGCTGCTTGTAAAGCTGACAGGGCTTGACATCCCTTGCGTCGGAGCAAGCGGCTTGACGTGTACGAGGTAGTACAGGAATGGCTGGTATAGCCAGGACCTCATCTCGAGCAGTCGATTCTCGGTCGCCCAGCTCAGTTCTCTAGAAACGTGGTCGGCTGCCACACCGCCTGCGGACTCTTTCTGCGGAGCTTTGATGGTGGAATTCGTCTCGTATCGTTGCATAGCTGGCGGCAGGTTTGCGTACCATGAGCTTACCTGGGCCTCGAACTCAACAGCAATGTCCAGATATGGCTCGATGTATGTCCAACTTTCATGGCCACCTGCGAAGAATGTGTTGATGATTCGATTGCCAATCCGACGAAGGGCGACTTCTGTCAGGTAGTAATACCAGCTTTCGGTTTGTCGTATGGACTCCGCGGCTTCGTCATTATGCAAGTTCAGCGCGTGAGACGAGTGCTCGTCGGCTGTATGGCCATCTACATCCTCGTACTGATGCGGTGACGGTGGCGACGGTGGCGAAGGAAACAATCTGGGGTACTCATAGTCTGCAAGTTCGGATTGCGGGAGTGGAAGTTCCACTCGAAACTCCGCTTCCGACTTGAAGCATGACCAGTATAAGCGCTGTTCAAGGCGGGCCTGCTTGCGATATTGAGCACTACCGGGCTGCAGAGCATTGTGGCCCTGCTCCACCACAGTCATGTGCTCGATCAAGCGTCCGTTCGTCTTCAGATACAGCTGATAAGTCGTAGAAGCTTGGTGGAAATGCTGCCATGACAGCATTGGTCGCAGAGTGTACATCAGGTAGACTTGCATTGTTAGCCTGAGCCAGACTTCGGTTGTTGACTCACCTCCTGCAAAGAAATGGCATTGAGCAGCTAGCACTGTTTGTTTGAGCAGGCCTAGCCGCCGACAAGCCAGCACGAAACACTGTTCACCCATTTGTAGTTCCTTCGATGTGGCTACTTTGGGAGTGGCAGCATCAGGTTGGAAGGGCTTTGCAATGCAACCTAAAGCGCATGCCAGCAGTATAATGCAGCTGTGAGCATCGTAGCCAAGACCGCGTGTTGACGCCTCTCTGCCCCTGACAATGAGCGTTTCGACGTCGAGCACTGGGTTCTTGGTGTGAACATTGAGCAGGAAGCTGTCCACTAGGGTCGGAATGCGCTCATCCTCCAGAGGTCCGATTGAAGTTGTCAGGGCATAGTTGTCCTTCTCTGAGACAGAATTCGAGTGTTCTCGCGAGTCGGACACATCCGGATTGCACAGTAAGGGCTGGATTAGATGATTGGGCTCGAATCTACCACCAAAGATAGGCCACGTGAGCACGGTGTCTGCAGTAGTCCGGTGAGGCGGTATGTGTGAGAAGTCCCGACTCGATTGGGCTACTGGACCGCCCGGTACTGGCGGGCTTTTGAGCAGTGATGAATCGTGCGAGGAAGCATGGACCAGTGACGGAAGCTGAGAGTTGTTGGCTTGAACTGCTGCCTTGAGATCATCGAGTTGTTTCGTGACATGATCTAAGCGGCCGGTCAGGGTCTCCGCGACACTTTCTAGCCTTAACTTCGTCAGCGGGACATAGAGCCAGAGAAAATGTCTACCTACGTCTGCTTAGGCGGATCGGTAACATAGACACATTCATTGTCAGCTGCTGCACATAAGCTGCAGATAGGACGCTTGAGATCGCATTTGACCTTGCGATTCCGGCACGTCTGGCAAGCTACCTTGCGCCGACCTAGCGTTGACGACGTTTCCATGTCGCCGCGCTGGCGCTTCTTACCACGAGTGGCAGTAGTCGCCTCGGCCCTGTGGTCTTTATCAGACGCCATCGTGCCTGCACCGAGTGGACCTGTGCATCAAAGCATCCTTCCCGGCGGTACATGGTCCAGGATGCCCGGTGTGATGGGCATATTGCCTGAAGCTCGGGGCATTGACGAGATTCCCGGGCCAGGCAGAGAAGGATCGGCACAAAGCCCAGTAGGATGAGTGGAGTAAGCCGCGCGTGGGAAGCTTCCATCTCTGTGCCAAGCAATCGCCTCCCCAGCTTCCCCAGATTTCTAAGGAAGTGGTTCCCACCTGCCTTAATTCTTACATGATGTGTCGGCTGACCCGCGACTGCCCCTTCCCCCTGGGCAGGAGCAAAGTGTTCCTTGCCACAGCTGTGAATGTATGGATGCAAAGACTATGTTCTTACGATGGGCTAAGAAATTCTGAAGATTCTGCCCAGGTGATCTTTGGCACGAGTGTAATTATATTCGATATTTAGACCTGGTTCTTTTTCTATCGAACTGGCTTCCACTTGGACTCCACCCCCCGCAGACTCCAGCCAGCGAACGCAAGACTAAAGCATTACAAGTCTGAGCGCACCGACTGTATGCTCATCACTCAGAGCTGACCTTCTCCAGCAGCCGCAACAGCCCATCTGGCTGCTTAATGCCCATCTCCACGATCTCGTCTGCCCGGGCTTGCGTATCCGCTACAGCATAGATTCTCAGTTCGTCGGCATTGCCCGAAGGACGCACGTGCGCCACGTCACCGTTCTCGAAGATGAGTCGTAGGCCGTCTGTATAGTCAATTCGTGAGATTTCTGAGAAGCCTTGATCCTTCGTGAAGATAGAAAGTAGCTCCTTCTTGGTATCCTCCAGTGGTTGGTCTTGGGAGAAGCGCGCTAGGATTCGCAGACTAGCTGATCTTGCGAAGTTCCGCAGCAAGGAGGCGCGACTGTAGCGTGCAGGGAGGGTGGCGAATAGTTCTGGCACGGAAAGCTTGCGTTGCTTCGCTGCGGAAAGGACGCACAGGAGCGGCAGAACAGCGTCACGGGTCGGGAGGGCTTTGAGGACGTTGCCGTCGCGCTCGATATCGGATGCAGTCAGAAAGCCGCCATTCGCTTCCCAGCCACAGACGCGTCGCCGTCCGCTCTTGGTTGCTGTTTCCATTCCTGCGATTACGTATGGACTGCCGATCTTCGTCTTCGGTTCCAGCACGGATGCGAGCGCACCACGGTCGATCGCGTCGTTTGAGCTGATTGGGACGACGACTGCGTCGGTACCGAGATATTCTGCGACGATCATGCCCAGTAGGTCGCCGCCGAAGAAGCGCAGGCCTTTGTTTCCGTTTCCGTTTCCGTCTGGGGCGACGAGGAGTGGACGGTCGCTGTCGCCGTCGGTTGAGACGACGGCGTCGAAGGAGTGACCAGTCGCGTCGATCAGCTTCTGGATGGTGTCGAGCTGTTCGACGTCGACGGCTTCGGTGTCAATTGGGACGAAAGTAGAGCTGCGACCGGCGGGTGTGCATTTTGCTCCGAGCTGCGACAGTATCTCTACCACGACGTCCCTTCCGACGGCTGAATGCTGGTACACGAGCAGTTTCAATCCTGCGAGTGGCTGGTTAGGGAAGAAGTCCAGATAGCGTTTGATGTACGCGTCCCGCCCATCGCCCAGGACTTTGGGCAGATCCGTGTTCCCGCTCCGGAGGCGGCCCTGCTGATCGAAAAGCGACTCGTTAGCAGACTGTTCCAGCAAACGCTCCCGCACGCGCTCGACGCTAGCATTGATGGGAGCCTCGTCCTTCTTCAGCAGTTCGCCCCTCGAAGTATTGAGTTTATACCGTTTCGATCGAAGGGTATATGACTGCCTGTGACCATGATAGAACCCTTCCCATGGGACAACGCGTAGTAAGTCAACGCCGGAGTTGGAATCGCGCCAAGATTGATAGCCGTGAGTCCGTTGTCAGAGGCCGCCTGGACGACCGCCTGGGCAATGCCACCTCTGCCATTCTCTACCAATTCTGTTGAGCTAGGCCGCAGGTCGTAGGCGAAGTAGAAGTCATCTCCTTTCGAGATGCCTCCCTTGGAGGACTCCAAAGACAGTAGATATTCGATCTCGCCGGTGACATTGGTGTAGATTTCTAGCTGGGTCAGGTCGACGACTTTTCCGCGGCGGCCACTTGTCCCAAACTTCAGCGGGACGACTTCGTACTTGAGCTGCTCCCGCAGCGAATTTACGGAGCCCATGTTGCACGAGCTGTCTCCTGATCAGTCTGGTTTGCAGTTCCTGATAATCATCGGGCGGACTGTGGATGGAAGTTGAAGATATTCAACCACCATGCAAGGAGGTCCGGGGAAATTGTGCTGCGCCAAGAAACTTTTGTGGGCGCTCCACGATGCTTCTTTCCACGCCATGGAACTCATATAGCTGTGGACACGAAAGCTGCGCATTCTGCCCAACTCGACGGCCAGCAATAGCGCTGATGGATTAAGTTGTCTTGCCGAGCAGGTCGATGGGTTTGGAATGAGCCTCACTTGGGAACCACTTGGGTGGAAGTAGTCATCATGAGTTTCCTGGCTAGGGAGGGCGCTGTACGATTTGGACACGACTTGCATCCTGAGGAGTCTACCAGTGCGACCGCCACTCACTTCTTCTGTTCACAGCCCGGGAGGGTTTTATACGTGGTATGCTCGAGCTGACAGCGGGGTCACGCTTGGGCCTTGAGGCACTGATTGCTATCGTCTCGTCTCCCCGCATTCACTCGAGCGGGCCCTCGTCCTAGGATATGTGCACTTCAAAACGTCGACTACATTGGCAGCAGTGCCCTCGGGAAGTTCAGTGTACACGTGCTTCTCCGGCACCGTTCTTTACCAGTCAACGCACCGTCTACGCAGCTATGTCAGACAATAATCCCAAGACGCTGCTCACACTTCCTAAAGAAATCCGCGATCTTGTAGTAGCAAATATTCTTCCGGAAAGTGCCGTGCTAGTCTATCTGGAAATGATACGACTGCTACGTCATGCAAATGAGCAGGAACCAAGACACGCTTTCCGGAACGAGCCCCAATCTTTACGAACGACCGTACGCATAACGCTGTCAATGCAGAAGCTCGAAAAGCCAACTGAATTGGATTCCCCCTCCAAACTTGACGCCTTCAAGGATATGCTGTCTTTCGTGCGAGTCTGTAAGCAGCTTCGCCGTGTAGCGTGGTGGCACGTGTGGGGTTGACAACAGTGGTAGATATTGACGCCCAACAGGCTCTGTCACTGCGGAACATCTTCTGTCCACAAGCATGCCCTGTTCACAGCGTCCTTATCACTACAACGCGGTGGTGGTTTGATACAGTGCCTGTGATCATCGAACCTCTGCATCACCTCGGACACGTCGAAGTTGTGACCATACACTTTGGAGGTACAGGACTGACCAACATTGGCGTGGCCAAGATTGCGAGTGTGATTCATTCGTTCTCTCTAAGACAAGTCTATGTCAAACACTCCACAGATGAAACTTTCTCTCGCATGCAGCTCACCGTCGTTGGGACGGCTGTTGATGGTAATGTAAAGTGTTGTTCTCATTGACGACCGGTTACAGACGCTGACAGACACACAGATGTGGCGGAAGCTCGAGCCTGTGTGAAATGGTCCACCCTAGCCTTGAGAACTCCGACGTACTCGACCTCTCTGACGTCGTCGACCCGCTGTCGAGAATTGAATTCAGCGAATTCTGTACCGACGAGGTCGGAATCGAAGGCCGAGTCATCTTCAACAAATCCCCTCCTAATGCCAGCAGCGGATGCTAGTAAGCGGAGGCCGCCCGACAAACAAACGCTTGAGCTAGAGCCAACAGCAGCTTCTTTATGACTGGTCTGGTCGCCCTCAAACTTCCCCGTGATGACCCATCGACGCACGCCGTAATGATTGTACGAGTCTTTCAGTACCGTCCTGCTGTGACAATTTCCACCAACCATCAAGAAATACCAGGCCATGGTTTCGGGTTCTGCGGTTTGGGGTTCGCGGGTTTGGGACCGAGCATTGTTTGTGGTGAGTAATGAGATCACTGGATGAGCTTGTATGGTTCAATCAAATGAGATCGCAATATTCGGGATGTATGTGGCTGATAGACAAAGGTGCTATCGGTTTCATGAGCGGGAGCGACTCGGTGCTCTTGCGTCTGAGGGCGAAAATAGACTGCGGTGGGGGCTCAACGAGCCCGTGGCAGAGCCGTGGACTTCTTCATGGCACTATTTGGGAGATGTGACATTCAGGATGGAAAACCGACGATCCCCGGCACCCCGATCGTGGGGCCACGGGCGATGGGCGATGGGATACTGGCATGGTAAACGTGATTCTGGTGCATGAATAGTGGCTTTTTGGTCAGACGATTTGCGGCGCTATGCTAGAACAACAAGAGCGTGGAAATGTACCCCCTCCCTTGGATGGACTCAAGAGACCCAGGTCCACCAGACGACCGAGCGCCAAGCACGAACGAGACCGTTGGAAGAGGTTTCCGTGCCGTCATGCCGCAATGTCGAGGAACCTGGGAAGATATACGCGGCCTGTCTCGAGCGCTGACGCCGGATGCCAGGGACATCGTGCTAGCAGGCTTCAATGAGAGCACCACATATATCGCCAGAGCTCAATTTTTGGCTATTCATGATGTTTAGCAAGCAGCATCTCCGGGGCACCAATGTCATAAGGTCGAGACTTAGACATTCCGTGTTCTACATGGCGATCAGCTACCAGTCCTGGCTCCCGCTTAGGAAAGAATACTTACTGCTACAGACAAGGTTGGCTGAAAGCCACATGCGACGCTATGTTTGACATCGCCGCTACTCCGCTGACTGAGGGTTGTATCTCTTCGTTTGTGTCACTACAGTCACAACGTCGATACTGTTTGCGAACATACATGCTGAAGGAGTCTGACGGACGGAGAATCCTGTGACAAATGTCCCATGCGAGTCGCCCAGATTGTCTGTTGCAGCCACGCACAGATTTATGTCGATGGTCGCACTCTCCAGTCGATGGCCATTCTTTACCGGCGATGATCACTCTCCCACAAGCGTCGAATTTGGAAGATGCTGACGATGCACTTCACTTTCGGTGTAGCGGCAAGTCCAAGTTTCCACTTTCCTTCGAAGAGTAGTTTCTGTATTGGAGATCTTGCTAAGGCCTCTAGGCCTGGCTTTCGACCTGAAAATGTTGGCAACGACACCAGCCGGCAGACCACTGATGATCTTCCGCGCTATCGAGTTCCAGAAACGTCACCATATCTCCTTGCAAATTGTGGCGTAGTTATGTAGAACACAGATAGCGCAAGTGATTGTATCGAGATCGCCGGGTTGGATGGACTGGACCGCTCGTCGCGATTGCAATCTGCATGTGCTGAGAGCGATAACTGAGAATGACTCCGTTGTGGTAGACCGCTAGCGAAGGCTATCCTGCTATTCCCTACCTCGAGGTGATAGATAAATACACTGTACATTGGAGGAAGATTTGCTGATATCAAATCAAGGGTCACATGGTATACCTCGATCTGCACAATCTATGCGTCGGCCGTCATATGGGGTAGGTAGAGTCTGCTGGGAATAGAAGGAGCGTGACCCAAGCAGCGAAGCACATTTGCACCGGTATGCAGCGGGTGACGGCTACAAGGGTGAAGTCGACTCGTGGATTTGCCAAGACAACGTGACCTGGTGATGCTGGCATTTGCACTGAACTCGCGGAATTCTGAAACTTCCACCATACATACGCGCAGACCATCAATATGAGTCGTGCTGTGACCAATATGCGATTCATGCGATCTGTCGATGGTGTATTTCACCTGACTGGCGACAGTAGTTGTGACTTTCGGATTCGGGCACACCAAAAAGCCATACCTGTGTAGCGAACAGCAGTTGATTCGCTCAATCTCCGGGGTTGCTATCCATCGCATGTAACTTCATAGATCCCAACCAGAGACTCTACGCAACTCTAGATGTAGCTGCCAACAAGTCTACTGCCTTCGGCGGCTATTCCTCGCTTCTGTCTATACACCACCGCAGTGCTGCAATTTGTTGACCAGCATTCGACTCAGTCCCAGAAGCACGTTTATGTCTGGTACTAGCACTGTCCTGGTTAGGTAGTATAAGCTTCCTGACGTTCGTGTGTCCCCTTTTGACAGTCCTACAACCGCCCTTGTTCCTTGTCGACATCTGGTAGAGAGCTCTTGACCAAATCTTTACCCGCCATTCGTCCCAGCAGACATGTCGTAGACTGGAGGGCTGTAGGCATTGAGACAAGCTCGAATGCATTGAAAAGGTCGAGGCTATCGTAGCTATGCTGCCACCTCCGACAAAGGCTGGACCTTATGCATCTGAATGCTTGTTCGTGCCTACGCCTGTTGGTCAATGGGGAGAACACCCATGGCATCATCAGCAACCACCGCGTCGATGGTGAGCTGCATCGTATCGAATCCTTTGTGAAGAGAGCATCGGCCGTAGACTTTCAGTAAACGTGAGGGCTGGGCGTGCTGCGCAAGTTTTGCGAGAAAGTGGCGTTTCCGATACCACAATGGGATACTTATGGTCACAAGTTCAAGGTTGCCCAGAGCTCTGACAGCTTTCATCCGCTGAGGCCGTAAGCACGGGCGAAAGCTGCAGTGGATCAACATTCTCTTGAAGGGACATTCCTGCGGATCTAACACATCTTGCAGGAGCGGGAGGCGTTCGGGTCGGTCATTGGCAAACGTCACGGGGTTCCAGACATGCCACCACGTTTCAGTGCGTAGCTGCTTGCAAACGTGTAGCAGGACGAGTGTAAGCTTGAAGGTGTCGAGAGGGTTCAGAGAGTATGTGCGGCTCGCATGGTCTTCGATGCGCACGGACACTCGAGAGAGCGTGACTCTTAAGGACGTTTCCGGATTCTGAGCTGTTGAAAAAACTTGCATCTCGGTCGACTTCAGAACTATGAAAACCATTCGTCTCAGAATAATATCTCAGGTCCAAGTCTCGAACCTCCTGAGGAATCGCGAGAAACGTTTTCGGATCGTCGCCCAACATGTCTGCCCAAAATTGCGAGGAGATCGAGTCGAGCGCCAAGGATAAAGAACGAGTCGGAACTTGCCAGACAGTCTTCCAGCGGTCGAATGATGATTGAAGGTGAAAGCAATCTGTGAGGGTCGCCAAGAAGAGGCAGACTTGAGCCACGTGACTGGTGGCTGCTGCGGTGGAACGTGGCTGCCCGGCAAGTAGTGACACCACCGGCTGCTGAACAGCATCAACTTCTCAGCGTATTTCTCGCCCAGGAACGGACTCTGTGGCGGGGTGGACGTGGACTCTGCCAAGTTGCTGACCATACCGACATCCTGACCATGAATTTCCACCAGTGCCTCCATGTCTATACACTGCGCGGCAGACTTGAAGGCGACCGGCTACAGTACGCTCTTGCCGCCGGAATCTCGATTCACGAGACGAGAAGCTGCCGCGAGAAGTATTAAGAGATCCCTGGCCATGGTTTTGGGTTCTCCGGTCTGGGTGATACAGGTTTGGGCCCGAGCATTGTCCGTGAGTAGTTGATCATGATGTCCGAGTGCTGGAGCGACAAGCTGCAAAATGACGGCGAAGTTGAAGGGTCTATGAGGTAGCTAGATGGACGGCGGTAGCTAGAGGGACGACGGTGGCGTGATAGATGGCAGATGCAGGTGGCGTGATACTCGCAACACAAGATCCAACTCAGTAAGTTTGCGCTAGGGATATTCCCACGATATAGACTTCCGAGTCTGCAAGCTACCGCTGAAGCCATGTACTTATAAGTGGCACGATCTGAGAGACGTGGAGGTCAAAATGACTGACCAGGAAGTCTCCCACGACGATCGTCGCGCTGCCGGAGATGCATTTCCGCCATTTCGCAGGTAGGCATTCCCTGTGCATGAATATGTGCCCAATTTCGAGACTTCCTGGGGTGCGATGCTTGACAAACACCGTTCCCAGGCGATCTGTAGATCTGTGCGACCGCACCCAGATCCTTGGGTGGACGTTTATCAGATCCAGCTCCACCACACCCATAGATTGCCAAGAGTACGCGTGCTGCTGGAAGAGGTTTCCGTGCCGATTTTCCGCCCTGCCGGGAGTCGTAGTGCGCAAGCGATCGAAGGCTGATCATTGATCTCTGGCAGATAGCGTTCTTGGCCTTCAGCATGAGCGTCGCTCTCACTCCGAACGCGCGGCGCTTTGTGCTCCGTGAACCTTGTCCTTCGTCTATTGCATCCTTGTAACTCGTCGTTGTGGCCTCGCATACCCTTGATCAAACGACGACTCGACTTGGCGCACTTATGTCGATCGTCCCTCTGAGGCCACAGATCGCACCCGTAGAGGAGAGGTTCAGGGCGACTCGCACCTGTGTCGGCCGCGATGGCCCGCGCCCCAGATTTGCTTCTTCAAGTATTTTAGGTCCTAGTCACCTATCAGCTACAAACGAGTAATTTTCCTGGCGATGGTGCACTTACTGCCTCAGACAAATGGCCTTCGATAATGAGGTGCGATTGCACTTGCGCAGGGGCTGTCACTCCGTCCAGGCAGAATTGTATCTCTTGTTGAGGCTCTCGACGACGCTGTGACTTTCGTACGTAAACGTTGCGCGAGCGGGAAGGCTGAAAGTCGCATATGAAGATCTCCAGGACCCTATTCGCATCCCGGCGCGGATACACATTGATAGTTACAGATTCGAGGCGCCGAAGAGCACTGATCATGTCGGACGCTCTCGGGCAATATCGAGCCCAGGTTCCAAGATCTGCGAAGAGAATCATTTTCATCGGACAACCTTCCATCCCCTCTGGACATCCCTCGGGCTTGAATATGGCTTGCAAGAGCAGCGGATCGGCGGTTTGGATGTTCTTGAGCGTGACCAAGTCCCAGAGACGCCACCATGCGTACCGTCAAATTGTCTTGCAGATATGCAGGGCAGGAAGAGCGCGCTTGAATGTGGCGATGGCCTCGGGGTGGGTGGAGCGGTACCCTGGGGTAGCAATCCATCTGCTTTGTATCTTCTGCATGTCGATGACGAGTGTGCCTTGACAGAAGGTTCCCGACAACCATGGTAAGTATCTCTACGGGTAGTCGAAGCGGCGGATTCGGCGGGTTGGCTGCCATTTTCGCAGAGAGCGGAAACGCGATTAGCAAGCGACTGAATACAAAATATCATGGACCGGATGGTCCTATTCACTCCTGGTACTAGCACGGTCCTTAGTCGAGGGAGCCAACTCTCCATCCTTCGTTGCCTGCGTATTCGCCACCCATCCAACGACTGCGCTCATCGATTGTCGACGTCTGATAGCAGAGCTGTCTTCTAGACGCCGAGCCAACGCGCGACCCAGCAGACAGCACGCGCTTCAAAGCCAATCCCCGTGAACGAGTAGACAAGGTCGACTGCGTTGAAAAAGTGCTAAGCTATCATAGCTCTGCTACGTCTTCTGACGAGGGCTCGTACTTCTGCATCTGGAATTTCGTTAGCACCCACGCCTGTTCGGCAATGAGGAGAATACTCACATCATCTGGGGCAGCCACCCCATCAATGGTGAGCTGCACACGCCTGAAATGTCGCGGACTACGAGGCGAGGGGACGACATAGATGTGCGTCAGATTTGATGAATCAAAATCAGTGGCCAGCCTCCCCATTCCACTGTCTGTAAGACGAGAATGAGGGCTATAGTGTACGGTAACAACTTCGAGGTCTTTCATGGTATTGGTGATCTTGACAAGCGCTTTGCGAAAGGTTGTCGGACGTTCAATATCCGCGATAAGACTTCTGTCCGTAATGAGAAGTCTCTTCACAGGACATGATTGTGGTTCGAACATGTTTCGCAATAGAAGAGCCTTCTCGGCGTCCACGTTGACCACTGTGACCGATTCCCAAAGTTGTCGCCACAAGTCGATGCGAAGTTGCTTGCAAACGTGTACAACGGACAGTGCAGCATTGAAGGCAGCGAGCTCAGAATTGGTGTTGAGCCATTTCGATTCGTCGGCATCGATGCGTAGGTAGGTACGGTACTCTGAACAATCGGCTTTATTCTGCGAAGCGTTCCCTGGCTTATGCTGAGCTGGATGGCGTCGTACCCGCACCGTCTTCAACTCGATTTGGACTGCGCTTTTTGGAAGGAGGTTTGCCAATATGAGATCGCGAATCTCCTTTGGGATCGTGACCAACGTGTTGGGTGTGTCGGCTACCATACTTGCGTAGCAACGCGAGGGTAGGCGAGGGGCTGGAAGATGGAAGTAGGTCGGTAGTCAAAAGGCGATCTCAGAAGGATGGAAACGTGCAAGTGATGAACAGCCGTTGCCAAGACAAGGCAGACTCGGCATTTGCCTGACTCATGAGATGCGGCTTCAACGATGCCTGAAGTGAAGGTGGAATCGTGACACTTAGAGTGTGCGAGTTGTTGACTGCTCGATTCCTCGGGTCCACGACGACGGAGACCACATTCAACTTCATGGCTTGACCATCCAGTCCATGACTTCACAAAGTTCCCACAACGACGCAAAAGCGACGTCTTGACAGAGTGACCATTCACTCGGGGTGATCGGTGTCCATATGCTGTGTCAAAGCTGACCCACTGTGTTCACAAGTCTCAGCGAGCACGTTGAAATGTATAGACTCGACACACTTACCACTTTCAAGCCCCGTTGGCCAACCACGTGCATGCGCACAGCCCCGGTCCGTGTTGGCTCCCTTCACATAACGTATGCATTCGACAGTCCGCATTGTTTCCCAATCTCCACGATTGCAAGCAACATATGCCACGTCTTGCAATCTGGAAGTATAGTGACCATTTTGAGCTGCCGAAAGCACATGATCAACCGCTTGAGTTCTTTCCGGATGAACCTTGCACTTGCTTTTCGAATGTCGAGGTACCTCAAAGGATAGTTGCGACTTGCGATCTTTTCTCTGACAGTCCAGAACTGCATGGCGAGAGTCCAGTCAGCGTATAACACCACTGTCACCAGATCCCAGATCATGGGCTTCAGCGCAAGATACATGGCCTTGCAAGTTGGGAAAAGTCGAATAACACGCAGGAACTGGGCTCGACTCCCAGCACCGAACGTGTACCAGATAAATACTGAGCAGAGACGACGCAGTCGGCCTCGTCGTGACGAAGGTGGTCCCTGGAAGCGTTCATCAGCACTTCCATTCTTGCATTGTCCCGGTCGAAGGAGACGATGTCGGACACAGCCAGACGAAATATTGTACAGGTCTCGGTCCCCATCACTGGAGGGTGACATGCTTACCATCATTCTAGACAGCCACTGCAAGTGACCCGGTCTGTACCGATCGAGGTCCGGTTCTTGGAGGAATAACACGATCCTCCGACGTGGCATGATCAGCTTGTAGATTGCAGTTTGGAGTTCGCCTGGGAGGTTGAGCAATCGATTTGATTGATTCGTAGCCATGGCGGTGTAGAAGTCGACAAAGTGCCCGGCCGATGGAGCGAATGCTTGATTCATCGTGAAGCTCGCTTATCCGGTGGTCGCTGCCAAGGCTTTTCGACACGTCCGGCCAGCAGCGGAGAGCCTGAAAACGGTGACGCGCTTGATCTTGACTCATGAATCAATCTGTGCTCGAAGTGAAGATAAAACCGCATCCTCACAGACTTGACGACCGATGTGCCCGAACTCGCACTCAGCTGGACCAGGCGGGCTCTAACGTCGTCGATACGGAGCTATCAATCTGAAGCCCTCCAGGATCCAAAGTCGGTCAAGTATCGCTTGTCGTTCATGACAGACTTGACAGCCGCCGTCATCACAGATCGGGGCCCGCGACGACCAACCATAATCTCAAACTGCGCAACAGCTTGCTCGATCAGAGTCTCAACTCCCGGAACCACGACCCATGGAATGCCAGTTTCGACTCGGAATTGCGTGATCTGCTGTACAAGTGCAGTTACGTGGTTGTATGCCATCTCGACAACAACGCCTCCAGAGGGAGACTCGAGCCACTGCTTTGGCATCTTGAACACTGCTTCGGTGTTGCCGTCGATTCGTTCATGCGTGACACAGGATACGACCATTGTCGGCATTGCGAATCCAGACGGCCAAGCTTGTTCGAGGTTTTCCAGTACCAGCACATTCAGACCACCTGCAGCAGATGATGGCGCCTTTCCGTCTCTTGAGGACTGGCTCATGAAGTGACTTGCCACGGCCCTAGCGTTAGCAAGTGTCCGATTGTAGATGAAGACGTTTTTGCAGCCCAGCTGGAGCATAGCATATACGGCTGCTCGCGCCATACCACCCGCACCAACGACCAAGCCCGTCGTCTTCGGCTGAATCACGTTACGCGGTGACAAACTCCGGCTCAAGCAGACCTTGATGCCGATGAAATCCGTGTTGTCACCATGCCATGCAGCTATTGGACCAGCCTGGTTGCGATTGTATGCCTGAGTAGCAAGAGGCGGCATTCTGCCGTTGGCATCTTTGCGAAGTGGAATAAGAGTGTTGACGGCCCCGATGGCTCTTGCGTGGTGACTTAGGGAAGATACCTTCTCCATGGCTTTGACTTTCCATGGCTGTATAACACTGGCGCCTCCAAAGCAATCGTCTGCGGCAAGAGCTTCCACCTCGTCCCAGCTAATAATATTCTTTAGGGTGTATGAGTGACTAAGCCCGGTGGCCTCATACGCAGCGTTGTGCATTACTGGAGATAGCGACTGCGACACGTTGGCACCAACGATACAGAACTGTAAGGCATCGAGCATAAAGGAAGAGCCCAGCGCTTGGAGCAATTGCGCAGATGTTAGAATTGGCGCGAATTGATCATTTCCAGCCTTGAGTATCGGATGAGTCACGCTCGTCATGTGAGTGTTGAGCATCTGCGAAGCTCGTCCGAGGCTTCCTGAGGCAAAAATGGTGACAGGTACTGTCGGCTTCAATTTGGATTGCAGCTCTTCTCGGAGCCAGAGAACGCTTGACAGATCATTCCGTGACAAAGCTGGCACAATGATGCGAACAGAGTCGCACTTGGCAGAAACAGCGGCTTGAGCGAGCTCGACTAATTTGTGGTCTCGCCAATCTTGTCCAGTGGGTATTCTCCGTTGTACAGTACCGATGATTCTGCTCGGACCTTTCATTGCAAGCACAGATGGGATGAGATTCCTTTCGCGATCTAGGTCGATAGCTACGTATTCCACACCAGTGCGAAGAGCGTGATTGATGATGGCCATGCGTAGATCGATCCCAAGCTCAGTGGCGCGGTTTGTCACGCAGACTGGAACACCAATGTGCCGCCGAACCGACGCAACAGCCTTGCTGAAGACCTTGGACATGTGACCATTCCACTTGTCGATGATGATATCAACAAGATCTCCAGCGACCTCGAGGGCCGATATGTCAAGCTCATCCGTGAGTCTGGACAGTGGTATTTCGAGAGCATGCGTGTATGCCCTAGTCTCCAGAGGAGCATCGATGGAGAATGTTGACGAGTAATTCGGAGCAGTATTTGTGATCTGACGAACAAAACGAGAGAAATCCTCCTGAGCGTGTCTCAGCTTGAAGGAGTATGTGGGTGAAGAACGGTCAGCGGTCTCGTCGCTTCCTTCGTCTGCTGTATCATCCTGCAAGTTGTAGTATTCGAAATTTGAGCACTTTCGATGGCTGGGATCCCCAGCTTCGAGCAGCTTGACAGATCTGTCCCCCAGATTGAGTAGTGACTTGATCTGCACCATATCTCGCATAATGTAGACGACAGGGTTGGTCATACAGTAGAGCCTCAGATAATCCTGCAAGCTGCTTGTCATACTTCCCAGCCCACAGTCTATCACGCAGTGATGCTTATTTTCCTCAAGCATCTTTCGCGTAACCTCAACATCGCTCTGGTGAAATAGCTCACTGCCATGATTCTTGAGGAAGTCCTGCCTCGAGAAGCCGGTAGTAAGCTGGAAGAAATGGTCCTCAGTGATAAAGCGACGTCCCAGAGCAGCCGCAGCGATCAGTCCGAGCGACCGCTTCCCACTGCCACGAATTCCAACAAGAACGACTGAGGCGTCGGGGTGGAAGGTCCGATTAGTGGTGGCGGCTGATGGAGTGTTTTGACCACTTGTGCGGACACCATCATGTCCCAAGGCCAGCGTCCTGTTTGGGATATAAGGCGACGATGGAGCTGAGCGAATGGCGCGCTCCTCGGAAGAGTGTCTCGTCATTGCTCCCAGATCCCAGCCGATGTCTACAGATCAGGTAGCAGTATGGACGCCGCCATGACGCGACTGGGGTTCCGCGATGGCACCAACGACAAGGCCCGCCTCAATCGCTCGTGACTGCGATCGGAAGTGCAAGAATCAGGATGATCTCCTATGCATGAAGATTCGGAAGTTGTGACCCATCCGCCGAGAGGAGGACACTCTTTCCGTTTCCAGTTTCCCGCGGGAAGTTGCGCAGCTCTTGCCAAGCCTGCATCAAGAAGTCGCGACAGACCTTTGCCTGCATCTGCTCCGTCCTCTGATCGAGCTTCATTCAGCGCAGTTGGAATGGTCACTGAACCGCATTGGAGCTTGTGACGCCTCCTGTCGAGATGACAGCGTCTTGCGCGGTCCGCACTCAAGGCGTCGTCATCTCAGATATCCCGACCTTCGATCTACGACAGCGGTAGCGTCTGACCATGCAGAATGGAGCAAAGAGAACCAAAACAGCAGAGGACGACAGTGGCGTCACAAAGGCACGCACTCGAGTATCTCGAGCATGTACGCGATGCAGAGCCAGGAAAGATAAATGTGATGGAACAACTCCATCCTGCTCGAATTGCATAGGCGCAGAAACAGTCTGCGTATATGACACCGCAACAAAGAAAAGGGGTCTGCCAGAGGGCTATGTACGAGCCATCGAGAAGTTGTGGGCCGTCAGCTTTTCCCGCATCGAGGGATTGGAGGATCTGTTGATCAGTACGCTGCAACAAGACCGCCCACTGCTCACGAGCATCTGGAATCACCGCGAGGTAGGTGAAGAGCTACATTCGAAGTGGAAAGACTCCCGGGTCTTCTCGGAACTCGAGACCTTCCTTACTGGTGTAGAAGCTCAAACAGCTGCCGCTGGATCGAAACGCAAGCGAGACCACGAGGACGATGAAGACAACGACCACATAGGAGATCTAGCCACTATACTCCCAACAAAGTATGCTCTGTGTGACAAAGAAGCCAGTGGAGAAGTCTCGTTGAGTCGGCGGACGTTGACGATGAGCACAATCAGCTTGCCCACTGCGACTTCAGAAATTCTTGGGCGTTACTTTGGCTCGATTCATGCATATTTCCCGATCCTGGATCGTCCCAAAGTCCTCAGGTCATGCTATGAGCAAACACGAGGTGGAACTCAGATCAGCCACGACAATGACGATCTCGCAGTGCTTGCAGCAGCCATGGCGTGCACTACCAAGCTGGGGGGGCTCGGTGAGCCTGATTCCCTTCCTACCAGTCTCTTCGACATTGCCAGGCAGTGCATTCCTGGACTGTCAGGTGCTTTCAAGATTGGCCATGTTCAAGCCCTTCTATTACTCGCATTATCTGATATTCACACTGGCGCATGGGAATCTGCTTGGCGGTCTGTTGGACTCGCAGCCCGAGTTCTGACAGATCTGTCTGAGAAGACGGGTCAGGTGACTCGAGATCAGACGGCAGCTCGTCAAGGCTGCTTAATTCTTGATACGCTAGTTGGCATTCGACTACGCAGGCGTCCTCAGTGTCGGAGAGACGACTTGCCATCTGATGCATTCCTGCACGAAGATGGCAATGAAGAATGGGAACCGTGGCAGGGCACGTCGGAGCCTGCTTTCATCATAAGTTGCTTCAACAACTTGACCAAGCTGTCTGGAATACTGAGCGACTTCGTCTGTCAGCTACCAGGTACCCCCATTCCTGCACGAGACCGGACAGAGCAAGCTTTGGGAAATCTCAATACACTCGCTGGGGCATATCCACGTGGTGCTCGCCTGACCGCAGCCGATGTTGGTCCCCCACATCAAACTTTTTTGAAGGTCGCCCACCTCCTGACCCTCGCTTACGTTACGGCATCTCATCCTGATCATGTCAATTCGACTATACCTCCGTTAGCCGCCGCCAAGAAGAGCCTTGATGATGCAGAGCTCGCAGCAGGTGTCATTGTCGTACCGAGCTGGTTGACAGGCTTATACACCGGCGTAATACACGAGATGAACGAGCTACAAAGTGGCATCGACCTCATATCATCGATCAAGCATGCATCGATGTTTAAAGCACTGGACGAACATCTCGGAGGCAGTCCACAGGAGGCCGAACGAAATCTGCTAGTCGTCACGAGAGATACAGTGGCTGGCAGTATAATCGATCCATCTCTACAACCATTGAAACGAAATGGCAGCACGTCTCTAGCCAGAAGATCGTTCTTCCCCGCAGACCCATTTGCCCAACCAATGAACGTCATGACAAACCAGTCTCCACCCATCACAACCGCAGGCCCCGATGCCGCTAACAACGTATTCGAGCGTACGCCGCAAGACTTCTGGAACAGCAGCATTGATGTTCCGACAGCGCCAGCTATGGTACCAAACGGAGGACTAGTCATGCCTGCGACGCATGGCTCATTGCCAACTGTCTACAACCCATCCATCGCTACCTCTCCAAGCTTTCAGGGCGACGAGATCGATGCACTTTTCCACGAGATGGCACAGCTAGACACAACTGAGTGGGCTACAGGACGAAATCAAGGATTGAAAGATTTCGGATTCAATGATATGCAAGCTTTTGAGGAATTCTGTAACGATCCCGACCGGGTCTTCTCCAGCAATGCGGAAATAGAAACTCAACAACCAATGCCACAACGGCACATGTCCGACCTGACCATGGCAGACTTTGATCAGCAGAACTTCGATATGGCGGGACTACCTATCTGGAACGGATGAAGCCAGCACTGCTACCAGACTCTGTCCTGTAATTATCTCAAATGCCTTTCATTGGCCCATCGGCAAACTTCCAGGCCCAATACTCCAATGCCGCCACGTATCCATAAGCACCCAGACCACAGATCACCGCCACGGCCTTGTCGTGGAATTTGCTCTCGTGTCTCCACGGCTCCCTAGCATGGACATTGCTCACATGGCACTCGATGAACGGAATAGACACACCCAGCAGCGCATCCCGAATGACCACGCTGGTGTGGGTGTAGCCTCCAGGGTTCAGAACAATCGCATCGACCTTTTCCAATCGAGCCTCCTGAATGCGATCTACGATGGCGCCTTCGTGATTGGACTGAAAAGTCAAAATCTGGATGCCGAGCTTCTCTCCTCGAGACTTGATGCTGGCTTCGATGTCGGGAAGGCTGACGGAGCCGTATAGATGTGGTTCTCGGGTGCCTAGGAGGTTGAGGTTGGCGCCGTTGATGAAGAGGATTTTCTTGCCGGTGGCTGATGGTTGTTCTGATGATGCCATGTTGTGTGTTTGCTTCAGCGTCCGCTTCCTGTTGCAACCTTCTAGCAGTCCACGCTTCTCCGGTGCTCAGCGTACTCAGCAGTCGTAACGAGTGCACAATTTCATTAGTCGCTGCCAAGCAGTCCTAAGAAGCTCGTTCTTTCCTACGCTGTACGGTATGCCGGCGGATGCAATTGCTGCTGTCTAGCAAGATGCGAAAGGCAGATGATCCAGTGCTGTTTCGTTTGAGGACCACCGAACGACATTCAGCTTAAGGTCATGTACCTGTACCCATCCGTCAGTGAACGTCCTTCACAGCAGTGGTTCTCCGCACCGGCCCCGCTCGAGCACGCCCCGCGACAGCTTTCGGCTAAGGTCTTCTCCGTACGCCTCCGACACCTCACCTCGCTCACCCAGATCGTGTCATAGTCTACACGGAAAACAGTGGCGGCTCTGCGGTCTTATGTATTGGTCGTCAACGCCGGATCTGATGCTTTGATAGCCGGTGCTATCCGCCAATGAGTCGAACAATCTAGCAATGTCGCGTCTGAGGCCATTGGCGTGCAATATCCCCATCTCAGCATAGTGACGCTACGTGGCTGGTCCATGTACACGTCGAGAACGGCGTAAGGCTGCACAAGAAGTGGCTTGCGAGCACAGCACCTCGCTCCCGGCGACGGACGACTGTCTCGCACCACAGCTGGCTGGTCGCTCTGGCCGCCACGATGTCCGTTGACCAGATAACGCCTGGTATGGAACAGCTGGATCTGGATGAGATCTACCCTTTCGCAATACAACTTGGCAAGGATGCCGGAGCACTCTTGGTGAAAGGTCTGGAGAGGCGGCGAGCAGAGAGTCATGAGAACGAAGAGCAGATTGAGAAAATGAATGCCGTCGACATCGTCACTGAGGTCGATCATGGTGCGTGACCTTCTATTCCACCCAGGCCATCGCCGTTGCCACACCGGAGTGCCAGACTGAAGCCATTCCAAATTCAAATCCATCCACTGACGCCCACCATCCATGCGCAGAAGTCGAAGCATTCATTCACACCGCAGTGTCTGAAAGATACCCCTCACACGCCTTCATAGGCGAAGAAACCTACTCGGCCGGCCAATCCAAAGACTACCTCGTCGATTCCCGCCCAACCTGGATAATCGACCCTCTCGACGGCACTGTCAACTTCACGCATGGCTTTCCCATGTTCTGCGTCTCCATCGCTTTGGTCCACAACCATGTCCCTGTAATCGGCGTCATCAATGCGCCCTTGTTGAACCAACTCTTCAGTGCTTGTTCCGGGAAGGGCTCGTGGTTGAATGAATCGACAAGGTTGCCGTTATTGGGGAAGAATATCGGCCCCCTACCGAAAGATGCGCCGCGGCGGTGCATTTTCGCGTGTGAGTGGGGCAAAGATAGACGCGACAGCAAGGAGAGTAATCTCGGCCGTAAAGTCGACTCCTTTCTTACTATGGCAACGGAACCTTCCGGGCGCGATGGTTTAGGAGGTATGGTGCACGGCGTCCGCAGCCTAGGTTCCGCGACCATGGATCTGGCGTACACAGCCATGGGCAGCGTTGATATCTGGTGGGAGGGTGGCTGTTGGGAGTGGGACGTCGCCGCAGGCATATGTCTACTCAACGAAGCAGGTGGACTTGTGACGACTGCGAATCCCCCGGAAGATGAGAAGTGGGAGGAATGGACGGATGTGCCGGCGGTGAAGCTCGGCGGGAGGCTGTACCTGGCGATACGGCCGGCGACGGATGCGAGGGATGGGAGCGAGACGGGCAGACAATCACAGGTCAGGGTTGTGAAGGAGGTATGGAAACGGGTTCGGCGGCTGGATTATAGTCGACCTGGGGCATAAGCTCTGGAACGGACTCGATGGATCCTGTAGCCACGTTCGATGGCGTAGAGCCATCATAACGAAGACGAACAAACGTGAGAATGCTGCATGAAGCTCGGTATGCCGAAGCGAACGCATGCTGTGGTCGATAAGACGCATGCGTTCGCTTCAGCATACCGAGCCTCATGCAGCATTCTCCCATTGTCAATTAAAGAAAGAGCAAGCATACTTTCCTCAACCAAAGCAAACCAACTTCTATCAGAACTTTTGCCAAGACTTTCTGCTGGTGCACATTTTGGAAAATCACATTTTGGAAATTTACATGATTTTTTACAGTTTTTGGATAAACCGACAGAAGTTGGAGATCCTTCCCAATACGGAAGGTGGCCTGCTTTTCTGGGACAAATGACCTCGCTGCTGCTCGGCTCGGTAAGCTTGCCTTGTTGAGGCGCCGGCGAGGCTGTCTTGGCATGTTACGTTTCGCAATCCGTCTTGTTGACGCACGCAGCAAGACCTCTGCGTCATAGGCTTCAGTCTCCGTCTTCGATTTTCCCGGTGATGAATTTACGGCGAAGCGGGGCCTGAAACCGCTTCATCATCCAGAGCATCAATACATTGTTATTGCAAAAACTGCGATTTCGTCCAGCGCCATCCCAACGAAACTCCCACTCTACCGTCCAAGCCGATCCCCATACTTCTCAAGGACATAATCAACATCCTTATCCCCCCTCCCACTCAGATTCACCAGTATCTTCTCCGTACTCGGCCTCTCCTTCGCCAACTTGATCGCGTACGCCAGCGCGTGCGCGCTCTCCAACGCGACAATGATCCCCTCCTGCTTCGCCATGCGGAAGAATGTATTGATGACTTCGTCGTCGGTTATTGTGGCGACTTTGATCCTGCCGGCGTGATGCAGATGGGCGATCTCGGGTCCGACGCCGGGATAGACTAGGCCTGAAGCAATCGAGCGAACGGGTGCAGGACTATCATCCTCATTCTGAATGACGATTGACTGCGCCCCATGCAGCGTCCCGGGCCTCCCAAATGACAACGTCGCTGCATGCTGGCCAGCATTTGAAGATGTGCCAAGCGGCTCGACTGCGTGCAGAGTCACGTCTTCGTCGTCCACGAACGCGGTAAACATGCCCAGCGCATTCGAACCGCCCGCCACACACGCCACCACATGATCCGGCAACACTCCCCCACTCATGTCCAAAAATTGCTCGCGTGCCTCAACTCCAACAGTAGCCTGAAACTCCCTCACCAACCACGGAAACGGATGCGGCCCAATCGCGCTCCCAATCGCATACAAACTCGTCTCTGCCTGTGCCGTGTACGCTTGAAACGCCGAGTCGGAGGCGTCTTTTAGATTCCCTGCCCCATCTGCCCGATCCTCCTTCGCTCCGGCGGCCACGACTTTGGCTCCCAGAAGCCGCATCCGCCCTACGTTGCTGGCCTGCTTCTGTACATCGATTGCGCCCATATGCACCTCACACTCCAGCCCGAAATACGCTGCGGCGGTGGCGAGGGCGACGCCGTGTTGGCCGGCGCCGGTTTCGGCGATGAGTTTGGATTTGTGTATGTGGAGAGCGAGGAGGGCGAAGCCGACGCAGTGGTTTATTTTGTGGGCGCCGGTGTGGTTTAGGTCTTCGCGCTTGGCGTAGATTTGTGCGCCTTTGACCTGGGCGCTGGTGTTTGCGAGGTAATGCAGCGGAGTGGGCCGGCCTTGAAGCGTCTTGCGAACCTCATGAAGGGTGCTGATGAAGTTGGGGTCGTGGCGGAGGGAATTGTAGGCTTCTGTGAGTGCGTCTAAGTGGGGTCGTAGCGATGGAGGATAGTGGTTTCCGCCGAAGGGTCCGTAGTAGCCGGAGGCATCTGGGTAGTGGTCCAAGTAGGGACGTTTGAGTGGTGTGGAGGCCATGTTGCTGATGTTTCCCCGAGAGGTTGACCAGATGGTTTGACGTGGTGCAGAATGAGTCTAGGGCAGTGGGACAGTTGGGAAATGACAGCACAGGATAAAATCAGAGTACAAATGAGCTTGTCACGACAAAGACAAAAGGTCGATGTCGCGGGGCCTCAACTGGTATTTATACGTCTTGACCGCAACACTCACAATTTAGCCTACCGTACACATCGCAACACCTCTGGAGCTCCCAAGCCATCCTGACCTCATCCATCAGCCTCGCCGGGGTTCAGATGCATTGCCAAGCAGATCCCATTGGTCACTCGCATCGAGGTAGAAGAAGGACATCAAGATGGGAAAAAAGACTCCTTAAGAAAAGTCCTTGGAGTACACGGGCCGAGACTGGTGGTCCTTCTGACTCATCAACGTCCAGTGGCTGAAGGAGGTGTACAAACGAGTTGCAACGTCTTCCAAGCCGATGTGGAGGTGTCACAGGAAGGTTGAAGCTAGACAGCGAGGTCCGGGGAGATTTGATGCCCCGTTGATCTAGGTGTGTGTGCTCGTGAATTGTAGGAGAACGTGAGTGGTCGTGAGGTGTCCCGAGCCCGGAAAGCTCTGCGGCGTGTCTTATACGCCGCCACGTATCGAATACATGATGCACATCGCCCGGCGGTATCACCCTGGAAACAACCGAAGCGACATGTCATCAAACATGAAAACAGTCAAGCTTGAAGCTGAAGACGAATTCGAGGACTGAGCGATCGGTACCTAGGTAGGGTGTGGCGGTTGAGCCAAGAGCGTTGGCCGGGGTCCGGCTCTCGGGGCCTTCGTTCTTTCATCGGGTCTCCGAGACGCCGCGATCTCCAAAGATTTTTCGACGAAGCCGCGGCCTTGCAGCTCGTCCACATCGCGTGCGGCATCATACACTCCTTAATTCGATTCTTGTACACTATTTGCCTGGTCGCGGCGGTGCGCGGAGGACTCCGGTCTATTATTCTGGTCTCGCCTGCCCAAAATTGCCAGTTTCGCCGCCACGATGTCGTGGTTCACTTCTTTCTTTGCCCCGAACGACAGCAAGTATGTCAACAAGAGCAGCACACCTCCCACAGCTCCGTCAACAACAGGGAAGCGACTACTAGAAGAGGCGCCGCCGACCGTTGTGTCAGATTCTACGAATACATCGAGAACGCCAACACAAGTACCACCATCGAGAACGCCCTCAACACCACCCACTGTATCCCCATTAGAAGACTACAGGGCCACAACCCGGCCCGACCGCCGCTCGCGCAACGTCATGCTCTTCTCAGGCGGCGCCATCTTCTTCGCCTTCTCCCTCATAATCACACGCCGTGCGCTTGCCCGCAGGCGGCTGGCCTCGATGCCAGGGTACTACAGCAACATGCACACACATATTGAAAACCAGTCCAAGACCTTGATGGGCCAGAAAGAGGCGCTCGAGGCTCTAAATCTAGCCACGATAAATGTGCTAAGTCTGGCTATGATGGGGACAGGCGCGACGTTATGGGCGCTGGACATCAATAGCCGGGAAGATCTGAGGAGGAGGATAAGAGGCAGTATGGTCATCAAGGACGACGGGAAAGGAGACGGAGAGGTTGAAGCGTGGCTAGAGCGGAATTTCGGGCGGAAGGAAGACGAGACGGGTAAGCGGGAGGAGGTGGAAGGGAAGCGAATACTAGAAGAGCGGGAAACGGAGATGAAGACGGGAGAGAAGCGGTGATCTTGGACGACACTCTATGATGTACAGCGATACCATGAGATGTTTAGCGATCGATTGATGCTAGCGACTTTTCAACGCAGCTCTTGTAGATTACAACCCGCCAGACCGGCTTGCGCCATATCTCCCAGACCCTTAGCATTCGTTTCCACGCCATAAATCGTAACATCATATCCAAGGAAAGGTGTCATCGCTGCCACGTCAACAAAATGTCCAACCAAATCTCCTCTCTATCGAGCTCAGCACAAAAACCTCACACTACCACTCCCCTGCGCCTCCACAGCGACAACCCTCCCCTCACGATCCCCCCTCCACCCACTAACCTCCTTACTCCCTCCCCTCTCAAGCACAAGCCCCGAGCCCCTGGCACTCAAACTCCCACTCCCCATACTCCGCATCTCCAACCTGCCCACCCACCGCCTCGGATAACTCAACCCCATACTCCCACTCCCCCTGACCACATGCTCCGCTTCCCAATTCTTCAGATCTTCTGTCGACGAGGACGAGACTTTGATATTCTGACTGCCCGACTGCGTCGTCGTAGACAATTTCGACGTGCTGCCCTTCGGACCTCCGGAGTCGAGCGCGTGGATGGTGAGGGAGAGGGAGCCCGACTGCGTCTCGATGGCGGTCGTCCCACCATTCCCCGCCAACAGACTCCCACTCACGGATCCCGATGTCGTTTCCAGGGTGCTTTGGAACGTGCGGTTGGTAGCATCACTGCTCGGCAGCCACGGCACAATCCCGCTTCCCATCCTAACCCTAATACTCCCACTGCGCGTACTCAATTTCATTACCGCAGGGTTCGGGCCAGGGTGTGGCTCAACGTCGATGATGATCGACCCCGAGGTGGTGGAGAGGTCGAGGACGTCATACAGCGGGAAAGAGCCTGTGATTGATTGCGACGTTTCGTGTTGGTGGTATTCGCGGTTGAGGCCGGGGAGAGGGTTGTTGGGGGAGGAGGAGGGGATCGGGTTGCGGGAGGAGTCGTTGTGTTGGTGCCACCAGCCGGGGGTGTGGGTGTGTGCCTATGAGGAAGAAGTCAGTGGATGATCAAGAGTAGATTTGTAGTAAGTGTGCGTACTTTGCCGCTCAGCATTCCCGGGATCATGAACCATAAGCACAGGCTCAAGGCGAGTGTGAACCAGCATATCTTGCGGAAGCGGCGGCGTTCGCGGTCTTTGCGGTGCTCCGATAGGGCATTGAGTGGACCGCCACAACCGCGTCGGCGAGGATGGCGGTTCGATCGTTGTTGCGCTAGCTCGAGGAGCGTAGAGCGGGCGTAGGACTCGTTCTCTTCCGTTGATGGGCGAGGCGAGTCCTCGTAGGGTGTGGTTGGGTGTGTGGGGCTTGTAGGAGATGATGGATCACCTACTTGTGGCTGTGATTGAGGATGAGGTTGTGCTCGTGCAGCGACGGGTGACGACGGTGTCAGTGGTGTTGCTACAGAGTCTGATGGCGTGTAGATTGGGGGCGGATCATTTGGGTCATCTTGGTAGGGACCTCTGGCTTCAAGCTCTGCTGGGTGACCCATCCTTCCGGGTCTCGAACTCGTGGGTTGGCGTGGTAAAGTTTCGTCCTCGTCCCGCCAGAATGATTGGGAAGTAGCAAGATTCTGTGCTTCCTCACCAGCAAGCTTACTCTTGTCGGGCTTCTGAGATGACGATGGGTTATTTTGGACAGCGCTGCTCGAAGACTCCTCAAATGTATCGTAACTGCGACTGCGCTCGCCCACGACTTTCTTTTTGAGCGTCATGGCCGAGCGATGAATGCTCGTGCCTGATGTAATGGAGTTATTTGGAAGCCACCACGTGTGGAAACGCTGCTGCCTGAGGATCCGGGCGTCGTATTCCCCCTGTCCCTCCTCAATTTCACGTATTCTGCACGCAGACGTCACAGCGTTACCGCGAGTAGTCGAGCGCTTGCTACAAAAGGACAATTGCGCGACAGGCAGATATGAAAAGGATTGACAGATGGATGGACGGACTTCCCGTGGAATCGTCCTTATCATAAAGGCCATTGATCTTCAGGATACCATTGCCGGCCCCAAAACCTTCATTCGACCACGGCGCCGAGGGGCCGCGCTTACCAATTAAGCATGGACCATGAATGAGGGGAAAAGGTGGGGAGGGTCTGGCACGGCATCTGCTGCTCTTGCGTTTCTATTCAGCCTGGTCATAGTACCAGAGGCTGCCCATTAAATGACACACATTGTTATCCTTCACATATATGGCTAGCGACCTCTCCTATCGTCGTCGGTGGATAGTCTTCGCCTCTTTCCTGCTCTCACTGTCTCTTCAGACTCAGGTGTGGTTGCTACAGATGCGTGCTTCTCATCTCGTTTGCGCCTTCTCTGCCGGTCCACAGCTGCTACGCCAGAACGCCTTGCGACGGAGGAAGTCGTATGCGTTGAGGCTGATGCAAGTGAGAGTGCCTCTGACTCGATCTCAGCCACCTGATAGCCAGATCGAAGACCAGTGCCAGCAAGCTCATTGTCTTTCGCTGAGACAGCATTTGTAGCGTCTCCGTGCTCGGAGGGGAGAGCTCCCACTTCTGTAATCGCTTCTTCGAAGCCGTACTTGACCCACATCAGAACCTTGCCGAACTCATAAGATTTCCCAACGCTGACAATGGCTTTCATTTTCGTGATGTCGGGTTCTGGCTCGGTCATTAACCGGAAGGTTCCTCTATTCGTCGTAGCCGTTCCCAAGATTGGGTCGGTATCCAGAAGGTCGCATGCGATGCCATAACGATACGAGACATGCTCGAGTATCTTATAAGCCACTGACAAATCTGACTTGTCCCGGAACCAGAACGGCAAGTTACATGCAGGCGCCCTGCTTGTGTGCAGGTTGAGCACTGAGACCATGACCTGTGTTGACGCTACGGGAGGGGCGTCTGTATGTTCTGCATCATCCGAGATGCCTGAGAACGGGTCAAAGATGAAGATACAATGACCCATGACGAGATCTTCGAAGAATTCGAACGGGTGATGGTGCCTTCCGACTCCAGCCAAAAGGCAGGAGCCGCAGGTCGATAGAAATGCTGCTGCTTCTTCCCAGGGCCACAGCGAGGTCTCTGTCCGAGTTGACACTGACGGACATTTGCTGAGCTGACGCGAGGTCCTCATGAAGCTTTGCGTAGGCTCCAACCTTCCGACCTTTAGCTGCCGATATATGACCCAGGCAAGTTGTGCGGCATCGGGAACCGGAGTAGTATGAAAACGCGTCAACGACGGTTCATAGCTAGAAATTCGGCCTGGATTGTCCTGAGGGAAGGGAGGAGTGGCATTCTGATCCCTCACAGGCGAGCGCCGCGCAGTGACGGACAACAACGTACTCCGGCAGACAGCAGCGAGAAAGCTTTTTTTCAAAGGGGCGTGACGCAAAGCTGCAAATTGCTCCATGACCCACTCTTGAGAGACTCTTGGCCGCTGTTCGCTGCGCATTAGTCGAGAGCGAGTGCTGTACGAGGCTCGTGTGCGTAGAGCCTCCAACGCATTCACAGCGATGGAAACGTATGTAAGTTCTTGAGTCAGGTTCCATGCTTCGTCTGTAGCCACATTGCGCGTTCGCTCGTGGGAGCGCTCTTGCTCACCTGTTATGTATGATCTGACGATGAAAATTGCCAGAAAAGAATCTTCAGGGTTTGCGTAAGCTTGCATATCGGCGTCTTTTCCAGTCCAAAGCTTTTCTAGCGCATCAAGACAACTTGCGGTAACGGACCAAGTCGAGGAGCTCAGCATCACGCGCCACAATTTGCGAGCCAGTTTCTCGCCCTCTTTCGCAGTTGAGACCGAGAGCAGAAAACTATCCAGATTCTCGAGAGTAACATGAAGGGCGAATTAGGTGAATCGGATGTATCGAGCATCGCGGATTGCGAGAGTGTTCGTGTCAAAGGCCTTGTATAGGTCGGGCACGTCAAAAGGCTGAGGTCTCTGGTCAACAGGCTCTGCGTCGAAGTCTTGCATTTGTCCGATATCGACGAGGTTTCCAAGCGTGCTGAAAACATCAGTCTCAGCGGCCAGACTTGCTGTCGCGTGCGCAGCTAGGGAGAGTAAGCAATTCGTGATCTCTTTGCGATATACATCACGAGCCCAATCGAAGATGTAGTCCAGAGTTAGCAGGAGGCGAAGTGCATGTTGCTCGTAGGTTATATTGCCTTCCCAGAGGTCCAATATACGCTGTAATATATCAACAACAAGTTCTGCGGGCTTAGACATGAGAGGCCGCTCACGTAATTTGGTCTCGTGACGTCCTTCGTTTCTTGCACGTATGCGCCAGCCAGACGCCATACCTCTCCCTTGTTGGACAAAAACCATACCAGAGGTTTCATGACCGGCTGTTGCTGCTCGAATACAGCGCTTGCCAGGTCGCGCTGGAGCTTGAGCAGAGCTCGAATGGAAAAGCTGGTCTGAAGCCGAATCTTTGAGAATGTATCGTCGCTCTTTTCGGATTTGGCCTCCAGGACCAGAAACGGGAACAAGAGCGGTTGGCAGTTGGCTGTCAACGGACTCGTTCTGATGAAGCTCCTGATAGGTTCTCCAGTCGGGCCTTCTGCGTCGTCAAGAATTCTTTCAAGCCTTTTCGTGACTCTTAAGCCGAATAGACGATCGGGCTTCTTGCCAGTGCCTTTCAGATTTTTGAGAAGTTGCTCGATTTCGGCCTCGAATTCGCTCTATTCCTCGGCACGATCATCGAACAGGTGATTGATGCCTTCATCAAACCTGATCACCCGAGGAGGTCAACGGGTATTGCCATGTAGGAAACGCAGAAGTACCTACCGATCCTCGCCCACCCGGCGTGACATGCAGCGACAGACCTGTCGATTACGTTGTCGATTCGCCAGATCATCGATGTTGCCATCAATCTTCGTCAGGGCAACCTCCAACTCTGATCTCCAAAGGCGAGCGCAACATTCTGGACTAATAGTCTGTCAGGTGCTGCTGGATCGTGCCAGAAGGATGCTCACCAAACGACCTCGACACTGAACCGTGATAGTATTTCGGTCTCTAGGCTTAGACGCAACTAGCCCCGTTCTTATCTGCTTCAAGGCATCGATAAGCCTTCTCACTGAGGACTTTTGCCCTGCTTAGAGTTTTCTGCCTCCAAGGCTTCTGTGCAGACTCTATGGTGACAGTCGAACGGTAGTGCTTCGCATCGTACTCTCCTAAGGTTTGTATGGCTTGGAAGTGATCCTCGTGGCCAGGCGCTTCACGCTTATTCTGATCATGGAAGACTCTGTACCGTTTGAGAAGCTTTCGTAGCTCCGGTTTCTCAGGAGTGTCAGCCATGCGGGTGCTTGCGCTGCGATTGACGTACCACCCTGCAAGCAGTCTGAGATGATGATACTGATGGCGTCCATGAGGGAAGTCACCGGATTGCAAGCGCCGAGTGAAGCTGAGGGGCACATTCGGCCATGGATGCGGCCATGTTTCGCATGTCCGTCATTCAACCACTAATGGCTAGATTCTCCTAGGCGAACCTCGTAGATGGACAGCAAACTATCCATCTGTCACGGTGACATTCCTAGTTCGACTGTGTAGTTTGCGTGGGCTCGGGGGATTGAAGGTGCACACAAAGGCCGTTGATCTGGCCATGTTTCGCAGCTGAAACGCAGGTTATCAGCCAGCTCAAGTGCCTCGATCATCAGAACAGTGTGCACTGCACTCTGCATGCCTTCAGAGGCTTTCCAACCGCGTGCTTTGCGCGAGGTGACAATGGATTGCAAGCATCGTAGGGTGGAGTGGTGGAAACAACAGCTAGAATGGATAACAGATGTGGTGTGTAGTCATGACGAAATATAGGATGCCTGCAGACGATTCGATCCACAGACGTGCGGCACGGGTCGCACCTACCTGAACATACGTCTCACAGTCAACATGGAAAGTGCGCCTGTGGAAAGAGCGACCATCGAAGCAATTGTCGCCAAGTTCATGGTTCGTGCAAAGTCAAAGTTTCTTTTGGTGTCCTACCTAGGTAAGACAGGGATCCAAGGCTCATCGAGTCATCCTAGAACGATATGTACCTCTACCTGAGCATATGGTATCTCGTCTGAAGAGCGAATGACTGACTGTACAACATGACCTGATGATCTGCCCAACTCCGTCGCTGATGCATCGCTAGATAGCAGACTAGACAGACCACAACAACTTGCAACAAAGTCCATAGCGAAAGTAACATTCCAGAACCTCCCTTCAGGAATGCTACCTCACCGTTTATTTGCACCACGCTTCCGCTCATATGAAACCCAGTCCCTCCAGCAGCGCCTTCGCCTCGTTCTGCGGCAACCCTGCGACACCCAACGACTTGACCAGCGCGCTCCTCCTCAGCCTTTGCAGCCCGATCGCTACCTTCCACCCCTCGCTGTGCGGAACGATGAAGACGTACTTCTTGCCTTCTTGGTCACGGATAGTGGCACGGACGATCTGGACGCCGGCGATCTCGCAGCTCTGTGGACACACAATGTTAGCTTGAGTTGCTGTGGAAGCGGCGGGAAAGAGCATACCTCGACCAGCTTCATCGTCCACACTTTCACGTCCCACTCCCGCTGCGGCTCATTTCGACGGTCGTCGTCGATGAAGAGGCCCTCGCTAGTCATGCGCAGGATCAGGCCGTCGCTGACTGGCTTCCTACCAGACACGAGCTGTGCTATCGGTGTGCGCATGAAAGCGTTATTGAAGGAGAAGACGCCCTTGATCGTGATCTTGTCCGGGTCCTTCGTTGAGTACGGGCCTGTGAACTCAGGAGGTGGTGTCGTGCGTGCGGTCGACTGCGACGGGGCATATGACGACTCAGAGTACACTGAAGCGCCTGAGTTGGCTTTGTGTTTGGGTCGGTCGTACGGTCGGAAGGAGTATGCATCGTCTTCGTCTTCGGTGCGGGCAGTGGGTTGTCGCTTGGTGGGCGATGGTTTCTCTGCTTTTGTCTTTTCTTCTCGCTCCTTGCGCTCTCGTTCGAGTCGTTCTTTCAGGTCTTTCTCTCGCTGTTTCTGTCGTTCCTTTTCGAGCTCTGCTCTTCGTTTCTCCAGTTCTTCAACTTTCCGTTTGGCTTCCTCGGCTTTCTTCTTCTCCTCTTCGCGCTTTCGTGTCTCCTCTCGTGCCTTCTCCCATGCCGATTTCTGGCCTGAGTTGGGTGTTGACTGCGGTCTCTGCCATGATGACTTGGGTGGAGGTGGACTTGTGTTGGGTTGTGGTGGTACGCCATTGGTGTTGAAGTTCTGTTTTGAGCCAGCACTGCTTGAGCCTGGGCCGCCTTTGTCGTGTTCAGACTCGGCTTGTGTCTTCCCCACTGCCCATGCCACTATTCCAACCAGCAGTATGAGCACAACGACGCCTGATCCACCGCCATTCATGGTGTCAAATAGCCAGTTCTTGACCGCTGGCACCATGATGTTCCACACTGCGAATGCAAACGTTGTGCAAGCACATCCCGCCAGGAAGCTATTCCGCTGGGTTTGTAATGATGGAAGATAGAGGAAGCCAGAACCTGACGATGTTGGAGGGATGACGAAGATATCGTATTTGCCATCTGGCAGGCCACCACTCTTGCCGCCGCTCGCACCGGCACCGTGAGGTGGCGGCGGAGGCGGTGCCTCCATGAACACGAGCTCTCACTCGCGGTAGTGTGTTTTATCGTATCCAAGGTCGTTTCTGTGATGTCCTTATTGGTCTCCTACTCTTCATTCTTGCTGTATATTGGACTCGAATCGGCTTGCCTCGAAAACGTGGAGAAGGAATGTTCGGGGAATTTTCGAGTCTCAGAGTCGAGTGCCGATGTCATAAATTCGATATTGTGGGTGGCTGGGCGCTACGATTCTCGTTTGCTCGAGAATTTTGCACGCTTGAAGTGATTTGTTGGTAGTGAGGAGCAGGTAGAGGTGTGTAGAAGAGCAAGCTCTGTCTCGATGATGCAGGTGCACAGGCACCGGCGGCCTGGGTGGTGCAACTTTTGCTTTGATGTTTGGGTTGGCGCTAAAGGCACACTGCCCTCGGGGATCTCACGCCGTCCACGGAGTGACCAGGATCACCACTGGAACCACCATTCTGAGCTCTCAACACGGTGTTCGATGACTTTCCATTGTCACAAAGCAATCATGGAAGCGAGAGTGAGCAGCAGAAGAAGCATCGCCCAAGGCTTTACATCACGGGATCAATTATAGCACGGATGCTACAAAGCAATTGTGATATACTAAACGGCTCTGCTGCCGCACGAACGTTACGCCCAGATCCGCTTCCGAAAAAGCTGCAGAAAGCCCATGGTCTTCTCACCAGTCAGATCGTCAGAACGCGAGAAATGCAGAGCCATGTCACACTAAATAGCGGTCAGCCTCCTTTCTCGCGACTAGGGTCTCGTTGCCGGAGCATTTGCTTCACCGCTGGCCTGCACGCGTGAAAAGACAACACTCATCGTGCAAACCTAGCGACACAGCTGGAGAATTTTGCGATGAAGAGAGCCACGTTGCAGAGCATCATAGGCAGCATTGAACAGCACCGTGGAGTTTGCTGTGGTTCGAAGTCGCGTGGGTTTGTTTGTTGTCGGGCCGGCACTAGCCGCGTTGTTGTCAAGACGACAGCTGCAGCCACAACCAATCAAGCAGTCTACCGGTCTGCCGTTCATGCTCCACTGCCGCCGCTGCACGATGATGTCAATGCCATTTGTGTCCCACTTGCACGGAGAGCCCGCGACGACCTTTGTTGTCCGGCACATTTCAAGTCTCTGGATGATCATCGGTCTTAGGACTGCTTCTTCGCATGCTATGGTCTGGAGGCGAGGGGAAAGCGCAGCGGGCGAGGTCCTTGATGCCAATGTGCGAGTAGGCCCCAGTGGATGACAAAGTCCCATGAGTCAACTGATGCTGCACCATGCACACTTAAGTCAGAAACGACGACGCGTCGTTTGGCTATGAAGGTAGAATCGTAGTAACTACCATCCGCAATGTCGTCGCCGCCTTTCAGAGTCCCCCTTTCTATCGACAAAGACTACGAAGGCATCTTGACCGATATCCTCAGGAAGCGACAGACCCGTCCGCGTTCCGATATCTTGGACACCAAGGAACGGGCATTAGACATCTACCAATGCTTCGCAGACTTGCCTGCACCTCCTCAAGTGACCTATGATGATATCGTACGGTCGCTACATGAAGTCAAGTCTTTCGATGGACAGTCGATATCCGTTCATCGCTTCGAGCTTGCTGCGACCGGCAGAGAACAATCGACAGAAACTCACAGGGCTCCTGCTGTGCTGCAGATTCATGGCGGCGGCATGTTCATGGGCTCGGTAGAACAGTACGTTCCAACCGTCTCGGCCTTAGTACAACAGTCGGGTGTACAGTTCTTCTCCGTCGACTATCGTCTCGCCCCAGATTATCCACATCCAGCGCCTACGGAAGATTGCTACGCAGCATTGGAATGGCTTCTCAACTCGGCGAACAAGCTCGGTATCGACCCCCACCGCGTCGCGATACAGGGTGACAGTGCTGGTGGTGGCATTGCTGCAGTGGTCGCTCAGATGGCGCGGGACCGCAAGCTTACACCAAAACTCGCAAAGCAGATCCTCATATACCCCATGCTGGATGACAGAACATTGTCAGGAGACGTGGACCTTGGACGATCTGCCTGCTGGACTTCAACGATAACACAGTCGGGTGGACTGCACTATTAGGTAAACAAGCTGGGTCAGGGGATGTACCTGCTTACGCCTCAGCAGCAAGAGCAACGTCACTCGAAGGTCTTCCGCCTACCTACATGGACGTAGGAGGCCTGGACATCTTCTATCCAGAGGTCACGCAGTATGCTGCTCGTCTCGCGGCTGTAAATAACGTGTTGGAGTTCCACGTGTACCCATCAGTGCCTCATGCGTTTGAGGCTCTGAACCCGACCTCAAGCGTCACTCAACAAGCGGTCGCCAACAGGATTCGAGCTCTGCAGAGCATATGACATAGGAGACGGTGTATCTTCTAGATCGCAGAATCCATCTCTATCTTCCCAACATCAGTGCCCGTAGCATGCTTTATCGCATACGACACCTGATCCAATGTATCCTTCGGAATGAAGCAATCACCAGCATCACCCATGACCTCATCAAAGTGCTCCAAATACCCTTCGACCGTACTGCTATTATACCCCGGAAACGTCGCCAGCGTCGTCCTTGCGGCCCTCCCACCTCCAGCACTGAACAGCTCACCCGACACAGGACAATGCTCGCTCGCCAGCGCCCCAACAAAAGTCGCCACCTCCTCCGTCTTGAAGTACTTGTGCGTGATATCCTTGATGATCGGACTCAAATCACTCATCCTGCTCACCGCGCTCGGCAGCACCCCATTGATCTTGATCCCATGTTTCGTACTAAACCTCCCCAGATCCCTAGTTAGCGCATACACCGCTCCCTTACTACTCGCATACCCCCCATCCCCACCACCTCCAAACCCATAGATCGAATCCGAACTCGTGTTCACGATCCGCCCATACCCCTGCTTCTCCATGATCGGCCACACAGCACTAATCAGCAACACCGTGCCTAAACACGCAATCTCCCACGTCCGTCGGAAGCTCTCAACATTGACAGCATCATGCGAGCTCATCTGCCCCGAAGTCCCCGCGTTGTTCACCAGAATATCCACCCGTCCATACACCTCCACAGCCTGAGCCACGACTTCCTTTACTTCGCTCTGCTGCGAGATGTCGCTGCCATTAGCCGTGGCTTCGCCGCCGGCGGCTTTGATCTCGTTCACAACGGCCTCTGCGCGGGCAGAAGTGCCTTTGACGCCGTCGAGGGAGCCGCCGTAGTCATTGACGATCACTTTGACACCCTGGGACGCGAGGAAGAGGGCGTAGTGGCGGCCGAGGCCGCCGCCTGCGCCGGTGATGATGGCGACGCGGCCGGCCAGGCCGTTGTCGGATGTAGGTCCCATGATGCCAAATTGGGAACGCGCTTTCTATGGATGTAAAGAAGTTCTGTGGTCTGGCAGATCGAACTCGGCACGGTTGCTGGCAGTATATGCTTAGAAGATACACCTGGATGGGCAAATCTTTCACGATGTTTTGGTCGACTACCTACCTGAGTAGTGTACGAATACGATGCGTTGTGTCTACTAGTTGTGCTCACGGTGCATTGATCTGTTCGTCCATGTCTGCATAAGAAGGGAGGTGTGTTGAGTCAAGAGAGCAAGTCAGCTCGCTGCCAATTGGATCAGCATATAAATGTGGAGTTGATCCACTCTCATACCTGGGGAGGTGGCTCGTTCTCGTATCGAGGGCCATGGACACACACCTGCATGTCAGCGACCCAGTACTGCGGAACGACGTTATGCAGTCCAGCATAACTCGTCATTGAGATATGGATTCGAAAGTCTTAGACACAGAGTCTTGGGCAAGGAAATCCTCATGTATAGAAACGCGCCATGGCTGCCATGGTCAAAGCAGCCCATCTTGCTAGCAATCAACAGCGAAGCTCCTACAGCATCCCAAATACAGTGAGCGCCCTCACAGCACAAATATGGCGATCAGACCTATCCCCACTCTCAACGGAGACGCAGCTCTCAAAGACGCCGTATGGAACAAAGTCACCCTCGTCACCGGCGCCGCCTCCGGCATCGGCTTCGCTCTTACACGCATGCTCGCCTCCCACGGAGCCACAGTGATCATGGTCGATCGCGACAGCAACGCTCTGACCGCCGCCCAGAAGAACATTCCAGGCCGTGCGTTCGCATACGAATGTGACATCGCCGCTTGGGAGCAACAGCGCCATCTCTTCCAGGTCGTTCTTGACCGCTTCATGCGTCTGGATATTGTGTGTTTGAACGCAGCTATCGATCCGGAGCTGCGTTGCGACGACCCGCAGCTGGGAGCTGCAGCGGCCGATCAAGTCGCGTATAATTGGCTTGCGAATGAGAAGACGTCGGCCATGACCGAAACAACAGATCGCTCCTCCATAGGGCAAGAAGCCATTGGCCAGCCATCATGGATGCAAGCGTCCCCCTACTCCCAGTCCCCACCCAAGCAAACCCTCAAAGCGCCGCCAACACAAATCTTCGACGTCAACCTCCTGGGCACAATCTACGGCATCAAGCTCGCCCTGCACCACATGACCGCCCTTGACGCCCACGCCTTACACAGCGGCACCCTCGCACAACCGAACCCGCGACACATCATCGTCACCGGCTCTGCCGCCGCATACAACGGCTTCCCGGGCCAAGATCTGTACTGTGCGTCTAAGCACGCACTGCTAGGCCTGGTTCGTGCAACGTCCCGAAGGAAGGAGGTTCAGGAGGCTGGTGTGAGCGTGTCGATGGTGTGTCCGTGGCTGACGACGACGCCGATGACGGCAGGGATTGCGGCGGGACTGAAGGAGGGGCTGCCAGCGAGCGAGCCAGATGATGTGGTGCAGGCGTTCGTGCAGCTGTTGGTGGGTGCTGGGCAGGGGTCGAACGGGAGGCTGTTGAGCGTGCAGGGTCAGAGGGTGATGGAGGTGGAGAGGATTGATTGATTGACGATGGCTGCTGCTGCTGCCCACGGGCTCTTTCTTTATCTCTGTAAGTGCAGTATAGCTGCCGTGGGCCGGTTCAACGATCTGTCATCTGGTGGAGAAACGGAGCAATATTGCATAAGTTTGCACCATGGAGTCACGTTGTGACCAGGGACCTAGATGCTCGATTCGTTTACATGATGTTTTCGCTCTGAGTTCACTGTATTGCGTACACATTGCTTGACTTGGTGAAATGCTCTCGATGGCATGCTTACATATGTACAAACCGGGTGAAGTCGCAGAACTCGTTCAGTCCTTCATCTGCCGAAGACCCAGGGCTCTCCAGGCTCCAGCCGTCGGAGCTTAGGGCCAAATTGCTGGTATCGTCGATGCTCATGCCAGCAGATGCCCCGTATTCGACAGTCGACAGGAGGCGGAGCAAGCGTTCCTCAGATGCCTCCTGCTCGGTCGCGATGGACAGGCCATCTGCATCGGGTGTTCCACTGCTCGACGAAGACGATTGCGCTGACGATCTCATACGGTCGAAGAGGCCTAGTCTTGAGAGGGAGTGTCCGTCGGTGTCTTCTGCGCCAGAGCAATACTCACGCACACCATCGTGCGTCTGCAGGCCGTGGGAGGGAGTGGGCTCCAATGTGAGCCGATCCATGACAGTGGCCGCGGCATGGGACGGATGAGCTCCATACTCGACCGCGAGTGCTGCAAGATCCTTGAACACAGGTTGTTGAAGTAGGTGCGCCATATCGGGCTTGGCATCGACGAGCCCCCTCACAATGCAGACCGCCACCGTAATAGCACATGCCAGCTCCATGCACTCGATACAGCTGCCGAGACTCATGCAACGAGTACAGAGCGTCCCGTAGACGGGACAGGTGCGTCAGGCAAGCGCTGCGGTCCTCCGCTGAAGAGAAGTGTAGCGCAGCTGACTTGCTCGACGCCGCCCACATCTTCAGTGCAACGACGTTATGTAGAAGCCGAAGGGTCTCCCACTGAGTTTTCAGACAGCGCGCTGCCTCAGCGACAGCTCGCTTGCTGAAGCCGCTGCGGTTATATCGTGCCAGCCAGTGTTGTAAGCGCTTGGACAGATCTGCAAAATAAGACAGATCCGAACACGGAGCTTTGTCAAGTTGTAGGCATAGTTGTACCTCGAAACGAAAGAGCTCGACCATATGAATTTGGGCCATAGCATTTTGCGTGAGGGCGGACCCAGACTGTTCGTTTGTTTGACTGAAGTGGAAATCATCGAGCGAGATCATGGGTATCACGCGGTCCATTGCGATGTGGAAAGGCGTGGTGCTGTGTATGAGGCTCGACCGTCGGTCTTGAACGAAGCAAGACCACCACAGTCGTCGCGATGCACAGTCGTTGATTATGCGGGATGGGGTCGCTGAAGGCTGGTCGAGCGGGTTTGGCAGCTCAAACATCTTCGTCATTTGCTCAAGAAGAGGCGAGGTAGAGCATGCCGGGCTATTGTCGTAGTTCAAACCAACATAGTCCACCAGAAGCTGGCTGGAGATTCTGCTTATAGGCTTTGATCGATCCCAATCGAGTTCGATTAGAAACTAAGGCTGTGAGAGGAGCACTCAGCAAAGTGGGGAGGGACGTACCTGGGCCTTTCGAAGATTCTCTTTGGAGGCCTCTACTGGTGAAGAGAATCCTGCTTCCTGGCTGATTTCCACCGCCATATGAGGCCACGAGGCTGCTGCGATCGCGAAGAGCAGGACAGGGCTAAGTGATCCGTTGTCGACTTGTTGTAACAGATTTGTTCCAAACGCTGGTAGGTGCATGAAGGGTAAATGCGGGTGCACATAGTCGATGTAATTTGTTGCAATCAACGACCATATGTGCTTTTGTGGAACACTGAAGAAATTCGGTGTCTCAGCAAGCAGCTTGGCCATGACCTCGTCTGGGAGTTGATCAGGGCGTCGAGGCCTGAGCTGTCTCTGCGATAGCAAGTCAGCCAACTCGCTGCCGCGCGCGACCCGGCGGACTCCTCACCGTCTGTTTATGCGATTCGATGGGTTGCAGTCGTCTGGGTTGCCTTCGACCAGGCGTCACGATGCATGTCTTGCCGTCGATCTTGCAGTTGGTGCATCTGCTCCCGGCGTCCTTCCTCGACACATCGCATCTGACCTTGCGGACACGACACGCGCCACAGGCGATTTGGGCGCGAAATGAAGTACTGACATTCTTGCGCATTTCCTGAGATCTTGCTGGCCTGGTGCTTCAACAGTCGCCGGTTGTCCATGCTGAGAAGATGGATGTGACGAGACCTTGGCCGGTGCATACCTTGAACATGGGTTCGAGTTGCTGCCCCGTTCGGAACCGCAACCAATCGGAGGAGTTGCATTGCTCCGGCGTTGAGTTTATTCCGAGCTCAATACACAGTAACAACAATCTTCATTCCAATTTATGACCGATCTGTGTCTAGATCGATCCTCCGTTGCTAAGCGAAGGCGCAGGAGCGTTGATTGATTGACGTCGGTCAATATCCGAAGCAACACTCGGCACCAGGCTAGCGTCCTTAGTCTCGGCAATACTTGGCGATATTGTGCGCAGCAAGGTGAGACCAGGTGGAGGGTCTCAAGATAGACAGATCCGAATGTCATTTCGAGCCGACTTCCGAGTTGTCAACGCAATGGTTTAGATCAGTCAGTCAGCTCTGTCAAGGTGAGTCCTTTGTGAAGATGACCTTACGCTGGTAATGGAGCACGCTCCCCGACGATCGTGCACTGTGTATCGTATGACTAAGTGCACCGAGTCAATGTGGAGAAAATCTGGGGAAAGTCTGCTCAACTGTGGGAGGTTCCTGAGGCGTAAGCAGCAGGCGTTTCGTCCATCAGGCATGAAGCTTACTAGCAGTGACTGTGAGTCCAGACATCATCCGAAGACAGCTGAGCATCTCAGCTTTAGCAGGAATGGATCCTTTCTATTGCTGTCGCCCAAGTAACACCGCCGATATGGCTGTGAAAATCGCAACACACTTAGATGACCCTGTGAAGCCTGCTGTTTCGATAACAGAGCTTGAGGTGAAGGAGCTCACAATGGCAGTTTCGCAAACCCCACTATCGGACGACTCGACCCTAGGCGACTCTACCATCAGCGAACGGTCCGATGTTGAGGACTCGACCACAGACAAGCTCGCGCAAGAGACCCAGTCCGCTGGAGTATACGGTCGTCATCCAATACACGACGGCTCGCAGAGACCGCTGCATGTGTTGATCGCTGGCGCCGGTCCCTCAGGCCTGTCCGTTGCCATGGAACTGAAGGGATTGCCAAACATCACCTTTCAGATTTTTGAGAAGAACGCAGACGTCGGCGGCACATGGTTCGAGAACAGATACCCGGGCGCAGCCTGCGATGTGGCGAGCCACGCCTACCAGTGGTCTTCTCATTCGAACCCAAATTGGAGTCACCATTTCGCCCCAGCCGAAGAAATAGGCGAGTACATCAAGACTGTTGCAATCAAAGAGTCGCTATACGAGTACATCACGCTGAAGAGCAGAGTTGTGGATGCTCAGTGGATGGATCAGAGGTCCAAGTGGGTGATACAGATCGAAGATCAGGTCTCGCAGGAGACCTCTTTCCAAGAATGCGACTTGTTCGTCAATGCTGGTGGGATTCTGAATAATTGGAGATGGCCCGACATCCCCGGCCTTCGATCATATAAGGGCGAGCTTCTGCACTCGGCGTCCTGGAACCCCCAGGTCGATATGCGAGGCCGTAGTGTTGGTGTCATAGGATCCGGAGCATCCTCGATTCAGATCGTTCCTTCGATCCAGAAGATTGCTGAATCACTCGAGGTCTTCGTCCGCAGCCCAACTTACATCTTACCAACGGTCGGCTTCGGCATAGAGTCGTCGATCTACAATGAATGTTATACCAAGTCGCAGAAGGAGCAGTTCGCCAGTGATGCAGCCATGTACCGGGCTTTCCGGAAACGGATCGAACAGCAAATGAACGAGAACTTCGCCGGACAGCGGAAGGACTCCGCAGAGCAGGATGCGGGACGCCGTTGGGCTGAGAATGTGATGCGCGAAGCACTTGCATCTTCACCTGAGTTGCAGGAGAAACTCATTCCTAAGTGGGAGCTCGGTTGTCGTCGGCCAACGCCTGGGAAGCCATATCTGGAGGCAGTGCAACAGAAAAATGTCCATGTTGAGCGTGTTCCAATTGAGTCCATCTGCGAAAGTGGCATATTGACGACGGACGGAAAGATGCACAAACTCGATGTGCTCGTTTGTGCGACTGGCTTCGACACATCTTTCCACGGCAGATATAGGATAGCTGGGAGAGGTGGTCGGACTCTCAAAGAGTTGTGGTCGCAAAGCGGTCCAGAGGCGTATTTTGGCTTGACGGTTGCTGGACTTCCTAATTATTTCACATTGCTTGGTCCGAACTGTCCTATCGCCAATGGCTCGTTATTCCCTTGTATTGAAGCAACTGCCAAATACATTCGCAGGGCGATCCAGAAGATGCAGCAATGCCAGATACGAACATTGGAGGTGAAATCGGGCGTGCAGCGTCAGCTTAATGACTACATGCACAGAGTGCATCAAGATCTTGTCTGGACTGGTAACTGCAAGAGCTGGTGTGAGTAGGTTGCGACGATCTTGACCGAGGCTAACGTCAGACAGACAAAGACCGAAATTCTGGTAGAGTAACAGCGGTCTGGCCCGGCTCTAGCGTCCATTTCATGGAGGCTATCGAGAACCCACGATGGGAAGACTTCGAGATGACTTACTGTCAGGCAGGCGACATGTTCTCGTATCTTGGTGATGGAAGGTCTCAGCGAGAGTCTCGCAGGGAGGATTTGACGTACTATCTTGACTAGATGCGAGTAGTCACACTAGCAAAGCCAGCCCGGGATGCATCGAGTCCACTGCAAAGCCCTGATCGGTCGCTGGTGGAGGATAAAGTTGGTCGCGAGGGACCACATAAAGACTTCTCCATTGAGGGTATCTGGCAAAGAATCCATCTCTCAGTGTCCAATTCCGTAGGTCTTTGATGGCAGTGTCGAGCACGTTGGAGGAGTCAGGTCTGACCAGGATCTGGGTTAACAAATCGTGTCCGTTATTACCAGAACCGTTGAATGAAGCATGATCGGCAGTGTTCAGACCGGCTTGAGAATATGCACAGCTCAAGTCTACTTCCATGAATTGGCCAAGAGTCACCATGATGTCTTCGACCATGGCCGGACTCGATAGAGACGCAGCAATTGCAGCATCGCGTATTCCCGGCCAGGGCATGAATGAAAGGGTCATCGCGTGAGACATGCTTTGTTGAAGCTTCGTCGGCCGGAGCCAAGCTGGCATGTCATTGTAAGACTCCTGGTCCTTGTTGATGTACCAGCGCGTGAAGAGCGTAATGATCCAGTATGATGCTAAGGTCTCAGGTATTCTCTCGTTGCGGCTAAAAGGAGCAATGTAGGACTTGATCCTCGAAGACAAACCATTGGGCGAGTTGTTGAGAATAAAGTCCTTGATTGATGGTCGCGGCAGACGCGAGCCGCCGGCGTGGATGAGACCGTGGTCAGGGAGGCGCAGAAATTCGAGTAAGATTGCGTCCGTTGACGCGAGATGTCCCAACAAGGACGGCAATCGAAGGTGGTGCGGCAGATGAGGAAATTGCTCGCCTTGCTGTTGACTGGACATTCTGGTATGAGCGAAAGGTTGCGAGAACTGAGAGGCGTCCTGTAGCGCTTCTGTCCCCGGGGCTAAATTGCCGGTGCCGTACGCGTATGGCCCCTGAGACCTGGCGGGTGATTGGAACCACGGAAGTAGCTCGGGCCAGCCAGCACTGAAGTCCAGCATCGAAAGAGGCGTTGGTACTCGAATAGATCTTGAGACACGTGTGTCGTGAGTGTCAGTGTTCGGCCAACGTGCAAAAGCATGCTGAGATGGTTGCTCCTGGTTGGTCATCACGGTCGAGCTGTGAGCTTGCATATGTAAAGGCACGCTCAACGTGCCGAATGCAGCAGACGAGTCGTACTCGGTGGCATTCGAGACCAGAGTCGGGTACATGCAAGCAGTAGCTTCATTGAGCTCGTCCTGCTCGATATCTTCGCTACTGCATTGTGGTGGTGTGAGCTCTGAATTCCCGGCCCGCAGCGTCCCATCCACGCCACAGTTCATAGCGACATTAGCATGCTGCTGGAGGCTGCTGTGCCCAACATCGCCGCTGTTATCAAAATTGCTAGTGTCGACGACGGCGCCAGCTGGCGGACTGGAGGGCTCTTGTGCTTGCACAAGAGCTTGGACGCCATCGAAAAAGCCTCGGAGTCGTTTCACTTCATTCCGCAAAGCCTCATTTTCCTGCATCAGTGCCGTGAAGTCACTGGATGAAGAGTGCTTGATCATGGACTCGATCTTCGCTTCCAGCTGTTCGACGTAGACCTTCTGACGTTTTCGGTGCTCTTGCTGGGCTACGCGATCTCTTGCGCGTTTTCGAGCAGACTTCTCTCCCTCCTTACCAGGCCGGTCTACGCTGTCGTCCTCGTCTTCGAACACATTGCCAGCAACCAACGGTCGCGACGTCGAGGTCGTGGCATCGTCCACGAGTTGTGATGAAGGTTGATCTAGCCGAAGAAGCAGAGAGAGCCCTGGAGGGGATTGGTAATTTAGGCAGGGGTCGATAGCTCCTTCTCCCCGCACACGGGATCTTCGCGGGGCATAGGGGCGTCCGCATGGGTCCAGACTTCCAGACTCGGACTATAGGGGCATTCGGCGCCTGGACTGGGCTCCTCAGCTATCTGACGTGCACCTGTGATTTGATATTTGGGGCTCTGGGATAGGAACAAACAGCCCTGGAGTTCTTCCCATTTGCATCTTATCAAACACGCTGCGACTCCGGCCAAAATGTCCACGCATCCATGCTGCACTCTCTCTCTACATTACAATAATTCCATTCAAACGTTCATCTAGTGGTGAAACAACGGTTTCGCTAGGAACTCGGGATCAAGATACCAACTCAGATCCTCACCCGTGACCTCCTCCTTCGTGAAACCATTCCCCATGAACTGGAAACGATTCCTTCCACGATACTTGATGTCGAAGTCTTCGTATCGTGGCTCCTCCAGGATCTTCTTCCAATGTACCAGAGATCCGGGATACTGAGCGGTGACCTTCCCTCCTGCTTGACCTTGGTTGTACCACGATCTGCAGCCAGCAGTCCAGACACTGCGTTGCTTAGCAGACGGACGATGATGAGAGGCGGAGAAGGGGATGCTCGACTTACGTTCGCTTCAACCACTCATGTATGTGCTCGTTGTACTCTTGTACCGCATCGTGCTTCACATCAAGAGACTTGATATTCTCTGTCTGCAGCTTGCGGATTAACTTGCAGATGTAATTCTGCGCAGCCTCCAGTACAGTTACAAAGGACCCATGACCAGCAGGACAATTTGGGCCCAATGAGCCAACTAGAAGATTGTTACTCTACAGTTTGCGAAGTTCGGCCAAGGGACTCACCCATGAAGTTCGGAAATCCGGGAGCACCCATCGCAAGGTATGCTGCAGGATCCTTATCCCACTGCTTCGCAAGGGATTGACCACCACGACCATTAATCGGGAAGTATGGCTTGAAGCTGACGTCGAAGCCCGTTGCGCAGATGATGACATCCACTGGTACTCTTGTCCGTCTTCGGTGAGTATACCGTTCTTCGTGAATGCTTTGATGGCTGACTCGGGCAGTGTGACGTTAGGCTCTTGCATCGCCTCGAGGAAGCCTTCTGCAGGCCCGAGTCGACGGCACCCCATTGGGAAGTCTGGTACAAGACGCTTCACAAGGCGCGGGTCATCCTTCAACAGCTTTCGCATACGCTCACTGGTCATCTCCCGCCCTTTCTGCTGCCATAGATGGTCTTTGAGATTGTGGCGAAAGCTAGAGTTGATCTGCTGCTCCATAGCCTTGCGGAACTTGAGGTAGTACTCAGGATCGTCGCGGAACTGTGCCTTTTGTTCATCGGAAAACGTGAAGTTCTTGCCCTCTGGATCAGTGTACCCTGCCACGCCGAGTCCGGAAGAGATCCATTGTGGTGTTCTGTAGAACGAAACCAGTTCCTTCACCCGCGGCTGTATCGCTGGGATGATCTGTATTGATGACGCACCAGAACCGATCACAGCTACTCGCTTGTTGTCTAGATCGATGCTCGTATCGTATGCGGCTGAATGCGTTATGGCGCCAGTGAAGAGTTCTCGGTCTGGGATGTTGGGCCATCTCCAAGTATTGAGCACACCTATGTTCGCGATGAGAAATTCGACTCTGTCCTGCTTCCGGACCACGGATCCATCCGACAATGTGTGCTTGATATTGAGCAGCCACTGTCCTTCATTTTCCAGCCACGTGGCCGAGGTGATCTCGTGTCTGAGCCGGATGTACTTTTCGAGGTATCCGTGGCTCTCTGCGAAGCCGTGATAGTACTTCTTGATGTCCTCGGCGGACGAGTAGTAACGTGGCCACTCAGCACTAGGAGCAAACGAAAATTGATAAGCTGGCGAAGGGACATCACACCGGCATCCCGGATACTTGTTGGCATGCCAGACTCCTCCGCAAGAGTCGTAACGATCGTATACGACAAGGTCAATGTCGTCGCCGAACTCCTTTTCCTTCTTGTAGCAGAGCATGATTCCAGCCGCTCCTGCCCCTATGGACGCCACGCGGATTTTGCGAGGCGCCCACAAGATGTGCTCGGCGACCTTATACGCTGTCGTCTCTTCCAAAGACTCTGGCACGTATCCATTTCGGTGGTCGTATGTATAGCCATAGTCGTCCGGTAACTGCGGGAGCGGGAGCACAGGCGCTTCCTCATACAAGGCCGACTCTTCCGGCGTGTCCTCAATGAGTATGCCGGGAGCCATAACTGTGAGCTTGAAGTGGTCCCTGACTTGGCTTGGCACGGTTGGTGTTTTGGACGACTTCTGTGCATACAAGCACTCTAGACGAGGTTGCGCTTGCACTCATTATCAACGATAGCCTCGCTGCAATGTCCCGCTGAGACTGTAGAGTCCTCGCGCATTCTCGGAAGCCGTCTTCCCCAGAACGCGTGCTATTGTGCACAAAAAGTCCGGGGTGGAGTGTTGACAAAGCCGAGCGAGTCAACTACACATCCTTGGCGCAAAAACTTGGACTAGCATTGGCTTGACACCCATGCGGCTGTCAAAAAGAAAAGTAAACTTTCCTCTAGCAACGCCTCTCCACGACTCGAGTCCCGTCGCCTGAGGGGTGCCCCATGGGGCTCCATCTTCAGCATGGACGGTCTCCTTCACATTTAAGACTCTCCCCCAGACGCACAAGGGACCATGTTCCAACGCCAGGCAAGGAATAGCTTCTACCGAACTTCAGGCCATAGTCCTTACAGAAGCCTTCATCCACACCCAGTATGCACAATCAAGTCCCAGAAAAGCCTGCAAGCGAGGAGCAGGTTGAGTCGGTCGACCATGACAACAGCTCAGAAGACCTGAGTGGTCGTGCTCGCCTGGCACAGGCATACGCCGCCAACGATGCCACCCTCAGCTTCTGGCAGACCATCAAGCTCTACCACAGATCCATCCTATGGACACTCTACGGCCAGCTTGTGGTCTTCGGCTACGGAATCGACGGTGTTATCGCTGCGTTTCTTCTCGGAATCCCTCGATTTCGACAAGATTTCGGAGAAGCGTTCGTGGTCGACGGTGTTCCGGCCTACATTATCTCGGCCAACTGGATAGCCATATTCTCCGGCGTGTCTCAACTCACTGCCATCTTGGGCGCTGTGATGACCGGCTATCTCGCAGACAGATTGGGACGGAAGATCACCAACGCGATCTTTTGCGCCATCTCGATCGCTGCTGTCGGAGCCCAGGTCGCTGCCAGAGGCTCACTGCCAATCCTGTGCGTCGGTAAGGGGCTCAATGGCTTCTCTATCGGAGCATGGCTCGTCATCGGACCTTTGTATGCTTCAGAGATAGCTCCTCTGAAGCTGAGAGGTTGGCTAACGGCCGTCACAAACACCATTCAGTTCTCAGGTGTCCTCCTCTTCACAGGCGTCATCTATGTTATGGGCCCCATGGACAGCGCCGATGCCTATCAGATCCCATTCATGCTTCAGTGGATCATTCCTTCATTTGTGCTCCTGACAATCTACTTCTGGCCAGAGTCTCCAGTCTACCTGGTCAACACCGCCAAACGCGACAAGGCTATCCAATCCCTCCAGGCACTCCATGGCAGCAACAGCCGCATCGACCAAGAGGGCATCCTTGCGCAGATCGAAGAAACCCTGGACCACGAAAAGTCCGCATCGACCGCAAATGCCACAGCGTCTTACGCCGAGTGCTTCAACCGCCACAATCGGAGCCGCACGCTCATCAGCATGTGGATCTACGCCTGCCAGTACCTCGGCGGCCTGGTCTTCGTGCTCGGCTATCAATCATACTACTACCAGTTGATCGGTTTCGGCGCGAAGAAGTCCTTCTTCCTCACTATGCTGAACAACAGCTTCCAATTTATCGCGAACATCTTGTCTTGGTTTCTGATCAGCGCTCTGGGACGACGGCCGCTGATCGTTTGGGGTGAACTGTGTGGCACAATTTGTCTGTTCATCATCGGCGGATGTTCCTTGATTGGGACGAATCCGGGGTACCTCGCTACGGTGTCATTTATGTTTGTCTGGGTAAGTCAACTCACCACCTCAAGCTAGAAAACTTGCTGACCCGTGCAAAGGCATTCACCTACCAACTCACCCTAGGCACAGTTGCTTGGACTGTGGTAGCGGAGATCCCCTCCCTCCGCCTCCGAGCAAAGACCCAGGGTCTGGCCAATCTCACGCTGTGCTTCTTCCAGTGGGCTGTTGCGTTCGTGTTTCCCTACATGTTCAACCCCGACGCGGGCAACCTGGGCGGGAAGGTGGGCTTTGTCTTCGGCGCCACGAGCTTGCTCGGCTTCCTCGGGGTGTTCTGGTTCTTGCCGGAGACAAAGAATCGGACGGCCGATCAGCTTGATAAGCTGTATGCGAGGGAAGTCCCGGCGAGGAAGTTCCACAAGACTGTGCTGAGTGATGACTGAGTGTGCTCTGTACTGAATGGCATCGACGTTCTGATTGAGCTCAACAGTATGTAATCTAGACTCAGTAAGCAACAAAGATGATCTGTCATGGCAAGCAAGATTCCTGGAGGTCTTGTAAATGATATTATATCGTCATTCGTCGTGTCGCATCGTTGTGGGTATACCCTTGAAGCAATCTATAAACGCCTTACCAAATGCCATGGTATGCGGGCGCTTGCTAAGATCAGTATGCACTCCATGGGTGCAATATGCGAAGTGAATAAATCATCGTGAGCATCATCACATCACATCGTCTCGACCCGAACCGGAAACCTCAACTTCGCCGCACATGGCACGATTCCCAAGTCCTTCTCAGCAGCCGTATTGTTGCCCTCCATCGAGATCTTCAGCTCCAAGTCGTAAGCCACCTTCAGCAGCTCTGTGTCGACAGTCGGGCAGCGGATCGTGTCCGGAAGCAAGATCTCAAAGATCGCCGTTGCGCTGTATCTGCTTGTGTGGTCTTCTCCTGCCAATGTCTGGAATGCTCGCTCCTGGTAGAAAGGCGGAAAGCTGAGATGCTGTTTCTGCGTCACCACTGATCTTGTGGTGATACGTGGCGTGAGAGAATTGTTCTTGTCGGGGTTCTGCGCCGCTATGTTGGCAGTTGAGAAGGTCTTCGTGGTGTACCATTTTGCTTCAACGGAGGCAGTGCCAAGAAAGCGGCCCATCATGTCGGTGAGCTTCGGCTCGTCGGCAGGAGGCGTCTCAAGGAGGAATGTGAGAGGTACAGCGATGAGCTGGTAGTCGGTATAGGATTTGGTGGTCGCGGCGTAGACCATGCCGAGGTCATTCGGCACATGAACTGATATCTTGGGGGTGAGGTATTTCTTGAGCTTCAGTGGCCAGCCTCGGCGGAGCATTGCTCGTTTCTGAGGCTTGACAGGAGTCGTCAACAATTCTGCTGGGGTAGCAGCGGTGACTTGCATTTGGATTGGTGCGGTGGACTTGGATACGTGGACGTTGACTTTCATTCGATGAACGACCTGTCGATGATGCCAGAATTCCGCCTCGATCCAATAAAAGACGTCGCATTGTCCTTTGATGATTTGCTGGCTGGTGAGGACGTCTGATGTAGTTACGGTGGTCTGTCCGCTGAGTGAAAGAGATGGCACGAAAGACTGCGACGATGACTTGTCGGAGGCGTCATCTTTAGGCAGAATGTCGAAGGTGACATCCACATAGCTTTCTGCCGACTCTTTGTAACATGGCTCGAATTCCAACCAGCTCTTGTCATCCGATATTTCGAAGATCTGTGCAACGTTAGCCCGCGCTCCTGTCCGATCGTCTTGATTACCCACTTCTCTCAAGGCAAACTTCGAGCCTATCTCTGTCTTTACAGCGCCGTACAGTGTGAAGGTCGCCGAATCAAAAGGCGAAGCATCAGACGCTTTCGGTAACACTCGTATTCTTGCGTGTATCTGGAGCAGTGATGGCTGGGTGTTATTGCATTGGTTGATGAGAGAAACGTGAGAGGTGCTCAGCACCTCAATGGAGGCGTCCATGGTGCGTGAGGCAGTGTTAGTCGTGAGTCGTGAATATAGGTCAGTACGCTGTCGAAAGTCAAAGGTACCTTGATGCTGAGGTTGGCTACTTGTAAGCCGTTGAAGTGAAGTCGTGCCTAGACATCAATTTCCCGGCCCAGATCATGCTTGGGTACCAGGTCAACATATGCAAAGTACGAACCAACGATTGCGGCATTCTCGGTACCAAAACGTCGATCTCGAGACGTTAACTCCTTACCGTGTTGTCGGGATCCCCTTTCCAGCACCTTGGGCATTCTTTCAAGGCACGGGCCAATAGACATTGGAATTGCGACCTTGGAATAAGGTTCGCAGCGCCTCACCTGCCAGGTTCAGGGGATCTGTTAACGACAGCTTCCTTGGATGTTTCGAATTGGTCCAAATCAGACCTGACAAACTTCATTCGAATGGTTTCGCTTACAGAAGCCACATCGTCACCGCATTAATGCGTGAGCTCGCTGCATCGAGATGTGTTGTCTCGCGCATCGACGCCGCTCAAGACGCGAGGATAGATGAGATCCTAGCCAACTTTCTGTTTGGCATTCCCGATATGGAATGGGCGCGCAGATCTTGATTTTTTGACCGCCTCATCTCTTCGGTGTCAGACCCGAAACATGGAGCCGCTGTCGATCAACGGCTTCCGGAAGCTCGTAACAGCGCCATCTGTTGGGCAGCGCCGGAGCCATGCCTGCGAGCATCATCGAATTTTGATGGAAGTGTTACCCGAAGGATGTGAAACGAAGTCAAGAAGAGCATCGCGCTTTCCAAGTTTAGGTTTTACAGTGCCGCAGCAAAAATTATCGAATATACCGACGTGCCTACTATGCTGCGATCACGCTTTCTTTGAGATGGTACACTCCTCCCACAGACATCATTTGGTTTGTCAAATTTATCCTTGACCTCGATGAGCTTTTGTATACCTAAGTAGTCACAACAAACGCCGCGCTATGCTCATATGAATATAAATGTGCACTTACTGCGACCAATCGCCATCACATAGAAAACGTGCCACCATATATGCAATACTATTCCTGTCATCCCCGAGCAAGGACGGCAAGGCATGGTTGCGTCGATACACCGCCATTCCACAGCAGACTTCGTGTCCTCCCTCCATATTATCCTACACCTTCAGCTTAAACCGCTCCCTCAACGCAGGCCCGTATCTCCAGAACACTAATGGCGAAGGCGCAACTGCCAGAGCGAGAAAGCCGAACACACTGATGCCCCAGCCATACCCAAGCTTTTCGAACAACATCGGCGCGAATAGTGGCACAATGCCTCCCATCACACTTCTAAACACACTACCACCAGCGATAGCACTTGCCGCGTACTTCTCGAAGCTGTCGATATAGTAGTTCTGCACGGTGTTGAGAATCACAACCTGACCAAACCCATACAGGAAGCTAATGGAGATCGGGATCATGAAGTGCAGCTTGTACTCAATGGTCCAGGCGAAACCGAACAGAGTGATTGGGATCAGAACAGCACCGATGTTGGCGAGTGGAAGGCGGTACTCGGGCATGGATACGCCATTGTTCTTCTTGGTGAGCGCGTTGTAGACGGTGTCGATCTTGGGTACAAGAAACCAGACCGAGGCCAAGAAGCCCAGCCCAGGACCGAGGTAGAGTAGCCCGATCTGCTCGGAGTTGAACTTGTAAGGCTTCTCCGAGAAGATGGACTGCATGTTGGTGTATATGCTGTATGTTGTCCCAAAGATGATGGCCTGATACAAGCTCATGGTGAAAACGATTGGCTGGATGAAGATTGCAACGGGCCGTTTAAGAGAAGCATAAAGCTTGGTGCCAAGAGGTCGAAGGTCTTCGCCTTCGTACCAGAATCCGGGATCTTTTGGTGGCGCACTCTCGCCATGGGTTCCATCGAGCAGCGGATCGGACTCGGTACTGCCATTGCCATTGCTGTGTCGTTGGCTGGCAAAGAACTTGTCGGTCAGGGCCTTCTTACGGCGGGCTAGGATGACCGGAGCATATGACTCGCGGAGAAAGATGATACCGACGGCGGTGTTGATACAGCAGATGATGAGCAAGACCCAGTATATCCATCGCCAATTGAGACGTGTGACGATCACTCCGCCAAACAGAGGTCCCAATGTTGGTCCAAGCAGCGGGCCAAGCAGATACCAGCCAAATATACCGGCCCGCTGCGAGGACGGATACATATCACTAATTGTACCACCACCGTTTGCTATCCCGACACCTGTGAGGTCAGTCAGAATGTCACCATGGTGGAGTGACGATGGACTTACTGCCGAACAGACCACTTATAGCCCGAACACTGATCAAAGTAGCAATATTCGGACTCAGTGCTGTCGGAATCTGGAGTAGGGTGAACGCCGAAAAGCAGACAATGTAGACTATACGCCGGCCAAATGTCTCGCTGAAGGGAGCCAGTATCAGAGGTCCCACGCCAAGCATGATCACGAAGCCTGTCGTCGTTGCAATGACTTCCTGCTCTCCACAATTGAGGTCTTTCGCGATCTGAGAAATGCCCGGCGTGAACATTGACGACGCAAGAGGCGACAAGATTGCCATTAACGCGATAATGCCGACGTTTGTGAGCTTCTGCTTGTCGGACCATTGCCGCGGATTTTCTGAATCCTCGTCGCCAAACGCTACCTGCTGACCTTCTGACGATGAGCTGTCGTGTGCATCAGCAGAATGAAAGCTGACATTGTCGGCGTGTAGCAAAGGTCTCTCCTCGTCTTCCGGCGGTGAGCTCTCGAATCTTGGTGCCATCTTCGCTGTCGTGTAGCATGCCAATTCAGTGGTCGCGTGGGACAGAAGTACGGTCAGATTGAGAATTGGCTTTGACCAAAAAGAGTCGTCGGTGAAGCTTTAGGCGGGACAGGCAACCGGATTAGTTGATGATGGTTACATGTTTGCTCGTTCAATAAGCAAGATCTGAGTAGTGGTTGATCGATCGACGATCTGACAGCTGCGAGATCTCTGGGCTCTAGTGCCGCGGACTCGCCCTCCGGCGTGTGGCTTTATAGGGGTCAGCCACAGCAGCCACTGCCCAGGTGGGTAGGCGTGGGATCCCACGTTCTGTGCAAGGGTTTGGTGCACTGTACCAAGCAAATATAAATCCAGTTGTGACTACCGAAGTACCTCAAAGTACTCAGCATTCTCGAAATTCTCAATTATACCACCGCCTTAGGTCTTCCATGACCGTAATGCAGTCGCGGCGGCTGTAGGGTCCTTACAATTTCCGATGGAGTGCCTCAATGCCTCAGAGTGTGCTGCTGCCCCTCGTGCACAACCGGCGTCTTAACATGGCGCTGCACAGCTCTGATGGTTCTCCTTCTTGATCCGGGTAGACGCATGTGAGCAAACCACGGATAATGCTAAGAGGTTGCCATGCTATGCTCGTCGCAGCGCTGAGACGCTCTGAGCAACTTGGTCTGTCTCGAGCCTGCGATTATCACTTGATCTTCACTCAAAGTGTTATACTTTCAGGCCTACTGGATGACCGATATCACACTTTCCGTCCTCGCACACCGTGTCAGGAAGGGAACTCTCGATTGCAGAAGTAGGACAGGCAAATGTCTCCGTTCGGACACATTTTCGTTGAGGCTGTAATTATAACTGATACAGGTCCACCTAGATATATGACAAACACCATTTTCGTCAAGATCATCTACCAGCGCATACAACTTCTGCTGTGAAATCCTGAGTCATTGACTACAGCTACTGTCCAGAGGACCGGCTATGGTAGAGACATTACAGAAAGTCGCCCTCTTCGGCGCATCAGGACACCTTGGCCAGCCACTGCTACCAGCACTGCTCGCAGCCAACTTCGAGGTCACCGTCGTCGTCCGAGAATCAGGAAAGCAAACGAGGTACCCACCACAGGCTAACATCATCAAAATTTCGGATGCCTACACCAAGCCCGAACTCCTTACCGCTCTCCAAAACCAAGACGCCGTCATCATCGCCTTCAACCACTCCGCGAACGCCGCCCATCACCGAACAATCATCGACGCGGCAGCAGAAGCCGGAGTCAAGCACCTCATTCCGAACCACTGGAGCAGCAACGCCGAGCTACCCATCGTCCGGTCTAGCTCTGAGCGTCAGGAGGCACTCGACAGCGACATCGACTACCTGAGCTCCACGCATTCCGCCTCGAACATGATCTGGACTGCCATAGTGACTGGGATCTTCTTCGACCTCGCTTTCCCATTTGGATTGCTGGGTTTCAACCTCAAGGGCCAAACTGCTGAGATCTGGGATTCCGGCGATGCGACTTTCTCGGCTTCCACCAACGAGGATATTGCCAAAGCACGATCGCGGTGTTGCGCCAACCAGAGAAGGTGAAGAATCAGTACGTCTACACCTCGTCCTTCTCGACCAGCCAGAACCAGCTACTGGCGCTGGCAGAAAACGTGTCAGGCACCAAATGGGAAGTCAAGCACGTGACCAGCGAAGAAAAGATCAAGGGCGCGGAGGAGGTGATCAAGAGCGGTGCGCAAGGGATGCCATGGATGATCGCGCAGGGAACGCTGGCTGCTAGCGCATTGTTTGGAGGAGATGAGTTCCAGGCGGATTTCGAGAAGCACGGGAGGTCTTCGAATAAGCCGCTAGGTCTGGAAGGCGGAAATGTTGAGGCGGCTGTACGGCGATTTGTGTCCCCATCTCGACGCGTGTGACGTCAAGGGCCACTTGTAGATCGCCTGCGATACAGCTGTCGCGAATTCCGGTCAGGGCCTCGTAGCAAAGCGCAAGGAGTAATTCATCGTGGTATAGGATCCAGATAACAGGCTCTCTATCGGACTGCCTTTGCTCATGCTTGTGACAGGACCTTGTGACCAGATCATATGGAGACATTATCGGAAATAGCGCGTTGTTATTCGTGTGCACGCTGTTTCCAGAGATCTGCATCTGGTATGTATGGCTGGTTGCGAACACTTCTCCAATGTCTCAAGAGCAGTACCAGCTGGCGGAATTGTGCAAGCAGGCGCAGGTACGGCATGGTCGGACATTTCAACGCTGTGACAACCTCGTCGTTCATGCCAGGCATAGCATCGTCGAGGTCTCGACCAAATTCCTGCAATGTGGCAATTGCTTTGACCAGGTCTGGCGGTATTTCATCGAGATGTTTTAGTTGTAGGTGAGACGCAATCAAGATACCACACAAACACAAATTCCTCTTCGGGCCGTCGCTCCTGGCTCTGACCAGGAAGCCTGTAGAGTACATCTTTGCGTACTCTTCGGGAAACCTAATATTTGCTGGTTGAAGGCAGATCAGGTCATTTTCGTCCAATGTGAAGTCGTCGCCCCGAAACGGTAGGATGCTCGTTTTGTACTCAAGAAAGAGAGAATTACCAATCACATGCCCGTAGCCCTGCATATTAGTATTTTGCGGTTCGTCTTCGAATAAGACATCGCGGACTTTTACAACTGTTGCTCTGTCGCGCACGAGGTCGGAGTCCCCGGCGTTGCGCCAGCTGACCATACGTTGCAGTAGTGATATGAACGGGGGCAACGTTTGCATGAGTACCCTGTTGTCTTGGCAGAGCTCGTCCGGGCTCATGCCAATCGTGAACAAGAAGTTCTGTAGAAATACTGTGGCGTCTTCCCAGCTAACGGAATGTGTCCAGCCTGGCTGGCTCGCACTGAGCGCGAGGAGATCGGATCTCGACATCCCGTAATCAACTCGAATTTGAAGGTCATGCATCCTGCTAACGAGGCTGCATACACCAACCAGTGCAAAGATACGGTCATATTCCAATGCACAGCCAAGGCATCCAAATGTATCAAAAAGAGCTGAAAGCAGGACTGCAGAATCTGCCTTGAGGTTGCGCAGCTCGAACTTGAGTACCGTCCACATGCGACTCTCAGAAGCAGAAACCCTCACAAATGGTGACAGCTGAACTTTGCTGCAAACGGATCGCCCGTACATGTAAACGTGATCTCGTGCGAGGAGAATCTCCGGAACGACCCCTACATATGTATCAGTAGTCTTCTTCATCCGAGGACAAGCTTGACCAGGGCCATTGCGCAAGACAGCTGCTGCTCCCCTGGCGCTGAAGACTCATGCATAGCATTGAGCTCGAGACCCGGTGCAATGCAAACGTCGATGAAAATGCGAAGCGTAGAACGACTTACATAACCGAGTCCAATACTCTAGGGCGCCAAAAGCTTCCAGAAAGGCGGAGATGTTATGGAGAGGGTAAGTCTTATCCATGGCGTATTTACGAACGCCATCGACTGCTCTTTCAATATAGCGTCGCCATAGCCCAGCCAAGAGAACACGCAAGCCGCATCGTGGAAAATCCTGCTCATGACTTGCACCTGATGATTCTTTTCGTCGATCGTTTCTTGGTCGATGCAGATAGCATCGGCCCAGATTATTGCCCAGGGAAGTCCGCAGTCCATCATATAAGCGCGAAACGCCTTGAGGAAGTCGAACAGATTGCGTCGAAGTGGAAAACTCCTCTCATTCAGAATGATTTCAGCTTTGTTGTCCTTTGATCCCCAAACGTAGGACATGGCAAAGTACTGCTCTTTCCAATCGCTTCTCCGGGCGGTGAAAAGTTCGCACCGTATGGAGGCCTCCTCATCGTCTTGAAAGAGCTGGAGAAGGCGAAAATGCTGCCCATCATTTGGCAGATATGGATATGAGAAGCGGCGAATCGCCGGCTCCATATCGTGTGTCGCTTGAGCGTCGCTGTCGTGGGTCAGGTCCATCGTCGAACAGTGCAACTGCGGTGGTAGACCATGTTCGGCTCAGTGTGAATTGGCCTCGCCATTTGACATCGTTGGAGCACTGTGTTCGATTGGATGGACACAACAGCGTCCAAGGCGCGGCTTTCTATGTCAACTCGTTGTATGCTACAGCACACCACAACAAATCCTCTCGTAGTGAAGAATACAAAGCTCAGGCGCACGAGGAAGAAAACCAGCCATGAAGCACGTAGCGGAAAGAGGTGTGGTGCTCGAATGAGACGACCACCAAAGTTCCCATCGCTTAGCATCTTGGCTTCAAAGTGCCCTGCTTGAGGGACTTTCGTCATGCGTGTCACCAAATGTCCTAGGACTCGAATTGATCACCTGCTACTGCCATATACAGTGCTGCCAGTGCCAATGCGACCCCGCCGACAGTCCACGACACACTCCAGTCGCGAAAACACAGTTGAGACAGACCTACCACGGCCAGGGTGGCCACCGTAGCTAACGCCAGTGGAATATATCGCGATGACCGGCCATCGTCCAGCCAAAGGGCTTCGAATTCAAGTTCTCCCAGTTGGAGACAATGCTCATTGTCGAGTTCGCGCAGGATGGCTCTATTGGTCTCTTCGTCAGCAACCATTACACCGACCTGACACTATGGTCAAAGGCTGCTTACTGGTGACTCTTCAGCAACTTCCAGCCCTCCAGCAGGTGATTTGCTTCAGCATGCTCGGGATGGAAGAATAGGAGTGGCAAGAGTCCGAGCGTCCTGTGTCGACGCAGTCTCCTCCGGGCTGTATACCACGCAGCCCCAGGACATTCAGAATCTCTATGCAGTTCGTAACACTCATCTTCGCAATCAGTACGGCCCGTAGAGGGATAATAGTAACAAGGAAAATCCGTCGGGTGGGCAACAGTTGTCTCATCCTGTCGCTTCCTTTGGTCCAGTTCCGCAGATGCATGCGTTCCGATGAGATGACCAGTCGATTTGGAGCTATTCTTTCGGGAATCTGAGCTACCTGCGATTGAGATCTGCGCATGTTAGCCTCACACGTCTGAACCGACGACCTGGATCGATTCTGCATACCTGCACGATTTCGATGCGACGGACATCTAGGAAGCGGAAATATCGCCTCCACTTCCCACGGCTGCTGTACCATTCTCGACGAATCGACTGCCAGACGCTGACCTCGTCGGCACCGTTAGGGACTTTGATGGCCGCTATTCGGCAGTTGCTGGCCGGTCCCCAGCAGATGAAGAGATGAGCATTGTCGGTATGATCACTGTTCAAGATAAGATCGAGTTGAACCTCTATCGCTTTCCCGCACTTTTTATGCCGCCGGTGTGCAGGGCTTTGTTTTGCTGCATCATCCGCATTCGGCACCTTTTTAGCCGAACGTCGTGCTGGTGCCTTTGGATTTGTCCTTTTCCGAGCCCCTCTCGCGCTCGTTTGCTGGCTTAGCTCGGAGCTGCGTGCTTCTACATCTTGGTCGAATTGCAATGGACCAGACGCAAGTGTAAGTCGAGGAATGGACGCCGCAAGAACTCTCAGTGTACTGACAATGTCTGCAACATCAAGTTGTTGGGTCCAGAAAGAACGGTCTCGACCAGCGCCTTGCAATGGCCTTGGTAAGGGCAGCGCGGCCATTTGCGGATCCCATGTGCTGTTCAGGGTAGAGGGGCGCAGAGCAGCATTTGCTGGCTTCTGGACCTGACAGCCTTCAGTCGTGGCAGTTGAATTCATATTGTTACGGCCTTTGTGTACGAGCACGCCGCCCGGCGGCGGTTCCTATAAGTAGAACTCAGTGTGGTTCGTCAGTAGATACGAAGCTGTGACCGGTTAGGTTCTGTAAGCGCCCTGTAGTAGGCGCAGCCACGGGAGGTCGTCTGGTCCTGCATAATGCTCTGCCTGTGATTCGCTATAGTAGTGGACTGCGATTCAAGTTGCATGAAGCAGCAATTCCTTTCGAATGTGGACCATTTGTTGATCGCATAGCGGGCACCTACTCAAACGGTCGTGGTCTCTAAGGCATGTGCGATTGCCAACCGACCCAATCTGGGATTTGCTTCGCCACATGCTATACCTCGGCGGAAATCGATGATCATTCAGCGCCGCGAACAGGACTGCAAGAGTTTGAGCCATACATCAACAGCTTGCCTGTGGCCTGGCGCGAGTCGATGCCAGTGACACCCTAGACAAACTTGAGTACCACTGACCAGCTTGTGTCGCCAAGGAGGCAACGCATGCGGCCTGGTCACCGTCTAGCCTGCCGATGAGAATGAAGTACCCATCGCTAGTTTCTATAAGCCCTTGATCGTCGAGTTGCGTTGTTGTTATTGGATGAGAACCGTCGCGCGCTCGGCTCGGCGCATCATCTGGTGCTCGGAGACGTCGCCAAGACCGAAGATTTGCCATGATCAAGAAAGTCGACACATGCCTCAACAACACTACTCATTGTAGAGACATTTGCGCCATCGCAATCTGACACGTACAGACGCAGACGACTCTCCGAAGGCCTCGACTGCAGCTTCCTCGAGATCCCGCTCGCTGATCGCAGGTTGCGGCCGCCCAGCCCGAGCACCAGCACCATGCCCCCCAAAGCTCCGGTGCTGGTCGCCATACCACTCCCCCCAGCATTCCTCCTTCCACGATCCATCCTCCAGCCGTCAACGCCCACAATACAAAAACGCACCTTCGGCATCAGATCAATAGACCGCCCCCGCCACGACCGCTACCACCCCAAATCCCTCGCCGCGAGTCAAGAAGCAGCACATAAACGAAAAGAGCTCGCCGATGCGCTCCCCTACCGCACCGGCGCACTCGCCATCAAGAAGGGCATGACCTCGCTGTACGACGAAGAAGGCAAGCTCATCCCCGCCACCATCCTGCAATTCGACCGCAACCAAGTCGTCCTACACAAGACACGGAAAGTGCACGGGTATTTCGCCGTCTGCGTTGGCGCGGGCGTCAAGGCGGCAAAGAACGTGCCCAAGGCCGAGCTGGGCCAGTACTCGGTGCAAGGCGTGAGTCCAAAGAGGTATCTACAGGAGTTTCGGGTGCGGGACGAGAGGGGTCTCTTGCCGGTGGGCTCGTCGATACATGCAGATTGGTTCCAGCCGGGCCAGTTCATTGATGCGCGGTCGCACTGTAAGGGGAAGGGGTGGCAGGGCGTGATGAAGAGATGGGGATTTCACGGTCAGGATCGGAGTCACGGTGTGTCGCTGACGCATAGGAGTATGGGCTCTGCTGGAGGAGGGCAGGGAAGCGGTAGTCGAGTGCATCCAGGGAAGAAGATGGCGGGGAATATGGGTGGGCAGAGGGTCACGATGCAGAATGTCAAGGTGCTGCAGAGTGATGCTGCGAAAGGCATATTGCTGGTCAAAGGTGAGCAGAAGCTGCACCCTCAGCAGCCATATCTCGAAAATTCTCTGTGCTAACGCTAATCTCCCATCACAGGCGCCGTATCCGGACCCAAAGGCTGCGTTGTCATGGTTCAGGATGCACTAAAGAAGCCCTGGATAATGCCTCCTCCTTTGATCGACTTTGACCCGAAGGACGTCGATCCTGCCGAGGTCGTGGATCTATCGCAACAACCCGACGCAACAACGGCATCGACGGTCACTGCGTAATTAACCAGTTCTAGATGCGGCGATATGCAGATCAATCCATTGTACGAACAGCGTGTACCAAATATTTTAGACAATGGGACCTTGTTCAGAGCACAGACCACACGGTTGCCATGTCATCGTCCCATATTTGAAGAAGCACGGCCGCAACCGTCGACCCGAGCAACCTCTTCCATTTTCTGTTCCTGACATTCCTTACACTCGTTGGCCTTCACTACCGCCTCGGACCATCTTTCGCTGCAGCGTCGCTCAAGAATCAAGCTGCATCCACTACTTCAAGTTCAGTTGTTCTGCTTCCTGCTCTCGTTCCACTGCAGATCTGCGACGCCACTTACTCAGATCCTCAAGCTTTCGCACACAGACAGGCACAAAGAACCAAGATGCGCTACCAGATGCTCACGACCGCTGCGCTCGCAGCTGTCGCGTTAGCCGACGACTCATCGTCTGCTAGTGCGACTACCACCGGCATCCCCGCCACATCAACCTACGACATCAAAGTCGGCTCCGACAACCTTAAGTTCGACCCCGAGACCTTGACCGCCAGTCCAGGCGATCTACTCAACTTCCATTTCTACAATGGGAACCACTCCGTCGCGCAATCTTCCTACGACTCGCCCTGCCAAGCCCAGGACAACGGTATCTTTTCGGGCTTCTTCGCGGGTGGTAGCGGCAAGGACGAGGATAGCAAAGTCTTCTCCATGAGGCTGAACGACACGAACCCGATGTGGCTGTACTGCGCCGCAGGCGAACACTGCAAAGCGGGAATGGGGATGGTTATTAACGCACCGTACGTTTCACCTTTACCTTCATGCAGCATTTTTACTAACTTATTGTGTAGATCCGGATCCGACCAAACTCTCTCCTCCTACAAAGACAAAGCCAAGTCCGCCGACGTCAAGGTCCCCAGCAGCGTGTATGGCGGTGTAGTCCACGACAAACCGCAAGGCACCACTACGGCGAGTGCGTCGAGTGCGAGCGCGACGAAGAAGAGTGGTGCTGCTGTTGTGGCTGCGCGGGGAAGTATGCTGGGATTGGTTGGTGGGTTGGTTGGGGTTGTCATGTTGTTGTGAGCGTGGCGCAGTGTTCTTCTGGGTAGTCGTTGTGCTGGTTGACAGGATCTGGTGCAGGTGCGATTCGGGCGTTGGGAATTCAGCATCGGGCATTCAAGGGACTTATCCACTTCGGACTGGAGAAAGAGCAGGGCCGGCTACCCGTTGTGTCGAGCGCTTTCAAGGTCGCAAGTGCTGGAGATCAAGCCGGGTCAGCATAGGTAGATAATCTTCATTTCTTTCTCTGACACTTCTATTCCAGTGAAGACATTCGTACAATCCACCATCCGTGCCTGCCCCAGCTAACCCTTACGATCCCCACATCCACAACCGTCTCTGTCCTCCATACCAAGCAATAGCAAAAAGTAAGAATGACTACCCAAGCAGCACCCAGAGTCAAACTGGGATCTTCGCACGAAGCCGGGCCATAGACCCGTGACCTAGCCATGGCTAGTACTGACCTCGTTTGATGTGTTTTCCATCAACACCATGCCGCTCAAATGAGTGCCTCGGCACGTTGGATGATGATTGATGAGCAAGTTTTGAGCGGTGTTGGTATGTAGACTTCGGGTCCCGACTGAGTAGAACATTGCCAAGCGGGAGCAGTGAAGCGCGAAGAAGTTGCGATGAGGAAACAGTGAACTTAGACGCCGAAGCTTACGCGCTCGTGATACATAGAGCGGCAATTGGAGTCTGGACCGGTACATCAGAGGCTTACCTATCCATGCACTCCATCCCCTCTCCCTGGCCGCAGAACTCCTACCTCAAGCACCCTTGAAACCCCCCCTCTCCCCAAGCGCCCGCAACCCACCCAACCCCCTCTCCGCATCCCTCATCGCACCCCTCACAACGACCACAACGACACACATCACCCCCGGCAGCAAACACAACAACCAAAACCCTCCATCTCCAACCTCTTTCGAGTCTCTACCCATCAACATGAAACCCCCGACCGCCATGATCGCACTCAATACTCCATCCAGTACCAATGCGTATCGCCTGACCGGACTGCCTTCGTCGACGCTGATGAGCTCGAAGGGTAGGTCCAGACCAAGCAAGGCGCCGCGGCCGGCGGCGGAGGCGTTGCGACGCGAGGCACGGGCATGTGCTAGGCTTGAGAGTGTAGGCTCGCTGTTGCTGCCAAGGTTCGCAGATGTGTCCAACGGGATGAATCCCATTGTCAGGCTGCTGAGTAGGAGACTACTTATACCCAATAAGCACGGAAGGAAGGACCTTCCTGAAAGCAACGTCCACAAGAACGGCAGCACGCCCACCAAAGGCAGCACTGTGAATATCCGTGTGTACAGTAGGTTGGCGGAATCATTCGAGGAGCTGATTTTTTCGATCAACTCGTCCTGTTCCTGCTCATCCATGTCCGAGGGTATGTCAGAATCATCGCCGTCGATGGCGGCTTTGAACGTCTTGCGGAGTCGTGACGTCGTGCCGGCGATTGCTGAGGTGGCCATCCTTGGGAAGGGTATGGTCGGGGGGGTTGGCGCTGGACTGTAGTCTGGTGCGGAAAATAGGGAGTAAAAGGTGATCGGGGTGGCTTACAATAGCGGTGTAGCCCTCTCGAAGATGCGCCCTGCGGAATCAAAGTTGTTATGATAAGGTTTGTCCGTTCTGCTACGTACTTGCTAGTCAGGCGATGTTTCGATCATTGTAATTTCATGTGACGGAAGGAGGCAACAAATCAGGCAGCCAGATTAGGCGTCGAGTTACTGGCTTGACTGGCCCAGGCTACTTCGTGCCATGGTAACACGTCTTACGCATCGACTCTAGAGAGTAAGGCTTTTGCGGACTACGCGGGAGGTCATCAAAATAGTATGAGCAAGCAAGATTGGCTTTTGGATGATGGCAATGTCTAGAGCCATGCTAGCAAAAGCTCAATTGAGGCTAGCCAGGTGCCGACGAACTTGTTCTTCAGCTGTCCGTTGGACTTGCTCAACCCTTAGCAGCACCCGCCTTGATGAGCAGGATATCGCCATCCTCAACAACGTAGTCCTTGCCCTTCGTTAAGATCTTGCCAGCAGCCTTGACGCCAGCTTCGTCACCAGTCTCCTTGAGCACGTCAAAATTATACACGATTGCTTGGATGAACGTCTTCTCGAAATCAGTGTGAATCACTCCGGCAGCCCCGGGCGCTTTTGTCCCCTTCCGTATCGTCCACTGCCGCACCTCGTCTGTGCCGGTGGTGAAGAAGCTAGCTAGGTTGAGAGATGTTCGCATCGTGGTGATGATTTTGGGGAGGGCGGATTTTGTGCCGAGCTTTTTGCACTCTTCCTCCACTTCGGCGTCGCCGCCTAGTTGGGTGAGTCGCTCTTCGAAGGATATTGAAATAGGCAAGATCGGGTCGCCGGCGGCGTGTTCCTTCAGCCAGCCCATAACTTTGGGGAGGTATTTGTTCTTCTGGCGGATGTAGTCCTTTTCTGAGAGGTTGATGAGGTAGACAACCGGCTTTGCTGTGAGGAGGAAGAGAGGATTGATGACCTCGACCTATGACGGATGTCAGTCGTGCACATATGATGATAGATTTCAGCACTGTGGTGACTTGTAATGGGGTTCAGGTAGGACTTCCTCTCATAACGGCCTCCAACGTGAGATGTATAACGAGGCCGCTTTCGACGAGCTGGGATTATAGAGCTAAGGCTCTTGTTCATCATGGAAAGGGGAACAGCAACGAAGGAGTTGGTGTAGCTTACCTCTTTCGGCGTCCAGTCGCCTTTCCGCACTTCTTTGCCGTCTTTGAGCCATGCCAGAATCTTGTCGACTGTGGCCTCTTCTTGTTGCAGCTTCTTCATCTCCAGACTCTGGCCACCTCGCCGTGTCTGCTTAGCCAGATTCTCCTTGGCCTTCTCGGTGAACTCGATATCTTTGGCGATGAGCTCTCCCACGATAATGTCCAAGTCGCGCACTGGATCAACGTCGCCCTCGACGTGTGTGATTTCGGCATCGTCAAAGCATCGGACGACCTCGAAGATGGCATCGACTGCTCTGATATGTGATAGAAAGGCATTGCCTAGACCGGCTCCCGTCGACGCGCCTCTTGTCAGACCAGCAATGTCGTAGATGGTCAAATGCGCTGGCACTTCCGACTTTGGCTTGTAATGTTTGCACAGCCAGTCATATCGATCGTCAGGTACTAGCACTCTCGATTCCTCAGGATCGATTGTGGCGAAGGGAAAGTTGGCAGGGTTGCCGAGTGTACATTTTGTGATGGCTTGGAAGAGTGTTGATTTGCCGACGTTAGCTAGGCCGACCTGGGCGTGTCAGTGTGATTTTTGCGCAGTCTCTGGTGTCCCTACATACGATACCACTCTTCAGGTTGTTTCCTGGTCTTCCCAGCAGGATCTTCTCCTCCTTGACGGCTTTCTTGGGCGGCATCCTGGCTTTGCTCTTGGCGTAGTTACGCTTTTGCGCTATCTGTTGGGCTTGCGCCCGGTTGAAGCTACAAGCAGCTCGCCCGAAGTTTGCAGAGCCTGCTGCAGGAAAAAGAAAATGTGTTGTGGAAGAAGCGAAAAATAGGATGGCTAGCGGAGAGCGCGACAGGTTGCGCGGCAGAGGACTGCGCCTCGATTTCTAGCAGACTTGACTGGGCGGACTTTGTGCCGTTGCGCTCAACAGCAGAAGGTGTAATGATGGGTTCATTGTCCTGCGCACACTGCAGCTGCTTGAATCTCGAAAGCGACTTTATGCCAAGGCGCTCTCCTTGGCAGGCAGAGCTATCAGAGACCGGATGACTAGATTCTAGATATCACGTCGAACACCTTATTTCGAACACACGGACCTGTGATGCTCGACTACTCACAACGCTCATCTATGGACCTTCACGTAGCCCGGAGATATATACGATCTATGCAAGCGTGTATTCTGCGTCATCCGCGTTCAAGGTACTGCACTGGGATCTGACGAGATGGAAGGAGGTTGAGATGCGCAGAGGCAACGGTCCCGATTCCAAGGGCCGAAATGTTTCCATCCTCCACATGTCGACGCGTCCTAACTACTGGAATGCTGAATCTGTCTGTACCATGAATTCTCTTTTAGCAAGTGCATGAGCACGAGCCTGAGGCAAACGAAAGTCTACCCTCGTCTCGGCTCTGGGACAGCGCTAGGAAATGCGGACTGTCAAAACTGGTTCTGCACCCGTATCGATGAAGAGTTTCGCGATGCTCGATCTCTGCTTCGGAACTTCATTGTCCAAATTCTGCGCTCGCAACGGGACTTCACCAACAAGTTCAAGCGCAAGTTCTACACTGACAAGCATCAGATCGACCACTCGTTCAATTTCCTATGGACTTTGGATCAGACCGCGCTGGCTAGTGTGTCTCATGGTTGCATCTGTGCCATCATCGATGCGATTGACGAATGCAACTCCCTACGAAGAGAACTCCTCGATCGAATCCTCCGCAGCCTCTCGGTACACAGCGCTGCGGCCGACCGGATCCCGGTGCTGAAATATCTCATCAGCTGCCAGAGCACCGCCTACTGGCTAACTCGTTCCTACCACCAGCACACTTCAGATGGTAGTTCAATAAATTGTACGATTGACTATACCCTGCTGACCTGTTGGAATGGTCTCAGTGCAAAATCGCGAAGTAAAGTCCGCCGTAAAGGTGTACAGCGATGCAGCAACGATAATTGCACACGGTTCACTCTCCGCGAAGCAGCCACAAGACCCAGCACATGCTCCTGCGATGAGAACGTGGCGACGAGCAGGGTTACGGTACAACACGTCACGCTGCTACTCATCATGGACTCGAACTGTTCCCTGGACGACCGCCGGTAACGAGTTGCCAGCGCAGTCACACTCCCAGGACCAAAGCCCAGTCAAATATCATGTTGCCTCCAACGATGGCGGGGTCGCTGGCGAATCTTCCTTGAAGCCACTCTCCAATGCTGCCTCGGTTTAGATTTGGCCAAGCACAAGCCGTAAAAGCTTGAGCGCAGTATTCACGCTAGTCCGTATGCAGCGTGTCGAAGCAACGGCACTGGATGTGTGCAAAGAAATCTTCGATATTGCAGCTAATTGTGTGCAGGTCGTGCAGCACCAGATGGATTCTGAACTCGAATCTAAGAGAACAAGTGACCCTGAGCGCCTATATTTGCGAAGAGTACGTAAAATTTACCAAAGACTTACAGCAGCAAATCTTGTGGTATGTGTCAGAGGCAAGAACTACCTGGACCACGAACCTTCAGCCGAGCAAATTACAAGCGAATGCTCTGGTATATGTGGTGAAATAAATCGCGCAGAGTGGACTAGACGGCGAGTCTCAAAGGAGCTACAACGGGGCAAGCCATGCAACGAAGTAGTGTAGTACAACAAAGCGGTAAGAGAGGACGTCTTCCGCGAGGTATACCAGTACCTAGGTAGGCTTCTCCGTCTTGCCGCAAACTCTAAACCTGGGATTCGAACCATCGATGTTCCCACCACCAAGTATACCACAGTGGCTCATAAAAGCTGAGCCCATGCCTGCTATCCTCCCTCCTGTCGAGCTGTTTCTGACTGTGGTTTCCCATATTTTCATTTCCAAGTACCGATCAAAGCGTGCCGCCAGAACGTTACCGCCAAGTCATGTTGGACGACGAAGCCAAGGGCGATGCGATTGAGGCTAGCCGTCAACCACGTATCATCTTTGACGATGACGTGGATGTGAAGCCCTCGCACAATGCTCGACCGCCGAGGGCAAGAAGAGCCTCAGACGCGACTTCAATCAGCAGCGTGCGCAGTCGAGCGCAAGCCACCTCGGGACTGCCGGTGGCTTTTAGGACACTGTCTTTCGAAGTGGCCAGACTCCAGGACTCTGACAGAAAGCTCGACGCCGCCACCAATCCAGAATACTTCGAGGACGTCAATCATCACATATTGGCGCCCTCGCGGGTCTGTGAGACATTTGGTGTCCAGCCCGACCAAGGCCTCAGCGAGGATGACGCCAAAGCTCGTGTCCAGCGCTATGGACGGAATGTCCTGCCCAAGAAAAAGAAGAGATACTGGAAGAAGCTGCTGTTCTACGTGTTCGGCAATTTCTGCTCCATTTTATGGGTCGGGGTGGTCATCTTTTTCATCTGCTGGAGGCCACTAGGAAATCCTCCCCAGCCATATAACCTCGGCCTGGCCATCCTGGTCATGATTGTTATATTCCTCCAGGCAGCCTTTTCGGCGTTTCAGGATTGGTCAACGAAGAAGACAATGGACTCTATCTTGGATCTATTGCCCTCCCAATGCGCTGTCGTCAGAGGAGGACAGACGGCCATCATTCGATCCGCCGACCTGGTTCCAGGCGATATCGTCAATCTCAGTATTGGCAATAAGGTGCCCGCAGATCTTCGGCTGCTCAGCACCTCTGGCGATGTGCGATTCGACCGGGCTGTCCTTACCGGAGAGGCCGACGAGATTGATGGCGCTGTCAATCCCACCGACGATAACTTTCTTGAGACGAGGAATATTGCGCTCATGGGAACAGTCGTCACAAATGGAAAAGCACAGGGAATAGTGGTTGGCACCGGTCCACATACTGTGATGGGGTCTGTCGCTCAGGCTACGACCGATGTCAAGGAGAAGCCAACGCTGATTCAGCGTGAAATCACTCGTTTCATCAAGATTATTCTCTGCTTGACATTCTGTCTTGCGCTTCTGATCTTGCTCGCCTGGGTGGGCTGGCTCAGGGTCGACAAGCCGAATTACATGAACCTGGTCGCCTGCTTGAACAACGTCATGGGCTGCGTGGTAGCATTTATCCCTGAAGGGATGCCAGTTGGAGTTGCGTTGACCTTGATGATGGTTGCTCGGCGGATGAAGTCAGCGTACATTCTTCCAAAAGGACTTTCCACCGTTGAATCACTGGGCTGCGTCAATGTCATTTGCTCCGACAAGACGGGGACACTGACGCGCAATCAGATGTCGGTCGCTTCTGTATCTTTTCACGATCGATCGCTTGCAGCTGACGAGGCTCTGGCTGTGGAGTCCAATGGCCTCACTGCGCTAGTCGAAGCCGGTCAATTGTGCAACGAAGCAGCATTCGATCCTGTGACACTCCATCTGCCAGTTGCAGAACGTCATGTGCAGGGTAACGCCACCGATGGGGCTATACTGAGGTTTGTGAGCTCGCACTCGGCGTCGGCGGTCACTCAGCGCAAGGTCTTGTTCCAGATACCTTTCAACTCCACGAATAAGTGGATGATGACAATGAGTGCCGCGAAGCCAGGAGAGAATGGGAACCTTGTCATTGTTAAGGGCGCACCGGATATACTGCTGCACAAATGCAGCAGTTTTCTCACAGGCGATGGCGAAAGGATGCAACTCGATATTGCTGCTCAGCGCCATTTTGGCTTTCTGCAGGAACAAATGTCAGGACGCGCCGAACGGGTCCTCATGCTGTGTGAACGGCGCTATACTCCAGTCGCCGCTGTTGGTAGCAACGCGCTCGGAGATGAGCTTGTGGCCAATTGTCTATCGGACTTGACATTGATTGGAATTATTGGATTGGTCGATCCCCCCCGGGAAGATTGTGCTACGACGATCGCCACGTGCCGCAGAGCTGGAATACGATTCTTCATGGTTACTGGTGACTTTGGCCGCACAGCCGTGGCAATCGCCAGGCGAGTAGGCATTTTCAGCGACCAGCGGGAGCCTGACACTTATGCAACGATCTCTGCACAAACATCGTCAGCCGTTGCAGGAGAAAAGACAGCAAGACTTACCGAGTATAGCAAACAATCGCTCCTGCTCGAAAGCACGGAAATCAACAGGATTACGCCCGAGGAATGGGAAGTGGTGAACAGCTATGAAGAGATCGTCTTTGCAAGGACCACGCCGAATCAAAAACTCCTCATCGTCAATGCGCTGCGCGAGAGACAGAATACCGTCGCGGTGACCGGTGACGGAGTCAACGATGCTCCAGCTTTACGGGCCGCAGACGTCGGAGTCGCCATCGCGTCCGGCAGCGATGTCGCACTTGAGGCCGCCGACTTGGTTCTTCTCGATGACTTTTCCGCCATCGTCACCGCCATCAGACTTGGACGTCTCGTTTTCCAGAACCTACAAAAAGTCATCTCCTACCTTCTCCCGGCAGGATCATGGTCGGAAATCTGGCCGGTACTACTCAACGTCTTCGTGGGCGTTCCCCTGCCACTTTCTTCATTCTTGATGATCATCATCTGTGTCTTCACCGATCTCTTCCTCTCGCTGAGCCTGATCATGGAGAAAGAAGAATTTGACCTCCTGTCCATTCCACCGCGCAAGCCACGACGTGACCATCTCATCAACCTCAAAATCTACGCGCAATCATACCTGTTTATCGGCGTCATGGAGACCGTCATCGCCCACGCCATGTTTTTCCTCTACATGTACCGCCATGCCGGAATTCCCGCTTCCGCCCTCTTCCTGGCCTTTGAGAAATACGCCGACGGCTTTTATGGCTACACCGCCGACGAGCTGACCTACTTCAACACCGTCGGACAGTGTGTCTACTTTGTCACCTTGGTGATCTTGCAATGGGGCAACATCTTGTCGATCCGCAACAAGAGACTTTCCATCCTCCAGGCCGACCCGTTCTTTCGTAAAGAACGCCGCAATCTGTGGCTGTTGGGCGGCATCGCGGCATCGCTGGTCATTGCCATCTTTGTGACCGAGGAGCCGGGCATTCAATCGATTTTCGGCACGGCGAGCGTCCCCATAGAGTTTTGGTTGCTGCCCTTGCCGTTGGCGCTGGGAATTCTGATTATGGATGAGTTCAGGAAGCTGCTCGTCAGGCAGTGGCCAAATGGGCCGGTGGCGCGCATTGCGTGGTGAGCACCAGCGTCGACGTACAGTATCCAGAGGATATACGACATCTATGGTAGATCAGTTGATCGATCTGCAGATGAGTGGATAGGCCTTGTACTGTGTGGGCTAACAGCTCACCCCACAATATGATAAGAGTTAGGGTCGGTTCGGCCCCTCAGCCGGACCTGTTTCCAACAGTTTTGTCAGATGTGGTTCATAAGCAAGCCCATTCAGTAGAAAGGATCTTGGGGAGTCGACCGTGAGGCGAGGCTGCGTCAACGCTTCAAGCGGCAAGGGAGAGCTCGACGTAGGTTTTAACCTCAAGGCCATCGCCGCCAAGCCTTTTTGCATCCCGTCGAAATCGAAATGCTCCAACTTCATCGAACAGTTTTTCTAGTTGCCCTTTTTCCGCGCGCACCAACTCATCCTATTCTGGAACGCGGCCGAAGACTCTGCAAGCCCCGGAGGAGCTGATGCCTCGATGGTCCTGAAGGCAGGAAGAATCTAGACGATGAAGCTGGGCGCAGTCTGGAAGCTTCGTCCGATATGATGTCAATCGCCGTCGCCCACCATCTACGGCAGACATGCCACTGGTATTTGGGCAGCACCGCTGCGTTCTCTAATGCCGCGGAGGCCGGGGACGCTTCAAGGCGGCCGCAGTTGAGTACGCACGGCAAGCAGGCTCGCGACAGCACACGTACCGGTACCAGCCGAGCACTGAAGTCGCGGACGTGTGACTAACGGGGATTGGAGCCAGGCAAATTGCTCTGTGTTGGCCGATGCACAATTGAGTTGTGTGGCTGGTAGGAAGGCCTGGTCTTACTTCCTGCTGGATACGAACGATTTCACCACCCGAGATCTTGATCGGCTCTGAGATGAATGCGCATTACCCAACTATCATTGAGCTCTACGTTACATATGTACAGCCCAAACATGACGACTATGCCAAGGTCATCATGAGCACACAAATGTCGTTATGACGCGCTCTACGGGACATCAATGTTGTGGACAGCCCGACCAGAGGCTCCGATCTTTCCCTACACCCTCTCCTCTACTGATATACATCGGGCGTCAATTCTTGTACCCGAGACGCACGCTCCTAATTTCCGCCCCGGTGGTCGGAGCAACCAAAAGCTGGTGACAATTCTCATTGTTGGTTAGATCATACCAAAAATCAACACTGCTCGCCGGAGAACCGCAGCCTGTATTGTGATGCACATAGAGCTGGAAGCCCTGATGGAAGAACACTTGGTTGACCTGCGATGTGCTGACACCGTGGATGCCAGTTCCGAGATTATGGCAGTCAAAAGTTGAGACTTCGCCGATTTGCAAGTATCCGCTGTACTGGGAACAGCCGTCGCCTTTGTAGAAGTTGACGTTGAGGGTAGGTGAACCACGACCGGTGAGATTCGTGTGGAGGGTTGGGGTTGGGGTGGCGCTGATTGTGGGAATCAGGGCTAGTAGGATAGTGAGGAGGGCGGAAAGGGGAGTGAGTTGCGGTCGCATTCTCTCGATTGTTGGCGAGTGACAGCGTCGGCTGGCTTCTGGCTGGTGGACAGACCTGACTGGTTCATCAGTGTGTTCTGAAATCTGGGAATTGGGCTTTCACTTATAGTCATCATTCGTTTGTGACAGTCACCATTTCCGCACACTATGGAAGATTGTATGTGTCACGTCTGGAGCCCGCCAGCTTGTTGGGTGGATCAACCGAAAGTCGATCGAGGCCAAAGAGAACAACGGCGTGAGACATAGTGTCGATCCCAAATCACCGCACATAGCCGTCCCTTAGACGCACGCTGCAGTGAGGGTATCAGGTAGTCAGTGGCCGGCGTAAGGAGGAATGGTGGACCTGCTGTCAGTGCTGGGTCCGTGATACTTCCCTGCTGAACTCTATCTCGTCGGAAAGTGTCAGCTTGCCAGTGTGCTTCTTGCCTGTATAGACAGAGTCACAGCTGATCAGTGTCCTGCATAAATGATGGTTGATCTCGGTATTTGAGTGTTTCCCCAGCTCCCTGCATAATTACCCTGCGCGTGGTGAGCGCTGTTGCCTCGGAGACAACGTCGACGCCCAAGATGAGCGTGCCCGCGTCCGAGGATATGCGTACTGCATGCCGACACCGTCGCTCAATGTGGCAATTTACGGAAAGGCGATTTATTAAGCATTGATTTTCTGAAGGTAGCCGGGTAAACTGCGGACCCTCTCCAGGCTACGGCTGCAAATAAGCCTGCAAATGTCTAGTCTAGCCTTCTGGTGACCGCGACACAACTCCGTCGGTAGGCATTAAAGGAGCCTGACAACGAAGGAGTCGTTTCCGTCAACTAGTTCAACAATGATTCTCGACGAAGAATCGCGCTTTCGCGCCCATTTGCGAAGCAAGCACGCAATGCACACCGAACAGCATTGTCGGGCTCCGCAAGGGCGTCAAGGATGCATGGTCACGCTATGGCCAAAAATTCTGGCGACCGTGGGAGCAGCGTTGGACTCCAGCGCTGGCTATAGTCATGCGGAGACTCGGCGTGTAGCAGTTGAAGGTGTTGGCTGTCGCACCATGTCCGAGACCAACACCAATGAAAGGCGTAAGTTCTTCGCGTGATCAGGGTCTGCGGACGAGGGCAAACGGCCAGGTCTGCTACCGGGCGCTTACTGCACTTCACCAGTTCGGGCACTCCATCTACTTGGAAGCTACTTCGAGTCCCATTTGTGCACGACTACTAAGAGGTTAATGTCGTTGCCCGACAACTCATCAGCATGGAAATGTCTGTCACGACGGAAGCCTGTGACTCCCCGCAGCCAGCAAATATTGTCCTGCGACCATCAGACCTCTACAGGGCGTTGAGCACATCTAGGATCGATCTTCCGCTGACAGGGCCACCGCATAACGCTATCAGAGTTCGACCACCCTGGGCGCGCAACGCGGACGATTTGGTTTGCAAAAGCATCCTCAGAAGCTTTGCAGCGTTCATCGTTCGACATACCCCATTGACTGTTCCACTGCCACTCTGTGAAGACGTGGTAGCCATGCGCCTCCCCCTTTGATCAGACGAATGCTGTTCACGGAATTCCTGGGGCGCCAGATCCTGCACAGCCCATCCAGTCTCCATCCCAGGAAGTATCGTCTGCACGGAGTCGAGTGCAAACAAGCTCGTGCAGGCACTGTACGAACCCCGGAACGCGCCGACCATTCGTTTTCAAATCGCGACATCAGACATATCTAGAGACGTTAGAGGACAGGCTCAGCCATATCTTGAGCGAAACCCAGGACCCTGACTTTTGCTTGAAGGGTCTACGTTCATGAATGTGCATCTACACTGGCCTTGCCAACATCCGCAATCTAAGCACCGGCGTACAATGGGCGTCTGTCGTCGTCCTGATCCTCTTCCAATTGGTGAACGGCGCCAGTTGGATCTGGCTTGCATTCCTCTACGCCGTCGAGATCCTGCCACTCCAATACCGCTCCCAAGTGCAAGCCTCGTCCAACACAGTCTATTGGTTCCTCGCCTTCATCGCGGCCTACTTCGGCGGGCAGGGCGCTGCGGATCCTAATGTGGGAGCGAAGGTGTACATCACGTTTTGTATCACTGGAGGGATTATTACTGTGCTGGCTTGGCTGTTTGTTGTTGAGAGTGAGTTGCAAAGTCCCCCTCGAGGAGTGATATATGCTGACTAGGGGCTGCAGCCAAGGATCTCACCCTCGAAGAAATCGACCTTCTCTGGGCTGAGCCAGAGTACATTGCGAGCCGCCAGCAAAATGTCACACGTGGCGTTCCGGTGACGGACAAGAAGGAATTCGATGTTGAGGTGACGACGGCTCCGACTGATGATAGTAAGGTCTGAACAATGATCGGAGTTGGCCGAGATCGAAGATAAGCGGGGACTTCAGGAAACTTTGCTTGGGAAGTCTCTATATCGAGCACATCTCACTAGATTGTAGAGTATCTTAGCTTATCCTCGTCGACACCGCGGCTCAGGCAATCCAACATCATTCATCAACTGCTCGGATCTCATGGACTAGCATAAACACCATGTGCAAATCGCCACTTCACTCACTCATCGCCGAGCTCCCAAAATGCGAACATCATCTCCACCTAGAAGGCTGCCTCACCCCAGCCCTGCTTTTCCAACTAGCCGCCAAGAACAACATCAATCTGCCCTCACAGGATGAGTACCAGTCACAAGAGGCGCTCGAAAAGCGATACTCCCACTTCACCAACCTCTCCGACTTCCTCCAATACTACTACCGCGCCCTAACCATTCTGATCACAGCCTCCGACTTCGAGCAGCTCGCCTGGTCATACTTCCAGACCGCGCATCATGACGGCGTGCAGCACGCCGAAGTCTTCTTCGATCCCCAAAGCCATACATCCCGTGGCGTAAAGCTAGAGACCGTTGTTGAGGGTTTCAAAGCAGCGTGTGAGCGCGCGAGGCGGGAATTTGGGATTACGAGCTGCTTGATCATGTGCTTTTTGCGACATTTGCCGTTGGAGGATGCTGCTGAGACGATGGATGAGGCGGTCAGGGGTGGGTATTTCGAGGGCGGTGGTGATCAGGGGCGGGTGATTGCTGGGGTGGGCCTGGACTCTGCTGAGGTCGACTTCGTCCGGAGATCTTCACGAGCGTTTATGCGAAGGCGAAGGAGCTCGGCGTGCACCGGACCGCACATGCTGGGGAGGAGGGAGATCCGTCGTACATTGCCGCGGCATTGGACTCACTTGGTGTTGAGCGAATCGACCACGGTGTGCGTCTGGCTGAGGATCCGGCGCTGATGCGTCGGGTTGTGGCGGAGGGTCTTCTGCTCACGGTGTGCCCGCTGAGTAATGTTTGTCTGCAGGTGGTGCAGAAGGTCGGACAGCTACCGATCCGGGATTTTCTCAAGGCCGGCGTGAAGTTTAGCATCAACAGTGATGATCCTGCTTACTTCGGAGGATATGTGTTGGACAATTACTGCGCAGTTCAAGAGGCGTTCGATCTGGCTATTGATGAATGGCGGCAGATTGTGACGAATTCTATTGAATGTAGCTGGATCAAGAAGGAGCGAAAGTCTGAGTTGATGAGCAATTTGAATCGCGTACTTGACAGGTACAGATGACCATAGGAAGGGAAAGGAGGCTTGGTAGGCACGACCTGGTCAGAATTGCAGGTGCAAAGAACCAAGACAGACGAACAGGCTAATAGATAGACATCGAGTCGTTTCTGTGGTACTCTTGCAAGTAGTCTAAACCAATCTATCCAAAGCTCTTCCATACGAATCGAAGACATGCACACAGCCTGCTCAATACCCATCGAATGTGACCTTATACATCTGAAACTGGCCATTTGGACCCTGACTGAAGTAGATAGTCCTCCCACCCTCCTCCGAATACTCCGGATGCGCATGACTGCCATACCCACTGACCTCGCTGAGCAGGCTGTAGCCTGTACTCCAAGGTCCGTAAGGAGTGTCGGAGAGATACATATTCGTGAACGACATGAAGATATTGCAAATGATGGTATACTTCCCGAGATAGGCGTTGTAGAAGGCTGAGCCGTAGACGCTGCACCCGAACTCACCAGAGGCTCGAGGGTCGTCATGCCGTAGATGGGGCTGGCAGTGTTGGTATTGGGGGATGAGGGGCTGCTGGCGGACGAGGAGGTGTCTTTGAGCGGGAGACCGGCGTGCCAGGTGCCCATGGTGTACAAGCTGTCGGGGTCGTAGACAAGTGATTCGTAGTTGGCGCGGTCGAAGACGTCGTCAGAGGCAGGAACACGACTGACGGCGACTTTGGATGGGCCGGCCATAGAGTAGACGTAGATATACTCGCCGTCGCGTAGGATAGCCACCAGCCCCAACTCGGCAATGTCCGGTCCGGTGAGCAGGGGTCCCACGCGGGTAGCCTTCGGCATGGTCTGGCCAAGCGTGATCGACGCAACGGCGTTGCCCTGATCTGCATACGACCCATCAGGAGCACCGCGCCAGATCTGTCGCGCGAACGCCACGCCGTGCGTATCGTTGATGGGTGCGACGTTGCTGGTATCCATTCCCCAAGATGTCTGTGGTGCTTCCGGCTGCGCATCTCCGACCCAGGGCTCAACGAAGTTATTGTTCTGGACACTTGTGACGTCGTCGGTGTCGATAGTCATCACATCGTCTGTCCCGTAGAACGCCGGGCCCATGGCGAAGCCGCAGACGTCAACATTGGGGTTGCAGCTCATATCGCCACAGTTCCAGATGACCTTGGAGCCGATCTTGCTGGTGCGGCACTTGTCCCCATAGACTGACTTGGTGGCTAAGGAGCCGGTGTACTTGATGTCTCCGATGTAGGAGATGTCCCATTTGGTGCCTTTTGCGGAAGCAAAGTCTGCGGTCTTGCCAAATGGGTTGAGTGGTGGAAGGCTTGATGCTGTTGGTAACGCTACGAGGGGTGCTGTAGAGTCTGTTGGGTTCTGTGTTCCCGTTGTTGCAGTTGGCTGAGGTGAGGTTGTTTGTGGGGCAACAACATCCTGCGATGGTGGTTCTATCCACTTCCCATTTGGATCGAGGCAGAGTGTTGATCCGTTATCCTGGGGAACACAGAAGTCTGGAATACCATTACCATCAAGGTCTATCGGTCTTGCTATAGTCAATGGTAGTAATATAAATGGTATAGCACTAAGTGAAAACATATTCAAGGTCAGGCGACGGCCTCGGGGCGCCTGGCCTGCCGGTCACCACGTAAAAGGAGCGTGAAGCTGTAGAAGAGAACGGACGCAGCCATCTTCAGCGGCTGCGTGGCCGTCCAACCTACCTGCGTATATCACATATACGGAATTCGAAGGATATCGAGAACCTGTTTCATGCGCCAGCAACAATCTTGGAAAGAGTTTAGTCAGGGGCCGAGACCATCAATCAGAGGATGACAGCAAGTCGACATGTTGTTCGCTTATGCACGTTGGTTCTTTTCGCGATAGGTCGTCTACTTTACTGGCGTCAATGTCGCATTCGTGCCTTGCGCCTCGGCAAGAGATACCGCTGGGAGCAAACCTGGCCATACTGGGCAGTCGTCAAGTCGACTATCTTACGCTTTCGTCCAGTCTGATTTCATAGAAGATGAGAAGCCTTTCCCTATGAACCGTGTCCCACAGCGGCATTGAGGTACTGCAATCTGGCGATGCTTCATCACATATGCGTGATGTCGAAATTGCCATCAGCTTGGTGGCTTGCTGAAGGGTCAAGCACATGTGAAGTCTCGGAAGATTTCTTAAGCGAAAAGCTTCGGCCGTTTCAGCCTTGAGCAGAACCCCGCGAAGCCCACAGGGGTGGGGTTGATGAACTCCTGGCGTTCGTGTGCATCATGGCATCAAATTTGACACTTGAATCACGCAAGGTCCGAGAACGAACGAGTCTCGTGGACTGGAAGGTACGCCGGACGATGATGTGGAAGGAGCTCGCTCGCGGCCGAGCCCTTCGCGTAGCAATGTCTAGCGGAAGCACTCAACACCAGAGGGGAGCGATCATCGGAAGGTAGATGACTTCCTTCTCCTCTGGTCGCTACACCTTCGACAATAATCATGGTTGTACAAGAAGTTCTGGCGACGCGCACCCGCCCCGGGATACCACGGTCGTTGCGGCATAATGTAAGTTGAGCACGAACTCGCCGGTTAGTGCAGGGAATGTCGAGACCGACGGACGCAGGCACAAGCCCCTTGGTATGAATGGTCTGGCACGGCTCGACGCTCACCTACTGAAGAAAGGTAGGTAGCATCAATTGTGCATTTTGTCATGTGAACCGATGGTACTGCGCTGGTCGGGTGAACAGCCAGATCTACTTTTCGATGAGTACCTTGAGTATCGCATCCTGATATATTGAGTCCTCTGATACCTCACGACACTGGAAACCACGCACGTCATACCCTTTCGGCCATTGTTCAAATCGTCGTCGCGCAAGATCGTTTGGCCAACATACATGGACTCCGTCTCGGCTCTGCCGGCCGACTCGATAACCATGGACTCCTTTTCGACTCTGCCAACGGAAGTTCGACATATGATATATGCTCACCTCTTCCCGGACGTCACTCAAGCTGCTCCTAGACTATACGACATCTGTATATGTCGATCGTACGAAGGGTTCCGGTCTGATACCAACAGCGGATATTCCAAATCAAAAGGACAACAAGTCTTAAGACCATACCAAGTATCCAGCGGCCATCACAACCCGCACGGCCTAGGATGGGTCACAATCCTAAAGGACGTCTCTATGTGCTCTCGCCTCCTGCGCGTCGACATTGCACAGTGGCTCTACCCACAATGCATCTTCCGGTTCGAGCACGTTCCTGACGCCTTCAAGTTCTTCGGGCCATCCCAGCTCATGCAGAAGTACGTCACGGCGATCATGTTCGATTGCATTGACAGCGATTACAATCAGAAGGGATTTCGCGGGACGCCGATCGGGCAGAGCGTGGTGGATCTTACAGCCATATTACCAAATCTAGCCCGGCTGGACCTCTGGATACCTCTCAACCTCAGATCCAACAGCACTCGCTACACCCAGCGGCCATGGAAGTTCGGCGATCTGCAAGCCGCTGAGTCCATTCTGCGAGATCACCCTCAGCTATGTATGGCTTGGGGAAACATACTAGGTTGCGACCGGTTTCCCCCGTACCAGGCCAAGCCTCCTCGTATGGGGATACTGCGGTTGCTTTCTCATGATGCTTCGCGGAAGCCGACTACTGCTTATGGAGCTATTGTTGATGTCAGTGATCTGCTGAGCAGATCTGATGCTCAGGCCTATATGCGAAAGTTGGCTAAGCAAGAAGCGCGTGAGCGGCGGAAGCGGATGTTACGACGAAGGCAGTCTCGGGAAGTGCTGCCAAGGATTGAATCCTCTACCCAGATGAGCAACTACAATGACGAGTCAGGTGCGAGCTAAGACCTGTCTCCCTACACACAGGCCGTAACCGCGCCGCGCCATGATCTGACTCCTGACATGTGCGGGAATGGGCAGTACCAGGCAGGGGGCCCAGCAGCTGAAAAAGCCATGAGTACCTTTAAAGACACCTGTCCATTTATTCGTATTTTCACATCACAACCTCGTAAAACACCTGACAACATCTGCAACCACTCTCTTCCAAGTGTTCCAATAGATGTCCCACTTGTTGTCCCACATCGCTTCTGAAAACGTAGACATGGATGTCATCGCAACTCTACGAGCGGAAGTCGAACACCAGTTCGATGCTGTTATGCAAACACAAGGATACCTGACAACATGGAAACCCAAACCTCTTCGGCCCCGTCACAAGGCCATGGACCTCTCAGCCTTCCCAGTGGAGATCCGACACATGATCTATGGACACCTCTTTCCAGAAGTCGCCGCCGACTCACCGTACAAAATCAGGATAGACCGAATGTGGACGTGGACGCGATCAGGGAAAGGACCGCCCTGGCGAAAATCCTGGCGGCATGATATCCTACGTCAGTATCAAGTTCGGCGAGTAGGTCGCTATAGGTACAAACTCGTTCGCGATGCTCGCGAGGAGTATCAAGGTCTTCGGAACACCCGCAACAACAAAATCTTACAACGAATTGAATGGACTGACCGGTTGAGAGACATCTCCCTCACATCCCGCTTTCTGCGTGTGGACGTCGCGCAGTGGCTCTATCCCCGCTGTGCCTGGGGCTTTCAATACGTCCCCGACGCGTTCAAGTTCTTCGGTCAGTCCGAGCTGGTGCGAGATCATGTCAAAGCAATCTCATTCGAATGCATCGACAACAACGGCTATCGCCAAAGCTTCAATAGACCATGGTCAGACCAGGATGTCCCAGCACTTGTCGCACTACTACCAAACCTAGCCGTGCTTCAACTCACGATGCCCGTCCATTGGGGTGGTGAGGCTGATCCGGTCACGAAGACGGGCTTCAAGATACCCGACCTGAGGGTAGTTAAGACCATTTTGGACAATCATCCTAAGCTACGCAGGGCCATTGGGTTCATGCTAGATTCGGAACAGCCTTACCGTGCGCATCGCGGAATCACTTCCAAGGGAACATTGCAGTTGCTGTCGGATGACACGTTTCCGAATAGAACTTGTTGTGATGCGGATGTTGATGTTAGCGGGATATTAAGAGCATTCGATGCTAAGGTTGATGCTAGGGTGCGTAAGCGGAAAGCGACAGAGGAGGCAAAACCGAAGAAGCCAAAACGACGTGAATCGAAGAATACTGAATGTGTCGAGCAACATCGGCCCCTGACACGGTCGTTGACAAAGGGGGCTTTTGATGCTAAGGTCGATGCTGGGGTGCGTAAGCGGAAAGCGACAGAGAAGGCGGAAGCGAAGAAGTCAAAACGACGTAAGCCGGAAACCAGTGGGTGCGTCGAGCAGCACCGGCCTTTGACACGGTCGTTGACGAGACTGAGGAATCACGCGTCTCTAGCGAGTAATTCTTGAAATACAGTCAGGTAGTCGCAGGAAGCAGAAATGGTTCCCTGATTTCAAGACAGATTGCGTAGCGCCAAGACTGGCATATCGGACGACGAACATGCTACAGCTACCCATTTATTTCGATAGTACTTGGTAATGCACCAATTTCTGAAGATTATTCTTGTCCAGCATTTATTATCAATACTGTAACATCTGAGCTGTGTGCCACTTCTAGATTATCTCCGTCCGCAGCTTCTCCTAACGCGCATCGGAGCTTCACGCTGAGCGTTCCTGACCGCTACTTTCCCGGATATAGACCTTTCGAAAGCAGTCCGTCTGCATAATCGACTTCAGCTTTTGAAGTCCTGTAGATTTGAGAGCTCTATAGCACGCCAGTCAATGTTTTGGGAGCTTGCATACTCGATCTGACATCGGCCGAGAGATCTCGGGCGAAGGAGTGTGGCATCTGACTTGGAAATTTTTGGACATTTCCGCAAACATGGGACTTCTGGAATCGTTAGAGAAGAAAGGCCGCGCTGCGTTCGATCAAATCAAACGGGAGATTGGCATGGGCGACAACAAGCAGCAGCAGCAGAGCTATCCTGGTTATCAGCAACAATCTTACCCCGGCTATCAGCAGCAGCAGTCTTATCCCGGTAATCAGCAGCAGGGTTATCAAGGCTATCAACAGCAACAGCAACAGCAACAGAACTGGGGACCTCCGCAGCAACATCAACAATGGGCACCACCACCACCAAACCACACCAAGCCGCCTCCCCAAGCCCAATCCGCCGCAACACCACAACAACCCCAATCAGGCAACCCAACAGACTACTGGGTCCCAATCCTCCACTCCTCTCGCTCCGTCGCAACCGACTTCGACCACAAACTCGGCAACACCGACGGCTGGGGCAACAACGAACTCCAACACTACACCAACCTGCCCCAAAACTCCTTCTACACGCCCGACCACAAACTCGTCCTACGCGCCATCTCACACCCCTCTGACCCGAATCCCGCCACAAAATACACCTCCGCTCGCCTCGTGACCCGCCAGCGCCTAGACCGTCCACGGGGCTGTCTTACCGCTACTATAAGCAACCCATCTGCGCCCGGGATCTGGCCCGCGTTTTGGTTGCTGCCGGCTGAGCCCTTCCAGTGGCCTAATGAGGGGGAGGTGGATGTAGGCGAGTCCTGGAATGGCGATCCGACGAATCATACGTGTTTGCACTGGGGTCATTTCAATGGCGCCGATAGCCAGAAGCATCGTGTGATTGATACGCCGATTCATGATTTGGGGCGGAGGCCGATCAAGTATGAGTTCGCATGGGAGCAGGATGATGCGACGGGGAGAGGGAGGTACTTGTGGTGGATTGATGGGCGGCCGGTGATGAAGGCGAGTATTCCGGATGGGTTTAGGCGGATGCAGGAGTGGACGGTGTTGCTCAATATTGCCATGGGAGGGAATGTCTGTCAGGGGAAGACGCCCGCGGAGGGGAGCTACGACATGGTTGTACACGAATTGAGGATGAGTGGCGAGTGCGATGGGGGCTGGGGACGATTCGAAGGGGACTGGTGGCGGGCTAAAGAGGGAAGGACGATGTGACGCTTTGTGATGCGAGAGAGTTGGCGGCTGATTCGTCGTCGTGGCCTTGATAGAGCTGCGCAATGAGGAATAATGAAATGACGGCGGAAGTTCTGTGCTGGTGAGAATAGAGGGTCTCTTTTGTATATAGAAAGTACATAACCTAGATCAACCTAGCCGCCCGTCCAACTACCGTAAGACCTTGAAGTAGAATACCCCATCCACTTTTTCTCCCTTCCCTGTCCCGTCCTCTGCTGGCGGCCGCTCGCCATACCCCGGCAACCGCCCATAAATCTCCCACCCCAGCTTCGGGTACAGATACGCATCAGCCTCACATCCCACCGTCGTGCCCAAAGTCAACATTGTCCGCCCCAGACTCCTTGCCTGCTCCTCTACCGCCTGCATCAACCGCTTCGCCAGTCCTTTGCCGCGGAAGTCGGGATCAATCATCAACATCTGCACGTCGCCCACGAAATGCTGCGTGTCGCTCTCCGGCGTGCTCAGGATGACGATGCCCACTACCTTGCCCTCGGACGCCGCTGCTCCACTGACTAGAAATGGCGAGGTTTGGGGCGGGGCGAGGGCTAAGAAGACGTGTGTCTCGGGTGAGGGGAGTGTGGAAAGGCGTTTGGTCCACCAGGTGGTCATCTGGCGGTTTTGGCCGGGGTGAAGGGCGGGTGGAATTTCATGAGGACGCGGTCGTGGAGGATGGAGGATTGGTGGAAGGCGACGAGCTGGGTGATGATGTCGGGCGAGGGAGGCTGAAGGAGCGGGACGATTGGGAGGGATGTGTTGGTGCTGGTGTTGATTGCGGCCATGGTTGAGGATTGCTTTCCGCGTGCAGAAGTGGTGGGTGTGGCAATCCTTCCGTTGAGAACCTGATGAGCGAACCGTGCGCGCCTCGATATTCAGGACTTTGTAGTCAGTACTTGTATTCGTCTCAACTCAATGAGTAAAGGCGTACAGGGCGTATGCATACGCTGCTCTCGAAAAGGAAGGAAGCAACGGGCGCGCTAGGCGTCGATCGCCTTTTCTGGAAATCGAGCAGACAGCGAACGCCTTTTGTCAATTTTACACAATCATTGCAATGACTGACTCGATTATCTTGCGCCCACCGTCGATCCCGCGAAAGCTGAGAGCCCACCTCCCATATTGAGAAGATCACAGCGGCGTCTTGAGGCGACCAAAGAGCAAAAAGCAAATTTTGCAACAACCACCCTACGTGGGACTCGAACCCACAACCTTCAGATGGTCAAGATGCTTCCAGCGAGTAGAAGTCTAATGATGAGGTTAGGAGCGATCGCAAGCAACTGAAATGTTATAAGGCGTACCTGACGCGCTACCATTGCGCCAGCAGCTATTGCACTGTTAGTGTCCCGCCCAATTCAGATTCAGGTTCATAAGTATTTAACGTACGGCATATTTCATGGGACAAGAATGATTTGTCTTCGAGAAGATGGTGTTGCATATGTGCGTGGTTTCGAAGCAGAATTTTGACTCAAGTCCAATATAAAGCTTTTAATCACATGCAGACTTCGGCTTCTCTTTGCCTCGCCTAAATGCCACATGTACGCCACACGTCGGCACTTTAAGGAATATGGCATCAATTTGGACCCTACGCAGCTTGAACGACGGACAGCGCCGAGAGTCTTGACGACAAGATGCCTACTATCGGCTACTGGCTTAAACTGGATTCCGCGTCAACTAAGGATTGTCGTAGCGGCGAGCAGCAATCTGAAAATATCCCTGTTGCAGGCATTTCTTCGATGCTCTTAGGAAAATTCAACTTCCCAGGTTCTGAAGTCAGCAGGATCAGTCTCAAATTACACGGCGGCCCAGATGTTCAGACGCAGACAGTAAAATGTCCGACTGGCGCTACAGCTTGACGCGTCCGTTCCGTATATGCACACGCTGATACTCCCAGCAGACCACAAACGCTGACGGCGGTGTGGTACGGGCATACTTGAATGATCCTTGCAACGTGATCGGCGTAGTGGCAAGGTACCCGTGAACTGCTTCAGCAGCAATATTGACTCGTGTGTAATCGATGCACAGCATGAAATCAACAATGCAGTCATCCTCTGACCTTACTAACAAGCCCTGACGATCGTCTCTGTGGTAAGTATATATCCAGGAGACGTTGCGCCTCTTTCTTTGTCTGTCAATTGCGACTGAAGCCATCCACAACAACATGCACATCCTCAAAGCTTCCCTGTTTTCTCTCCTGACAGCACGTCTCACAATCGCCGCAGTAACCGGCACAGTGACCGCACACTTCGAAGCCACGACTGGTCTCACCCCCATCCCCCAACCAACACTATCCATCGCAGGCAACCCCAAACTGGTCGAGGCACGCGCCTTCGCCGGACAAAAGTGCTCTGGGGCTTCCAAGGACTACAACATATACGGCCAAGGCTGGAACGGCTCACCCGCGGATCTCAGGCTTCCAGACGCCAGCGTATACTCCATCGGTTTCTACTACGCCGCATCTGGCTGTCGCCTCTATGTATGCGATAATGACGTTGCTAGGAATGGGCAGTGCCATGTCGGAGGTTTGGGCCTCTGCGTTCCGATTGCGGCGTGCATGACTGTCAGCGACAAGGCGAAGAGCAGTGGCCGGATCATGTATAACATGGTGGCTATCTGCTGAGTCGATTGCGACAGAGAAGCATAGTTCTGTTGTGATACGAAGTCGGCGGGAGCGGATTCTTGTGCATCCAGCGAGAGGAAGGTGCAGGTCGCTGGGCACCGATGTGAAGCGACGGAATCAGCAGGAAGGTTGACAAGATGAAAAGTCGATGACGGCGTGTATGAGGTGAATTCAGCTGTGTCGAAGTGGCGAACCTTGAAACCTCGAAGAAGTGCTCGTGGCACGCATCGCCTGAGGCAGATCTCATGCGTCGTTTCCTGATAGGGTGGCGACAGACATCGTGTCCGCTCATTATAACGATGCGCTGAAGATGGCACTTGAGCCACCACGACACCCTTGTCGAGCCCTTCCGCCGCAATCTTCGCCCTTCAACCACCTCACCTCAACCCAACACATAACCCCCAGACCCATCTCCCCCAACAGCAACCTCAACCTCCCGTCTCCACCCCTCCCGCTTCCGCAACCACTCCCCACCCAACCACCTTCTTATACACGTATCCGCCGGCTTCTTCTGCGGGCTCTCCATGGGTACCAACTTGTAGAAGTTCTCGTCTAGTGGCGTTGGCTCGCATGCACATCTTCCTCCTCCGCCATTGTCCCAAATGCGCTGGTCGGCCTCGTCGCCCTTGTGATCCTTGGTAGAGTCCTCCCTATGTTCGGACGGGCAGTGTCTCGCGGCATCATGCTGATACCCAACCCCTCTCAGAAACCCCACCTCCCCCCTCCCCAACAACATACTCGCCGCAAGGGTATGCACGGGCGCATCGCCAAATCGTTCCTAGAAGAACCCGCCCGTCTGATCCAGATGGTGGAAGAATGCTTGGTAGGCGTCGGAACGGAAGAATTCGAGAGAGCCGAGTTCAAAGTTTGAGAAGAACTGGCATGCGTTGTACGTTCCTGTTGACGTGTCGCTGCCGTCGTTTGGATGCTCTGGTGGCTGTCGTTGGTTATTATGGGTACGGGGTATCGGAGGACAGGGAGAGACTTACGGGAGTGTCGACGAGCCAGGACCAGTCTGCGTCCGGGTGGATGTGTTCGGGGTGGCGGCGGGCGAAGTCGACTGTTGCTTTCCATAGCCTGGTTGGGATGAGCTGTCAGCTGGATGGTCTTGGTCAGAGGGAGAAAGGATAGGGCGCCATGAGCATCGGGTGATCTGGCTGGCTTCTTCGGTTTTCGGAAACGCAGTGAGTGCCCACCAGGAGAACGCTGCCGTAGGAGACTCCCCACTGCACCTCGTCGCGAGCTGAGCATCACTTATTGTGCCAGAGCAACAATCCCAAACACCCCGGAGCGACGGGGAAAGGTAACAACTCACCCGACAAACCCCCTTCCATCATCCAAAATCCCCATGTTAAACGCATACTTCCATCCCCTCCGCCTCATCGCCTCAAACAGATCCTCCTCCACATCACATAAAAAGTGCACATCAGGCTCAACTCGCCAATACCGCTCGAGCCCCTCCAGCGCCTCATGCAGGTAGAAAAACCCGCTGTTCCACCGACACATGTGCCGATAGCTCAACATCCCAGCCTTCCCAACCCCCAATCCTTCCAAATATCCCAGCGAATCCCGATGCAGCGACCCATCAACCCATTCCGGGGTAGACCAGTGCTCAGGCGGGATCGTGTGGTAGTGTGTCGAAGAGGATGTTATGGCGGAGGTTGCATTTTTGAAAGCCTCCGAGAAGCCGCTTCGCTCCTCGGTGAAGAACATCCAAGGATACCCATACCGCCTGTTCCAGCGATACTCCAGCTGGCGCATGCTCTGGAGGATCCCTTCGAGGTCGGCGTTGCGAACTAGGGAGATTAGTGCTGCTTTTGGCCTTTTCCCCTGCGAGTGGGAAGGCGAAAGGCGGGCACTGTGGTTGTTATCACTGCGGAATCCGGGGTTGGAGAGGACCGAGGCGGGCTTTGTGCTTGATGCTGCTGTCGTGGAGAGGTCGGTTCCGAGGTGAAGGCAGATGGCGAGGAGCATGAGTGTGAGGAGGGCGATGATACGGAACGCGGTCGAGTTACACCCCCTTCTCCCCCTCGGCGCATCGTCATCTCGTCGTCGCGATCGTGTTCGCGAGTCGTAGCCGTGCGCGCCTGCCTTCACCGGAGAAGGACCGCTCGATGATGTGAATGACCGGGCGAACGGCGGGCTTGAGGGAGGATCGTTTTCGCTGGGTTCAGAGGCGCAGTAGATTGTTGATGAAGAGGCGTCCATTTTCGTCCGCTCGTCGGTAGGTAGGTGTGGGCACGACGATCGGACTCAGGAGTCGTCGGGAAGGGCTCTGGTGTGCGATGCTGTTCGAAGGATGTAGTCGCTGCGCTGTGGTCAGTGGTCCCGATGAGGTTGCATGTGGTGTTCGGAGGCTTGGCGGTGTGATGGGAAGATGAACTGCAAGTCAACGAAATTTGATCTTGCTCTTATAGGCACTTGACAGACACCTCATGCCCGTGTCTATGGTAGTAATCCCTGACTTGCCTGTACTTATACATACTTGTACAGAGGCCTCCCCACGCGCCCATCAATCCGCCCAGCGCAATCCCGACCTCGTCGCGCGTGGCATCTTCACCAAGTCGTTGTTTGGCATCTCACGGTCTCCAACTGTGTTGGCGTTGTCCAGCTCCGGAGGAATTTTCACCTCCTCAGGGCGGGCGCTGCGCATATTATTCGAGGAATTCTACATCTCGACATCTGCTTGATTTTCGCCTCCGCTCCCGTTTCCGTTTCCAGCTCCAGTGCCATTGCTAACGCCCACAAGGCCCAACATGCGCGCATATGGGACGGTAGATCGCTGCATTTCGCGATGTTTCCCTAAAACGTCGTCAGAAAAGCTCCAGGGCGGGCTCTGTGGCCATGGATTTGGGACGGGAAACGAAACGGAAACCACTTACCCAGCACAAGCACCACATCTCCCAACAGCTCCTCCCGCTTCCACCCGCAGATAAGCGCGTTCTCTTCCCTCCAATTCCGTCCCTCGACCACGTTTGCTGCAATGTTTGCAGCTCCAGAGGCCTCCTCGTCGGGATCCGCCTCGACTATACCACCTACTAGCGTCCGTAGGAGTTCTTCCACTTTGCCCTTCAGGCCTTCCATCCCTAGGCGCTTCGCGTACATGATTAGATATACCCTGAACTCTTCTTTGGAACCCAGCATCAGGGCGGCCGCTAGACGGTTTTCCAAGTGAGCGAGCGAAACCCCTGATTCGAATGATTCGTAGCCCTCTCTGCTGAGGAGGACTTTGATGAGCCGCTGTAGGAAGAACGCCCTACCCCTAAGCAAGGTTTCCGTAGTTGTATTCCGCTCCAGCCAAGGCAATATTCCCGCGGAAACATCCATTTTTGGGGCGCCCTCTGACGACTGCTTTGCTTGCAGATTTGAGACTGACGCGTCAGTGGTGTTCCAGTATTGACTGCCCACAGCCCACCAGACCTCGCTCAGGCGTTGCCAGCAGTACATCTGTGGACTGTACGCGTAGCCGTCGCCATTGGACAAGCTGACGATGATGCGGCCCTCTGAGTTGAGGCGTACGTGGTGGATAGCAGGTGCGCCCGTCGGATGCGCCGCCAGCGACTGAACGGCTGCGTCCAAGACCGGCGCCAGACTCACCGGCGGGTGCGGCGCCGCCATCGTGCTGACATTCCAGACATAGCACATCCCTACGCTGGTTACACACAGCAGCCACGATCCGTAGCTCTCCAATCGCACAGGTTGTGACTCCACTACTAGTGCGCTGTTCAGTCTTCGACCAGCGGGTGTCCAGACATAGACCGACGCGTTCTCGTCTGCTGCGGCCCAGAAGGATTTGTTGCCGGTGGCGAGTAGGATCGTTCTGGGAAGGAAGTCCTGCCATTGCGGAGAGCCGTTCTTGCTGAGCGATATCCGGGCGGGCTCCCGGTCTTGGGCGCGTTGAGTGAGTGACTGCGTGGATGGGTTTCGAATCTCGAGGATGTACTCCGCTCGGGCGGCCTTTGTGGATTCGTTCGCATTGTTGGTACTGGTTGAGTGAAGACTCCGTCAGAAATCAGAAACAAAAGGTCCAGAGAGGCCTCTGCGCAGAAAAATGGGTAATGGGAAACAGAACAGGAATCATCTTACCCGGTTGTGTCAGCAGGCTTTCCATCTCCGTCTATGCCCAGAATGATCATATTCCGTATCCGAGGTACCGCTAGGCGCAATTGACTAACGGACATTACTGGGTTCACGACTGCTGGCCGGATGAACTCTGGAGTTGGGAGTGGGCCGTTAACGGCGGGTTGTGGCGCTGCGGGAACGAGACCATCGGGAGTGCTCTGTAGTATGGGAGTACGGTCACTGTGACTTGCTGCAGCGACTCGCTTCTCGGTCGTTCCTTCCTCCTCGCCGTCAATCTGCGCGTATTTTCGCTTATTCCCAAGTAGAAGCGCTGCCAGTCCACCTTTGGGGAGGCCGTCAAAGGGTTTCGACAAATCGAGCACCGTAGAGGGTGCATCCATAGCTTGTACCGCTGCAGCGGCGCTCATAAGCTTCGTCTGTGGCAAGGAGGACTCCCCACCGCCAGCGCTCGAGACAAGAAGTGGCTTTATCCTCTTCTTGCCATTCACAATCTCGACCCGATTTTTGAGCCGCTCGAGTTTCGCCTGACTCTGGTCCTGTACTGGTGGCGTGGACACACCATTCGTGCCATTCGTAGGTGCAGCAGTGCCATTCATCGTGTCGCCGGCAGCGCCATCGGACGTCTTCTTCTCTCCGTTCGTCTGCGCTGCGGGTTGTGCGTCTCCCATCAGTGCTCCCATCCGGCTCTCTACACCTTTCTGCTCACCAGCACGGCTCATCTCTTCGAGCAGCAGCGCGTCTGTCGTTTCGGGGAAGCCCTGACCTTTCCTTGACGTGCCGAATTTGGTGAGTGACTTGTCATTCTCCTCGACCGGCTGCGGGTAGCCAATTTCACCTTCCTCGAGCACAACACATAGTACAGAGCCATCGAGAGCTGTGATGAACAGTGTCATGCCGTCAGGAGCCCAGCGTAGGTCTGAGATTGGCTTTTCCGACAGCTCTCGTATGATGCTAATCGGCCGTGGACTCTGTGTAGTCCATATGCTGAGTGTCTTATCGGCGCCACCACAAGCAATCACAGTGGTGTTGGGGGGCATGTGGCCATTGATGTCTGGTTGTGGATCGGGGTGGGCGCTGTAGAGTCGTGGTGCGAACGCGCAGACTTCGACTGCTGCTTCGTGACCGATCAGTGTCGTATCCCCATCCCATGTCCCTCGCACAATGATAGCAATCGCCGGCGCTGGTCCATTGACAGCGTTGGCTGCCGCAATATGGACCCCATCCGGCGACCAGGAACATCTCCGGAAGTACGTGGTAAGCGGCGAGTTGACGAACGGCTGCGTAATAGTGGTCTCCAGTATGAAATTGTTTACCGCATCATGCGAGCTGTAGTTCTGCGTTGGGCATGTGAACCTGAAGATCTTGATCGTCCGATCATCGCTGGCCGTAGCGAAGTACTTGTTCGCGGGATCAAACGTAATCCCCTTGACATGACTGGTATGGTTCGATATCGTCTTCAGCTTCTCGAATGTATAGCCCGACCATACCGCGATCTTCGAGTCCAATCCCACCGAAACCAGAACTGTCCCATCATGCGACCAGCCCAAATCCTGCACGTCGTTGTCGTGGCCGATCAGTCTTCGGAAGACAGGCCAGTGCTCGACAGGCGGCGTCTCGTTGGAGCCAAAGGTCGAGTGTTTCGGCGGATTTGGGTCTAACGTGTAAATGCAGACGTACTTGTCGTCGGCGCCGGAGGCTAGAAACTTGCCGCCGGGCGAGAAGCGGACGGTGTGGATGGTGCCGGAGTGGTAGCTCATCGACGCTAGCTGCTTCGGGCCGGTGTAGGAGGCGTCTTCGGACTTGTAGATCGCTTTCGTCGCCCATACTCGCACGTAGCCGTCTGGACAATGGGTCAGAGGCCTCCCCGGGCGTAGAATGGCTGTACTTACCTGCGGCAGATGTAACGAGCCTCTCGCCATCTGGTGAGATGTCGCATGAATAGACCTCGAAGCTCTTCTTCTCACCTGTACACGTGTCTGATTAGCATTGTTCTGTTCTGCATCAGAGGCCTCCCTAGCGCCCACAAGACGTAGATCGTCTGCGTCCTGCGAATCGTGTCTCGACTACCCAATCTCCAGATCCATGAAGCTGCAGAGTCCTCCCCAGCGGGATCTGGCAGACTTCGACTCGCACGTCCTCAGCCACACTCGCCTCACTCTTTCTTGACTTACCGCCATGAGTAAGCCATTTCGGCTTCAGAATCAACATCCCAGCGTCCTCCCCAGCGGGAGCCGGCGCATTGCTTCTCCTCCCTCTTCTTGCAGTGTCAGAATCGTCGGGCTCGGTGCCAGGTAGTCAAGACTCAGATAGAGGCCGCCCGAAGGGTATAAACGATGTGACGCGATTTATGGGTGTTGATTGTTGGTGTAAGGTACTCGTGAGGTGCAAATGATTTACATGTGAGGCTGATGTCAATTCTGGAAGTTGCGCGTGTCGGATTTGGAGAAAGGACGTGTTTCGGGCGGGCTTCACGCGGGTTGAACACATTGGGCTGCGAAAATGGCGCCCTCAGAATACCTAGGGAACGGGATCATGCTCGATCGGCCATAAGCTGGAAATGAATCAGGATTCATATGCTTTTCCATTCCGGCTTTCCTATGCTATACACTGTAGACATACAGAGGCCGCCCTGTTCTTCAAGAGCTGAGCTTGGAATATGAATGAGTAGAATACCACCTGGACCGTTCTCCGAGATCACCTCTTGCCAGCCCTGACCTTGTCAAATGCCCCCAACATCGTCTGCTGAACGTCCGAGCCAGGTCTTGTTGCTGCGTCCACAACTTCATCGCCAGCCTCAGTCGGCGACGATGAATTCAACGATGTGCCTTCGCATCAATGGCTTTCCTCTGACCCTCACTGATTTTCCCATACACGGACAACGCACTCGCAATCATCCCACCCATATCCCCCACATTGCCCGGTACCACCACCGCCGTGCCTTCCTTTGCAAGCTTGCCGAACGCATCCACGTACTTTTCCGCGACGCTCAGGCTGAGCGCACCCTGCGCACTCTGCTCGCCCTCCCGAATCGACCTCGCCACCGCATCAATACCCTTCGCCGTAGCATTCGCCTTCAGCAAAATCGCCTCCGATTCACCTGAAGCCTGATTGATCTGCTCCGCCTTCAACGCCTCCGAAGCCAGAATCACACTCTGCTTCCGTCCCTCCGCAATATTGATCGCGCTCTGCCGCTGTCCCTCCGACTCCAGGATCTCAGCCCGCTTCGATCGTTCTGCTGTGACTTGTCGGTGCATCGCTGCAACCACGCCGTCTGGGGCGTGAATATCTCGGATCTCGTAGCGCAGGCAGACGACGCCCCATGAGGATGCGGCTTCGTTGATGGCTTGTGTGATGTTGGAGTTGAGGTTGGCGCGCTCTTTCAGGACGTGGTCGAGGGTGAGCTGGCCGATTTCGGAGCGCATCGTGGTTTGCGCGAGTTGGCCGATCGCGTATTCTGCGTCTTCGACGCCGTAGCTGGTGCTGTTAGTGGGGTCGGGTGTGTCTGTGTGTTGTTGTGAGGGCTTACCTCGCTTTATATGGGTCGACGACTCTGGTGTATAGTACGCCGTCTAGCTCAAGTGTGACGTTGTCCGCCGTGATGGCGCTCTGGCTTGGTATCTCGATCGCTGATTCTTTCAAGCTTTGGACGTAAGCGATTCTCTGTGTTCACGTTAGCATGCAGATCGGAGCCGGTCAAAAGGCTGTATGTACCTCAATGACTGGCATCAGAATAGCAAGACCGGGCGACAGGATCCGACTGAACTTGCCCATCCGCTCCACGATCCACGCAGTCTGCTGTGGCACAAATTTGATAATTGTATTCGTAGGTAATCTCGATGACCGTTGGAAATATGCTTGCGGCATGCCACCACCGCTTCCACCAAGACTCGAGCCTGGACCTGGCAGCTGGTTGCCTGTGCCTAGAGAGAATTGTCGTCGACACCAGATGGCCATCGGCGAGACTGCCAGAGGTGCAACTCGGGTGCTGCCCAGGGCCGCAAGCCGCCGCGGCAGCGCCCTCGTTGCGGCTCGTGAGAGCTCCATTATGATGAGAAGGGCACCGCGAGGTGCTGTGAGCTGATGCTGACGACTACTAGAGGTTGGTCATAAAGGTGTAGGGTGTTCGTGTGAGGGTATGGTAGGCAGACCTGCGGCGAGGTGTACTTTGGAGATCTGGACATCTGCTTAGGTAATGCAGCTCTTGTCATCCGGTCGAAGATCATGCATTCTCATGCGTAATAACAGTAGTATGTATACAGCAGCAGTAGGTACAAGCACGCAGCGGACAGAGTCACTTCATGAGTATTCTTACGATCCTAATCGTTCCCAGGCCTCGAACTGCCACAGTTTTAGGCGTCATGGCCCATAGTGGACGGCGTCTGCGTTGGATGATGGAATATTTTCTCATTTTCATGCGAGAAGACTCACACAACTAGCTAAACGTAAAGTTCAGAAGTCGAAGTCGGCGCAAAATAGCGCAGCAATACTCCTCAAATGCTCGTAGCAGTATCTTGATCAGTCGCGATATGCTTCTCTGGACCACCCAATCCGCCAGTGGAGGTGACTGCGACCTCTCACGGCGGGCTTCGTGGGGTCTGGAGAAGCGCACCGTTATTGTTTGCGGTGTCGACGGGCGTCGGTCGTTATTGTCGTGGTCGTGTGGCGAAGGATCCAGAACCGAGCCGTGGGGTCCGCCCATTCTTCGTTGTCCGAGATGACTCGCATCTAGTAGCCGTACTCGGCCAGCTTGTCCTTGACCTTCTGGTCAACCGGGGCAGTCTTCTTTGCCTCAGCCAACTGTCTCCGTGCAGCCTTCTTTCGCTCGTAGAATGCAGCACCCTTGACTTTCCGTCGCTCCTCAAGTCTAGAGTCCTCGTTAGTAACACAACTTCAGAAGTGACTGCGTATACCCACCTAGCAACAACATCCTGATACTTCCAACCAACCTCATGAGACAGACGACCAACCGTGCAGAACTTGCGACCAGGCTTGAGTCTGAGTACTCGCAAAGCTTGGGGCACAACCATCCGCTTCTTCTTGTCATACGGAGCTGGGACGCCCTCAAACACCTTCAATCTCTCCATAGCGGCCTTGCCACGGGCGGTCTTGTGTGGGATCATGCCGCGGACGGTCTTGTAGAAAATGCGGGCTGGGGCACGGAAGTGGAAGGGGCCACCACGGGTTGGGTTGTATCGGGTGATCTTTCGGAGGTAGGCATGGTACTTGACTGTAGTCTCGTGTGTGAGTATGCGCAAGGTCTCGTCTGTAGGACGGGTGACGTACGCTTAGCGCGGAAGAACTCGCCGGAGATGTTGAGTGCTTCGCATCGTACAACAACAATTTTCTGACCGTTCAAGAGCTGCTTCGCGACTGTCGATGCGAGACGGCCGAGCAAATGTCCCTTGCCATCAATGACGACCTGAGAGTCCTGTTAGCAACGGTCCGGAAGTCCTGGTCGGTGCTGGGAAGATTGGATGAGGATGGGTAGTCGGATTGCGAAGACGGGCGGGTGTAGACTGACAATTGGCTCAAACGACGACATCTTGCCCAGTGTATGTCAGAGAAACAACACGGGACTCTGATGTTCGTCCTTCAACGCAACAAGATTGAAGGAGTAGGTGTAGCTGGATGTCGAACAAGATGCGCTTGAAGTTGCGGCAAGAGGGTCGGAATTGTGAGTGCGGGTTCTCGCAAAGACTTGGCACACGGCTACTGCAGTTTGAGCGTCAAAAAGCCAAGCATAGTCACGTGTTGGGATCGCGGAACCAAATTTTCTCCGACAGCCGACGAATTATCCATCGGTTTTGAGCCTGAGATTCTTTGGACGCAAGGTTCGTCTTGCAGAATATGCAGAACATACAAGACGGCTAGGCTCAGCGAGGTCGCTTAGGTTTGACATGACAATGCCAGAATGTTGACCGGATCACTAATAGCCGCTACACTAACGGTGAATGCTCCCAGTCAACATCTGGCGGCATCGCTCAAAGATGTCGGAGTCTTCCAGTATGATATTCAACCTCAGACCACTCTCCGTACAGGTTTCAAGAAAAGCTCGACCAACCCACGCTGTCTCGCTGTCAGCCGTGCACACATCTACGCGGCACAGGCTACTAAAGCTGTAGTACACGTCTACAGCCGCCAGAAGGGTAATCTTGAAGCCACTGTTCCATTTCCTGACCGCATTCATAGCGTGGCTTTCGCGGAAGCCGCACAGGTACTGATTCTCGGCACCGATGATGGGAAGCTCGTGCTCTGGGAAGTCGGGACTGGCCGCATCACGACATCTTCAGCGTCACATCTGCAGGCAGTGACACAGCTCCGTGTGACGCCGGACAACGATCTCATTCTCTCGGGCTCGCCTGACACGACTGTACAAATCTGGTCCCTGTCGCAACTTCTGTCGTTCTCCTCGTCTGCGCATTCATACTCAGGGGAGGCATCCAATGTCCCCATAAACACCTTCGAGAACCACCGAAATCCAATCACTGCACTGTCTTGTGGAAATTCCAGGTCGAGCACAAACTTCGCGGTCTCCGCCGCAGCGGACTCCACGTGTCATATATGGCAGATTCAATCATGCCAGATTCTCCGTACTGTGCTTTTGCCGGCGGCACCTATGTGCATTGCCATAGATCCCGCAGATCGTGCAGCATATCTTGGCGACGAGTCCGGATCGATCAGCCACATCGACCTGATAGAACTGGGCCAGTCAACAGTAACCTCGGGTGAGAGTGGCCGACTAACCGACATCGGCAAGCAGAAGCAATGGACGACGTCGTCAAACGCTGGCTCAATGCATTGCCTTGATGTGTCCTACGACGGCACTTATCTCGTGTCCGGCCACACACACGGCGATCTTCTCCGCTGGGACGTGGCCAAGCACAAAGTCATGTCTGATGTCTCCAAGTTAGGTCAACCGATTTCGAATGTCCAGATACTTCGTCCAGAAGGGCTTCCAGAAGCGACACCGGTTAGCTTCGACATCGTAGAAGTCACAAAGCCTAGGCTTGAGTTCGCCGCACAATCAGATAGTGGCAGTACCAACATACCCGCAACCTACAAGCTGCATGCGAGCTTGCGAGGAAAGCGGCAATCGGAAACGAATGCAGTCGCGCTGGCCATGACGACTGATGGCTGGCCGAGCAGTATACTTGACGCTGCTGTCGACGCAGTGAGCAGAAGTGGTGCGGATTCGCAGTCGCAGGTGCCAAAGTCCACCCTGCGTCAAGCAGAGACACTCAAGACAGAAAATGAGCAGCTCAAGCGCAATCTAGCAGCGCATAAGGAAGCAGAGCTGCAGCGTATGGAGAGAAGCCTCCAACGAATGGCTAGACGTGAGGATATCGACCTGGACAGGCGAAAAGCGTACCATCAGGCCATCAAGAATGGAGCCGATAGGAAAACTGCCAATGGAGCAATGCTGGAGGTCGAGGCAGCCTCGCAGCGAGAGCGTGACCAGCTAGACGCTGATAGCGACGCAGAGGCATTCCCTGATGCCATGGACGTGGGCTAGCTTGTAGCAGTGGGGTTGCATTGCTCAGACCTCATGGCCGTAGACAGAGATGCTGTGTTTCGTTCAACATTGCCAGAGTCGCATCGAAGTGCGACCATACTGTGCGCCTCACGTCTCGCGCAAGTTCTGTCTGCTTCTGTATACTACAATCGTTAGTGAACATGCCGGCTTCCGAGACAAAGCCGGTAACGTACTAGCGGGTTTTGATGGGCTGCTGGCGATGGAAGCGGACCTTCAAAATATTCCTCAGTATCCTGTGCTCCCTTCCGCGATACTTTGACGCTCGCTCCAAGAAAATGAGAGTGTTGGCGATGCGTGTTGGTTCGAAAGATTCTCGGGGCTCTTCCCTGAACGATCGTCGTAGTATATCTCTGACGATGTGTTTCGCCGGACTTGAGTGCCGGATGGCCTCTAGCGAGGTCTTGAATAGCCGTCGGTAGGCTGTCCGCACCTCTACTGCGGACATGGGATGCGATGGGTAACTTCACAGTAGTGGTAGCTGCCATGACAAGACATTGCTCAGCGAAAGAAAGAAGGAGGTCCTGGTGCGGTGTTAAGTACTCCCAATTCCGGCACTAAAAGCAGCTGGAATCTCTGCGGCCTAAGTGCTCTTCCACCTCGCAGTTTTCTTCTTCATTCTCTTTGTCATCTTCACGACATCCTTTTGACTGCAAGCCATCGACATCGCTGCCAACAGAACTTGAGGCGAGGTGATTCGCTTCCAAGCTTCTCTGTTTGCGTTTCAGCGATCCGACTACAGCCACATCGCGTTTGATCCAGAGGATACGCACTGCAGTTTCGTGGCGTCAACTACAGCAGAAGCTGTTACCATATTGCTACACGACCACTGGACCCATATTGTTCCATACTACGGATCACCTCATGTGCATAGTGCGAGTCGACGTTTTGTCACGCCCAGTTCCCTTTTCCTTTGTTGCCTGGACTTGTTCTCTGTAGTTCTCGGGGTCACCTCATGGTATGGCACGTGTTACTTCACAGAAAAATGCCAGGCACAATGGCGCCTATGGCAACAACAGAGGCTCACAGATAGCAAAACAACACCACAAGAACAATCAGAAGCAGAAGGTTGTAGTAGAAAGCGGCAAAGGTCAGGATCGCAATGTGGTAAGCAACAGCAAATTGCCGACCGCACGAGGTCATCGTCCTGTTTCTGCCCATGCTCATCGATCCCGTCAGCTATCTTTCCACACAGAGCCACCTCAAGGCTATACATTCATACCGGCAGGCAACCCGCAACTCACTGCAGCCCTCAAAGAGTTTGCCAAACGAGGCAACCACAAAATATTCTCGGTCTCGGTATGTCAATGCAAGCACCAAACACATCGTTCGGCTAATACATCGCAGACTACACCCCACGCTTCTCGCCATGAACTGTCTCGCGAGGTACATCGTGTTGGCTACCACTTCCCCACGTTTGTTGTTGCTCAGGTATGCAATCATTACGGCATTCGTCTGACTCGCACCGGTCATGTAATTGATGAAAAACAAAACGACAACTTCATGAAAGTCTATCAAAAAGGACAACTTGTATTGGACGCGGAGATACCTAAAGACCAAATCACAGTCAACACCGAGGCCAAGGAGACGATCAAGGATCTGTTCCCTAATATTCCGGATAACGACCTGTTCCAAATCATCAAGACAGCCTTTCAACTGGGCGACGGTAAGGTTGGAACTGCTGAAGACGTGCCACTTACCCGTCGAGCCTCCTTGTCTGTAGTTGCTCACATTCGTCACGTCTACACCCGCTACGATAAGCTTCTGAGGCGAATGCCATACAACAACGCTCGTCATGAGGTTGAGGCTGAGACCTTGACTAAGCTCGTCGAGTGGAGAGGCGATGGGTCTGCCGAGTCCGGCGCCATCAACGATGTCCTCGACGATGTGATTGTTATATCAGACGAAGAGAAGAGCGATGCTGAACCTGAAGACGGCCATTCCATTCACCAAAACGAAGTAAGAGTCGAAGAGCTAGATCACAGCACATACTGGCCCGCTGCTACTCGACCATTGTCTCCCCTCCGTGTTGCTGATGAGCCCACGCAAGGGTATCGCTTCCTTCCACATGCCTCATATCGCTATCAGCCAGAGGAAATCGCGGTAAGGGAACGCAACCGAGCTGCTCGATGGGAGCAAGCCAGGCAAGACTATCGATCGACATTGTCACAAGCAGGGCCGTCGTATCAGAGAGTGATGGTTCGAGAGCCCTCCCCAGCTCGTCATCTGATTCCACTTGATCCACCCCAGGGTAGAGTCCTTGAACGTGAATACCTTGGACCAAGCCGATCAGGACCCGTGGAGGTAGGTTCGCATTCCGAAGCCAAGACTTCTACGTCAACAGCATCCTATTCAACTGCTTCTGGTATGCCTGGGATGACTAACACCACTCAGGTCATCTCACGACCGGAATCACCACGCTACTCAGCACCGCAGACACGTTACGAACGAATAGACGATGCAGTTCCGCAAGTGCGATACGAACCCATCGATGACGGCTATCAACCACCTCATCCTGTCTATCACCCTGACTCGAGACCACTGACGCCGATTATTGTCAAGGCCCGCCGTCGATCAGCCAGTCCGGACGGAGATAGAACAATTGTTCAGTCGATTGAGGGCCCGAATGGCGCATACTCACCCAGTATGATCCGTCACAACGAAAACGCAAGATCACAAAACCATCAGATTTCCGCCAACCAACAATACCGGGACAGAAAAGACTACCAGTCCGGTCGAAGCAGTCCTATTGATGCACGTTCCCGCAACCCATTCGGCCAGACTCAGCATTCGCGGACCGCTTCTGGTCAATACATCCAGGATCAGCCAATGCAGCGTACTGGATCGAGACGCGAGATTGTGGACATTCAATCAGCCCCGCAGCGGATCATGGTCACCGACAGCGAAACGGTCTATTCCAGCGACAGAGATCACACATATACGCGTTCGAACCCCTTCCAAGATAGACCCCTTGAGCCAGTCACCATTCGCCGAGAACCATTACCAGCCCATCACTACGATAACATACGGACGGTCCACACAGCGACGCCTCCACGACGAATCCTTGAGCCCATCGGCGACCCGTACTCTGATTCTGGGCCGCAGCGGTATCGCGAGTATGATGTGCCTGTCACTACGGCCTACTATGGTTCGGCACCATCCACAGCACAGTACCTAGCTGAACCGCCGCGACGCGTGGTGTATGCCAATCCGCCAGAGGAGTATGTTACGACTACGCGTTATGAGCCGTTACGTTGATTTCTCTTGCATGAGGCGAGCTTGCATTGGCCGACTACTGTGCACATTTGTGGTTCACCTTCGGAACTGTTGTGTTTCGAGCGCTGGCGTTTCTGGATCGGAGGGAAAAGCAATCTCGAAGCATCGTCATCTCGCTATGGCGGCTGCGTTAACGGTCCCTGGTTCCAGTGACTAAGGCCCAGCATGCATCTGGTTGGACGCTCACCTTCGTGCCTTTTAGCGGCATGGACGAGACGAGCTTTGACTTCACTGCACCCTGAGCATAGCGAATCTGGGACCGGACCCGACGTGAGGAGGCATAAAGCATAACAGCGTGTTTTTACCATACTTCTGGACTTTTCTACCTTGCATAGCGATATCGATCCGGCGCTGGGATACGACGAGACGAAATGCATTTGCACATCTGCGCTGTCTGAGGACGACTGGGGAACCGGGAAAGGGGGGAAAAGCTTCCTGTACGGAAGCAGAAGAGCTAGGCGAAAGCGCGGAACAGTAAGATCCTGACGCTTGTACATATTGTGTACAGGTCCAGCAAAGTACTTGTCGACTACCGCCAGTACTACCGATTTAATAGAAAACAGATGAATCCAAACGTTGGCGGCAATTTTCTCTATCGCCTCCCGTGCTGTGGTTTCACTACTGTTCAGCAATGCTGCTGCTGTTGCTCTTCTGTCTTCTTTTAGTCCTGCAAAGTGCGCATTCGAGCGCTGCTACGGGAGAACTCGGCGTGAGTGCTTGAAAAACATGATCAGGTGGCTCGGAAGTTTCGTGTGTCTGCTCAATTGGTTACTTGCCTGCTCGCCGACTCGCATACTGTACTTGTGCAAATCATCTATACTGTACTCTGTGTAGCACCGGGGACGGTGGGTGGGGGAGGCGGTGGGAAGGTGGCGGGCCCGAAGGGCCGCCAGCTCCACACCGCCCTTCGCGAGCGCAGCGAGCATTAGGCTGAGGCCGTGAGGCCGGAAGCAGCGCCGCAGGCAAACTAAGGAAGGCCGTGAGTGAGCGGAGCGAGGTCTGTGGGCTGGGAGGGATGCGGTCGTCATGGGGATAGTCTGTTTCGGTGCAGGGAGATGCGATGCAGTTGTTCGAAGTGTAGCTTAGCATGCTTGCTTGCGCGCTCAATGTATGTATGTATGTAGATGTTTGGGAGTTCTAGCGTTGCTCGTCTTTTCCTGGGACTCTTTATACGGACTGAACGACACCATCAGCCTCGCCAGAGTTGACAGTCTTGCCCGTCTTCTTGATCTTCTCCAGCAGCGTCGCGTAGTCTGGTGCGTTGGTGGCTGAGGAATCTGTGGTGATCATGGCGGTTTGGTCGTCGAGGGAGACTGTGTAACTCTTGATGCCTGCCGAGGAGCGTTAGCGGGCGGTCGCGAAACGAAGGGGGCGGGTTCGGTGTGGCTCTGGGCTGAGGCGAGGGAGGGGAGGACGAGGCAGTCGTCCACCGGCACGGTGGGCAAGCGAAGCGAGCTCTAGGCTGAGGTCGTGAGGCCGGAAGCAGCGCCGCAGGCGAATACTGCTGGAGGGATTGCGGCAGGGACGGAGGGAAATGGGAAAAGACGGGCGATGACTTACCTTCAGTCTTCTTGAGGACGCGCTCGACGGCGCCGGAGCAGCCGCCGCAGGTCATTGTGACGTTGAACTTGTAGTTGTGTTCTGCCATTGCGACTGCGGTTTTGGTGGTGGGTTGGTGTGGGTCGGACGATAGCGGTGAGTGGGATGCTGTGGCTGTAGTTGTGGTGGTGTCTCTGGGTGTGTTGGTGCAGGCGTCAAAGTCCTGAGAATTAAAATTGGACTCGTTTTCTGCAGAAGTTATGTACAAGCGATCCCAAGTACTTTGAGTCGTAGAAGACTGAAGTTGGTGTGAGTAGAGCACTTGACAAACACAGATGCTCAGATGTAGGTGTGGGAAGCCGACAGCGAGATCAGGGGCAGGTGGTTCAATAATATATGGATTTGTAAACAATCGACGAAGAGGCCGGGCAGCACAAAGGAATGTCCGCGCCGCAGCCACGGATGTCGTGCTCACTTACGAAACTTGCTCACGGGGGCGGCGGTGAGACTGAGGGATGTCTCGAATTGGTCAGCGGGGCTCGAGTTCGTCGGAGACTCGGCAGGGGCGTTTCAGGGTGCATTGGGGGCTTCTGGGGTGGTTGCTCTTGATGAGACGCCTCGTTTGGATTGCCTGATGTTGAGATCATTGATGGGCAAAAGATGGTGCATGTTGACTTCAGGCAACCTTTCCAAGGTTGCGAGACGACTAGGGAACATAACGTATATCTAGACTACATGACTGTTGGGCCGGCGTGAAAGGCAGCCTGTGGTGTTGGTGGACATTTAAATTCGGAAGCTTGACACGTCAGCCGGTCTGAGCTAAGTCCACACGCTCATGCTTCGCTCGCCAACAACCACCCAACACCCAGTGCAGCAACAATGCCACCTACGTGAGATCCACGCTGCGGTGTCACCTTAATTTTTCTCTGATGCTGAAAGTTAACCTACAACCTTGCCACCTCCTGCCTTTGTGACTCCCAGATGCTTTCCCAGACAGGCATCCACCTCTCCCAATTCCCATCCTCCACATCCTCCATCGTCCTCCCATCCTTCCCAAACACCCTGATCCGCCTCTCCTGATCCCCCTTCTTACTCCCCCACGCCACATCTCTCCCCTCCAGGAACTCCCCAAAAGGCCTTATAAACTCTAACACATTCCTCCGATCTGTCTCGTCGTATCCGGCTCGCCATCCACTACACCACCAGATCGGCGTGTCTGCACCGTGACACACGCCCAATTGAGGCTGAACCCATGCGTCCATACCCTTGGCGCGCCATTCGATGCGGTAGCGATGGAGATTTTGTGGTGGTAGGGCGGCCACGCCGGGGCTTGAAGGCGGGTGCAGGAGGAGATGAGTGAGTCCACGCTCGGGGATGTGGACTTGTCCCGCGCCCGTCATTTGCGCGAAGACATCTTGCCATGCGGCGACATCCTTGGAATCCTTCGGAGGGACGTTGAAGTGCGGCAGCATGGCTTCGTAGACGGGTTTGGGGTAGTAGTTCGCCAGCTGGACCAACAGGCCGGGGTAGTCGGAGGGCGGGTTGACGAGTTTGTAGAGTTCGGCTTCGTGGGCGCATTCGCCTAGCAGGACGGAGATGTTGTGTTTGGCGAGGAGGGTGGTGAAGTGGCCAGAGTGCAGGCTGTGGAGGAAGGTGGAGGGGATGAAGGCATCGTCGGTGGAGGAGCGGAAGGTGTGTTGTTTCAGACGGGTGATGGAGGCGTTGAGGTCGGCGGCGGGGATGGCGCGGAGGCGGGAGAGTTTTTCGCGGATGGGGAGGGTGGGGGAGATGGAGTTGACGGTGCAAAGCTCGTTGAATTGGGTGGTGAGTTGGGTCGAGGTGGTGGAGGCGGGTTGGATGGCGACGGCGTTGGACCAGAGGTAGACACGTTTGATGATGCGTTGGGATGGGGGCAGGTGGATGTCGTGGTAGAGCTGGAAGAAGGTTGAGTTTGCGCCGGCGCTGAGGCCGCCGCAGGAGATGTTGGAGGGATTCCCGCCGAAGTGGGCGATGTGTCTGTGCACGAACTCGAGGGCGGCGCGTTGGTCCCAGAGGCCGAAGTTGGAGGGTGATGGGTCTTCTTTTAGGGAGGCGAGCTCGGAGCCACCAAGGAAGCCGAAGAGGTTGAGACGATAGGTGGGCGAGCAGATGATTCGTGGAGTTGACTCTCGGAGGAGGTCGATTGGATCGAGGTCGTGGCCTTGCATGGCGTGTCCGACCTGGAGCCAACCTCCGTGGATGTAGAACTGGACAGCCCATCCTCCTGGAGGCGGTTTGCCGGCTGGGACAAAGATGTTGAGGTACAGACAGTCTTCAGATTGCTCGTTCTGGATCTTGGGTATGGCGTCGGGGTTTGCCAGCACTGCAGCTGAATGGCCATACACTGGTTGAGGACATATTGGGCCGAAGGCTGTGTAGTCGCCTGGCTGACCGTTGCTGTCGCTGAAGCTGAAGTCCACTGGGAGTGGCTGAGGATGTCGCCATCGTCTAGAGCCGACTGGTGGTAGGGCATATGGTACTTTGGCATAGCGGTGGTAGATGGGCTTGCCCGAGGAGTCGCGAGCTTCAATGCCCTTGAGCTTGCCTAGTGAAGTCTCATGAATGTGAGTATGCTGTGTCGAGTGGGCAGACCCCATCCTGATTGCCGAGGTACGCAACGAATATAACCGTTCACGAGAGTGTGTTCACCAGATGAAAACGAAACAGCGGTAGGATCTCTGAAATATTCTTGAATGACCACATATGTTCGTGATATTCCGAAGCTCGTACATGAATACACGAGACCTCTCGCGCCAGAAGAGCGTCGAACTCCGTCTCAACGAGAATCTCGCAAGAGTCTATCGCAGCGACGAGGCAACTACTGCCCCACATCATTACCAGGTGTGGAGCTATGGCGGGATCACTTGAAGATATTGCCGATGCTTCGGCCATTTTTCTAGAGTATATAACGTTCCGCGGGCGGCGTCCTTTCCGTTCTGGCAGGGCTTCATACTCTTCACCAGCATGACTGCACGCCGAAGATGCTGCCATTCCTGGTTTCCCGGCTAGCAGCAGCGCGACTGGGAACTCGACTCGACCTCGTCGCTAATCATGGCTTCCGAGATTCGCGGACATCAATCCTGCTCCTTGATGAGTTGAAGAGGTCTTCTCGTATAACCGCAAGGCCGACACAATACCTTGAGACTTTTCGCAGCATCCTGCCCGCAATGCTGCAATGGGGCCGGCTCATGAGGCCATCCTCGATTTCAGATTCATCCTGTGGCATGCAGTGCGCCAGGCCCTGTAAGCTCTTAATGTGCGCTTCTGCTGTTGCATGATCGACCTGTCGATCATCGCTTTCCGCAAGGACCGGGACAGGCCATAGAGAGCCACGAGACTACGCTTCCGCTCACAAGCTAAGACAAACTGCTTTGCTTCCGCCGCTATGAGGTCTCCTTTTGATCCCTATGTCTCTTCAGCGTCACTACCACTTTCCTCTCCATCCGTCATGTCACCATTCTCATTAGCCATACCGTACAACCTCGCTGTTTCACTCCCCAGTAGGGGCGCGCGCTCCTTTTCGTGGCGCGAGAAAGAGCCGATGACTGCCATGACCAATGCAGAGAAGCCATGCACCATGATCGACCAAAGCACAACAAATGAGACGATGGGCCAGACATGGTTGATCACATCGTTATAAGCTCTGTTGATGTCTCGCGGAGGGTGCGGCAGAACTTCTGACGTGCCTGTCTCAAGCCGCGCCCTCGCCTCCATGGCTAGAAATATTGCTGCGACTCCCATTGGTCCGAAATGCCCTGCAAAGAGAGCCTCGTTCCAGGTATGTATTTCCCGGATGAAGGGCTTGAGAGCCAAAATGGCTGGCAGGCGTCGGATCAGGAGGACGAGAACTGAAATTAGAATAAGTTTCCCGGGCGGGATTGTGTCGTGGAATGCATGCCATGGGATGATGGATCCGAAGTAGACGAAAAGTACCGAGTTCAGTAGTAAGTCGATGATACTAGGCAACTTCATCTTGTGAGTCTTCGATACAAACCAGCCATCCCAGCAAAAGGCTTGGCCTGCGGCGAAGCAGACGAGGAAGTCGTCAAGGCCCAGTGTTGCGCCGACGCCGACGCACAGGATGGCGAGCAGGAAGTAGAAGACAAACAGCGTCGCTTCTTGTAGGAAGTTCCGCTTTTCGCTGAACTTCAGTGCTCGATTGGCTGCCAGTCCCAAAATAACGCCAACAATGATGCCGACGCTGCACTGCCATATTATGACATTCAAGAACCACTCCTTGAAGCCCTCTCCGAAGCTGGGAGCTGTCATAATGTAGAGTCCAGCATAAATCAGCGGAAATGCAGAGCCATCATTGCAGCCAGATTCAGCAGATAAGATGTGTCTCAACCGTTTGGGGATCCGTTGAGAGAACCGTGCTTCGCCCAACACGCTGGCGGACAGCACTGGATCAGTAGGTGTCAAACACGCTGCGATGACAAGGCAGTTTCGGACGTTGAACCCAAGGACAAAATGCAGTATAGCCGTGCAGATGAACCAGCCGGCGACCATGTTTGGTCCCAGCAACAATGAAACACCCCGTGCATGCTTCTTGATGTACTTCGCTGGGAGTTCTATGCCGGTAGTGAACACCTGTACGCCGATGACGACCCTCGTAAACTCCTGAGAGATGTTGTCTTCCCAACCCCAGGTCAATGGATCTAAGATGGTTGCTCCGCGTGGTCCGAAGGCTATGCCGGCTAGTGTTGCAAGTGGTGGTTCCGAGAGGTGAATGCGATTGCGCACGAGCTCTGCGAACAGGGCAAAGGCGATGAGGAAGAGGCTTAGTAGGAGGTATGTCAAGTGGCTGGTAGATGGCTCGATCTCGGGCCAAGACATGGTGGTGGCTTTCAGGACGGGGATTACCAGGTCAATGCAAGTCGTGTTTGGTAGTCATTAGTGAAAATTAAGGATATGAACAAGACTGCCAGCTGCAACTTTGGGACATATACAATACAAAAGGACGTGTGGCAGTCAGCACGACATTGCTCACCTGAGTGGTGAGTTTTCCAACGGCATCCGTCATCGATTTCTTGGGATCAGGAAGGAAACTCCGATCATTGCAGCCAAATCTGGGGCGTACCTGCATCGTACGAAGGTGTGGCTCATGTTCTGGAAGATGAGGCTGAATGAAAGGAATTCGAAAGCATTAGCCACATTGACCGGCCGTGTCTTGAAGATCAGCGTGGTGGTTTCGGTTGAATGCAAACGTGGAACAAATGTGAGAACAAGCTTATTAGTTGACTGCAGATCATCGGAACGTCGGCTGTCGAGGTTCGAGATCGGGTACAATGCAAACGACGTGTCAATCTTTCAGAGGGCGTAGGCTTTCACGGAGCCGGCGAGTTTGCTGCTCGCAGGCAGAGCGGTGAAGCAGCGAGCAGTAGGGTTCTTTATGCCGACTGCTCACCGGTCATCGTCTCGGAGTCTTTCAATCGGAATGGATCGAAAACAAGAGCAAATGGTAAACGGGCACCCGAGGTTGCCTTGAGGTGTTGTGCGGACCAGGGAGAAGGTCGATCGCCGCTGAAAATAGAGCCAATTCATCGTTTGCTTGTCAGCCGAAAGGGCGGCGGCAAGAAAAGGTGAGAGATCATTCGGTTGGTGGGCTGGTCCTGACAAACAGAAGGACGAGGGGGAATTGGAGGTGGGTTGAATTGTGGTCCGCAAGGCGGAGCTCAGGTTCAATTCGAAGGAATCAAATCGAGGGTCAGATGGGACAATTGATGCCCAATATTCCATCAGACGTGTGAGATTATGATGGAAGAGCATGCACTGTGTATGAACAGCATGGCATGGCATCCTGGGCAGATTGCTTGTAGCACGGGTGCTCGGAAATGCCGCCACGGATAGAAGGCTTACCCGGAACTTGAAGTCAACTTACTGTGGTTCTCTGTTTGAAGGCCCGGAGCAAGCCTAGAAGCAGAAGGCTCATGCTTAAAGCGACGCTGCAACAGAGGGGCAAGCACAGGCAGGGACGCCAAGAGAGGTCTTTTCAAGCCTAGAAGGGCGCGCGCCTCCACCGCAGTTGTCAAGACAAACAGGTCATTTGATCATTTTGGCCCCTGCGCCTCCCACTCTCCCACCCTGCGCTCTGCCTTCCCTTCCATCCAAGTTACCTGTAACCTGATCTCCTCTACACCGTCTTCATCCTCGGACCTCTTCCTCCTCTCCTCCTCAACGCCTCAAGTCAGCAGTTGGCTCGACTTGTGAGTGACTCGCTCACACGTCGTCAACAATCTGACTAGGCTTGCATCTCCATTTTGTTGTCCACAAAGAATCAGGTTAGTCATCCAAGTCCAGCAATTCCTTGATTCAGTTGATGTGCTGTTATCGGTGACCCGCCCGCCTGACCTCAACCTCACGTTGCAGCTTCATCAACCAAATTCTGCCTACTCCGACCTTCACCTTTGCCCTTCATTCCCTCTCAACTTCACGGATCACCGTCTAGACACGGATCTACCTAGGCCTCACTCTGACACAACACGTTGCTTTAATCTCAACGACGTCGGAAACGGCCTTTGTTTGTCTTGACTGTCTTTATCCCGGTTTGGTGCTAATTCCACTCTGAAACCAGTCTGGGTCGATCTACTTCCACCACATCCACCTCAAGTCATCCCTCTTCGAGTCCTCTTCGATTTTCTCGAATCACATAACACACGTTAAGAAGCCTGCAAAGGCAACAAATCCGCCAAGATGACCACAATGGTATGTTCAGCCTCACAACGATGGCAGCAAGAAACACCCAAAAAGAGTATGCTCACACATCAGCAGGATCTTCGGGTCGGTAACAAGTACCGCATCGGTCGAAAGATTGGTAGCGGCTCATTCGGAGACATCTACCTGGGCACCAATATCATTTCCGGTGAAGAGATCGCCATAAAGCTCGAGTCCGTCAAGGCCAAGCACCCTCAACTAGAGTATGAGGCCCGCGTCTACAAGTCTCTGGCAGGAGGTGTTGGCATCCCTTTCGTGCGCTGGTTCGGCACCGAATGTGACTACAACGCCATGGTCCTCGATCTCCTCGGCCCCTCCCTCGAAGACCTTTTCAACTTCTGCAACCGGAAATTCTCCCTCAAGACCGTCCTCCTTCTGGCGGATCAGCTCATCTCACGCATCGAATACATCCATGCCAAATCCTTCATCCATCGAGATATCAAGCCCGACAACTTCTTGATGGGCATTGGCAAACGCGGCAACCAAGTCAATGTTATTGATTTTGGTTTGGCCAAGAAGTACCGCGACCCCAAGACACACTTCCATATTCCATACCGTGAGAACAAGAACTTGACGGGTACGCTCGTTATGCCTCGATCAACACCCATCTTGGCGTTGAGCAGTCCCGTCGTGATGATATGGAGTCACTCGGCTATGTCATGCTCTACTTCTGCCGTGGCTCCCTTCCATGGCAAGGCCTGAAGGCTGCAACCAAGAAGCAGAAGTACGATCGTATCATGGAGAAGAAGATGACCACCCCTACCGAGGTTCTGTGCCGTGGCTTCCCTAACGAATTCGCCATCTATCTAAACTACACTCGGTCACTCCGCTTCGACGACAAGCCAGATTACAGCTACCTCCGCAAGATCTTCCGTGATCTCTTCGTCCGAGAATCCTTCCAGTATGACTACGTCTTTGACTGGACCGTTTACAAGTATCAGAAGAACGCCCAGGCTATCGCTGCCGCTTCTGGCAACCAAGCTCCGGCGGAGGAAGAGGACAAGCCACGAGCTCGCGGCACCGCTGCTGCCACTGGCCAACCCACCACTGCGAAGCCTGCAGCAATCTCCAGCTCTCGACGCAAGGTCATCGATCGCCAAAACACCAATGAACAAGGCGGTAGTGATAGGATGTGAGTACTGAGACCTTCGGTTCTGTGTAAGGGACCTCCTCCGCGTTGTGCTTCGGTTACGTGGAGATTTGAATTGGCATCTGACTAATATACAGTCTTCGACGATAGGACTCGTTCCGGCACTTCGAGGCTTCCTAATCTTAGTGGTCCTCGTTGAAAGCAGAATGAAGGCTTCGGCTCCTCACTCACCCTCCACTCACGCTTTGAGTCGGCAATCAACATGATTTCCTTCTTGACTCAAATGCAACAAATGGGCATGTCGGATCCCGCGCGGGGTTTGCTAATGGCACATGGCAAATCCGGATTGGGATATTCAACCACATAAACGGACTCAATGGTCATAGGCCGACGACTACGATCAGCTCCGGCATCACGACTCAACGAGTGATGCTACAAGTGGCTCTGAATTTAGCAGACATATCTTACGACCACCTTCGATTGTGGCTCAATCATACGGCTGCCCAGTATCAACGTACCGGCAACGATTACTGATGATATTGCTCCCGACAGACGAATCATACTACACACCACCGCCGCCCCTCAACACTCAGCACGTTTTATTTTATGGTTTTCTCTGCTCCACATGGTCGGACTTCGAAGGACGCACGCCCACCTTCCGGCCACGAGACGCAGTCAAAGGTCCTTGCAAGGAACAACAGCTTGAGATCGATTCGTCAAGATTGTGGACATGAGCAGACGAATTCAGCAGGCAGATAGATGGTATAATATGACGGAGGACATGTCAGGGGCGGCTTCTGGGGCTGTTCGGGGCAAGGGTGAAGTCTGCTCTGATTTAAGGAAGTATTCAGTCTTCGGAAGAGGCTCCAAGTCTCGACGGAAGCAAACCACGACTTGATAATCAAATCAAACAGAAAACTATGTGCCAAAAATTGCGAGTTTCCCGTTTTGCTCCTGACTGACATGATGGCTACACGACGTGGGCATTCTCGGATCTTGCCTGCTGGTGACAACACAGCATTCAGCCACAGACGTGATCGTGCATCTCTACCCCGAGCTTCCATCTGGTTAGTTTCATGTTCACTCGCTACGCAAGCGAGGTACGGTATCTCTGGTATTGTTCCTTGACAATGGAAAACACAGCGGTGAGCAGCACTCTCCCTCTAGATGCGTTTCTTCGTGCTCAGTGAGGTCAGCGAATTCGAGTTCAATCATTATGGCTGGCGTGTCGAACACAACATGCCGTGGAGGACTCCGTGACAGTCATGGGCTGGACCGGATCATCCCAGATCTAGAACTGTGGTGTAACCCGTTTCAAAATGTCAGACGCAACTTGATCTGGCAGAAATGAATGCTGAAGTAGTCTGTTTAAGAAAGCAACGTGGCAGGCACATTCTCAAGTGGCTGGGACGCAGAGCGTTCAACGGCAGGAGCTAGACTGAACTATCGAAATATCATTCTCATCTCTGCTTCGTTACAGAGGGTTCCCAGCCACTACATCCCTTATCCTTCTTAGACATTGCATCTCTGTTTCGGACCATTTCGACTGCGATCACACTTGACACAGCCTCGTAGTTGCCATCTGCATAACGCTATCACGTCGAAAGTTCACATCAACCGAGCTGACTAAAAACTCAACCTCTCTACTGCTCTCACTTCTATCACCTGCTCAAGGAGGACTCTATTGCCACTGCTCATAGCATCTGAACACAGCCAACCACGAGCAAATCCATCAGCTCCGGCAGCACATCCGAGTCTACCAAACGCAATCCGAAGTGCTCTCGGGCGTCATCTTACCAACACCTCTCCGCCTGCCAACAAAATGGTCGAGCTCCGCAAACGTCCAGCCCGGGAGGACCCTGTCGCACCACCAGCCAAACGCTCGTCTTCTAAGACCAACGCGAAGCAGCCTTCCAAAGTAAAGCAAGTTGTCACCAAAGCGAAGGAAGCGATAGCAGGGCCTACTAAGTCTGAGGAAACCACAGCCACCGATCTCCCCGCCGCCAATAGCCAGACGGGAGTCGTGCCCGAAACGACCGGCACGGCTGGCGAGGGCGTCGATGCCGCTCCTGCTACTACTTCGACGAACGCTGCGGCTCCAGCTCCAGCTACTGGTAGAGCAGCAGCAGCGACCGTGAAACAACTCGGCTCATACAGTGTAGGCACGAAAGTTGACCTCAATGGGTTTGGTGGAACGGTAACTACGCACGATGGAAAGAAGGTCACTTTGGGTGAGCTGGCATCTGGAGCGGAGAAGGGTGTTGTGGTGTTCACTTATCCTAAAGCGAGCACGCCTGGCTGTAAGTTCGACCTCTACCCTTTCGCAACGAACGGTGACTCTATCGTCGCCGGATCGTGACCTTTTTGTCGATCCAGCGTCGATCATTCGTCAACCGATCATGAGCTTTGCGTCAAATGATCGTGGACCGTCCGTCAATCAAGCCTGACTGTTGCTGACCGAATTCCCAATGTAGGCACGACACAAGCCTGCCTCTTCAGAGACAACTATAAACCCATTGGTGACGCAGGCTACGCCGTCTATGGCTTGTCAACTGACTCCGAGAAGTCGAATACGAATTTTGTGACGAAAAAGGAGTTGCCATACCCGTTGCTGGTAAGATCCCTTTCTCTGTCTCCCTCTTCCCCCTCCCCTCTCCACCCTTTCCAATCGAATGCAAAGATATATCCGCCAGGGAGGACTTTACGGCATCGGACAATGTCCTCCCTGCTCTCCTCGCGGAGCTTTTCATCTGCGTTTCCACTTCCAGTCCACCAGTCTATGCACACTGACGCTTGTCGAACACAATAGTGCGATCCCAAAGCCTCTCTAACACACGCCATCGGCATGAAGAAGCCCGGCTCAACCACACGAGGTGTCGTTGTGCTTGATAAAGATGGGACTGTACGCGTATGGCAGCAAGCGGGACCGCAAGCTACGTTGGACGCGGTATTGGGGTTCTTGAAGTGAGGTGCGAGACTATGGTAGATGTTATGGGGAGGGTGGTGGGCTGAGGCGGACGCTACGAGCACGAAGCATTCGTCCACGGTCGTCACGGTAGCAGGAGAATGTCTCACGTCGCAGGAGAACCTTCGAAAGTGATTCAAACATGTTTTCGTCCCATCAGATCAATATCGTTCGGCTATCTCGACAGACCTCGCCCGTCCAAGCCCCAAAGCATACAGGCCAACCCGCACACAAGGTCGATGCATTGCTGCTCCAGCCAACCCATCTGTATCCAGTCTAGAAGACATCACCCAGATTCCAACTCCTATATGCATCAACACACCTGACCACGAAAATCCCACGGCCAGTGCTCAACCCCTTCCTCATCGTAGACCTTGTAATACACCGTCTCCCCTCCTTCAAAGTAATCCTTCACCAGAATCTGATGTTCCGCCAACCCTTCCTCCTCCATGCACTCCCTCAGCACGAGGCTCAAGGCTTTCTTCCGAAAGAAGACCTCCGAGAACCAGCCGTCTTCCTTTGGCTCGCCCCAGTAACGCTTCACCCTCCCCACGAAGTTCGCCAGCGTTTCGTTCTCATTGACTTCCTGCCCCTTAACGCAGCCCTTGCTGCCTTCCTTCCAGTTGATCCACATGTACCTGTGCTCTAGTCAGATTTCTGTGTTGATGCTGCCTGTCTTCAGACTCGGGGTAAATTAGAGCAGGGCCATACCCGTGATCCCGCCATCCGCGTCGGTGCCAGCCGGAGCCACGGGCTGTGCGCGCTGAGAGGCGTGTAGTGCCGCGGCGGGATCGGTCGTCTGCGCTTCGGACTGCGAGGGTGAGCATTGGGAGTGGGTGATTTCTGGGACAGGTGGGAAGAGCGAAGAGAGCCGGGGTTCTTGATGGGTGAGCGGAGTTGGACCGTACTTTGTATGAAGGGTATAGTTCGGGCGAACTGGATAAGGGCCACGGCAGGTGCTACCTATAGGGGAATGTAGTCGCCCATACCATGAATACTGTGTACACGTCACGTACCGTACTTTGACATTGCAGCCTACATGAGAGGGCGCCGGAAGTTCATGCGGCTTGAGACCTGTTCCTGCTGCTGGAGCGGTGCTGCATAGGTTTCACAGAGAGAGAGATGGGGTTGGCATAGCGCGAACGGATTCCACGGCGTTTCGATGGGCAAGAGCACAGGAATTCGGAACTGGGGAGGGACCTGGCAGACCACATACACCCTTCTTGAGGGTAGGACACGATATCCCCGTCGCCTCGGCCCATTGTGGTCTGTCACATTAACTTGTCTCGTTGCTTTGCTGGCGTATCATAGCGTTGCGATGCCCGGATACCACGCCATCCCAATCCGCTCCATCTCCCTTGCGAACTTCTTGCTCTTAATCTCTTGCCCTCCCCTTCCTCTTCCTCCCACATCAGGCGTGTAGAACCCATTCAGCAATAACCCGATCCACGCGCTTTGTATCGCCTTCCACGCCGGCTTAAGATCAGCGTCCCGCAATCCCACCGTCCCGCCCGCGGAGATCTGTGCGTCGACTTCGGCACTGTCGTCGAGCGCGGTGTCCGAGGTACTGTTGCGGCCGAGCATGTCCACCACGATGACGAATTTGATGTTGGTGTTTGTGAGGAAGCCGTAGGTTGCGAGGCGGGGGCTGATGGAGTGGAGGAGGCCGAGATCTTGGGTTAGAGGGATCTTGTTGGAGGTGGAGTGGCGTAGGCGCATGTCGAATATGTCGAGGGAGGAGTTGAGGACGAAGGACATGTCGAGGTGGGAGTTGGTGTGTGGGGGGAGGAGGGTTGTGTGGAGGGGTTCGTCCTGTGCAATAAGTATGGGCGTCAGTTGGCTGGCCATTCGGTCTACGAGGAGGGGCTATGAGATGTGGTTGGTAGTGTTGCTTGAGCGCGGTGCTCGTGGTGAAGATGGTGGTGGTGGTCTACGGACATGTTTGCCGATCACGCCTATGCAGGCTATTGATGGCGTAGTCGCCATTTCTTCATGAGATGTGTGGCTTCATCGAGCCCGGTAGCAGCAGCAGCGAGAAAGGTGAGGATCTGCTTCGAAGGCAGTCGCTGGCGCAGTGTGTGAGCGGTGTGAAGGAAGACGAGTACGATGTTCTGTAGAAGTGCAGTCGCTCGCTCGGATAGAACAATCCGCCAATAAGATCTGACGTAGAGTTCTTGACTAAGGAAAAGTGGACCTTTTGATCTTCGACTTTGTGGAGGGCATCATAGACGTGCAGACTGCACATTTACCTCCTCGCCGGCGCCAAATCTCCTCTCCTCACTCCTATAGGGACCTTGACACTGCCATCCTCTGTCCTTTGTCCTCGGTCACATCACACGCAATGTTCTCCCTCTCGCGCTCAATAGCGCCGCGCGCTCTCCGAGGTAGCTACCTTCCACCATCCCCATCGCCACACACAGCTCCGACTAACACCTTCTTCAGCAGCCGCTCAAACCAGCACACCTCTCCTCCTCCGGGCCACACCCTCAGCCATGATATCGTCTTCGGCACCAACCTCCGCCACCGTCCCAACCATCCCCTCCACAGTCAATGACGCCTCCCGGCTCCCCGTCACAGGTGGCCTCCGCCGCGAAGTTCCTCTCCCCTCACAAGAAGTAAAGTCCGGCGCCATGCAATACGCCCTTACAACCCTCGACCAAATCGCCAACTGGGCCCGTCAAGGCTCCCTGTGGCCCATGACTTTCGGCCTGGCCTGCTGCGCCGTTGAAATGATGCACCTTTCGGCCCCGCGTTACGACCAGGATCGGTTGGGCATAATCTTCCGAGCGAGTCCACGGCAGAGCGATGTGATGATTGTGGCGGGCACGCTGACGAATAAGATGGCGCCGGCGTTGAGGCAGGTGTATGATCAGATGCCGGATCCGAGGTGGGTGGTCAGTATGGGGAGTTGCGCGAATGGGGGTGGATATTATCATTATAGCTACAGTGTGACGAGAGGGTGCGATCGGATCGTGCCGGTGGATATCTACGTGCCGGGGTGTCCGCCGACGGCGGAGGCGTTGATGTATGGGATGTTTCAGTTGCAGAAGAAGAGTGAGTTTGCCGTTATGTTTCCTGGGCGAGGTTGAAATGTGTGCTAACGATAGTGAACAGTGAGGCACACACGGATCACGAGGATGTGGTACAGAAAGTAGTCCAAGCCATTGAGAGGGTGTTCCCGTTGCAAGGTATTTCGAGATGCAGATGGCGTTCCTTGGTTGGGTGTGATAGCAGCACAGCATGATTTCGAACCCACGGCATGAGGCAGCGACGCTTCTGTACAGACAAGAAAGCTTCATTTTATCATCAGATCGATCGTGTCCTCTTTACACGTTGTTTAGAGATGACACAGCTTCAAGAGCCTCCCCTACTTATCTGATTTTTAGTAAGTGCAGTCGTCTCAGGTATCCATGCAATCCTCAGCGACATTCGCGGCAGAAGGTTCGGAGGCTACATAATTCACCAGCTTCGTCTATGGCCATCCAACCTCGCAGATTTCCTTCGTCCACCAATGCCCCGAGCAATGTGTATCAAGCGATGATCGAACCACGACTCTTGCTACCCGATCAACTGCTTCTGGTATCACGAAGATGCTCTCTCCTCGAGCTCGACCCACCTGTTAGCAGCAAATGCTGACATGGCATGACAAGTCTCTTGCCGATTCTCCATGTCAACGAACTCTCGTTAGAGGAGTGAAGCACAGCGGTTCGGGGGCGGGCTGACTACTTATATGTCATCTACCAAGTGATGGGCCGATACAAAGCGAAAAGATTGCTTCATTGACTCGGCTGGGGACAATCACTGCTATCTGTGTTGATTCATGGTTGGTTGCTACATGTTATTCAATTTCGCCCCACCAGACAGCAATAGATGCTAACATGGCATGACAAACAGTGGACCTCGACCGTGTTTGCCTCTAGGGTTCGGAGAAGGAGAAGATGGCGAAGGCATGGCAATGACTTATACCTCTACGACAGGGTGCAGATCCTGTGCAAACCGAAACGGGCGCTTCACTGACTCGGCAGTACTCCACAAGGAAGCATTCACCGTTCGTCGCTTGAACCAGTGATCATCGCTGCCTAATGTCGATGAATTGAATAAGTGTTGCAGATTCTTGTCCGTCTGCAGACCTGGCAATCCAAGCTGAACGATATCTTCTGCGAACGTACTACATGAGTCGGTTGTAGCCCGTCTTTCTGATTAACCAGCATAGAAGTACTCGAGCTCAGAGGCAGTCTGCCATGATGGCGCGTTGAGCAGTATACAGTAGCTTTGCAGCGTCGCCATGTGTCTGACCTACCGTATAATTTCACTTGACCACAGGCCTGCATCGTCTGACCTGACTCACTACAGGATAGAGAGCGTAATATTGTGTCCTCGTTCTTTCGCGAAGTGATAACACGCGACCTGGTGTCGGCAGAACGGCTTTTGTGGAGTCCTATTCCCTGGAAAGTTCGAACGAATCGGGCAAGGACTCGAGGTCGTGGCTGCGCGTTGGTGGTTACTAGTCAAGATTTCGTACGTCCTTCATCAAGCGTACTCCTCAACAACAACAACCTTGGCCTTCTTGTACATACCTACCTGCTCTCAAACGCCTCTTTGGAAGGCACTGTACATAATATCACGACTCGTCCAGAATTTTTGAGCGTTGTCGCATACTCGGTGTTTGCTTTCGCTTGGATACTTCCGCCGCGATTGATCCAGCTGCCTCGAGGAAGAAACGAAGACAGAGCAGGGACTCGAGGGAGCTCATCTTTGTTTGCGCCTCGTTTACAGGAGAGGGGAGGTTTCAGCATCTAGACGCCACGTCAGGCTCCTCGGATGTCTCCTCCACCAACAGAGCAATAACACCCATTGATGGCCATGCCATGGCAACGATCCGCCTCGTCAGGCCACTCCGATCATGACCAGACCAACATGCGCGGCCGCGCGCAATCAGACCTCGAGAAAGACGCGCTACGAATATCACGGCACAGCGACGACTACGACGAGGACGACCGCCTCGACTCCGCGTCCTCCTCGCGAAGCGTCTCCTCCACGCGCAAACTCAACCGAGCTTTTTCCACACCACGGTCGAGATCCTCCTTCCTCTATGTGCGCTCACCAGCGCAGATTGTACGATATGCCTGTTTAGCACTTGCAGCGGTTATGCTGTTCTTTATGTTTTCGTTGGTTCAGATGAGTCGATCGTCAGCGAAAGAGGTCGAGACTGCGGCTGCGCAGAAGAACGATCCGGATAAGAACCCGATTGTGAAGCCGCCGGTGTGGGAAGGTTTTGAGTTCTTGACGAGGTATTATGGCGGGATAAGGAGTCTGGTTCCAGCAGCGAGCAATGTGCCTGAATATCCTAGGGCTGCGGACGAGGAGGATTTAGATCCCGAGGCGTTGCAGGAGGAGGCGGCGCCGGAGCAGCACTTGACGGAAAAGAGGCAGGAGGGAAAAGTGCCGGATAGCAAGGTGTTTAACCCTTATCCGGACTATGCATCGCCAGAGTATATTGCGAAACATGGTGAAAAGGTGGATTGTTTCCTGGATAAGGCGAGGACGATATCCGTGCCACAGGTCAGGATGTATGAAGGTGTTCCGAGAGGGTTTCCTGATGCGGTTATGGGATCTGCTGAGCTCTTGGGCATGCGGACGGATATTTGCTATGATCGTTTCGGCCGATTAGGACCCTATGGCATCGGCTACAGCCTGAGTAAAGGTGGCAGCGGTTCACAACTCGAGGGCGAAAGAGAAGGAGCGGATCTGGTCTGGCAGAGCACACCCGAGGTCGACTGGCGGGATGTGAAATGGGTGGCCGTCCAGGAAAGGTGTCTGGCTGCAAATGCCCATCGTTTCAAGGAGCCGCCCAAGCCCAAGATCGACAGGTGGAGAGCTATGCCGATCGGCAGCATATCGAAACGAGCAGAAGAGCCCAGTGATTTCAAGTCCTCGACCCCTCCGGACAGCAAGAAACCAGCCTCCGAGCCACTTCCAAGGACTGCTGTGGTGATCCGCACTTGGCACGACTACTCCTACACACCCGAGGATCTGATCTACCTACGATCTATCATCTCAGAACTCACCCTTCACAGTGGCGGTGAGTACACCGTCCTGTTCCTCATCCACGTCAAGAACAGCGACACAGCCATCTTCTCCGACGACGAGACCTACGAGCGCGTCCTCCGCGAATCCCTCCCCGAAGAATTTCGCGGCATGGGCGTCCTCTGGAACGAGCGACAGATGGAGCTTATGTATGGCGGCCTCGAAGAAACCCGCATGCGCGACCTGCTGGTTCACGGCGTCTACCGCAGCACCTTCATGCCCATGCAGTACCTCGCCTACACCCACCCGGAGTTCGACTACTTCTGGCACTGGGAGATGGACATCCGCACCACCAATCACTGGTATCATCTGTTCACCTCTGTCGTCGCCTGGGCGAAGAAACAGCCCCGCAAGCTGCTCTGGGAGCGCAACTCTCGCTTCTATGTCCCTGCCAAGCACGGCTCCTGGGAGGATTTTAGCCATATGGTCCGCATCCAGACCGAGCAGGGCACCAACTCGCCCAACAACATGTGGTCTGGCCTGAACCAAGGCAATCGCATGCCTGGAAGCGACTCATCATCCAAGCAGACCGGTGACCGCCCGATATGGGGTCCCGAACTCCCTCTCGATGATCCCAAAACCGCCTTCGACACCGACCCCAAACCGCCGCACTCCTTCGAAAAGGATAAATACACCTGGGGCGTCGACGAAGAAGCCGATCTGATAACCTTCAACCCCCTCTTCGACCCGGACGCAACTACTTGGTTGCTCGCGGATGACACATCAGGCTACAATAAGACCAGAGGACAGCCGCCACGACGCACCGCCATCATCACAGCCTCCCGCTTGAGCAGGAGGTTACTGATGACGATGCACAAAGAAACCGCCCTGAATCACCACACCATGTTCTCGGAAATGTGGCCCGCCAGCTGCGCCTTGCACCACGCTTGAAAGCCGTCTACGCGCCACACGCAGAGTACATAGACAGGCACTGGCCCGTCCCGTACCTCGAAAGCGTGTTCAACGGCGGGCGGAACGGCGCGACTGGGGGAAGTCGAACAAGCGTATTCGGGGACCGAGAACACAATTTTCGAGGAACGACGTGGTATTATAATGCGGGGTTTCCGGAGGTGTTGTGGCACAGGTGGTTGGGAATGAAGTTCCACAATGAGGGCGGGGAGGCCGCAGAGGTGGGTGGGGAGGGGAGGATGTGTTTGCCGGGGATGCTGTTGCATCCTGTTAAGCGGGTTGAGTTGGTCCAGGAGGGGCGGCGGGCGGACTGAGGGTGAGTGGGAAAGGGAGAAGCTTTGGAAAAGACCGAGACTGTATTTGTGTGTACATAACTTAAGGCAGTCGCAAGCATGATTGTTCGTCTCAGCCTCTTCGTCTGGCGCCTTCGATACAAGTGTGGACTACTCGACTACTGCGCTGCCACGAGCATGGATCATCTTCTGGGCTATTTGACCGTGGCCGCGGCAGCGTCAATCGTCCCCTCGTTGACGCTGAGCCTGGTCAACAGAAAATGGAATGTTCGGGCACCACTCTTCTCATGCGACTGACGAATCGAATTACGCTCTAGATCTTGCTGACCCGGCCTTCTCAAAAGTACATGCATGTGCTTCAGTACACCTTTACCGGTATAGTGCTGTCTGTGTCAACTCTGGTATTGCTGTGATGTTCGCTTACGCTGTGATTCGGCAGAACAGTTAGTCTCCCGAGGAAGTCACTGCCGGTTCTGGGCCCTGCACTGGCTTCTGGTCACTGGAGGCCGGTATTCTTTATCCAGCTTTACGCCGATGGCGAGAGACGGTGACACTGGCTCTGGACTTTGTGTCATCTCGGGGCTCCCGATGGCAGGTGCCTGGTCCTGAATACAGACGGTGGTGGGGTTGGTGAAGCCGGTCGGTAGCGGCCATCTCCTCCAATGCTCCTTCCGTCCTTGTTCCTCAGCCGCTTCTCGCTTCTTCTTAAACTCTTCCCTCTTTTTCCTCCGCTCCTCCGATTGCTCTGCCTTAGCTGCCTTGCGCTTCCGCACATCGTCATCATACCGTCTGAGAATCTTTCTTACGTCAAGAGCTGGATGAGAGGTCTCCGCGAAGGCACGTTCCGATAGCAATCGCACCTTGCCCATGGCTGCATGGACAGCATCAGACTCCGAGCACTTCAGTGAGCGTCCAGTAGCCTTGCGCAGATTGGGATGATCGTCCAGGATGGACTGCACCACTCTCAGGTCCTTGATCTTCGGTGGTCTCGCCGACGTCCAGTTGACCGGCATCGCGAGTTCCAATACCTCCAAGCCTGGCAACAATGCCGCCAATCTTGTGACGTCCTTGGACTTCCACCACTGTCTTGATTCGCGGCAGAGATGGCAGCGGCAGCCGGAGGTGTTGCGATGGAATGAGATTGAGCGCACTGACCCGAGGATGACCTGGGACGAATGGCCGAAGATCTCGAAAGCATCGGCTGAGTGATCGAAGTTGAACTTCAATTTGGGGTACAGCCACAGAGCAACCTCCACCCTCAGGAGACGAGAAACGAGTGAAACGTTCATGAGGGGTTGCAGCCAGGCGAGGCTGTGTTCGTTCCGGGCGTTGCTCCGAAAGTTCTGGAGTAAACCAGCCAATGTGAGGCTACCATAGTTTTGACGCATACCATTGTCTCGACGCTCTCCAGTCACGATGTACTCGGGTAGATCCAGTCGCGTGCGCGGGCTTATTGCTGAACGCCACCATTCGCGGTCGCGGGTTATGCTGATGTTGTATGGTGAGTGTTGGTGGGCGACTTCTGGGAAGAGGAAGGCGTAGATCATGTGGCGGATCTCTGGAGGGAGGGTTGTGAAGAGGTCTATGGTTGAGTCCCTGGTAGTGGGCTGAGGTGGTGTTGGGTTGGACAGATTGACGAGAGCCCCGGCAGCTTCTGGCTCGCTCAATGATGCTGGGGAATTTGTTGGAGGCGGAAAGAGCCCACCTTCCATGACCTGGTGTATGGCTGCTGGCGTTGCTGGGGTTGTCATCCAGTAAGACATGGTGAGTCGGAGTGTTGCTGTATTTGCTCGAAGAGAATGGTCGTGGATGTTGCTGTGAACATTTTCGAGGTTGTGTTGCGGGATCAGTAACAAGTAAGTGGACAGGTGTCTTTAAAGGTACTCATGGCATTTCAGCTGCGGTCCACCTAACTTGGACAGTTGGTACATGTTGGTCAGAAGCTGTCCGCCAGAACAAGCATTCCGCCAGCTGAGCAGAAAGGTCCACGATACAAATCTTACCCACAAAACCATTCAATCAGGCTATCTTCGACGCGGGCTCAAGATCAGGCGGCTGTGCTGGAGTGACGCTGTACACGTATTATGCCTGCATTGCGATGCGTCCCGAGATCTGTCAAGCCTCATCAAATAGCACTGCAGAAAGGGGTGGCCGCCGATCTACCTTCTTACGACCTGGGCGGGAAATTGCGCTGGAGGGCGGGGCGGAGCGGAAACTTTCTTGGCGCAACCTTCCAACAGTTTGCGATGGAAGTGATAAACCTGCCCGTGACGTCGACGAGCCTGCGTTGTATCAGATAGAAGTCGTCAGGAGGAAGCTAGCCTGCCTCATTGGCAGGTGGGCATGGAGCTTCGTGATGGAAGCCTGCGAGGGAGGGGTTGGGTGGAAACTTTCTGAGGTCAATAGTGAGAAACCAATAGGGCCTTGGAAGTATGAGGTCTGCAATGTCGTGTCATGAGTTGTATGTAGACTGCGTGGTGGGTGACCTGTAGGACAGGACTCCGATAAGTGGGCGGGTCGTGCACGCCGCGGCCTGATGACAATCACTGGCAAGACTCGTAAGTCATTGGGTCGGATCAGCACGACGGGACGTAAAACGACAAAAACGTGGCTACCCTTGGCCACGGGTTATCCTGCGAACGCAAGATCGAATGTGAATCTTGTTACGAATTCTTAATTTGGACTTCTGTGCCAACCGATGGGCAACAACGATCCTCATCACGGCATTCCTCGCAGGAGGACGTTCCGCGGTGTCATAGTAGAGTACAGACCTGACTTCCAGAAAGACTCCCAAGCGATATCCGCTTGACATAAAGATCGTCTCCAGGACATGTTCCAGTCGACTTTTGATCGAGTAGAAAGCGGCAATGTCAGCAACATCAGCGCCTCAATAATGCGCTTGTCGACCTGAACGGAACACAACAGCCTCATCGCTACTGCGGCCTTGGAAGCCGATTATCGTAATCATCCTCAAATCTCCCCGTCCCATCACAACATCTCCCCGTCCACCGATTTTGACTCAACATCCTCCTCGTATCCTCCTCAATCTCCTCATCCTTGGTCTTCACTTGCCCCCTCGCCTGCTCCGCCAGTACTCTCTCTTGTGCCATTGTACCTCCCGCTCTTCTTGGCGCTGAGCCTCCAATTCCAACATGTCTAGCGTGTGCTGTCCACGACCCCAGCGACGTTCCGCGTCGTCGATGGATTCTTGGATGGTGAGTTTGTGGAGGTCTTCGAAATGCTTGTTCCAGGCTGCGACTTTAGATTGCCATTCAGCGGCGACTTTGGCGTCTTCTTCAGCCTGAATTTGGGCGGCTTTGGTGGGGTCGGCTTTGATGCGTCCGTCAGCATCGCGCTCTTCGCCGAAATGGCCGGGTTTAAGACGCTTGTAGTTGTTGGTGGCTTTGTCGGACTCCATCTTCTCCTGGATTTTGCGCTTCTTCTCGCGGATCTGCTCGTCGCGGATAGCTTTAGCGTTGAGGTACTGCTGGGTGTGTTGGAGTTGCTTGCCCTTTTCGTGCTCGCCGCGGCCGGAAACGACGTGGGTTGTGTCCATGGGTGGTTTGGTGAAGAAGAGGACGTGCCCTTCGTCGTCTTGCTGGAAGCGGTCGCGGATGTCTTTGGGGATGGTCTCGTTGGCGGCGGTGCTGAGGATGTAGGCTTCGTGATGGCGTTCGTGGGCGGTGGCGGTAGGGTACTGGTTGTAGGTCTGAGGTTGGGCGGCCGGGTGATAGGCAGGCTGTGAGACATGTTGCTGCTGCTGTTGGGCCGCGGCTTGAGCCTGGACTTGTTGGATAGTCTGACGTTGCTGGTATGGCTGAGTTGGGGTTGCCCCTCCATATCGAGCAGTGATATTCGAAGCCTGGTAGCTTGGAGTTTGCGCGAGATGTTGCGTAGCAGGGAACGGAGATTGGGCAGCAGGAGCCGGTGTTGCTTGACTGTGGTATCCTGAGCTTCCTTGTTGGTAAAGACCCGGACGAGCAGCCTGTGGCGCTGGTGAAGGAGACGCTGTCTGGTGAGCCATTGTCGGAGTTCCAGCTTGCGCTGGTCGAACCGGCTGGCTAGGCGGTCGTACACCGATCGGCTGAGTCTGTGATGGGAAGCGACTTGGTAGCATGGGATTCGAAGGTGGCCGAACAGCAGTGGGTAGTGGTGTCGGTGGTGGTGGAGGAGTTGGTTCTGGGGGTGGTGATTGCTGTAACATGTTGTCAGTCACTTGTGGACAGAGTTGACCTTCACAACACCAAAAATTTTCCTTTTATCTCCATAGCTCAACTACCAAGTGAAGAGCACAGGCGTCTTGGCATGAACAAGCAAAACGAACCACCTCAGAATCCTCAGGGCATGCACTTACATTGTCATCTCTGGCACCAGTGTGTACAGCACCAACAATAGGAGGCGCATTCTTCGACCCATACACTTGCGACACATCGCCAGGACCCTTCGCGCTGTCCTTGAGAAGATGCTTGATCGGACTCGGCACTTTCTTAATGCGACGAGGCGCATCGAAGAGATCCATCTCATAGTCTTTGTCGCGAACTTCATCGGGTAAGCAGCTCGCCCACGTCTTGATCTTGTTGAATTTGTGTTTCTCCTCGTTGTAGCGCGTTTCACAGACATACACCTCGGTCTTCGGATCGATATTTCTAGGACGACCACGACTATAGCGGGTATAGAACATGATGAAACATCGATCGACGACTTCCTGAATATGATGATCACGATACTGACCGGTCTTGCAGACTTCAGCAGGGTAGAAGTGTCGCTCGTACTGGTGGATTGTCTGCTCCGGGCGGAAGTACCAGCAGGCATTGATCCAGTCCTGGCCATCGCTACCACGCCAGGTGCGATAGATTTGCGCGATGATGGGCTTCGTGACATCGTTGGGATTCTGAATGTGAATCCAGTCACCGACCTTCCAGGTTTCGCCTCTGTACTCGATCCCATTCGGCATCGGAATGCGACCATCATCGAGCCCATACTCGGAGTCAGGCTTGGCCTTCTCAGCCTCCGCGACCTGACGGGTCTCCTGCATCAAGACCTTGGCATCCTCATAGATCTCACTGCCGTCTTGATTATACGCCATGGCATTCCTGAACATCAAGTCGGTGTCCTTGAGGAAGTGGTCAACCGAGTTGTACTTTTTCCGCTTGGCCTTCTTCTTGATGGTGTCCATGGCTATGGGATCTTTGATTTCTTGGTAGTAGTGAGGATACTCGGCCTTGTCTGGGAGACGGTCGAAATGTCGCAAGCGGTAGATGCCGTTAGCGTCCTTAGGTCTACGCATCGACTTGATGATGGACTTGATCCTGGCTTCCAACGGAGTATCGACTTTGGGCGGACGGCCACGCACCTTTCGCTTGTCGTCTTGATCGTCGTCATCAGCGGCTTGCTTCTTACCACCACTGGGCCGGGCCTTTCGACGTTTTCTGTCGTCGGCATCTGATTCCTCTCCCTCCTCGTCTTCGTCGTCTTCACCATCCTCCTCTTCGTCGCCTGCTTCTTCCTCGGAGACTGGATCTGGTTCTGGAGTGGCCGCTGGGATCTCACCGAGGTCTGGGAATGCGGTCTCCTCTTCCTTGACCAACCCTTGCTCGACAAGCCTTGCCAACTCGGCCTTAAAAAGATCCTGGAGCTGGAGTACATCCCTCACAGGCTGCGAGTTTGGACGATTGTATACCTGAGCATTGTGGACGACGAGAGCAAAGTCTCGGACGAATTCTGGGATGCCAGTGTACGTCTTGCGTTGTATCTTGCCCTTGAGCGTGCTGATTGCGCTTGGCTCTTTGATGATCTGGTAGTAGTCGGGCAAGTTGCGCTTGTTGGGTACTCGCTTGAAGAGAGTGGAGGGATAGTGGTCTTCACCGCGGATCTTGACTTTGAAGTCTGTCAAGACATCTGTGATGGCCTTGAGATGCTTGTACAGTCTGTTGGACACTGGACGACCCGAAGTGTCCTGCTCCAGATCTGGATCGTCTTCTCCCGCAGCGTCTTCATCTGAGTCTTCCGCCGGCGCATCGTCTTCTTTGGGCGCCGCTTCTGACTCCGCAGGCTCTTCAGGCTTTGTCTCCACCTCGATCGACTCGACTACGGAATTTTGTGGTTGATCTGGTTCACCCGGCGGATCACTGTCGATGGGAGCCTCGGCCGGAGGCGCATCAGGCATAGCCTTGTCGGTATCGATCTGGTCGGCCATCTTTGTGTTTCTCAAGCAAGATCAGTCCGGCACATGTCAGGACCCGGCCGTTGATGCATCGAATGCTTCCCGAACTCGGATTGCGCTCCTTCCGCAGTCGTGGATCCGTGAATTTGCCAAAGGGTTTAGTCTGCCACTGGTCGGCTCGTATGCGTGCGCAAATCACCTGTTGGCCACCAGAATGCAGTTCCCGAACGCCAAATACGCCTTCGCCGATGCTACGTAGTATCACAGCACTTTTTCGCGACGCATTGACTGGGGTGGACGGAACTGGGGTTGGAGAACGCGAGAAACGCGATCCTCGCATTCGTGCTGAATCGAGCCCTAACCCTAGGACACAGCGCCGCAATCTCTCACCAAGGTGATTCATGCCCTCTGCAACCTCCGTGCGCATTTATGCCACGAGTCGAGCTACGTTGGCAAAGCGCTGTCAAATCACCAACAGCGCCTCAGCGGAGTTTCCCTCGCCGGACTCGCTGTTATGCTTATGATACTTGAGGGTCGCATCTTGTTCTCATGAGATTCAGTGCTTCATCAGGAGCTCACAGTCGCTGACGATGTGCATCGTGATATTCGTTTGAGATGGACAGAAGTTGATCTTCTACTGACTACAGGCACAGGTCGCGTGGCCGGCGGCTCGACGTGTCACCTTCCTCAGGTAGGTGCTTATGGTGTGAATTATTTCGATACCGCTTCTCCGGCGTCGATGAGCGCTGTCACGCACGCTCTCCACAAGTGTCACGCTCAACGGGCAGTCACGCCGACTTGTGTGTGCTCGCCACGATGGCCCACGAAGGTTGTAGCTCGGTCCATCCTGAGCCACCTGATATCTGGACGACGACTTTACCGGTCTATTGTGGTTCGCGTAACATCTGTGTCCAACCATGCTACGAAGAACGCCGTGCCTACGCTGAACGCAATCCACCCTGGATTCATTTGAGAGATCCCAGTGACAAGAATTGTCACCAGGCATGGCCCCCGATTTGTGCTCATCGGATCGGGCCAAGCCTTGCTTCGGTATCCTTTCGAGCGGCACATGCGTCCAAATCGGGACGAGGAGAATGTAGGCACCAAGCAATCAGTACAGCTACTGCAATGATGTCAGCCCAGCACAGCATGGCGAAGGAAACCGTTTGCGCCGCTAAGACCTTTCGTATGGCACTAAAAGCAAGCGATTGCCAAATATGGGGAAAGTCTGGGCAGTACCTGCATACGATCGGCTCGTTATGTCGACGAAAATATACCTCCATGCCGGAAACGTACTGTTGTCGCCGCTAGGCACGACGCTGCCATGCCGTCGCTGTGCAGTGCCTTGCTTCAGACATCACGGCGTATTCGTAGCTGTTGGGGACCGACTGTAACACCTGGAGAAAAAAGTATATAGACTTGGCTGGACAGGATGGACAAGACTTGAGCAAGACATCGAGCAAGAACGTTCGAACAACAACCATGTACCGACCTGGGCAGACCTTCCTCTTGCTTTCTCTACAGCTTTCCTTGTGTCTGGGCGACCGCCTTGGTCCGACCTATCCCCCACCTCTAGACCTTAGCAGTGAAGACAGTCTCGTTCCATCAGCATGGCAGGAAGTCACCAGCGTGCTCAACTCATACCTTGACAAGACCATTGAGGACCCGGCTGTCGCGACAGCACTCACCGGTCTGGAGAATGTCACCTTCTCGATTGGAGCTTTCTCACTCCACGACCCAGCCGTCAGCGAGGATCTGCAGTACCACTACTCATCGCCATTCACCACTAAGTCCACCAATGGCACGAAGAAGGTCGATGCCAACACCATTTACCGCGTCGCCAGCATCACAAAGCTCTTCACTGTCTATGCAGCCCTCCTCAGTTTGACAGAAGAGCAATGGTACACGCCCCTGAACGAGTGCGTGCCCGAACTTGCCGCCTATCTCGAATCTCAACCGGAGGGAGCACTCATGGCCACACCATGGGATGAAGTCACGCCTTGGTCCCTCGCCAACCAAATCAGCGGCATAGCCCGCACTCCCGTGGTCGGAGACCTCCTCGCCTCACCAAACCTGACCGAGCCCGTTAGCACCCTCCTCAACATCGGCCTGCCCCTTAATCCTGGCTTCCTGGCTGCGCTTAACGACTCTGACTTCACCGGAGCCACAGCACTTACCAGCGCACTCTACGCAAAGCTCGCCGCACCACAACCGCCTACTTACCTCCCCTGGACCACACCCATGTACACCAATAACGGCTTCGCCATGCTTGGCGTCGCCATCACCAACCTCCTAGGCGGCAATCTATCCTACAACGGCCTCATTCAATCGACCATCTCGGACCCCCTTGGCCTTGATTTCACTGGCTCTGTGCCTCCAACCACAGAAGCTGACATCGCCCGCTCTGCCATCGCCAACCCAACATACTTCTTCACACCTGACGGCCCTATTTCCTTCTCAGGCGGCATCCTCTCCACTATCTCCGACCTTTCCCTCCTAGGTATCTCAATCCTCAACTCCACCCTCCTCTCCCCAGCCCAAACCCGCCAATGGCTACACCCAACCTCCCACACAGCCAGCGTACGGCACAGTGTCGGCGCGCCCTGGGAGATCTTCCGGTGGACTTCCCCATTGACAGGCAAAGTCGTCGACCTGTACACCAAATCAGGCAACTCCGGCGACGCGACTTCCCACTTTATTCTCATTCCGGACTACGGCTTTGGTTTCAGCTACCTCTCACTTGCACCGGCCGAGGTAACGCAACGACCTACCGTGATCAATGTCATCCTCGACCTCATCGTCGACTCCCTCCTGCCCGCACTAGAAGCACAAGCCGCAGCGGAAGCACAAGCGAACTTCGTCGGGACATATACCACTTCCGCAGACTCCCCAGTCAACGCCACTATCAAGGTAGGCTGGAACGAGTCCACCGCCGCAGGCGCAGCCCCTGCCCTCAGTCTGCTGGAATATACTTACAACAATACTGACCTGCTGTCCCTCTTCCTGCCCAAGGACACCAAGCCACGCCTCCTGCCCACGATTTTAGCAGAAGAATGCGGGCCAACGGGGAAAGTCGCGTTTGAGTGGTCCGCGAACCCGAACGTTCCGGCGGGTTTGTTTCAGAGTATCTACAAGAACAATCTGGACTGGCTGGGTACAGCAGGAGTCACGTGGAGCGGCGTCTCGGTCTCGAGCTTTGTCTTCGACGTCGACGCAGAACGCAAAGCTACTGCTGTGACGGCGGAGATTTTCGAGGGGTTGCAGCTGCAGAGGGTCCAGGAATAGGACTCGAGAGGCCTTGGGTGTAGTAGACCTACCTTAGTAATACATTGATTGATGAACAATACCATACCGGTTGTGTTCAACGTAGCTGAACGAACAATGTATCATCATGAGATGGGTCCTTAGATCGCACTGCATTGTACATGACCTCCCGGTAGTTCGCTTCAGAGTCGCGAGCGCTGTATGCAGTGCTGTTGACCTTATGTAAGATGTGATGCCTTAGTCATGGGTTTGCGGTCTTGGCTTGAAGCTCTTGGTAACACTTCTCACTCACCCAAAAGAGCAGCGACCCATTGTCTCGATGCGTTCGTACGGAGCATACAAGATGCATCTTACTTACTCAGGATGTCGCGGTTGATAATGGCATATAAGCCAGACGAATGGGCCTGCGATGGTGCTCGTTATGGTCGGTCTGAACGTTCAGACGAAAGTACACAAGGTTACGAATATCTGTTCACTGAACACTGAGCGATCATCCCAGCGCATTCGCCTTTGTATGGACCATTCATCCAGCATACCTCACAGCTAACAGCCACCATGACTTCGAAGTCCGGATACTCCTTCGAGCGCCTCGACAAAGACAAAGCTCTCCTCCTAATAGTCGACCACCAAATCGGCCTCCTCCAGCTCGTAAAAGACTACACCACCGCCGAATTTCGCAACAATGTCTTCGCGCATGCTGAGTTGGGCAAACTGTTCGAGTGAGTACCTGACCGAGCGTAAAAGCGAGGAGCAAGAGTGCGACCACATCCCGAGACACGACTCCCACTTCTTTCCCATAACCTCATGTCATGCCCACTCTCAAAGCCCATGCTAACCCAAACGCTCCAAAGCCTGCCGGTAATAATGACGACCTCCGCCGAAACAGGCCCCAACGGGCCTCTTCCCAGGGAGATCCTGTCCATGTACCCCAACGCGCCCTTGATCAAGCGTCACGGCGAGGTGAACGCGTGGGATAATGCTGAGTTTCGTGCCGCGGTTGAGGCTACCGGCCGAACTCAGATCATTCTTGGTGGGATCGTGACGGAAGTGTGTACTATGTTTTTGGCTTTGAGGTGCGTTACCTACCTACTCACCCCTGGGAATCTGAGTCGGATTGCGTTGGGGAATAGCTTTGTAGTGATGTCCTGCTAGTAGACGGTGTTGCTGACTGGTGTGTTATCTTTAGTTTGAGAGAGGCAGGATACAGTGTATGGGCGAATACCGAAGCGAGTGGGACAGCGACGCCGAAGTTGGCGGAAGATGCGAATCGAAGGATGAGTGATGCTGGTGTTTTGTTGGTGAGTTTGAGATCTTTGCTTCGCAAGTGGACCCCGTGTGAAGCTCCCCCGATCCTATTTGAGGAGCTCCCCAAGCACAATGAATGGACAAGAATGCTGATGACCTGTGTGTCTACTCGCATAGAACGGAATCTTCGGCATAGTCTGCTTCCTCATGAAAGACTGGCGCAACACCCCCGGCTCCGCCGAGGTCCTCCCCTACCTCGACAAGTACTTCCCAGCGTATGGTCTCGTTGCGCGATCGCACGGCTCTGCGCAGAAGGAGGGCGAGATCCAGCCGGGCCAGGCGGAGCTGCTTGGATGATGTCGTATCAAGTGTCGTGGGGATTGTCTGCTGGAAGATAGATGTCAGCGTATTTTATGTTGGGGGCTGCGGCAACCGAGAATTCATGGACATTCGGAGAGAAATGCATGATGCTGCTTGATTAGCGAGAATGCGTTGTCGCTCTGCCAGCTGCTGTGTGCATTTTGCTTGTCTGAGTGAGCCCAATCGGAGGTCCGCAGATCGCGTGGGTTGAAGGGTCGGTGCAGCAAGCCTAAGGAAAAGTGAATCAACAGCGATAAGCTAAAGGTTGAGGCTTCGTCTAGGCCGCGTGCCTATCTTGCCTACCTGTTTAGGCATCATCCAGTTGATAAGGCGACTCATGGTCTTATGGTTGAGCACAAGGTGAGATGCAGCTCGTGAAGACACGCATAATACCAGGTGGGAGTGGGTCTGTGGTTGCCCGACGGGCAATGGTCTCGACGACATTCATGGAGGCCCTTCGCAACGAAATCTGAATTCTTGCATTTTGCTAGTGATGTTCGTTGTCCCGAACTCTTATCAGCTCAGCGCAAGCCCTCGCCACGACTTGCGTGTCGGGCTATCTTGCTAGTAGCACTCTTGTTGGGTTTTTAACATCACAAGCTCGACTTGGCTCTATCGGGTCTTGCAACGTCTAATGTCAGCCAGAAGCTCGATTGCGCTTAACTTGCGGCAGAGCACTTGGACTGATGGATGCCTTACGGCAGAAACTGTTCCAGGGAAGAGACTGTCGAAGTACGTTAGCGTCACTCACGAGCCAACTCCATGCCTTGTGGGCAAACTCACCAGTAACACCCGTATTATCCGGCTCAACAGCAACCTTCTTCACAACGCCATCCTGCGTCCTGATCGCAAACCGCTTACTCCTCTTATTCCCCAAAATAGCCGTCGCGTCAAAAGCCACATCCAACTCCTCAACGAACTTCCCATCCGCATCCCCGAGAATCGTTATCCCCGTCCCCTCCAGCCCCAGACTCTTCGCCCACGCATTCGTCACAAACGCATCATTGACAACAATGATGTAGACTTTTCCCTTGAACTCCTCGAGCTTGTCCGGGCGCGCGACGTAGCCGGGAATGTGCTTCTCGGAGCAGCCGGGGGAGAAGGCGGCGGGGACGCCGATGAGGAGGGCTGGGCCGGAGGCGATCTCCTGCGCGATGTTGATCTTGTCGCCGGGGTTCTTGCGGAAGAGTTCAACGGAGGGGATCTTGTCGCCTTCTTTGACTTGCTGTGGGTGGTGTTAGTGGTGGTTGGATGAGCAGGGCTGGGGAG